AAATTATGTCGTCCAAACCCTGATGGGCGATACCGTCGTGCTAGCTCCCAAGTTTCTCAAGGAGCTCAACATGCTTCCTGAGTCCAAGCTGAGCTCGACTGCAGCCCTGGTGGACGGCGTAATGGGGCAATACACCGGCGTGGATCTCCTTTTGCGAGACCACTTGACCAACGATATCTGCAGAGGGCCATTCACAAAAAGCCTACGTATGGCCCGTTCAGAAAATCATGCGAGGATGTTCAGGAGGCTGATGAAACAGCAACCTTTATCCCGCTCATGGCCGAAGAGCTTCATACGGCCATGGCGGAACAGCTGGGCCAGGGTACCTCGGAGATTGAGTCGCATCACACATGAGTTGTACGGTTCATTTTTATGTGACGTTGATGTCCTGACTCATAATCTCCATCAGTCCACGTCGCATACGAGCTCCTGTTATCCTTCATTCACCGGATTTCGTCCTCGGTCTTTGTCGGCAAGGCATACTGCCATAACCCGATCTGGACGGGTGCTGTAACGGCCTTGCCCATCGATGCCGAAATCACAAAGTTCATTTTGCTCCCTTTCCCAGCGTTTCTTCGACGCTTCATTGCGCCCCTGATCCCACAACGGAACCGGATATTCCGCCAACGCGCTGAGGCGCGCAACCTCCTCTTCCCGCCTTCGGAAAAGATCATGGTGGCCAAAGAGGAGCCTTCTGTAATGAAGCTGCTTATTGAAAGCGGCAAGGATACAGATCCGGACAGTATCGCCGCTCGGCTGTTGATCTTGACGGCGGCTGCGGTAAGAATACCATTACCTTCGATGCCGCCAAGGGTAAATGGGTCCATAACTGACAACGCGACATGCCTCAGCTTCATACATCGTCCATGGCAATATGTCATGGAATGACCATTGTTGGCGGCCCGAGGGGCTGCAGCCGGGTCCGCGGGACGTCTGGCGACCAATCATTCAACGGACCAATCAGAGGATTATCACTGCCAAGATCAAGCCGTCACTGGTGATAATGGGAAGTCACTGTCGACAACGGAGTATCAACAGTGAATACAGAACAGTCACTGGTGATAGTCGCCAGGGCATGGTGAAACAAGGATTATATATACTAGCTAGATAGCCACTCGTTAGGAGGACCTTCAGAAGGTTCTCCAATAAGCAATGCAAGCAGTTGTCTTTACTACTGTGTGAACACTTGCTTGTGCACTTGTTGTAGACCCTTTGGCTCTACCGAACCTCACCCCGTTCAAGTCAACCTTCAGTCTGAGGAGTCCCTTTCAGTGGTAGGGGACCGAGATTCGTCACACAATAACACAGGCGATCTTCGATCTCTGCTCCATGCCAGAATTTGTCGAGCCCCTGCGGTCCGAAGCGCAAGTAGCGCTCGCTCAAACCAACGGAGAATGGCAATTCTCAACGACCAAGAAACTCGCTCGTTTGGACAGTTTCCTAAAGGAATCCCAGCGCCTGAATCAATCTACGTTCCGTAAGTTTGCTGCTCGCCCCTTTCGGTACCTTATTACCCGTGAGCTGATACTACTAAATCCCATCCAGTCGGCTTCCATCGCAAGGTAATGTCCCCCATCAAGCTATCCGACAACACAACAATCCTCCACCCCGGAATCACCATATCAATGCCCGGATATGCCATGGCGCGCGATTCCGCATTCTACGGCGATGACGACCCCCTACGCTTCAACCGCCTGCGCTTCTATCTCCCTTACAAGGAGGAGGATGACATAAGTACTACTAGTAGTACCGATCATGCACGGCACCTAGACTACACGGGCATTGAGCCGGGGAATATCTCGTGGGGCAGCGGAAGGTTCACCTGCCCCGGGCGATGGTACGCGGCCGCCATGATCAAGCTGATCTTGGCCAGCCTGCTGCTCGACTATGACGTTTCGTTTCCCCCTGGACAAACTGAACGGCCGCAAAACGTCAAGTATGACACGGAGCTGCTTCCGGATTTTGGGCAGAGGATCGTTCTGCGGAAGCGGCGAGTTGCCTGATTCCTCTTGGTTGTATGTACTGTACATGTGAGCGACTCGGCGGTGGTAAACTTTTCACGACACTGCGGAGATTTCAGTTACGGTGTAGATGGTATCAGATGTTGGGTTTATATAGTTCCTGGTTGGTACTAGCAGGCTCGCTCAATGGCTCCGTCGCCAAGTTCAAGTTGGGTACTAATACAAGAGAATAATCTTCGGTTATCTGTTTGCTCCGTCAATCAACAAAGTTGAACTTTGATCGGCACGTCAAGTTCGGGACGCCAGGCGCGATCCATTCAGTCCGCGCTACTCATAGGGTTCGATCTGCTTCCGGCACCATTCCACGAATCTAGCTGCGACACCCCTCTCCCCTTTCATGGCATCCTCGACCCCATCAGGAAGACTACCGAGCCTACCCCAGGGATAGACATAAGCCCCGCTCTTGTCGGGCGTCAACTCGGGCGTAAGTATGGCCCATAGCTCCGTGTACGCGCCGTAGATGGCCGGATACACGATAAATTTGTCCTGCGACTCGCATAAAACAAGAAAGCGGCATCAGTATGCACACATCCGTACTAAGTGACGTTGGAGGAAGCGGGGTACAGGAAAGTGAAGAATGAAGCGGCCGCTCTCACTCACCGTGAACCAAGCTCCCGGTCCAGTCCAGTGCCGCTGCAGCTCAGTGCGCAGATTGCCCGGGTTGAACGCAACATGCACGACGCCCGTGTGGGGAGTCGTCTCGGCTTCCTCGCGCGCGAAGAAGACGTTGCCGACCTTGGTCTGGCCGTAGTTGAAGACCACGCCCTGGTCGGTGGGGCGACCGTCGTCACCGAGGACGATGCCGTGCGGTTTCGGCGCCGTGACGAATACGGCGATGGATGCGGCCCATGCCACGCGCACGCTCGCTGTGGGCGAGGAGGCGGCCGTCTGCGTGAGGAGGGGGAGCAGCAGCCGGTAGAGTAGGTACGGCCCGAGGCAGTTAGTGCCTAGCTGCAGCTCGTTTCCGTGGGCATCGGTGCTCCCCTTGGGAGGGTACATGACCTGTGAGAGCTCAGCATGGGTAAAGTATGGTTACCACAGTAGATAGTAGGTAGATTGAGGGGTTGAGTGGGTTGCAGTGGTATGGTACAGCAGTGGGGGCGGGGGTTCAGGGGGATCCCGGGGATGATTGGGGAATCGGGAACCCGAGGCGGAGCTGGACGTACGCCGGCATTGTTCACCAAGACATCGAGGCGGTTGTTTCGAGCAGTGAAACATTGGACCGCGGGTTTGATGGTGGACAGGTCGGCCAAATCAAGGTACAGAAACTCGACGCGGCCGTTGCTCTTGGGTGACGCTTCCTTGATGCTCGAAATTGCCTTTTGGGCTTTAGATTCGCTGCGGCCTGCGATCCAAACAGTCGCATTTTTGTCATAGAGTATCTTGCATAATTCGAAGCCCACACCGGCATAGCCACCAGTCACGAGGAACACCTGCAGGAGATAGTGTGAGCAGTAAGCTACGGACGAAGTAGGGAGGAGCAATACAACTTAGTAAAACTTACCCGCCCTGTTTGGTCGGGACAGTTCTTCTCAGTGAGATGCGGGGTCGGAATGAAGTAGAACTGGCTTAAGACGTTGCCCATCATGTAAAGCTAAGCGAAGCAAATCTTTCAAATGGTTCGAGGCAATAGGAGAGAGAGATGGTTCAGATGGGTCTCCGAGTCGCGTCAAGACGTTAACCGAGTTCGTCTTCTCCCACTTCTACCACTCAAGTTGCATTCCTTGGTGTGTGCTCTGCCTTATCTCTTCACACTGAGCCAGTCTGACTAGGCTGACTAAGCTAAGTGTATCAGTTGGACGCTGTCGGTACCACTCTTGATACCACACTGCATCAATGGACGGGAAGGGCACGGCCCGCAGCGTGATTCGGGAGAGGGGAAGCTCCAAGACAAAGTACGGTATGTACTGTACGTAGCATACTTGCACATACCCCGAGTCCAACCTAACGCGGCGTGTTGCGGCCGCAGTCTGGTAACTGTTGAGCCGGATAATAACACGACCTACTTACAACTTAGTCATGGAGTTCCTGACCCATGCTTTCAGAGCCGACAATGGAAAGTAGGTTCCGAATGTCACAGTCATACATACCTTATGCATGCCAGCACCTCGCATGGTTTCATCTTAGCCCCCACGTATCTGGCGCCTTGAACTATTGATGGTGTGCCAGCGGTTCTGTTATCTCAAAGGAGTAGCGGACGGTCGAATGCCATCAATGTTCATGCGATACCACGCTGTCGACAGTGGCAGTAACTGTAGATGGCGCCCAGATCCGTTGGCCCCTCCGGGCTGGTTGTGCCGCTGGACTACTCAAGGCTTGCAACTGAATTGCAAGGACCTTTGCAGTGTTCAAATCAACCCCCTCTGACCTTTCGGATCCAGATCGTGGGCAGCAGCGTAGCACCCTATGTTAGACTAGGGAATCCGGGAATCGGGATGCCGCGATGGGAACTACGCGTCACCACCATCCGGCATCCGCTCGGTTCAGAGGATCAGAACCGACATGACTGCATAGGGAGTGCATCACTGCAAGGTGGTCATCTTGGCAGTTGATAAAGCTCAGTAAGCAACACTGAGATAGAAAGGCCAAAGGAGCAGCATAGGAGTCGTGATGGGACCTACATTTACAGGCCGGCCTTCCCCCTCACGAGTTGAAGCCGGGAAGAGGAAATAGACCCAAACAAGATCGTGTAGGCAGAATGCATCCTCTGCAAGCACCTCCTCGTGCAGTCATCTTCGACCTTGGCGATGTCCTATTCAAATGGTCCGCCAAAACGAGGACAACCATTCCCGCTCGAAAGCTGCGGGCCATCCTCTCGACACCGGTCTGGAATAGCTATGAGCGTGGTGAGATCACTAGGGACGCCTGTTACGAGTTGAGTGCTCAGCAATTCTCCCTCCCGGCGTCTGAGATCGCAGAGGCATTCGTTCAGGCGCGAGCTTCTCTGCATCCTGACCATGACATTGTTTCGTTTCTTGTTGAGTTGAGGGAGGATCCTGCAATTCAAGTGTATGCAATGTCAAACATTGGGAAGGAAGACTTCGAGGATATCGCAGGAAAGACGGACTGGTCGCTTTTCGACCGAGTGTTTCCGTCGGCGGGAGCAGGCATGCGAAAGCCAGAAATCAGATTCTACCGCCACGTCCTGGAACAGATCGGCTTGGAGGGCAACCAGGTTGTCTTCATTGACGATAAGGAAGAAAATGTACGCGCAGCACGAGCCGTGGGTATCCGCTCATTCGTTTTCGGGGATTCGTGGTCGACAATTCACTCGTTACGTGAGATCTTGATGCTGGATAGCGCCGTCGGCAAGGGCTGGAGATATCTGTTCCGGAATTCGAATATGTGTGACTCCATCACGGACAACGGCGTCACCTTCGCCGACAATTTCTCGAAACTGTTGCTTATGGATACGCTGCGGGACAGGTAAGTCGACCGTCATCGAGAGTAGAAGAATGCTGGAAGACGCTGGTGACTAACCCCACGCTGATAGGTCCCTCATCAATTTGGAATGGGGAACAAAGAAGCGGTGGAATTTCTTCGCCGGTGAGACGCACTTTCCTTCGCGTCAGAGCAGGTTTGTTCAAGGGAAGCGGCGACTGACGGGAACATCCTACTACCAGGCGAAGCAGTGCTCGTCCCAGGGGGCTATTTCCCTGACGACCTTGACACAACATCCCTCGCTCTGCAAGTCCTTCGGCCGTCGTCGGCCGAAACTTTGCTCGACACCATGACCGAATATGTCAACGAGGATGGTACTTTCCAGGTAAGCTATCTATCAAGATTAGCATATCAGGAAGCTGTCTGGCTAATAGACTCAAAGACGTACTTTGACCGTAACAAGCTTCGGGTTGATCCAATTGCCAGCGCGAATATCCTCGCTTGCTTCTACTCTTACAACCGCGGTCATGAGTTCGAACGGACCCTGGAGCTGGTACGCTCCATGCTTGCGGACCGTTCTTACATGCAGGGGACCCGGTACTACACATCCCCAGACTGCTGCCTCGGCTTCATCGGACGCCTGCTCCGATCGTCGAGCGATGCCCATCTCCAGATGACGCTGGGTCCGCTGTTGAAAGCACGAATGCGTGAACGAGTCGGTCTGGGCGGCAGCGCCTTGGATTTGGCTTTTCGCATCATTACCTGCGCTCAGCTGGGGATCGCGTGCGAGGGTGATCGCCGCGCTTTGCGGGAGTTGCAATCTGAAGATGGGAGCTGGGAAGTAGGTTGGATCTATAAGTATGGATCGACGGGGGTGAGGGTGGGAAATCGCGCGGTGACCACAGCCCTGGCGGTTGCTGCGCTTTCCTCTCCGGAAATCGCTGCCCAAGAGAATGGTTCACACAAGGAAGACGGTGTGAGCGAGCTCGGCATGAACGGCGTGACCGTAGTTGCTCTCGAGGTATGATGTTGAGCAAGCACCTGATATTAGCAGAACGTTGGATATTCCGAACTTATACACGACTTAGACGTTAGTGCTAGATCTTTGAATTTCTGAAGTCATCGTCATCATCATTTTCAAAGAGAGTTTTAAACATGATAAATGAATGACTTCAACTTACAAGATGGTTTGAAAGCTCTCAGATCAAGTCCGTACCTGATCGGCAAAGCCTAAAAACGGTCTATATTGGGTTCGTCATAGCCAAAATGACCCCCAAACTGCAGTTATCGAGGTGTCACAGTCCCTGCAGGTGACGCACTTTACCTCTACCATAAACGAGTATAACCCACACCATATCATCGGTCCATTGTCTCCCCCAATGTCCTCCATGGCCAAACCGTAATCCACATGAGATTATGCAGGCAAAAACCCCTAGAGACGACACTCCCCCGCAAGAAAGAAAAAAAAGAATCGCCTAAAAAGTGCACTCCCTCACCTTCCCGACCCCCCCCGCAACCCTACCCAAATCATATTCCACCCACCTAGCCACGCCCCTGCGCCCCGCGACGAGCACGCTGCCGGGGTTCATGACCAGACAGCCCTCGTAGCGGACGCAAAACGCGGGCGCCGTCGTGTCGACCAGCACCACGGCCGTCGGCAGCGGGTACAGGTACATGGCCGAGGTGTAGTCCCAGTGCACGGGGCGGACGGCCTGCCGGAAGGGCGCCAGGTAGGCCTGGTCGAGGAGCGTCTTGACCAGCTTCCTGGCGGTTAGGATGTCGTAGGGAATCGTTTCCTCCGGTGTTTCCTTGTCCTTGTTGTTGTTTGGGATGGTTTGGTCCACGGCTCTTGTGGGAGGGTTATCCGTGTCCATGTCCATCAGGGTGGCGTCTTGCTGGGTTGCGGTAGGTGGGTTGCTGTCTGACATGGTTACGTCGGTGGGTTCTTGGCCATGTTGTCCAGAAGAAGAGTCGTCTTCATCGGGACTGCTTCCGGCTTTAGTCTTGAGCCTGACCGAGGCGCGCCGGAGACGGGCTGAGATGTCGTCCCTGAATAGCACAATCTCGTGGTTGGGCCCAAACAGCGTCAGGCGGCTGGGGTTGGTGGTCCAGATGGCCTCGCCGCCCTTTCCGTCGCTGCCTGAGAAGCCCGCTTCGGCGTTGGCTGCCGCGAATACCCGCCTGATGCGGGACGTGAACAGGGCAGGTACGGGCTTTCTCGGCAGCGGGACGGCGGCGCCCCCTGCGAAGGCCGACGCCCACCCGTCGTTGTCTCCGGGCACGAAGATGAAGGTTGCCGTTGTCAGGAGCATGGGGAAGTCGGCTAGTGTCGAGGCCAAGGCGTCAAAGAACTCCTTGTACTCGATACTCCCGCCGCTGCCCCCGCGAGCCATGACGGCGTGCGTGGTGAAATTGCCAGTGAGGACAAAAGCCATGGGTGTTGAACCTTCCGGGTCGGTGGAGTATAGGGAAAGGATCTTCCTGAGCGCCTGCAAACTGCGCGGCTGGTCGAGATTCAGCTCGCCCAAAATAACCACCCGGCCGCGCCCTAGGCTGTCCGGATCGGCAAGAGCTGGCTGACGTAGCAGCCGCTGCTCGAGCCTGCGCATCCGAGAGCCCACAGCGCGTTCACTGCCCACACCGAGGAAGTCGATCCACCCGAAGCCGCCTCCGATGGTGTGATCGGGCCCTCCGTCCGGCCCGCTGACTCCCAGTGTTGCCCGTCTCTTTTCGCAAGGGGGCTGGCCGACGAAGAAGCCTTGAAAACGGCCGCCAATAGTGCCTCCCACTCCACTACTGCCACTAAGCCCCTTGCCGGTAGACTCTTCCTCTTCCTCGTAGACGCCGTCAATCAAGACAATCATGCCTGGTGTGAACCAAGCCGAGTCCTCCGGAATAGCGACTGCATGCAATAGATCCAGCGCAATAGTGCCCGTCAGGTCACTGATTGCCAGGTTGCCCGTTGGCAAGATGACCAGCATCCCGAGAAGCATATGGGTCGTGCCGTGACGGCCAAGGAGGTTGGCGATGGGCGTGATTTTGTGCGATTGCATCGCCGATGACGATCCGGCTCGACGGAGGGAGGCACACCTAGCGCTGGCGACGGCCGAGGTCTGGAAGGCTTCATTGCGAAGAAGCCTTTGATGTATGACGTTGAATCGGTTGCGAAAGGCTTCCGTCTTGTGGGAGGCGGCCGGCAGAATAGATGCCTTGGTATTTGTTCTGTCTCGTTGTTAGAGCTCATGAACAGGACTGTAGGAGGGGCAGGATGAAGCCGGACTTTTCAAAATGCTTCTTGGCAACGTTATATGTGTATCGCGGTTGATCAAATGCATGTATGACCTTTAGCCATCTCCTGATGTCCTTCAACCCCTCGTCATCCGGTTCCTCATCAACGGCCATATCGGACATTCCGAAGCTGGACTGGCTGTCGTCTCGTGTCAGCGACAGGGTTGGTCTCAAACCCAGTCTGGTCTTGGAGTGGTCAGATTCGTCAGTGGGCTCTAGCAACAAGCTATTCTGGCGACTAATGCCTCTTGAACCGCTGATGATCTTGCCGCCGCTCATATTGCCCTCCAAGTTCTTCAGGATGTCCTTCAGCTCCGGGCTGGTTCCTTCCACAATGACGCCCCCATTGCGATTCTTCCACGTTTTCGCTGCCTCGTCCAGGACCTTCTCGGCGAGGCCTTCTTCTCTCCATCCTGAGCCGCAGTGCCTTCCAATAAAAGATGCGAACTCTTGGAGAGCGGATGATGTTAGCGTCAAGCCGTGTTTCTTGGTGAAGGTCCGGAATGCGAGAGGACGAAGCGTCGCGGGAGGAAGGATGATGGGGAGCACGGCTGCTTTCGCGGGCACTGGAGGCTGAAACGGCTTCAAAGGATGGGCTGGTGTCCCAAAAGCCGGCGACGAGGACGGGATTGCGCTGGACGGCGCAGGATTCCTGGGAGCGAAGAAGGGCGGCGGAGGGGGCTTTGCTCGCTTGCTGCCCTTTTCGGGAGTTGTTTGCTCTTTGTTTTTTCGAGGGCTTTTCTGGGGGCTCTGTACCATCATCATCTTGAACTGCTCAACCTAAGAAAATACTGGTGTTGGTGGTTTCAATCTCGTCTTAACTGACCAAGTGCGATATTGTTAGGAAGATCCTCAAGGACGCGTTAATTAATCCAGAAGAGCGCGTCTTAGCGCGTTTGGTGGGGCAAGACAAGGGCTAGAGCAGGGGTACTGACACTGCCGGCGGCAAGTGGATCTCAGTCAGTGAAGCTGAGTCTGGAGCTCAAATCAGTGGAGCTCCAGAGCTCAGCGCAATGACGGCATTGCACTCGATCGAAAAACATTCAGTTCTGTCAACGATTCAAACATGTCGACTATATGTCTATACGTAGCACAACTACAACTCCGCAGCTTCAGACGGGGTCTCTCGTCACTAGCTTCCAATCACAGCATTGTCAGTATCGATCCATCTTCTCACATCGTAACGCCCAGATATGTAGAAAGCTAAGCAATCTAACTATTTCCTCCCCAGAAAGTCTTCCCGCACCCGCAAATACCAAACCGCTATCTCCTCTCCTACCTCGACACAAATCCCCCGAAGCCCGCCCTCGCAATCGGCACTACAACTACCGTCCCCCCAACCCCAAACTCGTTCCAGGGCAACCCCCGGTTTCTCTCCATCCTCAACGACGTCCTTGCGAAACATGCGGCAGACGACCCAGACCTGAAGAGCCAGGCGCGAGCGTTTGCGTCCCCAGGAGGCTTCAGTTTTATACAAGCACGCAATCAGCGAGGCACAGGTACTGGTGCCGGGGGCGCCAGTGCCGAGGGCGGTGCTGGCGGCGCAGGCGTGGGCGGCTGGGTCCATCTCAGCGATACAAGGAACCCGCCTGATTTCGGACGGATTGCTTGGTAGGCTTGCCAGAAGATTTGGTAGGATCTTATGGCTTTAAGAGAGGTTCTAACTTTTACCGCGTAGGCCGGAAGATATCCTTGGCAGCGTCGAAGTTGACGGCAAGGGAGACATTATTGGCAATTATCAAGCCAGTGGCACTTACCGCATTGTCACCAATCAGGGAATGTAAGGACATCCTGTGTCTGGTCAGGAGAATATGAGCTGACATGAATTGTTCTCAGTCTCGGTTTGAGTCCGTTTTTGCAAGAAAAACTGATAGCTCGACTGAGAGAAGAAGAGAAAAGGGCTTAAGAAGACCAGGGTTTCAGGTTAAGGTCGAATTCGTACCTCCATCCTGTCAGCCGGTGCAGTGTACGATATGGCTAGAAGAGGTATGTAAACCCATTTGCAGACGGAACTATGGCGCCAAATATTGTAAATATGTTTGTCTGTCGGAAGCGGATGGGTTTTCGAGAAGTTGAGCACCCCACAGGCGCCGGAAATGATATATAAGAGGTGTAAGTGTGACAAATATTCTCATCTAATTGTCCACTAGCAAAATCCGAGCACTCTCTAGATGTTACGTATTGTCACAGCAAGATTACTTTCCTCATGGCTGCAGCTCAAGCACTTGCAAGAACAGAATTAGGTGCAAACGTTAGCATAATATACACTTTTGGTCGTGACTTCATAACCGTGATAAATTGGAGCTCCGTTACTCCACAAAGAGCAGGCAAACGCATGTTCCCAGAACTCCTGGAGGATAATTGCAAGTGAATTAAAGGGAGGAGAAAAGAGGATTACTCCTTGAGTAACCGCAAGGGATTCGCCCCCTACGTTTCTTCTTCCTCATCCTCCTCTTCGCTTGTTTCCTCAATATTGGACTTCTTCGGCTTCTTGGTCTTCGCCGACTTCTCAGCCTTCATTTGGACCGAGCCGGATCCAGCTGCTGCTGGGGTTTCGACAACATGGCCTTGTGAACGAAGCTCCTCATTTAGCTCCGGGATGACCCGAAGAAGAGCTTTGTACTGATCCAAGGAGAGCGAGATTCCCTGAACTGTGGTTAATGCATACGCCGGCAAACCGTAGCCGAAACACGCACTTTCTTTCCTGGCTTCAGCTCACCATCTGGAGCCGTGTAATACTCTCTGATGTTGACCAAAGTGGCGCCTTTGAACTGAGAAGAACTGATGCGCCGGTTGCTGCCGATCTGGCCAGAAAGTCAACATCTGAAGAGCAAAATGAAATGATAGGAAACTAACCTCCCAATAACAATTCCCATCTGCATCTGTGCCTTTTGAGAGATCCTTTTTCGCCTTGACATTCTCGCCCTTTGCTTTCTTGGCCACTTGTGGCGCCTCATCGTCGCTTTCGGCCTCGATTTGCCGCTTCTTGTTGTACGGCATTATGCCGACTTACGCGCTGCTTCTGGGACTAGGTCGTAACCCACGAGAGATACTTCCTCTGAGAGTGAGAGAGACTGCTGTCGTGAGAGATGGCAATTTGAGGTTGAAGGTCCGGTTCGGCGTGCGGGGTCTAATTGCAACCTGCTTATCACTTGGGGTTTGGTGAGATAGACGAAGCGCCCCAAAACGCAGTTGCAAGGGAAGCGCGAAACACGGTCGCGAAACGCATACGAGGAGGGTAGGTGTCCCCGTGAGGGTTGTGACGTCGGGTGCTTTACCCTAAACGCGTTCGCACGTGCAGCACCTTCTAGACTGTAAGTACATTCGTACCATGCACTAGATGAACCTAACCGAAAGCTTAATAATGCGCACGGGCCATCTAGTTCAGCTTGTTAGTGGAGACGCGCAACGTTTGGTGGTCGCCAAGACAGCAGCGTCCTTGAAGTCTTGAACCATTGGGGAATTGGGGCAGGCAAGGGCAGGCCCCTTTTAAAATCCTCCTAAGGATCCCGTCTCAAATCCCACGAAAGGAGTCGACGGACAGGCTCGAAACATCAATCGCACCAGACACGGAACTTTTGGTTCATTGCTCCTCTCTGTCTTCCTTCAGCAATTTCGTCCACGACTGAGCCATCTGCGGTACAGAAAGCTCTGCTTATGCAGGGATCCGTGTATTCCGCGACCGATTCCTTATCCGACGCCGGGAGCCCATCCGTTATCCGTTCGAGCCGTCCCGTACCCATGACTCTCCGAATCACAATTGAGCCTGTATGAAACAACAAGATGCGCCGAGTCCTGGCGCAATACCCGATAAAATGGACGAGAAAACCAAGACCGAACCCGACACGGTAGACACGGGACTGCGGGCAGCACCCAGCCAAACGACTGACCATGTTCCGACCGCTCCTAGCACCAGTGAAGACGGGAATCTGGCGACGAAAATCATTCAATTCATTGCAACAGCAACACCCGGAACCCTCGGCGTCGTCGCCGTGGGCTTGGCTGCGATCACATATCTAGTGCTAGGCAGACTCGGCCTCGTACTAATAGGCGCATTCGGTGGCATCGTGACCTTCATACACTGGGAGCAACGCAGTGCGGAAGTGCAGCGCACTATTCGAGGGGAGAGAGGGGTTGATGTTTTGGCACGATTGCTCGAGGCCAAGAAGAACTCGCAGAATGCCATGCTCAACGAGCCGAGCGCAGACGAGCAGGAAACCGCATTGGTGCGCTCCTTCGACGACTTGCGCCCCGAGACCCGCGAGGCCATGAACGAGCTCGTCGATGCTGTCATTGAAAACTACGTCAAGTGGTGGTACTCGCCGATTGTGCCCTCTGACAAGTCTTTCCCATTAGTCTGCCGCAAGACGCTCACATCGTTCCTTACATCCGTATGCAATAGTCTCAGTAGGAAGCGTCCCGCCGACGCATTCCTCGACTTTCTAACAAACTCCTCCTCTATCGTCATTGTTTTCTTCTCGGAGCTCTCCAATGCTTATGCCGAAGTCCCGGCCGAGTCCAAAGTATCAGCCGCAGACGCTGTCTATAACTACCTTGCCTCGCATCCCGAGTCCAATCTATCCAACCTCCTGAATCAACGGCAGCAAGCGGGCAAGTTCCGCATGGCTGCTGAAGACTTGTTGGGGTTTCTGGAACGTCCCATCTACGAATGCGATCCGGCGAGGGTTTTCCTCAGGGAGATCCTGGCTGGTGTCATACTGGAAATGACACTTCAGACGTGTTCCAAGCCGGAATTCATCAACTCGTGGATCGTCTACTTGCTAGAGTCGGGAGAGCCTGATATCAGTCAAGCCATTGACGTAGGCATGCAAACTGGCCCCTCCGCAGATGCAGCTTTTGCGGATTTGGACGGCAATGTGGGCAACATTGGTCTTACAAAGGGGAACCGGAACTCTTTCGAGCAAGAGAGAGCACGCCGGAGGGAGTCAACGGCGCATAAGAAGAAGCTTAGTAAGGCCGAGGAAGAGATGGAAGTGGCAATGGAGGAGATGAAGCGGCTGAATCAAATGATCGCCAATGAAGGAACTCTCATGGAAGAATCACAACAAGGGAAGGAGTGCCAAGGCCTCAGAGGGGGCGAGGTTGAGGCCTCTGAAAGGCTTGCCGATGCTCTGAAGCGCAATGCAGACGAGCTGGATATTCAGGAGGGTTGGGCCCCGAAGCCCGTCCAGCCTGAACATGTGGATAGTCCTGCGGACATGCCTCAACGAGCCAGCAGCGATGATTCATCAAGGAGAAATGGCGCCATTCCCACTCCCGTGACGCCGCTTTCTGCAGAGGCCTCATCGAGCCAGGGCTCATCCCCCCCGCAAGATGTGGAACATCACTTTACAAGCTTCGATCAGATCGTCCCCCCTGCCCGAGATGAACCTGAAGGTGACGCAGTTGAATCTCCAAAACCTCCGTTGACCCTGCATAATGCGACCATTACTGTTCTGGATGAGCCGGGTGACGGCCGGATCCGGTCGAAACCCTCATGGGACTATCTCGTTCAGATTGAGCCCGCCACAACGATGTATCCCGGGTGGATGATTGTCCGGAAGTACAGCGATTTCGAGGTTTTGCACGAGGTGCTACGACGAATTGCAAATGTTTCTGGCGCCACCGCCTTCTCGGAGCAACACAAGACTTTGCCGCCGTGGAAGGTGCACACGAGGACATCGTTGCGTGGGGAGCTGGAGCGCTACCTGCGAGATGCCTGCTGGCATCAGAGCCTAGCTGAAAGCGAAGGGCTAAAGAAGTTCCTGGAACGGGACCACGGCCACATTCCCAGTGCCAAGTCTGGGTTTCAAGCGTTTGAGAAGATTGGCAAGAACGTGTTGGATGTATTGACGAGCGCCCCGCTTGAGGGTTCCAAGGCAGTGGTTGGAGGCGTGACGGGGGTGCTGGGGAATATCGGTTTGGGCCAGCGGAAGGCTGCGCAGCCCACCCCATCGCCTCCGCCTTCAGCCCTCCAAGATGTGACGGCAGCTAGTCGCCTGTCCATCTCGGCACTTTCCCGTGCTGATAGTAGCCTGTCTCTCAGCGGAATGCGCAAGCCTCGAGACAGCATAGATAGCCAGCATTCGTCGGTCATTGCGCTACAACCGGGTAAGATACCGCCTATGGAACGCCGCCCCAGTTACAACTCGCAAGGCGAGGCGGAGCCTGAGAATGCCGGTCCTTCCCGAGCGTCTGCGAGGAACAGTCGGGAGCATAGTCGGGCGTCAAGCCGAGCCCCAGGGCCAGGGCGATCGCCTTCGAGCCTCAGCTTCGAGGGGTTCCGTTTGCCCCCACCGCCCGATATGATCCCCGATGACTACGGGTCCCCAACCAGCCCGTCAAATACACGCGCGCCCGACTTTGCTACCCACCACATGCGCTCGTTGACCATGCCCACGATAAGCAGCAATCAACAGGCCAATGGGCCGCCGCTCAAGGGCGTGAAGCAGCATCCAAAGCTTTCGGAGCAGGAGACGCGGGTGGCGGTCGAGCTTATTTTCGCCGTCATCAACGAGCTGTACACGCTTTCGTCGGCGTGGAATATCCGGCGCACGCTGCTCGCAGCGGCCAAGTCGTTCCTGCTGCGGCCGGGCAACCCGTCGCTGCTCTCAATCCAGTCGCTCATCCAGTCATCGGTTCTCGAAGCCAACACGTCTGACAGCGGCATCGCGGCCCATGTCAAAAAGCTCCGGGAGAACGCGCTGCCGACGGAGCAGGAACGGGCGGCGTGGCCGGCCGAGATGACGGCCGACGAAAAGGAAAAGCTACGGGTCAAGGCCAGGAAGCTGCTGATTGAGAGCGGCGTCCCAGCGGCGCTCATGGGCGTCATGGGCCAGGCGGCCACGTCCGAAGCGCTAGGCCGGCTCTTTGATTGCCTGCAGATTGAGGAGGTCGCCAGAGGACTCATGTTCGGGGTGCTGCTGCAGGCAGTGAGGACTGTTACGCATTGATGCGACCACGACTTTTTGGCTATTTTTGGTTTTCCCTTGGAGATTCTCATGTATGATTATTTATAATGGCCTACTAAAGATTAGATCGGGCTGGTGATTGTATGTATTCTCTTGGGATGCGGTGAGCGATTGGCGATGGAGCCATTGCTCACTGTATGTATGATAAGGGGGGATGGATCACGAGGAGTACATATACAGAGTACTGGGACCTTTAAGAAACTTAATGAAAGAACCACTAACTACATTTCTAGGGATTCTCATCCGAAACTGAGCTCGCAGCGACTAATAAGCCAGTCATTTCTGTACCACTTCATCGGTGTTTAGCATGGCTTGATCTTCGCTGCGTTTCGAACCAGGCTGGGAATTACCGGGTTGAGGCGTGATACCCCAACGTTGAGGTGACTTGGTGGAGTGCGAGATACGTGCCGAGCGTGCATACCAAGCTCACCAAAATACCAAGCTTTCATGGCGTGATGGAGGGCTTGGTTGCCAAGCAAGCCACCCGTCCATTGACAAGATCATCATCATCATGGACTTGGTTGCGACTAAAATAGTCGCAACCAACATGGAGGCGAATTCCTCAGACCGCTTTCCTCTTCCCAGGTTGCTCTCTAGGTATGCTTGCAGTTCTCCGCCTGCCATTCGGCCCTTTACCACACAGGAACCGGGCTGATCGGCCCTGACTCTCCTCCTCCTCCGCCATCCCCGCTTTGCCCACATTGGGATCTCCGGCAAAGCCGGCGGGTCCTACCCCAGATACCCCGGGCTGTCAAACTTTCATTCTGGCGGGAACAAGTGCCGGGGTCATTTCACCCGAGCCAATGACGGCAACGGCGCGCGGGTGTTCGGAATATACTGCATACACCAGCGCATGTAACATACATTGGGTATCTGGATTGTCGTCTGCCGTTGCGCAAAGGAGGAGGGGAGATCATCCGAATTACCAACGGAGCCAAACACCATCTCCAAGGCAGGTCATGCAAGTGCTTTCACCCTGTAGCTAAGCGTTTACGCTTTCGCGGTTTCATACCAGGGGCCAAGATCTGATCCCCTCTCCCCCGCCATGGGCGGAATGACGTGGTGGGATCTGGCTAGGGACTAGGGAGGAGGTGGTGGTGGGTGGTAGCCAGGATCCAAAAACAGGGTCGCAACGATGTCGCCGCCAGGCCTGACAGCACTTCCGCCCGGAACCTTATTCAAAAGACAAAAGGAAGCCGTCCCCAACCCGCATCTGTGGAACCCCCTCTCCCAGTCTCCCTGTGATTGCTACTGGTACTGGTGCCCACATTCGCTCTTCATTCATAAAAACGACGTCGCGGAACAGTCACCGTGATATACAGCCGCGGCCGAGAGAGACCAGAGTTGAGCTGAGCGGTAGACAGTTCGCCATGGCAGACTTGGCAGACAAGGCGGAGAAGGGATCCAGATATGATGAGACGGCAAGCGCAGAGGAGAAGCCCGCGGCGGCGGCCATTGAGGACAGCGGCCAGCAGCAGCGTATGACGATGGAGCCGCCCGAATTCATTCGCGGCCTGACCCCCGAGGAGCGGCACAGGCTCGAGACGCAGCTCAAGAGGAAGGTGGACGTGCGACTCTTGCCGGCCATCATCATCATGTACATCCTGAACTACATTGACCGGTGCGTTACTACTATCTTGCACATGTGATTGCTTGGTTTAAACAACACTGCTTGTTTTTGGGCGAAAGGGGTTATGACTCGGGTGGTAACTGGTGTGCTGACTCCTCACCAGAAACAACATCGCGGCTGCTCGGCTGGCCGGGCTTGAACGAGACCTTCACCTGTCGTCGGTGGAATTCCAGACGGCTGTCAGCATCCTCTTCGTCGGGTAAAGTACCATTATTGTCGCGTGACTCTGAGAGAATGCTCCTCTTGTCCAGCCACTTACACGACTTGTTTTACAGATACCTACTGATGCAAATACCTTCCAACTTGTTTCTCAACAAATTCGGCAAGCCAGCAATCTATCTGCCGGCATGTGTACGTCAATGGATTTGGGATGTTACTTAGTACTTATCTCTGGGTCCAACCGCTGACCCGAGACAAACATTTTGACCGCTTAGATGATAGTATGGGGTACTATCTCGGCTCTCACCGCTGTCTGCACCAACTCAGCCGGCCTGCTCGCCAATCGCTTCTTTCTCGGTTTTGTTGAAGCCGCTTACTTGTGAGTTGTTGTGCTCTGAAACTGCTTGTCCGCTGGGTAAGGGAGAATGGGAGGTTAATCTTGTTTCCAGCCCGGGATGTCTCTACTACCTCTCCTGCTGGTACACGCGCAAGGAGCTCGGTTTCCGCACCGCCATCCTGTACTCGGGCGCCCTGATATCCGGCGCCTTTTCTGGTCTGATATCCGCGGGCGTGACATGGGGCATGGACGGAGCTCGCGGTCTCGGGGCATGGCAGTGGCTGTTCATCATTGAGGGCGCAGCCACGGTCGCCATTGCTATCGCCTGTTTCTTTGTGTTGCCTAATTTCCCAAGGACGACTAAGTGGCTCACCGAGGAAGAACGGATTCTGGCGGTTTGGTAAGTTTCTCCTACGTTTGGTGGTTGGTGGTTTGGACCGCGTCGCATGATTGATTATCAGGGGAAGCTGACATATGGCCTCAGGCGCCTCCAGGAAGACGTTGGCGCCGACGACTGGGTGAACAGCAAGGAACAGACCTTCTGGCAGGGTGCACGACTGGCCTTTACCGACTACAAGACGTACATCCTGGTAACTACTACGCTTTCCTAAGAAACGTCGAGCGACATCTGCAAAGCTAACACAAGCAATCACAGATCGTGCTCCTCTTCTGCATCGTCGCCAGCGGGACCGTGACCAACTTCTTCCCCACCGTCGTCGACACGCTCGGGTACAGCCACACCGTGTCGCTGCTGCTGACGGCACCCCCCTACGTGCTCGCCGTCATCGCCACCTACCTCAACGCCACGCACGCCGACAAGACGGGCGAGCGCTACTGGCACATCACCATCCCCATGTGGGTCGCCATCGTGGCCTACATCATCGCCGCGTCGACGACGGCGCTGGCCCCGCGCTACCTCAGCATGATGCTCATGGTGCCCGCCGTCTACTCGGGCTTCGTCGTCGCCCTGGCCTGGATCAGCAACACGCTGCCGCGCCCGCCCGCCAAGCGCGCCGCGGCGCTGGCGTTTATCAACGCCGTCTCCAACTGCAGCAGCATCTACGCCAGCTACATGTACCCGACCAGCGCGGGGCCGCGCTACACGGTCGCCATGTCGGTCAACTGCGTGACGGCTTTCATTGCCGTCTGCACCGCCACCGTGCTGCGCTTCATCCTTGTCAGGTTGAACAAAAAACTTGACCGGGGAGAGTTTGTGGAGGGGGCCATCAACACGCTGGTTCCGGGCGAGGGCGGGTTCAGGTTCAAGGTTTAGTTGAGGATGAGGACGGGTATGTATTGTACCTATGTAGTAGGCATCGACGTAGGCCGCTGATCAGGCATCGAATGGTTGAATATATATTCAGCATCTTGCTTGAGCTTTGTACATATCACTGCGTTACACAGTCATGAAAAAGACCAAGCTTCCAACATAAATTTATTGTCCCACAGCTCGGGTAATCTTATGATCATCTTCAATGACTGGAGTAGACCCGGCACAAGTGTATACGGCGCTGCTACTGTAGACACCCCATGCCACCGGCCGGAATCAAGCCTGTAGCGCCGTGGTTTCCCTTGCAAAATGCGACCCCTTTCTCCAGGCCAGCGTCGGGTCCGCCGTCTGGGTCGGTCTGCTGGTGACCTTGTCATCGCCGACGGGACCCCAACCGCCACCACCGGGGGTGCAGATGATAACGCGGTCTCCGGCTTCCATGGGCGCGCTGTTCTTCCCGCCCAGGTTGATGTACCGCTCCTCGTACTCGTCTTCATCCTCCCCGTCCCCGTTTCCTTCCCCTTCCCCTTTACTCTCCTGCTGCAACCTGCGCAAACTCTTCTCCCAACTCGCCTTTTTCACCCTGCGCACCCACAAGTTCAACCCACACTCCCCATCCCCACCACCAGCCATGCCGTACGGCCTAAAAACCCTCCTCTCACTCAGAATAGAAACCTGCACCGGAATCCGAAACTCAATATCCCGCACCACCCCGTCCCCGCCGCGATGTCTCCCCTTCCCACCAGACCCTTTCCGAATCGCAAACCGTCTCAACAGCACCGGGTACCGCCGCTCAAACACCTCCGAGTCCGTAATCCGCGTGTTGGTCATGTGTGTGTGCACCCCGTCGGTGCCCTCCCATTCCGGCCCGGCGCCCGATCCGCCAGCAATGGTCTCGTAGTATCCAAACCCCCGCACGGCTTCTTGCCCCTGCAAGTTCCCGCCGAAGCCAAACGTGAGGTTGTTGCAGTCGCCTTGGGAGGCCGCGCAGGCTTGGAAGGCTTTTAGGATTACATCGGTGATGCGTTGGGACGTGCACACGTTGCCGGCTACGACGGCGGCGTTGTCGCTGGGCGAGAGGAGGGACCCCGGGGGGATCTTGACTGTGATTGGGGCAAGACAGCCCTGGTTAAGCGGGATATCCGCGCGGATCATGCATCGTAAGGAATAGATGATGGCCGAGTACGAGATGGCTTCGGGCGCGTTGATGTTGCCGTAGACTTCGGGCCCGGTGCCGGCAAAGTCGAATACCGCTTCGCCCTTGTCCGCGTCGATGGTGATGCGCAAGCGGATCGGGCTGCCGTCGTCCATGAAATCCTCGGCGGACAAGTCCCGCCCTTCAAACCTCGTGGAAACCTCGCGGAGCAGATTCCGCACGCAGAGCTCTGCGTTGCGCTGGATCGCGTGCATGTAGAATTGCACCGTTTCCTCGCCGTACTCGGCGATCAGCCCTTCAATAAGAGAAATCCCCTTCTGGTTGGCCGACACCTGAGCACGCAAATCGTTGATGTTGTCGGCGAGACACCGCGTGCCGCTGCACCCGGGGTACTGGGCGGGTTGGGTGTAAAAGAGGTCGACGACGCGGGCCTCGTGAAACTTGCCCTCGCTGACGAGCTTCTCGCTTTTGATTGCTGCGCCTTCTTGGGCGAGTTCCCGTGAGTGCGGGGGCATGGAGCCGGCGGTGATACCGCCTATGTCGGCGTGGTGCGCGCGCGAGGCGGCGTAGAAGAGGATTTTGTCGCCCGTGTCGTTGAAGGCGGGCATGAGCAGGGTCACGTCGGGGAGATGGGTGCCGCCGTAATGGGGGTGGTTGGAGATGACGACGTCGCCCTTCTTGAGTTTGCCTTTCCAGATCTCGGCCTGGCGTCGTACACAGGTCGACATGGAGCCGAGGTGGACGGGGAGGTGAGGTGCGTTGGCGACGAGGCCGCCTGTCGCGTCGAAGATGGCGCAGGAGAAGTCGAGGCGTTCTTTGACGTTGGTGCTGACGCTTGTCTTTTGCAGGGCGCGGCCCATCTGCTCGGCGATGGCCATGAACCGGTGGCCAAAGATGCTGAGCATGATGGGGTCGACTTCGCGCTCGTCGGATACGTTTGAGTATCTAATCGAGGTTTTATGTTAGCCATGGTCGAATCTAGACGTGAGGAATGTAGAGCAGTACCTGTCTTTCCCAGAGTCCGGAATGTCAATGATGACGTGCGTCTCGAGCACCACCGCCGTGGTGTTAGGGGTGACCACGATGGTCTGGGTCCCGTCTGCCAACATGGCGGGGCCGTTGACAAGCTCTCCAACAGAAAGATTACCAAGCTTGTAGACGGGCGTGCTCACTCGCCCCCCTTCAAAGTAGACCTGGGCCTCGGAGTGTTTCTTCTCGGCCGCCACATCTTTCCGAGTGACTGTCTTCAGCTGCTCGTCCACGCTCTTCTCGTCGTAGCGGAAACTCTTTCCGATGCCTCGTACCCGGACGTCGTCGACGATGATGTCCCTGTCGTCGAGCGTAAAGCCAAACTCGTAGCGATGGTGCCTCACAAAAGCCGTCCCAAAGTCCCAGTCGTGCTCGGGCTTGATGATCATGAGTGCAGACTCGGTGCCCCGGTACCGCATGTTCAGGTACTCTTCAAACACCATCTCGGAGTCGTCAAAGCCCTGGTCACGCAGCGCCTGGCGGGACTTTGCTTTGAGGTTCTCCACCTTGCTCTTCAGCTGGTCTACCACCTCTGCCTTGTCGCTCCAAACGGCCGAGTCGGGCTCCTGCCTCTCGTCAACGACATCGGCCAGGGCCATGCCGTAGGCCGACAAGACCGACGAGTAGCGGTGGATGAGGATCTGCTTGATGCCCAGGGACTCAGCAATGGCGACGGCGTGCTGCCCGCCCGCGCCGCCAAAAGTGGCCAAGCGATGCTTGGATGTGTCATGGCCTTTTGCTTCAGTGATGCTCCGGATGGGCCGCGTCATGGTCTCGTTGGCCACCGTCAAAAACCCATACGCGACCTCGTCAATGTCCATCTTCTTGCCGGTTTCAGTCTGGATCTGGTCGGCCAGCTTCTGCAGCGCCGTCCTACTCGCCTCCAGATCCAGGCCCTCGTCCTCGTTCTTACCAAAGATCTTGGGAAAAAACTCGGGCAGAAGCCTGCCCAGGAACAGGTTTGCGTCGGTGACGGTTGCCGGACCCCCTTTCCGGTAGCACGCGGGCCCCGGATGGGCACCGGCAGACTCTGGGCCGACCACGAACAGACCGTTCCTGAAAAACAGCATGGACCCGCCGCCGGCAGCGACCGTGTTGATGTCGAGTTGCGGCGACTGGATGGTAACACCGGCCGTGGTGGTCTCAAAGGTGTGGTCATAGCGGCCCTCGCCGTAGCGCGAAACGTCGGTGCTGGTGCCGCCCATGTCAAAGCCGATGACGGGGATTTTTGTCTTCTCGTCGTACGACGTGATGGCGTAGCCGACGACGCCGCCTGCAGGACCGGACAAGATGGCACGCAGGCCCGTGAACTTGTCCACATCCACCAGGCCACCATCGCTCTGCATAAACTCGCACCTCGCGCCCCTTTCTCCCTCCTCCCCTTTTCCGGTAACACTCTTGGTCCCCAACCCGCCAGCAAACCCCTTCTGAAACCCCGCAATGTACTTCTTGATGGCCGGGGTGAGATACGCATCCGCGCACACCGACGTAGCCCTTGACACAAGCTTGATCATGGGCATCAGCTCATGACTCAGCGACACATGCTCAAACCCCAACTCCTTGGCCACCTCGCCCACCAACCGTTCATGATCTGGAAAGGTATACCCATGCATCAGACACACGGCAATACTCCTAATCCCCTTCTCCAACACCGCCCTCAACTGCTCCCTCACCACCTCTCTATCAGGCCTCTTCAAAACCCTCACCGCCTCCCCCGACAAGCCCATAACCACCTCCTCGCTCCCCGCCTCCGCCGTCCCAGCATGCACCTCCACCCGCGTCACCCTCCTGTCCGGATCCTCAGCATAATCCTCCAACGTCACCCTCTCCCCGACCTCCACCACCATCTCATACAGCACATCCGGCTTGCGAATCGCCAAATCAAAGATGGCCGGCCTCGACTGATTGCCAATGACCAGACAATCCCCAAACCCTTCCGTCGTGACCAAGGCAATCTTCTCGCCTTTTCTCTCCAGCAGGGCATTGGTCGCGACCGTGGTGCCCATGCGGATTGACTCAATCCGGGAGGTGTCGAGGGGCGTGCCGCGGGGGATTTCTTGTTTCAAGAAATGCTGCATGATGCGGCGGATGCCTTCAAGCGGGGCGTCATCGTAGTTGGCCGGGTCTTCGGAGAGCAGTTTGATGACGACGTCGTCGTGCCCGGGAAGGGACCCAACACAGTCGGTGAAGGTGCCGCCGCGGTCGATGGCGATGCGGATGCCCTTTGTCGGTGGTTTTGTTGTTTTTGTTTTTCCTTCTGTGGGGGACATGTTTGTTGTTGTTGATTGATTACAGGGAGTTACGTATCCAGGGCAAGGTCAGATAGAGATGGATGCGAGAGATATTGGGAGGAGGAGGACGATGTTGAGGAAAAAGGGCAAGGCAAGGCAAGACTGTTAAGTACGGGTAACTAAAGTACATCACATACGTAAACATACATATACCGGTCCAATCTCAGCTCTGCTGCATGAATGAATGGGGAGAATTACACTGCAAACAGACGTAAAGGGCGCAAAAGATCATCAAATCATAAGGTGGGTGACGTGAATTGGTAATGGACAAGCTCAAAGCTCCGGCAACGGCGACCGGCTGCCCCGCATCAGCCCCGGCTTACGGCATCCATCGGCGTTATGTCCGATAGGAACGGAGCTTCAGCCGAGGGACTTCCGGTTAACAAAGATAAGCAAAGACAAGCAAAGATAGGGAAAAGGGCACTGAGGTTCAGACCAACGACCCTCAGACAACAAGATCAAATATCAAGCGCATGCTACCTCTATTGTAAAGAACCCTAAATTTCTATCCCATACCCCCTCCCCTCCCCGTCCTCAAACCGAACCCAGTACTCCCGGCTGCGCCTTGCCTTACCATAACCATCCCTTCTAACCATTCCTACCCTAGGTACCCTATCCACCCTGCGTTGGGTCACGGTTATGAGTTGACCTCCCCTTAAAGCCATAGCAGTCCCTACGCATCAAAAATATCCACCACCCCCGACCAAACCCCCTTAGCCCTCTCCTCCCAATACCCATCCTTCCCACTCTTAATCTTCCACACCTCCTCCCCACCACCACCCCCGTCTACTCCTCCCCCTCCCCCGACCTTAACAAACCACCTCGGCTTATACTCCTCGCCAGCCTCCTCCATCCTCCTCCGTCTCTGCCTCTGCGCCTCCTCCAACTTCGCCTTCCACTCCTCCGCTTTATCCAACTCCCCCTGCTCCGCAAGCCGCTGGTCCGGTCTCAATCTACTATCCGTAGGCGGCAACTTCCCCTTCTCCAGCTTCGTAATCTCATTCAACCCCGCCGCAAAGGTCGTCAAGCCATACGTACTCGCCGCATTCTCCACCAAACTCCCAACCCGCCAAATCTCCTCCCCACCAGGACTCGTCCGCAGGGCTCCCGTCCAGGTACCCGTGAGCGACACCCCAGCATGTGCGCCGTCGGGACCGTAAATCTCACCCTGCACCTCCTCGCCGCGGCCGCCAAACACGCCCTTGGACCTAAACTCGACCACCGCCTTGGCACCGGTGCTGTCGTTGACGACGTGCATGGATCCGACAGGCTCGACATATTTCTCGCCCATGACAACATTCCTCAAAAACACGGTAGCAACATCCCAGCTGTACCGCTCATCAGACCCGTCCGGCAAACGCAGACACACCCGCACGCGGCCCTCGGTGGTGAGCTCAGCACTCTTGCCCCAAAACTTCTGCGTCGGCGCGGGGGACTGCGCAAAGGACCACCGCGCGCTGTCGGCCTGCATGGCGAGGCGCACGGGGCGGTGCGTCACCTTCTCCACCAACAAACGAAACCCGGCACCGCCAAACCCGACGTCGGCGTCGGAGCGGAGCAGCTCAAACGTCTCCCCGAGCAAGGGGTTGAAGGGCTTGCGGATGGCGCGCTCCTTGGCGCGTGAGTTGCTGAACTGGGACACGGCAAAGGCGGCCACGCGCGCCAGCCGGTCCCGGGGCTGCGGCTGCTGCGCCGCCGCGTCAAGCAGGTAAGAGTACTCGAGCTGCTCGGCCATGCGCTGCAGCAGCGACGTCGGCTCGTTGGCCGACACGGGCATGCTGATGGTGCTGAGGTCCTTGCCCACGTTCTTGCGCACAAACGCAATCAGGCTCGGCGGCGACACCTTGGCTGGTGGGATTGTTCTGCGGCGCGTCACGGCCTCGGTGATGGGCAGCGGAGCGAGCGATTTTGGTTTGGTCGGGAACAAGCTGGCTGCACCGTCGGCCGCGTGCTCGTCTTCTTCGATTGACGACACAGACGACGATTCGTGGATCTCGTCGTCGACGTCAGACGCTGGCGTGTCCTCTTCGCTTTGGTGCTCGATAATCATGAGCTTGTTCTGCGACCTCTCGGATTCGCCCGCCTCGGCATCAAAGAACTCGTCGGCAGTCGAAGCCGACTCAATGCTCGTCCTCGGCGCAGCAGCGGCTGCTTGCGCTGGTATCCGCCTGCGTTTGCTGGTGTTGAGGAGGACGGAGAACTCGACCACCACCGAATCTAGGTCGTTGAGTAGCGCCGCGCAATTGTCGTACGTGTCGCGGTCCTCCTGAAGGCTCGTCGACGACTTGAGCCCGTTCGGGGCTGCCGCGCCAGTGCTGCTTGTCGGGACAGTCAGGGATGAGCCGGCCGCAGTCTGCGCAGCCGGTGGTGAGCGTGGAGACGACGCCCCGCTAGCCTTGCGCTTCCAAAACAGCCGCTTGTCCGCCGGCGGAGTAAAGTAGCCGTCCGAGCCTTCGGTCCCCGATGGAGTCGGCGGTGACAGATGTGATGACGAGTGGTTGCTATGCACTTGCTTGTGAGCAGCCATATCCTTGACGAGGCGCCGAAGGGCATCCCTCGTCCCGACAATCCTACTGACGAGCGCCTCAACCTGCTCCCATTCCCTGTCCTCCTCCTGCTGCGTGTTGGGGACGGGCTCGGCATTTTCGGCAGCCCCCGGCGCCTCAGGTACCGGCTCGCTAAGGGCAGTCTCCAAGCCTCGGGCGATTTTGCTCGCCCGCTCCAAAGCGCGGGCCCAGTCGCTGAACTCCTTGGCATTGGACGCCTTCAGGTGCCATACCTCGGCCCCAGAGTCAATCGTGATCTCGCGCCGCCGCTCGTCGGCGGCAATGGCCGCCAGGCTCAGCGGAATGGCGCCCCTGAGGGCCGACGAATTGCGGTTGTGATAGTAAGACAAGGTGCAGGTCGTGTAGTCGAGCGAAAAGAAGCGCCTGGCGTAGCCCTGCCCCTTTTTCCGTCTCCTCTTCAGGAGAACGCCGACATGGTACGAGCCCGACACGGTTGCATCGCTCTTGGCGGCCGAGGACAATGCCCGCCCGCGCCCGGATGTCTGGTGGCTATGAAGGCTGTCGGCCGATTCCGAGGTCACGGCGCCGAGGCGCGGACTGTTGTGCTTGCCCAGGCTCGTCCTGCTGGTGCTGGCGATGGGGCCAGCCTGGAGATTGGGCAGGTGGCGCGCCGTCTGCGGCGGGTTGCCCGTTGGGTAGATGAGGAGGACAAAGGTGGCTGTCTTGGACGTCTGCTTGGAGAAGGTGTTGTCGAAGACGAGGCCGAACATGCCACCCTGTAACACGTCGTAAGTGCCGACAGAGACCTTGTCGGCCTCGCATTTCCCGTGCCATTTTATCGGTATGAAGCCCTTCTTGGCGAGCTGGTCCTGGGCGGTGCTGGCATCTTTCTTGGCGAAAAGACTGCCCTTCGTCTCGGCGGCGACGCCTTCGGTATGCTGGTCAGCGAGGCCCAGCTCGTCGGTCTGTGAGGCAAGGTTCGTAGCGCCGGTCCCGGGATGCTTGACAATGGCAAAGTTTCTGTCCCAAGACACGGTCAGCCTGCTGTTTGCTTGTCGGAGAGGAGCCAACAGTTTTCTTTACATTGACTTCTTGTGTGGCTGAACGCTCCACGAGATGGTGTGGCCAGCATCGACCTTGACCCATCGCACAATGTAAGCCTGGAGTAGAGGGAGAGAAATCGGGTTAGCAATTGTTTGCAACAGGTCCGTTGATACGATTGATAACTTCTCTAACCTTGCTGTGGATCTCCAATTGCTCGATGCCTGCCATGGTGCGCTGTTCTTTGCGCCTGCGGTACCTAATGCTGTCAATCCGAGTGTTGCCACGTCAGAAATATTTCATAAGCCCCGAGGGTGGTGTCCCATCGCCTGTGCGCTTTTCGCAAGCAATAGCCAGGCGCAACTGGGCGAAGACGGGGTTTCGAGGCAGGAGGGCAGGAGGGTGCACGTTGCGACAAAGTGGTCTCTGAAGCGGCTCGAGTTCAAGTCACCTTGTTAAGAAGTTGGAACCTAGTGCTGTGAGTGGTGTGGCTGGGCTACCGTGAGCGCCCCCTAATACTTTAATAGAGGTGGCTGCTGACAGTTGTTCGCGGGGCTGGCAAGTGCCCGTCGGCAATGCCGGCAGCTCTTCTCTGGGTCTTTCGTAGACGGAATATATCAGCCCTATGGACTCGAGTCTCTAGGTCGCTCTCTCCTGTTCTAAACGTCATAGCAGAAGATACTCGGTCCGAACCTGCCGACATCCTCGCATGGAATCCATTCGATAGCATAGCAAGATGCCTTGTATCAAGCGGCATCTATTTCATCCAGTTTACATTTTACTATCAATGTGTTCAATAATGTCGTTATACTCCGTACATACACAGGTCCCCTGATTTCAGTTGTCCAGGCAGCATCGCAAATGGTTCCTCCCTATCCGTATCCAGTGCGCATCACCTCGCATTTCTGACTTGGGTTCCAGCAGCAATCTCTCATTGCACCACAGAAGAAGTATGTAAGTGGCTTGAGTTATGTCTTTAATTTAGTTTGCGCGGCATACCCAGATCTCCCTTCGCGGAACCCTCGAATCATACTGTTGAGACCCTCCCAACGCGCCAAGTAATTCATCCCAGATAGATTATGTACAGTACAAAACATAAGGTGCCCTCGTATTGGGCCAACCGTTCTTATTAGTGCCTCATCCCGCCGCCTGACTGCATCTTGAGCATCTCGCTCTGGTACCGCAACTTGAAGCCATTGCAGAGCGCGCGCATGTCCGGATACTGGCTCTTGAGAAGCTCGTAGGCGTGCGGAATCACACGCACCATCCATGCGTTGACCTTGGAGTTGCGTGATGCCTTGAAGCAGAGGAAGAAGTACCCGGGGTGCTTGGTGTCTAGGCAGAAGGCGTATGTGGACCGGTTCGGATTGGCATCGATATACGTCGTCAACCATTTCTCTGCGGGTCAACAGGTTAGACACACACGCACAATACAACCAATGAACGCGCACGTGTACACTTACCAAGATCACTGCGCGACCCCTTCTGGAACTTCTCATGCTGCATGAGCTCCTCCACCTTCTTGGCCATGGCCTTGACGTGGTCCACAATAAGCTCGTCCAGGTCCGAGTACGAGTACTTGCTGCCGACGCGGAGCACCTTGCCAACCGAAAACTCGTTTTCCTTCTGCAATTCGAGCACATCAATGTGCTGATAGACGCCGTCGGCAACCTTCCACGTCACCGTCAAGTGGTCATTGCCCTTGGACGATGGCCGGATGACCACTTCGCCCGGTGGTAGCCCACCCAGGTACTCTTCGGCCTGGATGCCGTTGAACGGCTTAAACAGCGGGTGCTTGATGACCCTCTGCGTGCGGCCCGTGACCTTGTCCTTCTCCCGCAGCTCCTCCCGGTCTTCATCCTCAAGCTTAAAGTCCCATTGCCCGCGCCCGTAGTCAAAATGCCTCCGGTATGGCCTCCGCAGCTCTTCTTCCCTCATGGAAAGCTTGCAGACAAAGTCTTTGCGGTTGACTTCCACCACTTTTGCTTGGACCGTCTGCCCAACTTGGAGCATGTCCTTGATCGAGTGCCGGTAAGACACCTCGTGTGCCTCGATCCTGCCCTCAATTCCGCAATCCAGTTTGACAATGGCAAAGTCATCCTTGACGACGCGGACGTTCGCCGGGACGATCATGCCCTCGCAGAAAGACTCCCTCGTTTCCCCCGTGAACATGGTAAAGATCTGGTCCGTTTTCAGCACCTTGAAGTTTTTCCTGAGCTCTTCGAAAGGGCCCATTAGTTCGGCTCGGATCGCCTCCAAGGTGGCTCGCTTGCGTTGCTGATATTCTCGCAGCAGTTGCTCCGCATACTCCTCCAGGATCAGTTCATTGACCTTGTCCTGCTCCTCCTCCCTGAATAGTTTGCGCACGATCGCCCCGGGGCCGTTCTCGTCTGTCTCGGCCTTGACGTCCTCTTCGTCCAAGCCAAGCGCATCCGCTGCCACCTTGCGTGCCAAGTCGTAGTCTTCGGGGTGAATGCGCGTGTTGTCCAGGGGGTCCGAGTCGGGATTGGTAGCGTCGTACTCAATGTAGAGGAAGCTGGCGCAGTTGTTCCACACCCGGGGACCTAGCACGGGAATCTTATGCCGTTCCGGATCACCGACCAGCTCATCACGCGAATTGACAACCCCACCGTTCGCGTTGATGCCCTTGATGAGCAGCTGAGCCTTGCGTGGGCCAAGACCGGCGACGTAAGGCAGGAGATTGGCAGTGTAGCTGTCTCCCATCGCTTCGTTGATATCCACGCCACAAAGGTTGACAATGTCCACCATGGCCGTCTCCATATGCTTGTACAACTTGTCTTGGGGGAGATACTGCTGGTATGGGTGTATCAGGAGTGATGTCACGTCTTTTCCTAGGGCCGCATACTCCTTCAAAGGATTCTGCATGTACCTGGCCAACGCGATACAGTACCGAGTGAGTGGGTTCAAGGTCGGGTGCTCGGCGATCGCGCGCGGGCTGTCCTTGTACAGGCGTGCCACCTCGTCGTTCACTATTACCACCTCGAGTAGATCGCTGCGGTACTCGTTCATCTCGGGATCTTCGTATTCTGGGCCCATGAGGCCCTTCTCGCTGATCAGAGCCTCAACGTCCTTCACCAATCGGTGCGTGTCCGCTGAAAAACCTGATATGCCCACAACATCCGGATTTCTCCGGCGGACCAAGTCGGCAAAAGCATCTCGCTGGCTTTCGTCCCGCGCAAGGTTGACGAATTTCCCATGCTCTAGGACCCTGCCATCTTCCTCCACCCAAGTCCAGCACACGGGATCACGATTCGGATCACCCATACCGTTGGAAAGAGTGAGCACGCGCGGTGTCGTACCAAGCACCATGCCCTTGGGCTTGAGAGGTGCCTGGTCGAGCCGGTTGAAATACTCTTCGCGGCACGTCTTGAGCAGCTCATCCTGACAAGCTGTCCGAAGCGAGTCCTTTACGCCTTTGGCAACCACTTTTTCAAGCTTGCCAAATGCCATGTCCAGCACCTTCTGGCGCTCCGCATTCCACGAGTCGGCGAGATCGCTAAAGTTGTCCGAGGCAAATTCGCTGTAGAGTTGTCGCCGGAACTCGCGCTCGTTTTCCAAGGTGAGGCGGACCTCGACAAGGCCTTCTTCTTCAGCCTTCATCATCTTGAGGAAAATTTCGGGCCGGACAGCCAGATCTCGAATGGTATGGTTGATTAGGTACTTGATTTCGTAGTAGGGGTGCGCCTCATCGATCTTCCGGAGACCCTTCTCCGTCCGGCGACAGCTCACGGAGCCCATCTGGTAGTACTGAATGCGGAAGTGCTTGCGCATGCGCGGGCTAAAGAAGAGTTCGTCGGAATACATCTGACGAGCAGCATTGATCACTTGCTCCGCGGTAGGGAATTCACCGTCAACTAGAGAATCGGCAAGGTCGACGGGCAGTTTGGCTTCATCTTCTGAAGACACCTTCTTGCCTTCTCGAAGGGCGTTTTGGGCGAGGCGGTCCGGAGAGATACCCAGGGCCTTAACAAACTTGTAGGCATTTGACCTTCGGATTCGCTCAAAGAGAGCCGTCTTGGCGCCAGGCCGTTTAATCTCCTTGGAGGCACCATCAGTCGCCGCAGCAATGTCCTTGAGCTGGGCCGAGTATTGGAAGTTCAAGTAGTCCTGTAGGTCTTGCAACTCCTCCAATGTCGCCGCCTGATGCGTCATTTCGTCGAGAATATCGTCCTGTACACCGGCCTCCTTCAGCTTATCATACGACCTCTCGAGCGCCGTTCGCTTCTCGACCAGGGACCGGAACTTGATGTCCAGTTCCAGGATGCGCCACAAATCATCCTGTGTAAGCAGCTTTTCAGCGTCAATGGTGTACTCGGGGCCATCGGGGTGGTCGTGGCTATCCTGATTCCGTATCTTCTTGGCGTGGATGAGGTAATCTCTCCGGTGCTGGAAGACGTACGGGACCTCGACTCCGTCAATAACAAAGAATTCGAGGACTTTGCCAATGGCTTTGTTGAACGGGCCGTGTAGATCGCTAGGTAATTGCTTCTGAGGCCACATGAGGTTCGTGATCCAACGGGCTTCCTCTTTAAAGTACTCGGCCGACGTTTGCTGTTCTTTGAAGGGCTTGCGGTCGAGCTGGAACCGCTCCGGTTCGTCAATGATGCGGATCTCGTTGTCCTCGTCCGTAAGAAGCTTTTCTTGGAGCTGTGATGGTTCGAAGACATCCTTGAGCTCGATCATCTGTTCCTCACGCTCACGATCGCTCTCTTCTTGTTCCATATTCAGAGCCCAATAGTAGTCTTCTCCGTTGCCAAAGATAGCCTCCATATCTTCGAGCGCGTCCTCGTCCAGCCCAGTTACCCCAGGGGCAAGACCCTTGTCCCTAGGCCGAGCAACTTCAATGTCATCTTGGCGCCTGATACGCTCTTCATCATCTTCTGGATAGTCGTCCTCGATGAAGTCGTCGAACTCATCTGCCTGCGCGCGGTGACTCGGCCGGCCGTAAGGGCGCTCGTCGGCTACATCTTCATCATCGTCGGAGAAAATATCTGCGAGACCGCGTCGTTCATTGCCGCGATCTTCGTCTCGATGTCCGCGCTTGAGACGCTTGAACTTGGTCTGACAGGGGTGAGCATGTTGACCAACACGTAACACGGCGTGGAATCAACGTACCTGCGCCTGGGATTTTCGCTCCCATTCAGGTATGGCTTCACCGATGAGGTCTAAATCCTCCTCGTCAAGTTGCTCTTCCTCCTCGCGCTCACGGCGACGCTTCTTTTTCCGGCGACGCTCGCGTTCGTCCGAGTCTTCAGCCTCTTCCTCCTCTTCATCCTCATCGACAATGAAACCTTCCCGAATCTGTGATGAATCCGTGTCAGAGTTTCGCGAAGACTGCAGAAAGCGACCGTGCGGGAGCACGGGAGCAAGCATACCCTTCGGGCTTCCTCTTCATCGTCGTCATCCTCGTCCTCCTCACTAGAGTCATCTAGCATGGCATTTTTGTCTCTGGCGCGGGACTCGCCAGTCTCCTCATCAAATGACTCATCATCCTCCTCCTCATTGAGCTCGGCCTCGCCGTCGATCAAGTCGCGCATCGAAGCACTCATTTTCGCGACAGAAGGTTGCGCGGACCACGGTCGAAAAGAATCAGAAGCAAGTGAGGCTACCTCGTTCCTGGAAACGTCGTCGGATGCCACAAAGGCCAGTGCTCCCGAGTCACGAGGCAGCAAGCCAGTAGAAGAATGGGAGATCAAAGGATTGCGAAACTGAAAGACAAACGGGAGAAGTTCCCAAAGTTATGGGAAATTCTCAAAGGCAGGAAGTAGCAGCCACCAATGTGGCGCGGTTACCTTAAGCCTTGACCTTGCTCCAGCCTCCATGTTAGCCTTAACCAGTAATCGGCTGTGGCTTGAGCGCTATGTAATTAACTACCCCACTACAGTTCGCGCTGGGGCTTGTGCTAGCCGCATTCGTTACAGTACTTACTGTAATTCCACTAGTAACTTTAAGGACAGAAAAGGGTGTCAAATGGACCCGCCGCTTGGTCACACCTGCCTTTGGAGACCAACCGGCCCAAAGTCGTACCATGAACACTGTGGATGGGAGACTCTGACTTGAAAGGGCCATGAAGCCAGATGCCAGTTGCGGCGTTTGAATCCAAGTTGGGCTATGCGGTGGGAAGAAGGCGAGCGTTAATTACACTTTGCATGCTTACAGTACGTTTCCTTTCCTCAACCACATGGCACGGTTTTTCGGTGTTCTCTCCTGAAGGCTGGACTCTCAACTTCCATCCAAGCTAAAAGTAAGACACCAATGTAAGGATGAAATAAGCGTACCTACCTAAAGTAGCCGTTCATTGTCAACACAAGTGGAAGTTCTCACAACGTGAAGCGTTGAAATATGGTAAGGTAGCACGCCCGGGTCCCTGAATGATAGGCTTCGGTGTAACCGCAGAGCGCCCAAAAACCAGCCAAGCATGGCCAACCAGAGAGTGGCCCAGGCACATCAATCCACACAACGGCCAGACAGCACTGTGGTGCAAGCCTCTGGCTGCTGCAGCACCCACTTAGCCCAACAACCCCACCTCACATCGAGTGACCATCGGCCACAGCCCAGCTTAGGAACCTTCCACATCCCGAATATCTTGAAAGGGACGCGCTCACTTGCCGCCTATTCGCAGGTCTCTCATCCACGCTATATTTGGTCACTAGCCTCTCCTACTTGAAGCAGTCCCGAGCTCTTCTCCGGGTTGGCGGGTTGCTGCACCTAAGTGAGGTACCCCGCAAACTGAAAGGGATCGCATACGACGGGTCGCGCGGACTCCATCCTGCAAACGGCCGTCCCGTCGCCCTCTCTTCGGGACCAGACTACGGGAAACGAGAAAGAAAAAGGACACCGCAATCCTTTCCTCGATATATCGTCAGTCTTGCGCTCCGGGACGCAAGCGAGACAGGAAGCTCGCTTCTCGGCTGTGTTTCTCAAACCTCAAACCCACTCTTACCCCCTTCTCATAACCTGGCTTGCCCCTGACTACTACTCTCTCACTGGAACCCGCTCTAGGCGTTAATCCCCCCAACGCTACCGTCTCTCCACCAACCCACCGCATCCACCGAGGAATGCGATCAGTCTAGGCGCATTGCCAGTCGAATCCGAGAATCCCATCGCCCTTCCATCCTCCCGCCCGGATTCCTCACGGCTGCCCCGAAATGGCTGACCCGTTCGCCCCGCGCTCCATGAAGCGCAAGAATGTCAAGGGCCTCGCTCTCAAGAACCCGGCTCCAAAACCTCCTCCTACCGCCGATAATGCTCGCATGGGGCCCGCGCCGGGCCGAGTAGACGACAACGCCGCGCAGTTGGAGATTGGTATCGAGTTCAACCTGGATTTGAAGCCCGAAGATCTCGAGGCCATCAAAGACCTGGGCGCTGGTAATGGCGGGACAGTCAGCAAAGTCAGGCACATTCCGACAAACACTGTCATGGCACGAAAGGTTGGTTCAGCCGACAAACGATTAACCAGACTGGCTCGAGGCGCTCTCTAACCGGCCGACAGATTATCCACGTCGAGGCCAAGAAAGAGATGCGCAAGCGTATAGTCCGCGAACTGCAAATCATGCACGGTTGCCATTCCGACTATATTGTCACCTTTTACGGTGCGTTTCTCAACGAAAACAACGATGTCATTATGTGCATGGAATATATGGATGTTGGGTAAGTTGCATCCCGTCACTCGACCCTCCGCATCAGCTCTAATCGGGCCTTGACAGCTCTCTCGACCGCATCTCCCGCGTATTTGGGCCTGTCCGGGTGGATGTTCTGGGCAAGATTGCTGAAGCAACCCTTGGCGGGCTCACGTATCTCTACGCCAAGCATCACATCATGCATCGCGACATCAAGCCGTCCAATATCCTGGTCAACTCACGGGGCCACATCAAGCTCTGCGACTTTGGCGTCTCTGGAGAACTCATCAACTCTGTTGCCGACACGTTCGTGGGCACGTCAACGTACATGGCGCCCGAACGAATCCAGGGTGAGAAGTATACGGTCAAGTCGGATGTGTGGAGTTTCGGCCTGACCATTATGGAACTGGCCATTGGCAAATTCCCCTTTGCTGCGAGTGAGCAGCTATCTGATGCTGAAAGCGCCCCCGCGGGCATCCTTGACCTGCTTCAGCAGATCGTGCACGAGCCGGCCCCGCGGCTCCCAAAGAGTGATGCCTTCCCGCAGATCCTTGATGACATGATCCAGAAATGTCTAGCCAAGGAGCCCGAGCAGCGGCCGACACCCCAAGAACTATTCGTAAGTTGGCACCAGTCGACATCCGTAGACACCCTGGACTGGCAAACTGTTACTAACGGGCATCCTAGGATCGCGATCCGTTCGTACAGGCAGCCAAGAGGACGCCGGTTGACCTGAGAGAGTGGGCTTGCGGTCTGATGGACCGTGACAACCGCAAATCCCACCTGACGCCGCAGCTGTCCCCTGCAACAAGAGATCTCCTGCGTTCAAGCGATTCTCCCACCTATCTAACCCAAACAGACATGGCAACGCAGCAAACACCCACTTCAGGTGAGATTCCCATTTCAGGGGCCATGGTGTCACATCGTGACCAACGTTCCAGCCTACCGAGCCGATCCGAGGCACGCGGGGGACCAGGCAAACCTGGCGGCCCAGGTGGATCGCCTGTACATTCGGGATCTGGATTACGAGTAACGACCATCTCGAACCCAAGTCCTGAGCCCCGCCGGCAGCTCCACGCGGGCAGCGAAGAGCGGCGTGTTGCGGGCCGTACGAGCCCTCCGAACGCGGACAAGGCGATCCTGTCTCTGCCCATCCGGCCGGCACCAAGTCGGCCGCTTCCGCCCCCGCCGCTTCGAAGAGTCGGAACGGCGGACGAGGTGAAGAAAGATGCTCGTCGGCAGACCCCCGTCCGGTCGATATCCGGCCAGCCTTTTTAGATGGCCAGGCTTGCCGCCAGTGACAGGGGAGGGTTGTTTGAAACGGCTTTTTCGTTGCATACCCATAATGCCTTACCTCTCTCCACTCCCATCTCCTCTTCTTTCCTTTCACATTCCTCTTTCGCCAATCCGCCCGACCTGTCTCGGTCACCCTTCAACGCCCCTGCCGCCTCTTGAACCGCCCATGAGCATTTTCCACATTTACCGGCGTTTACACTGGCTCGATTCTGTCTCTTGCCGCCCTTGTGTTCGCTTCTCTGAGCGAGGGGATGTTTGATGCGGGGAAGCGGGCGGTAAGCATCGCTGGGAATAAAAGGCAGGACGTTATTTCGTGACATAGGGCCTGATGGAGGCGGCTGCAGGACAGCGAGGGAGTCGTATGTGGGAGATCTCATCTGTAGTTAGCATCGTCCATGCCTATGCCTGCCGTGGAGCACCCCCCAAATCCGACTGGTACGGGCATATATTCTAGTTTATCCTAGACAAACAGGGATCGGTTGATGGCGTTGTTTCGTCTTTCCCCTCCCCCTCTTTCCTTCAAAGCAATCCGTTTTCCAGGACGTCTATCAGCTCGTCTAGTCGCGATATTGCCAAATCGGTATGTTCGTGGTCGGCCAGGTGGCGGTTGACATCGTTGACAAGAAGCACCGTCTTGGCCCCGGCCCGGCGGCCCGCCGTGATGTCGTCGATGCTGTCGCCCACCATGATCAGCGCGCTCGCGTCGGCCACCTCTTCCCCTGTCTCCGTCTTGAGGAGCCCCGCGGCGCCGTCTGGACCCGTTTCCGGTTGATGCTCCTCCTCGCCCGAAGCGGGCACCCCGGCCTCGCCGGTGCTCCTGCGCAGCAGGCCCCAGCTGCGCGCAATGTGCAGGATCCCCGCCGGGTCGGGTTTCGGCGGCCGGAAGTCGCGCGTCACGATGGGCGTGAAGACGGACCCCGCGAGGAACTTGCTCAGTAGGTTGTTGACGGGCGCGTCGAAGTTCCGCGTGCAGATGCCCTTGCGGATCCCCCGCTCGTCGAGGTACGACATTAGTCGTGTTAATCCGGGCTGCGCGACCTGTTTTAGCATGGCTGTTCGCTCAATGGCACGTATCTTCTCCATCGCCTCGTGCTGCTGCTCGGCGGTGGGGAGGCTGTAGACGTGCTCGAGGATGTCGACGCTCTTGGAGATGCCTAGTGCCGAGCGCATTTCGGCGAACATGTAAGTCTGTGGTTCGCTGGTTGGGAGGTCGGGGTGGTTAGCGGTTTGTTTCGCGCAGGGGCATGATTACAGAGTAACTGGCTCACCATAGTGTTCCGTCGACGTCAAAGACAATCCCTTCTAGCTTCCGCGTGTGAGGGCCGGGGGTAAATGGCCGATTTAGCGGCGCGAATTTCCAGTTCGCAGCCTTGACGGATTGCATCATGGACATGGACAAGAACCTGCGCATTGAAGCGAAACCGGTGAACTCAGGACCTGCTCAGAAACGGTGACTCCCGTCGGGGCAGCGTTCGAGGAAGCGGCGTCTTACTGTCAAGTTTTAGTTGATTTCGCCCCTCGGACAGGCGAAGACACTTTGTGTGATATGCGTCCGGCTCTAGATCAGTATACCAATTGTTTATAGGACCAGAATCTCAGGAGGTTGATTTTACACCCAGGAATACATGAGTATCTAGATGCGAGTCAGAGCTAGGTCGATAAGAGCCGTCGCTGCCCCGCCAGACTGACGGGATTGACGCTTACGGCGGCTTTTCCGGGCAACCAAACCCACATGCGCTAAAACCTGCTGAAAGCCTGAAAGAGTTGGAAAGACCAACAACGTGGGGGCCTGCGGCCCCTGCCGATTTCCAGCCGCGTAGGACGTGTTTTACAGGGGTCAGACTTCAGCAAAGCTTGGAAATAGGTGTGGGACCAACCAATCACCAAAGCGCCCAAACGGACGAACCTCAACGTTCCCCAACCAGCTCCTCTTTCCTCCATCTCCGCCCTGTTCCTGAATCCTCGAGCCTGACGAATGACCTCGAACCGCCCATGCCCGGAGATCATGAGATTGAGACGTCCCAGTGAGTCGCGATGAGCGCCGCAAGCTCCTCAACACCGCCGACGGGCCAATGGACCCCGCGAAGACCGTCCAAGAGAAGCGTAAGCTTGGATACATCCCTTTCAGCGTATGCAATGGCCCATTTCTGACTTGATACCGCGCAATCCAGAAACTACGCAACGGCACCTTCATCATCCCCGCCACGGGCGAGCGCGTGCGGCGCACCTTCACCCTTCGCACGACGACAACCACGAGCACAACACAGTCCGACGAATCCTCCCCCGGCGCCTCCCCTCTCTTCTTCGCTCGCCAATCCGTATCCGCCGGCGCGCACAGCCTGGCGCAAGCCGTGCGCACGCATGTCCTGCGCATCCTGCGCATCCTGCGCTGGCTGGATTCGCCCGTCGGCCATGGTGTGCTCAAGTGCACCCTCGCCTACACGCTAGGCAGCCTGGCGACCTTTTGGGCTCCCCTCTCAGACTTCCTCGGCAGGCCGGACGGCAAACACGTCGTGGCCACCCTTACCGTCTACTTCCACCCTGCCAGGTCCTTCGGGTCCATGATTGAGGCCGTCCTGATCGCCATTGTGGCCGTGGCGTACGCAGAGGTCATCTCGGTCTTGTCCATGGCCACGTCGGTGTTTCTTGGCGGGGTTCTGGGTCTGGTGGCGCTTGCGCACGCGTTGGTCTTGATGATTTTTATTGGGGGAGGGTTTGGGTTTGTTGGATGGGTCAAGCAGAGGATGAACAACCCGCTGGTGAATGTGGGCAGCACGCTCGCGTCGCTGGCTATTATTGGTGTTGTCACCAAGGAGACGGCGGTGCTTACGAGCGACTTTTCCAGCCAAAAGATTGTCCAGATCCTAAAGATGCTTATTATGGGCATCAGCATTACTACGGCCGTCAATCTTTTGGTGTGGAGGGAATCGGCCGTGTCGGGGTTGCGTGAGTCAATGACCAAGGCGTCCACCTCGCTGGGAGATATGCTGGCCTTGATCACGCGGGGGTTTCTGAGCGGGTCAGAGGAAGACGTGCAGTCGGCCGAGTTTTCCGCGGCTTCGTCTGCCTACTCGTCCGTCTACCCCCAAATGACCAAGAATCTGCGCGAGGCAAAGTTTGAGCGCTACTTTCTTGGCTACGAGAAGCTCTACCAGCTGGATAGGGCCGTGGTACGGTCGATGGAGACCTTGGCTCAGTCCATTGGCGGGCTGCGAAGCGCGGCGAATACACAGTTCGCTCTGTTGAAAGAACCTATAGAACCCTGGACCGAACCCGCCCGTCCTACGTCTACTTCCCCAGTTCTCTCGTTGCCCTCACCCAGGCAACAGCGGCTGTTGGCAAGCACGCTCAGAAGTGGCATCGATCGGCTGCCCCCTCTATCCTCGATCGACGAGGTATCGGAGGAGAGCACCGAGGACGAGAGGGGTGGCGCCAAGGCTAGACGCCATTCTGATCCCGTCGCTGCCAACCTGCCACCGTTGCAGCATCCCTCGGAGATATTTGAGCTCTTTATTGCTTTGCTAGGTCCCTCAATGAAATCCTTGGCTTACACACTTTCCGAGGTGCTGAGGGATCCGCCGTTCGGATCGGCACCCGATTATGAGATTATCGTCAACGAACATTTCCGTCCGAGTCTTGAAGATGCCCTGGCGCTCTTTAACAGGGACAGGGCGAATGCGCTTGAAGAGCTCTACAAGAAGCTCGAGTTGGACCGTACCAGACCGGAAAGCGTCAAGGCCGACTTTGAAGAGGTTGCGGCTGCCTGCGGCCACTTCAGTTTCAGCCTGCAGACGTTCGGAGAGGAGATGATGAAGTATTTGGATGTGCTGGATGATTTGAAGCTTGTCAGCGAGCATAGAAAGCGCAGCTGGAACTGGCTAAAGTGGTGGCGGAACGGGAGGGACTACCGTCGCAAGGACCTGGCCCTGCCATACGACAACGCCGAGCGGGAGGTTCTAATTAAGCCCATCAAGAAGAGCGCGCTACCTAGGGGAATAGCCCCCCAGATGATCCAGCGGAGGGACACATATGCCTGGGATGTCGCTCAACCCGCCACCAGGACCAAGAAAGTAGTTGCCAGTTTATCGCAGAGGCTTCTTCGGTTGGTGAGGAATGTAGCTAGGGATGACAGTGAGTAGCTACCGCTTTTTGGTTATCGGTTTGCGCGTTCTCCGTGCTAACTCGGAAACAGTTCGATTCGGCTTAAAGGTTGGTGTGGGAGCGGCGCTCTGGGCAATGTTCTCCTTCCTTCCTCAGACCAGGGACTCTTACCGTCATTGGAGAGGCGAGTGGGGCCTCTTGTCCTTCATGATTGTCTGTTCCATGACGGTGGGCGCTGCCAATACAACGGGTTGGTCAAGGTTTCTGGGAACCCTGATCGGCATCACCGTGGCGGGCGTAAATTGGAAACTGGCTCAGGAGAGTGCCGTTGCTCTCGTCTTCCTTGGAGCGCTGGTGGCCTTTGGGACCTTCATCGTCATCATCGCGTTGGGCAAGGCGCCCATGGGCAGGATTACACTGCTGGCGTACAACGTGACGACGCTCTACGCGTACAGCATCTCACAAAGAGTCGAAGACGACGACGACGACGAGGGCGGCACTGCTCCCATTATCAGAGAGATCATGCTCCACCGTTTCATGGCCGTCACCGCCGGCATTCTCTGGGGGCTGATTGTTTGCCGTCTCATCTGGCCCATTTCGGCCCGCAAGAAATTCAAGGAAGGCCTCAGCATGCTGTATCTACAGATGGGTCTTATCTGGAAGCGGGGCCCGCTGGCAATTCTCCTGCGGAGTGACTGCACGCGCTCCTACCTTCGTTCAGGGGAACAGGCCGCGCTCCAAAAGTACGCGGGACGGCTCGACTCGCTCCGCGAGAGCGCGGCCTCGGAGTTTGAGCTCCGCGGGCCGTTCCCCTCGGAGCAGAGCCGCCGGCTGATGGGGTGTACGACGCGGCTGCTCGACGCCTTTTACGCCATGTCGCTCGTCACGCAGCGCAAGGGCAGCCTGACCGAGGGCGAGCGGGCGCTGCTGCTGTACACGGCCGACGAGCGCGCCATGCTGTGCGAGCGCATCTGCCACGTCTTCCAGGTGCTCGCCTCGTCCCTCATGCTCGAGTACCCCCTGACGGACGCGCTGCCCACGGTCACAAGGATGCGCGACCGGCTGCTGAGCAAGATCTTTCAGTTCCGCAAGGAGCATCAGCATCAGCATGGGAAAGGGAATGGGAATGGGAATGGCCAGCAGCATCGTGCTGCTGCTGAGCTGATGACGATGACTAACGGCGCGGTCGGTAACGGGTTTTCGTCTGGGTTTGGGTTTGGGTTTGGGAGTATAGGCCACGTCAACGTGGAGGAATCAGATTATGCCCTGCTGTATGCTTACGCCCTGGTCACTGGCCAGGTGGCGGAGGAGTTGAAGGTGGTGGCCAAGGAAATTGAGAGCATGTTTGGCGTGTTGGATGAAGAGACTTTGCTGTTGCAATAAGAAAAGCTAGGGTTCGTGCCTTCGTGGGAAGATCAGGGGTTCTTGGGAAAATCGAGGGAACTTGGGGGGAAATGGGGTTCAATGGGAGATTAGGGTACTCTTGGGATTAGAGGCGCGAAGGACGGTCTGGTGTAGGAAGGTTTCAGGGTTTTGAAGGAGTCCTGCTCAGAAGGTTATGGCTGGGTAGCGTGATACCCGACCTGTGGTACGGATACTGGTCTGCAATATTTATATGGAATAGTCTTATCCATCAGCACTTGGATTCTATCATGTGAGTAAAGAATGCTGAGTACCTATGGAGAGTGACGGACACGACAGACACCCCGAGCACATACATCATTGCAAGTATAAACCGGGTAGCAGTGTGAGGACCTGAAAGGAGATGGGAGTAAGTCGTGAGAGATGTGTGTAGCCCTAACCCGTATCTGAGAAGTACCGGTATCCACATCGTATCGATAACGTGAACATGAGTTCGATAACAGAAGTGTGGGTCCTTTCTGCCTGCAAGTAATCAGTGCTCGGCTACAGATACTGTTTCTGTCACTTTCGCAACTTCAACTCGGCGAACCCCGAGTCGTGAACCTGACTGCGCCGACCCGCACATTCCAACCTCATCGCCATGACCAGCAGGCGCGACTTTCTCAGCCAGCCGGCGCCCGAAAACTACGTCGCCGGTCTTGGTCGCGGCGCTACAGGGTTTACGACACGATCAGATCTCGGCCCCGCGCGGGAAGGGCCGAGCGAGGACCAGATCAAGGCTGCCGTCGCAAAACGATCCGCCCAGCTCGGTCTGACCGAGCCCAAGGACGACGACAAAGAGGATGACTCTCGGTACCAGGACCCCGACAACGAGGTCGGACTCTTTGCGGGCGGCATCTACGAGAAAGACGATGAGGAAGCCGACAAGATATGGAAGGAGGTCGACGACAAGATGGCCAAGCGCCGCCAGAAGCAAAGGTTGGTGCCTATTTCTCATCGCCACCCGCTGTTCTGCCTATCCCCATCCCTTCACTCTATCCCTACCACCGCCGTCGAACATGTAGTTTATCTTTTCCGCATAGATGAACAGAGTACCGACCGATAATCGCACAGGGAAGCACGAGAAAAAGCCGAACGGGAGGAATACGAGCGCAAGAACCCAAAGATCCAACAGCAATTTGCGGGGCTCAAGCGAGCGCTAGAAACAGTGACAGATGAGGAATGGGCGAACCTGCCAGACCCCAAGGACCTTACCGGCCGGACGAAGAGGGCCCGCCAGGCTCGCATGCAACGCTTCTACGCTGTGCCCGACAGCGTTCTGGCTGCCGCAAGAGACCAGGGCCAGTTCGGCACCACTGTCGTAGAGGACGGCACCGGCACGGCGGCGGGCGGCAACAAGGACGGCACCGTCACCGACTTTGCAAAGATTGGCGCTGCCCGCGACAAGGTGCTTCGCGCCCGCTTGGAGCAGCAATCGCAGAGCAGCGGCATAGCCACGGTTGGAAGCGCGACCAGCATAGACCCCAAGGGCTACTTGACATCGTTGGCCAACGTGCAGATTGCCGAGCAGAGCATTGGGGACATTGAGCAGTTCAGGAAGATGCTCAAGTCAGCCGTCGACTCCAACCCCAAGCAGGCGGCCAGCTGGATTGCCGCTGCACGACTGGAGATCGCTGCGGGGAAGCCGGGCGCAGCTCGCACCCTGATCGCCAAAGGGTGCGAACACTGCCCGAAGAGCGAGGATATCTGGCTCGAGAATATCCATCTCAACGACAACAAAAACGCCAAAGTCATTGCTGCGCAGGCCATCCAGCACAACCCGCACTCGGTGAAGCTTTGGGTAGAAGCCATGAAGCTCGAAAACGACCAGAGGTCGCGGAAGAAGGTCATTCGGCGAGCACTCGACCACAACCAGGAGTCCGAGGCGCTCTGGAAAGAGGCGGTCAACCTGGAACAGGACGTCGCGGACGCGCGGATGCTGCTCGCCAAAGCCACGGAGCTCATTCCTCAATCGCTGGACCTGTGGCTGGCATTGGCGCGTCTGGAGACGCCAGAAAATGCCCGCAAGGTGCTCAACAAGGCCGTCAAGAAGCTCCCCAATTCGCACGAATTGTGGATTGCCGCCGCCCGCCTGGAGGAGCAGCTCGGTGAGGGCACCAAGAGGCCGGTCATGAAGAACGCCGTCAAGTTCCTTGCCAAGCAGAACGCCATGCCCAAGCGCGAGGAGTGGATCGCCGAGGCAGAGAAGTGCGAAGAGGAGGGCGCCGTGATTACGTGCAGTAACATCATTGAGGAGACGCTCGGGTGGGGTTTGGACGAGGACGACGATCGCAAGGAGATTTGGATGGAGGACGCCAAGGCCAGCATTGGGCGGAACAAGTTCGCGACGGCACGCGCCATCTACGCCTACGCATTGCGCGTCTTCCCCAACAGCAAGAGTCTGTATCTGGCCGCGGTCGACCTCGAGCGGAACCACGGCACCAAAGACGACCTGTGGCGGGCCCTCGAAAAGGCGGTCGAGGCGTGCCCCCATGTTGAGGTATTTTGGCTCATGCTCGCCAAGGAGAAGGCTGGCGAGATCAACGAGGCTCGGAAGGTGCTCGCTCGGGCGTTCAAGCAAAACCCGGACAACGAGGACATCTGGCTGGCCGCGGTGAAGCTCGAAGCCGACAACGGCTTCGTCGACCAAGCCCGCGACCTCCTCAAGACAGCCCGGCAAAACGCCCCCACCGACCGCGTCTGGATGCGCAGCGTCGCCTTTGAGCGGCAACTCGGCGCCAACGAAGCAGCGCTCGACCTAGTCCGCGAAGCGCTGCAACTCTTCCCGGCAGCTTCCAAACTGTGGATGATGAAAGGCCAGATCTACCAGGACCTGGGCAAGCTGGCCGAGGCGCGCGAGGCGTACGCGACGGGCGTGCGGGCGGTGCCGTCGTCGGTGCCCCTCTGGCTCCTGTACTCGCGGCTGGAGGAATCGTCGGGCAACGTGGTGAAAGCGCGCAGCGTGCTCGACCGCGCGCGGCAGGCGGTCCCCAAATCACCCGAGCTCTGGGCCGAGCTCATCCGCGTCGAGCGGCGCGCGGGCAATCTGACTCAAGCGCGCAGCCTCATGGCGCAAGCCTTGCAACAGATGCCCAAATCCGGCCTGCTCTGGGCCGAGCGCATTTTGTACCTGGAACCCCGCACCCAGCGGAAATCCCTCATTACCGAGGCCATCAAGAAAGTAGAGGACGACCCCGTCCTCCAGGTGACGGCCGCCCGCATCCTCTGGGCCGAGCGCAAGCTGGACCGCGCGCAGAATTGGTTCGAGCGCGCGCTGCTGCTTGATAGAGATAGGGGGGACTCGTGGGCGTGGTACTACAAGTTCCTGCTGCAGCACGGAACCGATGAGAAGAGGCGGGAGCTGGTTGCCAAGTGCGTCCTCAACGACCCCCGCCACGGCGAGGTCTGGCAGGCGGTGGCTAAGGATCCGAGGAATGCGAACAAGAAGACGGAGGAGATTCTGGAGATGGTGGCGGCTAAGTTGAGTTGAGTCGGGTTGGGTTTGAGTTATGGGTCTATTTGTGTGTATTGTACGTTATCTTATGGACAAGTTAAGCGTCTGGGAGTCGGGTTTATCACCATCAGCTAGCGGATCGACCGGTGGTCACGGTCTCGAAGCCAATATTATGGCCTCTTCTTCACATGAGATTTGCGAAGACGGTATAACATCATGTCATGATTTGTGTTTGAGATAGTAGTACCTAGATGGATAAAGTAGGTAGGTAGGTTGGCCATATTCGTCTACAGCCAGCCACCCCGAAATGCAAGATTAACATAGCATGACCTAATTACAACAGAAACAGACTCCGATTAAAAAGCGCATTTCACTCCAAACAGAAAAGACACAGCCAACAGTGGGAGGAGTAGAGAGATTGGCCCGTCCAGTCCCATGTCCTTCCCATTCACTCATTTGCCGCCAAACCACGAAGAGAACCAGCTCTTGCCCTGGGCGGCTTTCTCCTCGACCTTGTGGTCAAACTGGTCAATCTTCTTGAGGGTGTCGGCCTTGGCCGCTTTCGCATACGACTCGGCCTCGCTCTTGGCCTTGGATGTCTCCCTGTTGACCGTCTCAATCTGGTTTCGTGGTGTGTAATATTAGTGTCGGAACAATGAGAGTGGAGAGGGAAAAGAATGGCAGGCAAAAGGGAAAGATTGTGTTCAAGCAAGGAGGAGAAGGGGATCAAAAAGAGTGACCTACAGCCGAGTCCACCTTGGCGCCGGCCTCCTGGCCCAGCTTCCGGCCTTGCGCTTCGGCGTCCGTCTGCCGGTAGGTAGGCGACTCGCCCTTGATCTTGGCCGCGACGTGGTGCGCGTCACCTAGTAAAGGACATTATTGTGTCAGCAAAGCCTGGGGGAACTGGATTACATTTACCATTGCCAAACTCACTCTCGAATTGCTTCTCGGCTGCCCTGGGCGAGCCGCCGGCCGAGTAGAGGTAGTAGCCGACGCCGCCGGCGGCCGCGAGGCCAATGGCAAGAGGTGCTTTTGATCGAGACATTGCGGGTTCTTTTGTTGGAGAGCAAGGATTCTCGAGCTGTCGAGGATGTCTTGAAGTTGCGATATGCAAGTGTTAAACTAGCAGGATATCGACTGATGGCCGGATGGGTTGAGGGGATGTGAGATGTCTTATTGCGTTGTCAAAGAGAAGTGAGTGAGGGAAGCTGCATGGCATGATTTTAATTCTCGGTCGGGTCTCTGACAGCTGCCATGGTTTTCTTGTTGCTTTCCTATTCGTCCCCGCGCCGTTCATTCTTGCAACCTGCCTCGTGTCGCAGCTTGGAGCTTCCTCCCGCCGTTCACAATCAGTCATGCATGACGTAGTACGGACAGACGAGAGCGGGGAGCGCCAAGGTGGAGACCGAAGCTGAAGGGGTAGGGTTACATATGTTACAATAGGGTTTGGATTGGAGCGATGTTTCTCTCATTACATCATAGCACAACAGCCAAGGGTGCTACAAGGCTCCAAGGTCCAAACTCTGAATCAGCACCGCCTCGCCTTGACCGGGCCTTTCCCACCGTTTTCGTGCTCTCCGCTGTCGCTCGTTGTTGCATTCTGAGTATCGTCATGTCAAAGTCACAAAAATAGCTGGCAAGAAAGGACAATCCTTTTCTCTAGACAGACCTGTCGGTTGGGAAGGTTTGTTCCTGGCGAGACGTCGAGGTGCTGCCCCACATCTGCCCCCAACTACTATACTTGGCCCATCAAGCTGTGCCGCGGCGTCCACTTCATCGCAAACACCAGGCTGTTGGCAACACAGTAATGTCAATGTGCTTCTGCGCGGGGATCTAGAGCAGAGACCTTCCATCATGTGCGTCACATGAGAAGAAGCCATGCCCCGGGTCAAACACCACCGTTCCTCGCGACGCGTACCGCCCCCCAAGGACAGCGACTTTGACCATGAGATCAAACTAGTCGACCATTCTGAGGACGGCAGCACTCACGAGCCCCCATCCGCAGGCCCGTCTTCTTCCCTCCAAGACACGCCAGCCTCTGACACCGCTGTCGCTCCTCCGGCGGTCGAGGACGGAGCCGGGCCTGCCACGCACGACACTCGAGACGGAGAGCCCGAGCAACCCCTGATCCAAGTCGAGCGTAAGTTGGGGCTCTGTTGCATGTGCAGGAATTGGCAAGCAATGCTCATAGATTGTTCCAGTACCCACCCCGCAGATTGGAACAGACCGTCCAAGATCAGGAACACAGACAAGCAGGTCAAGAGGCAGACCAAGGCCGCCCGAGTCGGCCATTGACATTCTGTATGAAAACCAGAGGGGCGGATTCCTATGCGGCATACCGCTCTTCTCGTCCAGAGCGCTCGGCAACCTCGATCCCCCCGCTTGGACAAACTCAGCGCATCGGCCAAGCCCAACCGACATACACACGGCGCAGGTACCGGATCCCAGCTGGGAATGGGCATGGCCCGAATGGAGGATCAATCACGAGGAGGGCGTGGACGAGGACGGCTGGGAGTACTCGTTTGCATTCTCCAAGAAATTCTCATGGCACAAGGCGAAATGGTGGAACTCGTTTGTGCGCCGCCGCGCGTGGATCAGGAAACGGGTGAAGAAGGACTTGGACTACAACGGGCAGGACCCGTACATGCTCAACTCGGAGTACTTTTCGATCCGACCTTCCTCCGAGATCAGTCGAGAGCGCAGCCGGAGCAGGGCAACCAGTGCCCGTGGAAGCAGAATCAGCACAAGCACAGCTAACGTGGACGGCGCTGAGCAACCTGTAATTGAGCAGGCCGACGACCTCTTGTGCGTCCTCGGACGTTGTCGAATCGACCGGGAGCGAATCGAGGCAGTCGATAACTATTTCCAAAACGCAAAAGATGACCTGGCAGGCCTGCAGCATGTGATGCACGATATCATGTCCCTCTTCGTGTTTCAAGCATCACGCCGGGTGCTGCTAACCAGAATGACGGAGGTTTACGACGAGACAACAGCAGCGCTCCAAAAGCAGAAAGAGGCGAGACCTGAGCTGGAACGCAGGGTGAAGAACCTTGACGCGGCTATCAGACACGCAGACGAGGAAGTGAAGAGGCTCGAGTACTGGAGCGATGTGAAGGGTATGGCCGAGGAGGGAGATTCCAGGGGCGCTGTTGACCAGGAGCAAGGCTGGGATCCAAGCTGGCAAGGGTTGGACAAATCGGGGCCTTCTGAGCCCGCTCCTAAGCACGCGGGCAAGCCATGAGTTTGAGTACTTGGAGTTGAAGGCGGATGCCTAATCACCTACCTATCAATAACATTATACCCTAATTTACACCGCGAAGTCAACGACAGAACTGATGGAGTTGAATATGGAAAGAATACGTGAAACTATGAGCAGGATCAATACCTAAATCGCATGTCATTACACGCCCATTAACCGTCAGTTTCAACGGGATTACGCATATATTACCGCTCTGTCACATTAAATATTGTATTGATGCTGGTATTGAACCGCTAAGTTTCAAACATTAGGAACCAAAAATTACACACGTCCCCACTCGGCAGGCAAGCGCTGTCCTCGGCAGGCCAGGGGACGACAAGTCGCGAAAAAAAAGATGGAAAAAGATAGCGGCATCGAATTAGGTCAACGACAACGACAGCGACAGCGACAGCGACGGTATTTGCGACGCCACTCCCGCGAAACGACAGCGCAAAGATGCCCTGGTTATAGTCGATGCTCACTGGATACATGTTGTCTTGGAGAGCTTGGCCGCGCCTATGTGGTGATCGCGTTTATGGACTTTCGCTGACAACAAGACGACGCAGCATCCTGCGCTGTCCTCCAAGAACAAGAATAAGAACGACCTTCAGTCGATCCGAATCGTCAAGTGCAAGTGCAAGTGCGAGTGCGAGTACACCCCCTGCATTCTCGCTGAGCCAACGCCTCGCCGAACTTCCCCTCCAGCCTCACCCCGAAGAAAAGACAATCCTCGCCGAGCATCAAGTCGAATATCCCACGGCGGGCGAGAGACACGCCGGGAAGCGGAGGCTGCACCGGGTCCTCCAGCAACAGCGATACCATCAGAACCGCATTCACCCTGTGCCCCCTGATTGGCGCACCATCCTGCACAACCTGGTCGCATGGACTCCCGCTCAGGGCGTAGTGCGCGAGAAGATCAAGGTTGTCTTCTCGAGGGATGCCGCCAGCGCGCTCATGTCGGATGGCGAGAACAATGTATGGAACATACAAGCGAGGTCCGGCTGTGCCATGGCCGCGCACTGGCCCGACGAGAGCGCGCCCGCCGACGAAGATGCCTTCATTATTATAGCTGGCCAACCCGCCGCCGTCGGCCAGGCGGTTGACGAGATCCTCTGCACCGTCAAAAAAGTCGCTGTTTTCAGGCTCGACGGGGACTCCACATCGGCCCAAGAGTCAGCCGAAGCCACAACGAAAGTGCGGAACCACGACGGACCTTATACGCTTACCGTGAGGGCAGACCAGATCCCACAGCCCAGCGTCTGGACCCCTGCGAACTTTGAGCGCTACGTTGCCTCCCTGACCATGGGGCGCATGCCGGGCAGCGTTGCCAGGAAGGTGTACGATGGCACCGAAGGACACAAGGACACCGTGGTGCGGCTGCTGCTTGCCGTCTTCAAAGACCCAGCTGCCCAGGCCGCCATAACGACACGGGCCCTAAAGATAGCTCTTAGCTTCCTCGTCAACGCGGGCCAGTCGCTTATTGGCCCCGCTAGGGAATTGTTCTATTCCCTTTGGAAGTCGGGTCTGCGCATAGACTTGGACGTCTTCAACCTCATGGCTTCCGGAGCGGTTCTTGCCAAAAACCTGCTCGCCTTCCAAGTCATCATCCGTTCCATGATTCTCAGTGGACATGAGCCCAATCTGCGGACTTGGCTGCTATTTCTCAGCATGGTTGAGGCAGAGGAAGTCCGACGATACATTATAGAGGCCATGGAGACCAAGGGCTTTTTCGAGACCCCCCAGGGCGTCATTGGCGTTGCCCAAGTGATGGCTTCACACGACGCCTTGCGCGCAATCAGACTCGGCCAGAGCGTCCAGGAGTTGCTCGCGGTCCAGGAAAGCACGTATGGTCCTCACTGGCGGCTGACAACGCGGGCCGGCAACAACATGCTGGAGGTCTTTGGGCGCTATGGCAAGTTTGACGACGCCAAGGTCATTCTCGAAGCCATGTTTGGCTCCAACTGTGTATATGCTAAGGTTGGGCCAAACACCAGCTCGCTGAACACACTCCTGCGCCATTGCAGGCTCCAGGGGCGAATCGACGACGCAATCGGGATTATCAAGCTGTTGCACGAGCGGGGGTTCGATCAGTACGACGAAATCACGTTCCACATACTGTTCACGACGGCATGGCACCTCCAGAGGCCCCATCTAGCCAGCGCCGTGTCTCGCTACGCCCACCTTGCCGACGCCACGTCCTGGCGCATGCGGCAGTACGTGATCTTCTTCCTTGACGATCACGACAAGCGCAAGAGGTTGCTCAAACCACTGGCCAAGTACGGCTTGTGGGACGAGAGGCACGGGTGGAAATATCCACAGCAGGACTTTGTCAGAAACCTCTTCCTCTGTGACGCCAGACACATGCTTGAACCATTATCCATTTCAATGACAGGCGATAGAATTGCGGGTCGACTCTATGAGAAGTACTCTGACTGGGCGTTCAGCACGTCCCGATTAAGGCGCCCCGCGGTGCCGCTGGGGGAGTTTCTCGAGAAGGCGCTCGCTCGCGACCGGCAACTACTTGAATTGACACGCTCAGGTCCTCAGGAGAACCGCGAGGGAACTCCGGACCTCATGTTACCGATTGAAATGCCCCTAGAAAAGAAGTCGAGGTCCCGGGTCAAGCTGGGGGTTTCCCGGACAGAAGAGAACGAGTTGGCGGAGGATGGGGCCGAGAACCACCACGCGCGAGAGCGTACCAAGCACCGTAACCCGTCAAACGCAGCTCACCAGGGGAAGGCCGAGGCCCGTCATGGCGGAGAACCGATATACTCGGAAATTGAAAGACTACTCAGGGCGCACGAGTCAGAAGATGACATGGCCGAAGGCCTACATAATCAACAACCGGTCTGCTCACAGACACAGCGGGCATTGGAGAGACCTGCATCGGAAAACGGCAAGGAGGCTAAACCGAGGAACAGCCAGGAATCAGTATATTCCGAAATAGAGAGCCTGCTCGCAGGACTCGAGTTGGAAGGCGACGACGAGCAGCCAGCAGCGATACCAAACACGACGGAAACGGCACCAAACTACTATAATACGGGGGCGGATCAGTCTCGCTAATATCACCATCATCACGAAAGATGGTCGAGTGGTGTGCAGAGGCGCGACTCGGACAAGGGCGAGGAAGTCCCCCCGTTAGACGTGCGGCGAAGCGACAGCTTGTACGACGCGTCCCAGTCAGCAGCAATGGAGGACGAGGCCCGCGAACAAGTGCGTGTTGATCATCCGCCGGAAGCTGCTGCGGGGACTTGGCACGCCATGCGGCATCATCATCGCCTTGACATTGATGACCAACGCGAATCGGATGTGGATGTGTCAAGACAGAGACAGAGGCCGGTATAGAGAGAGAAGTTAGGGGTCAAGCCAATATCATGATGATGCCTCTAGATGTATATATTGTAACATTAGACATAAGGTAGATACGTATGTACTACTTAGTGTTGTATATCAGCTATATCGTGGCCTTTCTTGCGTAATCATCACCCCTACTACTACGACGTTCAATGTCTTGAAACTTGAGCAAGCTATAAGCCCACAATGGGCCAGGACGACGGCTCAACTAGCTGAATGAGGATACATTCTCGGTGTTTGGGAATTCGGTGGTTCTCAGAGTAAGGGAAATGGAAATGGGCCACGGAACGCCTATGATCGGGTTAGGGAGGTCTGGTGCATGCTAACGGGATGGTAAAATCTCTCGAGCTAGAGAAGAACCCCAAGCACCCTGTCGAACCGAGTTCATTAGCATTTGCGGAGTAGTTGAAGAGTCCAGACTCTGGGAGATCCCCATGATGATGGAGGAATAGGGAGATGGAGGCCTCAGACAACGAGATACCCAGATGAAGAGTGTCGAATTCACTACTATATTCCCTGTTCAGCCGCGGAAATAGAATGCTCTTTCCCTGTCTTCATTGATAACCGGACGAGGGTTCAGAAAGGGGAAGGATAAGAATCGACTGATCGAGTCAACCAGAATCCTTTACGTCCCGACGTGTGCCTCTCGCTGCCTCTAGGGCACAATTTCCTTTTCCTCAAACATATTCCATGTCGGCTTCGGCAGCAACAGATCTGCGGCGTTCGCATACCTCCCGGCTTCTGTTTTCTTCGCCACATAATCGCGGGCCAGTGCTTCGATCTTGCTTCAGTCCAACTGTGAGGTTCCGACTACCTTCCCGTCCTCGGCTATCCGTGATAGGACATCGGCGACCCAGGTACGGCAACGCCAATTGGGATCGTTTTGAACGACGGGCGTCGTGCGGAAGATTTCAATGAGCCGCTTTTCGTCTTTAATCTTTGCAACCACGATGCGGGCGAGGAGTCTGGCGGTGGATTGCACGTCGTCCAAATCGATTTCCTCGTACATCCAGCCCTGGGTTGGATGATTCTTCACGTGATATCGCATGCCGGGAACCTGGGGCTTGTCCTCAACCTTCGGTCCGACGAGAAAGCCCCAGTGAACCCTGTAGATCGCCATGAGCCAGTGCAGAAGCAGACAGAGGAGGAAGCTAAGCACCTTCGTTCTTCATTGCCAGTGACTCCGCTTGGGGCACAGTGCAATGTACAATCGTTTCTTGCTTGAAATCATTCTTATGGTTGGATGAGCAGGAGGGGAGAGATACGAAACCCAAATTCGAGGCTTAGAAAGGTTGTAGGGTGTAGCTCAATGGTAAGGTAGTCGGCGGGTGTGTGGGATTTGAGTCCTTCCAGGAAACACGCTCTTTCCCTGTATTCTCCAAAGACCAGCCTACAGTTCTGTGCGTCGGGCCGTCAAACATCGGACTGAAACTGTGATTGCGGACCTGTGCCTGCCTGCCTATGTATTCTCGTTTGACGCACGCGCGGAAGCAGCAGCAAGGCTACAAAAGCGAGCCTCATTGCATATTGCTTTGGAAGCGACAAGGCTACATTCAGGGTAGATCCGTACTGCTGAGAGAGAGGATTCGATAGGACTCATCGCCGTCGTACCCTGGCGTCACTGCCAAAAGAAGCTTATACGTCTTCTTTTGCAGCGAGAGTGCCGGCCACATAGCATGGGAACGCTGCCGAGTCTGGGAGACTACAGCAGTCTGACGAGAATTATGCTGCTCGTGTATCAGACCGCTTAATATTCTCCCCACCACTTCTGGCGCGTGATTTCCATGCTAAACTCCTCGGGTATGGATCAAGGAACTTGGGAATTAAATCTTGCCAACCTTTCCGAATCACATCATTCCCAGTCCATGCAGCCGTGTATTCCCAGTAGGAGGGATACCATCCCGCAGTCTCCCAATCGATAATGGCGACAACTTTTTTGTCTCGAATCATGATGTTGAAGGGGTTTAAGTCGCCATGCGTAAAGACGGGAGGGGACCACGGTCCGTCCTGCTTAGCAACCATCTCCTTGATGTCCTTCCAGTTTTGGTCATCCTGACGGTCCGGATGCTCTTCCGGCCGGAGATGCTCGCGGAGCCAGCTGTGGAAGTCCTGAATCGTCGTGAACGGCCCGAACCTGGGATTTGATCTAGCAGGATTTCGGGGGTCTCGTAAGGAGCCGCCTACGCAACTCCCAACCCCTGTTCCTGGGGGAGGTGTGATTGCCCTTAGTTCCGTTATCATGTCCCGAAGCTGTGTCAAGACACTGTCGCGGCCGGCGTCTGACAGTGTCTTCCAGGCCATTGGAAGGTGCTGTCCCTGAATTCGCTCCATGACGGTGTATGCCCGGTTCTTGTGAACAAAGGAGCAATACACACGAGGTACCGGAATCGAAGTCTTGGCAGCGACGAACTTTATAGTGGCAGCTTCGGTGAGGTGGACATACGGGCCAGTCTTGACGATGAGGTGCTTAGAGATGGGCACGCAGCCATTATATCGGTAGAACCGCGCGGTGGTTTTAAAGCGCCAAGAGGGTGAAGATACGACGGAGAAACGTATTGTTGATGGCTAAGTGACCGGTGCCCTCGTGCTGGGTGTCTCTATTGCTGACGACGGGAACAAAAGGTTGTGACATGTCGAAATTGAAGTTGATGAATGTGTCCGTCACGGATCAAGCTGAGAGAATACATATGGTTCTTACTTGTCAAGGTAGGGAAGGTAGTGACCGTCAGATGAGATGGGAAGGTATTTCAGTCGTCAGAGTCAGGTCCGTGGTGCTCCGTACTGCACAGGTGCTTGCCTGCACGTGCAACAGATCCCATGTACAGTATGTAGAGTAATTATGTACAGTACAGAACGTATCGAATAGGGTGGGAAAATGAAATTGAAATTTTCTGAAATTCAGCCATTTTTATGAAATTTGAATTTCAATCCGGGCCTTGAATTTCAGGGGTTTCAACCAGAGGGGTCTGGTCTATAAGACAGCTCTAACAGGGCCATGGAAAAGGCGTTGACGTCGAAGAATTGACGGCGTTGTCAGGAACGGAGCAGTAATGGGCACATGGTAGACCATGTATAACCCTAACCCGAATTCTTACCACCTTCTAGATTTGGCTAGTGTAAATGTGAAATTTCCAATTAAATTTCAAGGCCATCTGTGAAATGAAATTCGAAGGGGGTCTTGAGATTTCCCCACCCTAGTATCGAAGACCAGGCAGCACAAGGCACAGAAAAGCCCGTGCTCGAGCAGATCCATGAAGCGCGCTGGCCGGCACGAGTCGCCAAATTTTGGGAGCGCCCAAATTTTCCAATCCGGCAATCTCTTCAACAGTTTGTCGAGCTGTTGATCCCATACTCTCCGCTCATTCCCATTCCGTTGGTGTTTTTTGTGAGCGACACATACAAGATGTCTGCCTCATTAAGGACAATTGCTCCGTTCTTACGAACGGCGCGCCACTCCCTTAGACAGAACTCGAGCCCTTTGGTCTCGCTGCAGCGCCAGACCAGGACGCCCGTCCTCAACTTCGCCCGCACCTATGCCGTCTACGAGCGCACCAAACCTCATGTTAATATCGGTATGTAGTGGTCACTACTGACATAGCATCAAGCGCTGACAGCTGCTCCTCAGGCACAATTGGTCACGTCGACCACGGAAAGGTCCGATAACCCCCCTGACACCCGTTGCGATTGCGACTCGAGCTAATTGCGCCAATGCAGACAACACTATCCGCCGCCATCACAAAGAGACAAGCCGAGAAGGGCTTGGCAAACTACCTGGAGTATGGCGCCATTGATAAGGCTCCTGAAGAGCGGAAGCGTGGTATCACCATTTCCACGGCCCATATCGAGTACTCGACCGCGAACCGCCACTACTCGCACGTCGACTGCCCTGGTCACGCCGATTACATCAAGAACATGATTACGGGTGCCGCCAGCATGGACGGTGCCATCATTGTTGTTGCCGCCTCGGACGGCCAGATGCCCCAGACCCGTGAGCACTTGCTCCTAGCCCGCCAAGTCGGTGTTCAACGGATCGTTGTCTTCGTCAACAAGGTCGACGCTCTTGAGGACCCAGAGATGTTGGAGCTCGTAGAGATGGAGATGCGTGAGCTGCTCTCGTCATATGGCTTTGATGGCGACAACACCCCTGTCGTCCTGGGCTCCGCGCTCTGCGCCCTCGAAGGCAAGCGCCCCGAAATCGGTGAACAGAAGATCGACGAGCTCTTAAAGGCTGTTGATGAGTGGATTCCGACCCCTGAGCGTGACACGGAAAAGCCTTTCCTCATGCCCATTGAGGACGTCTTCTCTATTGGCGGTCGAGGCACTGTCGTGTCGGGCCGTGTTGAACGCGGCACTCTGAAGAGGGACGCCGATGTTGAAATCATCGGCAAGGGCGACGAAATCATCAAGACCAAGGTCACTGATATTGAGACCTTCAAGAAGTCGTGCGAGGAGTCAAGGGCCGGCGACAACTCTGGCCTTCTGCTTCGCGGTATCCGCCGCGAGGACATCAAGCGCGGCATGGTTGTCGCCAAGCCGGGCACGGTCACCGCGCACAAGAAATTCCTGATCTCGCTTTACGCGCTCAGCAAGGAAGAAGGAGGCCGCCACACCGGTTTCCACCAGAACTACCGGCCTCAAATCTTCATCCGCTCCGCTGACGAGGCCTGTACCCTCACCTTCCCTGAGGGCACTGAGCATGCCCACTCCAAGATGGTCATGCCTGGCGACAACGTCGAGATGGTTGCCGAGCTCCATCACCCCGTTGCCATCGAGGCTGGTATGCGCGTCACAATCAGAGAGGGTGGCCGGACCGTGGGCACTGGCCTCGTTACCCGCATCCTTGAGTAAGCCATCTAGTTAGTGGCGATGGAGAGGTAGCGGGGGTGCCAAGAAAGGCTATGAGAGGAGCTGGCTCCGGGCCCTTGCTTCGTGAATGGGTGGGCGCCGCGGAGCCGAGGACACTGTACAAACATGTTATGATGTATTAAAGGCGCCGTTGCTCTGGGAGCCGCCTATCGACTCAGGGCCCGCTGATCTCCCCTCTTCTTCTGGTATTGTCTTAATCTTGTAGTATAGAGATATATGAGGCAATAATAGAGGCATGATGACGATCAATTTGAGAGCTGGCTCCTGGGTATGCGTTTCTCCCAAGGGGATCTGCCTAGGTAGAGGATCCAAGGGTGGAGATGCGGGAGCTCTGATGTTGAAGTGCGCAGTATTCTGCACATTTAACAGTACTGCAAACGTATAGCTGAGCATTCATTATCTTTTGAGCGCAAAGCTGAGCGTGGGGAACGGCTGGCTTTCCAGCATCATCGCAGCATCCAACAGATCCAGCTCTATCTGGCCTATTTTTCACGATGCAAGCCTGGTGCGAATTGGTGAATTTTGCTTCTTCATTTCGTTGCAAAACAATAGGAGCAGGACCCTGTATGAACTCCTCATTGTAAAATGGCTGGCTCAGTTTGGGACAGTTTCCATTGAGGAAAGTGACCAGGGAATCCCGAAGTTTCGCATTCGTCCTAGACAGCCCGTCCACCCGCACCGCACCCTGAGTAGAAAATGCCCATCGCAATTGCCATGCCATGATTTGGTCCGCAGGTTCTCTGAAATCGGGTTTCCCGTACCGTGTCGTGTCCCTCATCCAGCACGTTCGTCCCACAGCAAGCCGTCTATTGTCCGTTGTCCCTTTGCCCTATCCATTATTTACACCTTATCGGCCGCTTGACCGTCATAGTAGCTCGTTTACCGGTACTGTTTGGACGAATCAGTTTAGCAAAGCCGTGTGAGAGAGAGAAGGCGGTTAAATGCCTGAGTCGATGCCAATGGTCTAGGACATTCCGAGAGATGTATGCCATAGGTTGTGAAGTAGCAGGAGCGTACCTTAACGAAGCCAATGTCGGCGGCCTTCTCGCGGAAGCACTGACGGCAGATGTTGAGGCCGTACTTGCGGATCAGACCGGCCGTGTGAGTGCAGACGCGGCTGTTGGAGGGAGAGCTCTCGTTAGCTTTCCGTCTAGCCAGGTTTTTACCCCAACCATGTCTTCAACCCTGGAGAAATCTCCTTCCGCCGTGTTCAATATCCGGGTTGGCTTCCTCTTACCAAGCGCGGGAGCCCTTGCCGTAGTTGCGCGGGCGCGAGTTCCAGACGTTCTCGTGAGCCATTTTGACGAATTGTCGAGTTTGCTTTCCGAAGAAAAAGAAGCCGAAGTCGGTTACTTGCGGTCGGCGTGGGATTTGTCGTCGAGGATGCGCTGGTCGCGAATGGGCTGGCCGGAATTTCGAAGTGGTGCAAAGGTTCGCAAAAATCGCTGGTAGTTTTTCTTGTGCGGGAGGGCTTGCCGGTAGTGGCTGATGAGTGTGGCGCACTCGCTGTTATCTCTTTATCAAACTCAGGTACAGTTACAGTATGTACGTAGGCACGGTAATTACTGTGTAAATAACTGCGTAGCAGTGGCGCCGCGGAATGGAATTCACAAGCCTGGCGGGCCCTGGCGGCCAGGCAGGGGGGCGCCGCGGTAACGTTCAACTGGGGACGGCATTTGTCGTTAGAGCTCCGCCAGCCGTCCGGACTGGCCAAAGTGGCATCTTTCCCTGCGATTTCAAAGCATCCTTCGGAATTCGCCTTGTTGCCACCGCTTCTAAGGTTGACTCCTTTCGTTCGTAGCACATCGCCTGGGCGGTGTTTTCTCCCTTTTCATCAATTTGCAGACGCAATCGCATTGAGGCCTTCCATTCCGATTACATTCCCCGGGCCCCGTTCTGCCTCGTGAATCTGCTCACCATGGTGCTTATGAAGAGCTTCGTGCTCGCCGGTCTCACGGCCGTCGCTGCCGCCGGGTCCGCTGTACTCGACCTCATTCCCAGCAATTTTGACAAGGTCGTATTGAAGTCTGGCAAGCCTACACTCGTCGAGTTCTTTGCCCCGTGGTGCGGCCACTGCAAGAATCTTGCACCCGTTTACGAGGAGCTAGCCTTGGCATTCGAATTCGCCAAGGACAAGGTACAGATCGCCAAAGTCGATGCCGATGCCGAGAAGGCGCTGGGCAAGCGGTTTGGTGTTCAGGGCTTCCCGACGCTGAAGTGGTTCGATGGCAAGAGCGACAAGCCGGAGGAATACAACGGCGGGCGAGACCTTGAGAGCTTATCTTCCTTTATCACTGAGAAGACGGGCATCAAGCCGAAGAAGAAGGCGACGCCGCCCAGTGAGGTGGTGATGCTCACGGATGCCACATTCAAGAAGCACGTTGGCGGTGACAGGCATGTCCTGGTGGCTTTCACTGCCCCATGGTGCGGACGTAGGTGATCTTGTTGTCCCATAGCATATGTGAGGATGCTAACCCATTGGCAGACTGCAAGAACCTCGCACCGACTTGGGAAGCCCTCGCTCAGACCTTTGTTAACGAACCTGATGTCATGATCGCCAAGGTTGATGCAGACAACGAGAACAGCAAGCGCACAGCTTCCGAGTACGGTGTGAAGTCGTACCCGACCATCAAGTTCTTCCCCAAGGGCAGCACAGAAGCTGAGGACTATGATGGCGGCCGCTCTGAGGGGCATTTCGTCGATTTCCTAAACGAGAAAACAGGCACTCACCGCGCCCCTGGTGGCGGTGTCGACGAGACTGCTGGCACCATTGAGGCACTCGATGCAGTCGTGGCCAAATACACTGGCGGCGCGTCTCTCAGCGAAGTGCTGGCCGAGGCGATGAAGGCTGCCGAGGGCTTGAAGGATGATGCGCAATACAAGTACGCTGAGTATTATATTCGGGTGCTTGACAAGCTCAGCAAGAGCGAGGAGTATGCCGCCAAGGAGCTCGCTCGTTTGGAGGGGATCCTCAAGAAGGGTGGGCTGGGCCGGACCAAGCTGGACGAGCTGACAAGCAAGACCAACATCCTGCGCAAATTCCTTGAGAAGACGACAGGCGGAAAGGATGAGCTCTGAGGTGTCGTCTCATTTGTAGGGTTAACGTGGCAATGGATTGTAACACTAGATGACAGTCTCGCTATCGGGGTTGATGTTCGGGTCCGTGTTTTCAGGCCAGGCGTAAAAAAAGGACTTGTTGCGATACGGATATAAACTCGAATGGTGTTGACCAATACAACGCCCCAACTCCGTGAACTCCCATCTGGCTTTGTTACGTGAGATGACTTCAACCAGACCCAGATTTGTTGTCCTTGTTGGCCATCAATTGCGCCTCGAGGTTGTCTAGACGCCGTGACATCTCATCCACTGTAGTTGTATGTAAGCCCCTGCATGTGCAAAGGAAAGCAGAAATGCGTACTTTTTGCAAATATCTCGCTGGATACACCGGCGAACTTGTTGGAGAGGGTGTTCAGCAGCTCGTCAAGCTGAGCGGTAAGCTCGGCGCCGGCATCTTCAGATGTCTGCACATGATGAGTTGGTTGTCAGTTTTGGGCCATTTTGCTCCCGGACATCTATCTGCCAGTTCACTCACGCTGGTTGTTTGGCTAGGGGTCTTGTCGTCGGGCGGGGGCATCGTTGCCAATAAGTTCTTCACCGAATTTCTTGAGTGATGGATTATGTCCGATCGTTATCAATCTCGCTTGGTCTCTGCTTGTGGCTTGAATGTGCTTCTAGAATCTCTCGCCGGAGACTCGCCGCACCGTAATCTTTATCTCACTACACCGTCGTTCTCCCACCGCCTTCCGTATCCGGTCACCGCCCACTCCACCGCCGTGACCGCCTACTGCTTACTATCATGCTTCGATTGAACGCAATTGAACCTATTCTTCTACGTACTGCTATTGAGCTCAATTGAGCTGAATCTAGACATTTAGTGCCATCTTCGCGAAATCGCGTTTAAAATTTAAGTGGAAGGTTGAAGGTGGCAGTATTGCTGGAAGAATGGCGACGTAGGTGAAAAATGCGGCAGTATGTGGACTTCACAGATAAACATGTACACGTACCGAGGTAACTACCTACCTAGCTTAGACTAAGCTTACATATCATAAACTTTCCTATATGCCTTCCTTGAAGTGGATGTGTATTCAACACTAGTGGAGCCATCAAGTGCGTAGTGCTAAGGTACAGTACAGTTCAACCCTTGTTTGTGTGTTAGCGGGGAACTTGCCCGGTCTTTTCCACCCAACCACAACCCAGGGATCCAGGAACTTTGGCCAATCGAACCACGCGCATCTGGCCCACGAACCCTTTCCGGGCTTACATAACCTTCGACTTTTCCGCCCTGGATCTTCAACCTGGACCTCACTTTTCCCTTTTCTTGTCCAGATCCACCGCATGTACCACGCTAACGAACAAACAAGGGGGGGACTGAACATAGCTAGTGGAGAGTGACGGCCCTACTCGCTTGGATAATCGGGATAAATGGATAATAATGCCCCTTTCGTTCAACTGGCATCGTAAGTGGGCTCCATCGCAAAGCAAGAGAGTAATTAAGGTGTTCGGATGAGATTCCGCAAACTCAAAAACTCAAAACAACCTGCTAGCCTCGGTAGTTTGGCCCCTTACCAATTCAGATCCAACTCAACAAGATCGGCCAAGCTTGCTGTCTCCGCCAAGCCTAATACATACCTTGATGTCCCAGAGGAAAGTCGAGCTCACCTCCACTATCCGCACCTCTCAGGAGTCGTCAACCTTGATATTGTCGCTGTTTGCCCTCGACTCCTTCTGCAGAGAAGCCCCCGGGCGCCGACATGCCCGTTATGATGAGCCAACCTACCCGATTGGTCACGGAGGTGAGCCTTGTAGATCTACGGCGAAGCCGCCATGGTGTGAATAGAAAAAGAAGTGATCGGAAACACAACGTCGTATGTTCACCGTGCTTCTACCCCCTAGGCCCACCGAACACATGTTCGGCAAGCACAATTCTCCACCTAGTTTCAGAACCACTCCATCACTTAGCGCCTCCGCCGCAAGCTAAAGTCTCAGCATTTGGATGTCTCGCCGAGGCACACTAACTTCTTGTAGGGGATACTTGCGGAATCTCCAAGCCGGCTGTATGAAGTCGTTGGTGTAGGATAGCGTTACTGTGTAAGGCTGCTGTCGATGGGATTCAATTATCCACAAGTCCCACTTCGTTAAGCTCCTCCCAATTTCTGTGATAGGGGCCGTTAACAGGGGTAGGTCGTGTTGTTGAAGGAATGTGCCCACAGCTCAGCGGACATCTTCCGTTTTGGGGGCATCACGGAAGGCACTCGGTGTAAGAAGCAGAGAGCATATAATGGACTTGCCGTTCCGTGAGCTTCTCCCATTCCTGTGGTCTCATCATCACTCACGCTGGTCGGTTCGATTCGACGTGTAGTTTACATTCTTTCTTGGACATCAACAACAGTCACTCGTTACAACAATACAACTTACAGCCATGCATTCTCTCGCTTTCCTCCTTGCTGTCGGCCCCGCGGCCGTGCTTGCCCAAGCCCCTCTATGGGCCCAGTGTATGTGATATCTTTGCCTATCTTCCTCGGTGTTGTACGGTTGTACTTGCCCGCTGCTTTGCTAACTGCGTTTCTCTTTCCTAATAGGTGGCGGTCAAGGCTACACGGGTCCCACGACCTGCGTTTCTGGCGCAGTATGCCAGAAGAGCAAGTCAGTTAACCCGGGCCCCAATCCTGCGGGTGCTCTGTTCGCCCAAGGCCATTGCTAACATGGAGGTTTTCCCAGTGACTGGTACTCCCAGTGTCTGCCCGGGTCAACAGCACCTACTCCTGCTAAAACCCAGGCGACGGCCGGTTCTCCTACTCCTGCCGCCGGCGGTCAAGCTGCAGCAGCTGCAACTGGCCTGCACAACAAGTTCAAGGCCAAGGGGAAGACGTACTTCGGCACCGAGATCGACCACTACCATCTCAACAACAATGCCTTGATCAACATCGTCAAGAGCGACTTTGGACAGATCACGGCTGAGAACAGCATGAAGTGGGATGCCATCGAACGTGAGCTTTTGTCCCTGCGCCATGATCCTTCCTTCGAGAGGGGACTGAGAGTCAACGACTAACCCAAATGATGCATTGCTATAGCGGCCCGCAACCAGTTCAACTTTGCCAACGCCGACAAGGTTGTCAACTTTGCCCAAGCCAACGGCAAGCTCGTCCGCGGCCACACCCTGCTGTGGCACTCTCAGCTGCCGGACTGGGTCAAGAACATCAACGACCGCAACACCCTGACTCAGGTCATCCAGAACCACGTCACCACCATGGTCACCCGGTACAAGGGCAAGGTCCTGCAGTGGGACGTCGTCAACGAGATTTTCGCCGAGGACGGCTCGCTGCGCGACAGCGTCTTCAGCCGCGTGCTGGGCGAGGACTTTGTTGGTATCGCCTTCCGCGCCGCGCGCGCCGCCGACCCCAATGCCAAGCTCTACATCAACGACTTCAACCTCGATATCGCCAACTACGCCAAGCTCACCAAGGGTATGGTCGCCCACGTCAACAAGTGGATCTCCCAGGGCATCCCCATCGACGGCATCGGCTCGCAGTCCCACCTGGCCGCGCCCGGCGGCTGGAACTCTGCCTCTGGCGCCCCCGCGGCGCTCAGGGCCCTCGCCGCGGCCAACGTCAAGGAGATTGCCATCACCGAGCTCGACATTGCCAACGCCGCCGCCAACGACTACCTCGCCGTCATGAACGCCTGCCTCCAGATCCAGAAGTGCGTCGGCATCACCGTCTGGGGCGTGTCGGACAAGGACAGCTGGCGGGCGAATGAGAACCCCCTCCTCTTTGACCGCAGCTACAAGCCCAAAGCTGCCTACAATGCCCTCATCAACGCCCTGTAAAGAGTGGATGCCCAGGAGGGTTTGACGCGACAGCAAGGAATCATGTATTGCGGACCAGGGATGAGATCCACCTCAAGAGTTGTGGACAGTCGACGGCACCAAGAGGCCGATGTGTCGAACATTATAGGCAGCAGGCTTGTCGAATCACTCATCTTCTTCGAGTAGATATTTGTTATTTGTGGCGGTATATATATACTAGAATCATATTACCGTCTGACGATGCTTCTTTCTCTTTGCGTGTTTACCGCCTTCCTGAACGGGTTAGCTAGTTTCGAATTTATGTCAAAACGGATTTCGATTTCCGAGCCGTGCTTGAATTCCGCAACCCTAGTACTACCATTTTCAGTGGGAAAACCGATCATCGTTGGATTCCGCTCGCCCAGCCACAGACAGGGCGCCAATCCTTGGCATACAGTCCGTAGATTGATCTGGCAACTGAAGACGGCTGCAACTGTATGCCAGCAAATGTGGCTTAAATGGCCATTGTGGCTGTGTGAGCGAAATCCAACGATGATCGGTTTCCCCACTGAAAATGGTACCTTAAGTACGAACCTACCTAAGGTACTTCGTCCTTAAAGTGGATCAGGTTACCTCATTCCGACCGAACGGTGTCGACTTGAACAGTCCAACCTACTAAACTCGAGAACCGCAATTCTGAGCTTTGCTATCTTATTTTCTCACGACAAGACAACACTTGCGCTGCTCAGGTTTTCGGCCATCATTCGGCCAAGAAAAGATGCTGCCTTGCTGGTCATAGCATCGCGAACTTGGCAAGCCCAGGTGGATGATCGCTCGCCGTTGCGGCAATGCCAGCGATATCACGGGAAAATGCGAGGATATGGGTCCTGTTTGTCGTGTTTTTCCTCACACTTCTCTCGCGAAATGATGGCACGGCTCTGATCGCAGGTCCTTTTACCGGGACCTCCAGGCTTGCCCGCCAAAGGGAGGCACAAGCCGTACTGAACAGCACTAGCTGGGGCGATTTCTCGCCGCATGCTATCAAGGAAGGCGCGCCTCCGGGCGACGCACCGCGGTATCTGAACCTGACGGGCTTTCGGGAACATGATAGCTATGCTTGGAATGATTTGGACTACTTCAAGGACCGATGCCGACAGTGGAGCCAGCACGCCTACCCGTCGAAGGAAGGATCCGGCGATTGGGACCACGGTCCGGTTACGAGGATATGGCAGAATGCCACGGGGACCGTGCACGGGAAATGGGTGCGCCGACAGGGCTCGGTTGTGAAGCACGCGAGCGACTACAATCTGACAGCCATTGCCCCCCATGCTGACTGGCCGGAGGGCCATGTCGAATGGGGTTGGAACGTCACCGGCTCTTACGGCACCGTGTTGCTGCGGCTGCAGGAAGACGCCGCAGACGGCGTGTATGAGGAGAAGGCCGGCGAGGGCAAGCAACTAGGATCGGCGGGTCTGGCAAGGGAGATTTCAGCTGTGGCCAATATCCAGGACGAGGCGACCTCAGCCTCCAGCTTCGCCATTCGACTCCATGGTGTGCATTGGCCGAGACAGGGCTCTATTCTCCTGTCAACGACAAGTGACAAATTTGCGGGCATCTTCGGGCTGCCCCATCTCGCACCCGGTCCCGACTTCTTCCAAACAGGCCAAAAGCTTCTGAATCACACGGTGGACCAAGTGCTCCGGACGAAGGAGAGAAACAGGTTCTCGGACCCCAGCAACCCGTGGACTCCTGTCGTTGAGGACGACGTTTCAGTGCTACTTCCGCGGTGCGAGTACATCATGTACCTGCAGCTACACCCAATTCATCCCTTCCTTATTGTTGACGACCGAAGCAACCCTGAATATGTTTTCCTAGCCGACCAGTTGGAAAATGAGCTGCGATTCCCTACCGGAGCACCCAATAACGGGATACCAGACCTTCGCATGTCTCTTGTCGCCTGGTCTCCGGACTGCTCCTATTATCTCGAGTCCAAGGGACCTCCCCTCTTCCCTTCTGCTGAAGGCCAACATCTCGTTGGCGTGAAGGCTGAGGTGTTGCTCTTTCGAACAAAATCGTGGATGTTTGGGTTTGCTGCTGTCATGATGGGGCAGTTATGGCTCTTGAAGACGCAGATGAAGGAGTCGAACACGCCCTCTACCTTGGGACGTATCAGTTTCCAAACCGCAGCCATGATGCTTCTGGCTGACGGTCTGGTCTTTGCGTGCTCATCAGCCTGGAGTCTCTCTGCGACCAACACGTTCCTCCCATCCCTTATCCTCACTTTTGCCGCGTTCATGTCCATGTCAATTGGTTCAGGATTCTTGGCTGAGATTTATAAAAACCAAGAGCCGGAGAGGAGAAACCGTGAACGCGAACGCGAGCAGAACCGAGGAACCAACGAACCCGCCGCTCAGAGAGCATCCCCCGCTCCGGCTTCCGCCATCCCGCTTGCACCCGGGTCTCTCCCACTACCTGTCACCGCAGGCCCACCGCAGGCTCCCTCTCCCCCAATCATTATCCCCTCTGACCAAGACATTGACGCCGAGATTGCCGAAAACACGGCGTCCGGCGCCGCTGTCTTGCCAACCACCACCCAGACCGCCACAACCGCTAGCAATAACCGACCCCGGGTGAGCGCCTTCGCCTCCATTAGCGTCTCCTTTGTCACGCTAGGCATTGTTGTCCTCATCCTCACGGCCATGTCCATGTCGTGGCCGCCGCACGCCCGCGCCGTCTACCTTAACTGCCTGGCCTTCACGTACCTCTCGCTCTGGGTGCCGCAGATCCGGCGCAACATTTGGCGCAACAGCCGCCGGGCGTTTGCCTGGCGCTTCATGGTGGGCCAGTCGGTTCTGCGGCTGCTGCCGTTTGCCTACTTTTACCTGCGCCACGACAACATCCTGTTTGTCGAGCCCGACTCGGTGACGTTCGCCGTCCTGGTCGGCTGGGTTTGGTGCCAGCTGTTTGTGCTTGCTGTGCAGGACGTGCTCGGCCCGAGGTTTGGCATCCCCAAGGACTGGATGCCCGAGGTGTGGGATTATCACCCTGTCCTGCGGGAGGACAATGTTGAGGCTGGCGGGTTGCCGATCGGCTTGGTCTCGTCCGGCGGGTGGGGAAGCGCGCCGTCCTCGCCCACCGCTGCTGTCTCTGATTTTGCGAGGAAAAGGTCGTGGTCTGACGGCGGCGAAGAGGATAGTGCTCCTGCTACTGCGCCTTTGACTACTTCGACTAGTGGAGGTGGTGGTGCTCGCAGGAGAGAGCGAGAGAAGGAGCTTAGGAGGCATGGCATGTCGCTCAGGACGATCGACTGCGCCATCTGTACTGAGGTGCTCGAGGTTCCTGTGGTGAGGGCGAACACGCGCGGGTCGAAGGATGCCTCTACTTCGGCCGCTGCGTCTTCGGCGGGCGGGCTGGTGGGCGTTTTTGCGAGGAGGGCCTACATGATGACGCCGTGTCGGCACATATTCCATACAAAATGTCTGGAAGGCTGGTTCAGGTATAAATTGCAGTGCCCGATTTGCCGGGAGGAACTGCCGCCTTTGTAGGGAGGTTCAGCTATTTGCGGGCGTTTACCAGGGATGGTCGGGATTCTTGTTGTCTCTACTATTGGGTCTGCTGATAGTCACGGTTTGTATTTGTTCTGTACTATACGCTTGAATAACGTTGCAAATGAGCTGTACCAGGTTCAGTAACGCTGGCCTCCGTTACACTAGAAAGCTGGCATTGTGGGGAATTGGTGCCGTGATCAGCAGGGACGTATGGAGACTCAAACGCCTAGCATGCGGGGTACAGCTAGCGGACATAGGAAGTTCAACCTGAACTGTTGGCATGGACGGGTGGTATGTTCAGTTTGTTGTAGGTATTTGTGTGGAGAGACGGCTTGCGTGGCTTGGCTAGTTGGCGGTTGGCCGCTGACTGTGCATATCAAGGACACTGATTCACGCCAGCGTAGATGCGAGTCCATATTATGTACGGAGTAGACCGCGGCTGCTCTCTGACACACGTCGAGAACCTTAGGGCCCCTCACGCTGTGTCTCAAGCTGCCGTCTGATCACGATTGCCATGTAGGCCCGGCCAGAACCTGTCCTGTGCAACCTGACTGTCGAGTTACTACACGTACCTGGTAGCACTCCGCTGTTCCAGAATCCGCTGTTCCAGAATAATCTTGCTCAAAGAAACGACGAGACGGCTTCAGATTACAGAAGGATGTGGTCGCACCTTGGCCGGCTTTAACGGCACAGGGCGATGTGGTGTTCAACGCGCCAAGCCATTGAACCTCAGACAACGCCCGCTAAATTTGGGAGTTTCGGAAGCATGCCGGCCTTCTGATAGGCGGCCCTGACCGGGCCGTTTCAAGGTTTCCAGGGACACGGCTCGGCAGCCCCACCGCCTATGACGCCATGATCGACAGGCAATTTACCCTGTCCGACTGGACCCTTTTCACCTGCCATGCCTGGTGGGACGAGGCACTGCAAAGCGAGGGGTTGCTGTTGGTTTCGCAAATTGTTTTCTCGTCCGAGAGGTTATTGAAGAAGGGCTTGTGAGATTTTAGACTTGTTCACCAATCTAATAACTACCTACCAATACCAATCGACCATCTCGCAACTTCTCTTCCAGCCGTTTGCTCTTGACAATCCCCAAGACCGGACAAGCCGCTGTAATCACCCAGCACCTGGGCGGACCCATCCCTCTACTACGTCTCACCTTCACCATCGCCTGCCAAAACACGGACGGACTGCCTTCTAGTGGCTTAGCGAGCAAACAAACAAACTACTGTAGAAAGCGTTTTGGAGTCGACAATACTCCCGACCGTCACAATGGCCAAGGTGAGCTCTTCTACCTCGTTGGTGTGCCCATACACCGCGCAGAACCAAGCTTACCAGCGGCCCAGATCAACACACTACTTCTCGACTGCGACAACACGCTCGTCCTATCTGAAACGCTTGCTTTTGAAGGATGCGCCGAGTTGATCAACGAGATCGCCGCCAAGAAGAACGTGCCCCTCCCGGCGCCCTTCACGGGCGAGTCGCTCATCATCGAGTTCGTCGGCCAAAACTTCCGCGGCATGATGCTCTCCCTCCAGCAGCGCTACGGCTTTGAGATGACACCCGAAGAGCTCGAAACCTACGTCCGCCGGGAAGAGGACGTTGTCATCGCAAAGCTTAAGGAGAAACTGGTCTCGTGCCCCGGCGTCGATGCGGTGCTGGAACGGCTTGCTGCCTCTGGCAAGTACAAGCTCGCCGTGGTGAGCAGCTCCGCTCTGCGCCGGGTCAAGGCTAGCGTAGAGAAAGTCGGCCAGGACAAGTACTTTGGTGAGGATATCTTCAGCGCCGCATCGAGTCTGCCCAGGCCGACGAGCAAGCCGGACCCGGCCATCTATCTCCACGCCATGAAGGTGCTGGGGAAGAAACCTGAGGAGTGTGTGGCTGTGGAGGACAGCAAGAGCGGTACCCTAAGCGGTACCCGTGCGGGCATCAAGGTCATTGGTTATGTCGGGCCATACCAGGAGGCAGAAAGGGAGAAGATGGTCAAGATCCTGACCGAAGCTGGCGCAGTGGTGATTATGCACGACTGGAGCGAATTCGACGAGTGTTTGGCCAAGATTGAGAGTGGGAGTGTCTAGATTTGGTGTTTGCGGGTATTCTCGTTCGAAGGATAGAGAGAGAGCGAGACTAGAGGTAGAAGACTTCACTAGACAATATTAGAGCAAGCGTTTGGAAAAAGCGGCACTTCTGTTCATTTCCGCCAGTCCATTAAAAAGCTATTCACGCTCTGAAGCGTTGCTCTGCTCGGGTTGGCGTTAGGCATCTCAGTCATTATATGCCCCAGTTTCACCCGAATTGCAGTCTTGTTAAACGATGCTCGATCGTCAACTGACCGCGCATTCCCGGCTGCGTCAAAGCACCAGCAATAAAGCGCGAGGGCGACGCCAACAGACAAGTCCTTCCCTGACTCGCACAATACTATCACCGATTTCTCAAGTGAAATGCCCGCTCCGTTTCCAAGCCTCTTCTCCAAAAAGCGAGACACAAACCCGCATATCTGAGGAAGTGCGTCCCGCAAGAGACGACTAGCCGCTTTGTTCTTACCCAGCCCGACCTCCATATGAGTCGGCGACTTTACCCACGAGCTCTGCTCCGTGGACCTGGGAACCAACGTTACCACACACGGGCCAGCAGAATCTGACAGAGCCCTCTCCCTCGCCCCGAGCGTTCCGATGAAGATACCTGGGGCCACCCGCTTCAATTCCCTACCGGCAGCCTCCTTACCCCCAGGATCAGCGTTGGAACCAGCCGCAACCAACTGCGTGATCAGCTCGGGCAATTCCGCCTCACTGGCAGCCAACAACTCCTCTTTATGCCGCCAAAACACCTCGGCCGTCAAGCCGAGCGCCCAGTTCTCCGTGTCGTCCCCAGCACCCTGAATATATCCGCCTGCCTCGCCAATCTCGGCGCCCACACCCAGCACCCGCTTGGAGCTGGTGCAGCATACGACGGGGTGGAAAGGGAACGGTTTTGACCTTCCCGCAGCTACTACCTCCCCTGGACCGTCGCCATCGCCACCACCCGCCGCCGCCGCAGAATCAGCACCAGCACCAGCGGAAATGCTAGAGTAGTAGTGGTCGAGAAAGTCAAGATGGTCCTCCTGGGTGATCCACAAGGGGCGCAGGGGTCGGTCGCCCAGCTGCCGTCTAAGCGGCTGGGGGTCGATGGCGAGCGCCAGGAAGGAGGCGACAAAGTCGGGCAGACGCGCCTCGATTTGGCTCGCTTCTGAGGGCGAAACCACGTTGGGCGGGACGAAGAGCCGGTGCGACGAGGGGTCCTCGGGGAAGAGGGCCCGGTTTAGCACACTGCACCAGATGGGGACGGTTTTGCTTAGTGCATCGGGCATGCCTGTTGTGGTAGGTTGGGTCTGTTTAGTATATCATCATGCTTGCCCCTGGGTGACGGTCTGAAAGGGAGGAGGATCCTCTAAGAGGTGGCGGGGACGGGTACCCACGTTTTCCTCGCCGGGTCGAGTCAATAATGATGCAGCTGTATGCAGGTAGCCGTCGGTGTCAGTTACGTTAGATTGATAAACGTCTACTTTACATGCAAAGCAAGCATATGGAACGGGTTCGGTAGGCTACTACACGGGTAGTTGCTTGAAGTTGGAGGAGAAACACGGCAAAATAAACAAGACTACGACGGGAATTACTACGCAACGGTATAAAAGGGAGGGAGGGGGTTAAAAGAAGAATGACAATGAGACTAGATCACCAACCCATCGTGCTTCCCAATCAGCTCCAGCAAATGCAGGTTGAGCCGTCTCGTGCTGAACTTCCACTGCCCCGTGTGCCCGTCAGTGCTCTTAAAGTACGCGGATGCGGCCTTTCGCGCAGGGTCGATGTACCAACTCCCGCACCGCTCGTTGGCGACGAGGGGCAACTTCAGCGCGGCGGCAACGTCGTCGACAAAGGCTGCATCTTGACAGATGGACCTGAGCCGGTTCGTGATGGAGAGGTTGGACCGCCTGAGGCCACCCAGAATACGTGAGAAGTTGTGGTTGGCTTGCTCGGGAAAAATGATGTCTGCTAATGCGGGTGTCGTCATGATGACTGGTGGTTGAATTGTTTCAAACTCTCGCCCTTCACTTGACGGAGACGATATCAAATCCATGGGGTTGGGCGGAAAAAGGGGGAGGAGGCAACCGGCAATTCAACCCTTGACGCCTCTCGCTGATTGGACAGTTTACTGCTTTGTGCAAAGAATAATTTAGAGGACCACTAACTACTCCATACCTAAGGTACCTTATGTACAGTACAGGATGTATTGTATCAAGGGGTGCTTTGGGGGATCTCGCGACATTTCCATCAACCTACTCTGTACTAGTAGTGAAGTCTGAAAGCAGGGCCGAGGAACGGGAGCACCAACTCGGGCCTCGGCTTCCTGTAACTACCTGCGTAGCACACTATCACCACAAGACTCGATCTCTCTCTGACTGTGCTCAGTCTGCCCACGTTACACCTGGCCCAAAAGGTTCCGAGGCAGACATATCGTGGATCTGTGTGCCGGCTAATATCGACGATGTTATCTCCGATACCGTTGAAGCAATCACCTCACCTAACGAGTTGGGCACCGAGAATCCTACTGCCGATGTTGAGTGATGGAATGACGGGGTTTGGGTTTACTCAGTCGCCGCTCCTGCGTGATGCAGACAGGTCGCTGTAAATGCAGAACCGTGCATGCTATCCCACCGGTATTCCGAGCGGTTCGTAGCATGACTCGTGTCCTGTTGAGTTCGCCGGGCCGCAACCCAACTGCAATTGCAGTGGTTAAACGCGCTAGGTGTTCTCATTCCGACTAGGGGAGGCACCCGTGACTTCATGCTGGAGGCCTCGACGACACTGGCGACCGGCTCACCGTCATAACTGCAATTGTTCTAGTGTTGATCTATGACGACTTTGCACGGCGGTGTTGAGGATTTGGAGTGGAGTCATCCCGCAGTTGGACGTGTGCGGTATAGTGTCGAGTATGCCCCAAGACGTGATCTAGGCAGCACAGCCCACTAGACGCCACCATAGCCGGCAGCTATGTAAGAGATGCATTGTGGGGGAGGAGGGGTTTCGACCAGGTATTGTATGTACTGTACGGAACAATACAATACAGTACAGTACTGTGCCTAAGGTACTGTACTGTATGTACTGTACAAATACGTACATACATGCATTAGGCATGGAAAGCAACATTCGGTGATAGACCGTACCAAGTTTTCTTTGGACTTGGAACTGGCCCGAACAGGCGAATCCAGATTTTTGCTATGAAGATAGAATAGCACACACGTAACCTTCCGTGTTAAGAAGACCTTTCTTCACGCTATGTAGTACCTAGTAATCTGCCAGAGTGGACATGGTGGTGGTGATCAGTTATCTGTCGTTGGCGATCTTGGGGGAAGGAGTTGGTGGCGCAGCCGCTCTCTGAGCTTCCCCATTGCCATCAGAGCATCGGCTCTATGCTGGTGACGACGAGTGATTTACCTTGTGGTCAATGGCTTCCTTTTCTGTTGGAAAAGCGCCTTGCTAGCACAGCCACGGTTATTTCTCAGACTCCCAAGAGTCAAAAGAATGTCCACTTATGACAAACCGTATTCTTGCAGAAGCACTTCGTAGGTGAACTGCTTGGCTTTTGCCGGACGCGCCATATCCGACTCAATATCAAGTCTTGACCAATATCGGCATACAGTCAAACCTGCAATTAACGATTGGTCCTCACACAGCCGATTTGATCGTTAATCCCAGGTTATCCTTAATCCCAGGTGACCCACTATTTACCCTGACTGGAAGGCATAGAAGTGAAAATGGGCTCGGCTTACTACAATTGTAAGAGGACTGCATCTAGATGAGCATATGTAAGCTTGAGGGTCTGCAAGTAGTGGTTCAAATCGCTAGAAAAGGGAGCATTCAGTATAGGTGGAAAAAGGGGACCAGATTTGGTTGGGAATTGGAGTTCTAGAATGGCCAGTCAGGGCCGAAAATTAACGATATTTGAGCATTGAAAACCCTATTTGTATGTATTACTAAGCAGAAGTTCAATCGTTATATTGGATAAGCCAGGGAATATCGAATTTGTATGGGATTTTCATCGGTAACTCGATAATCTATCGCTGATTTGGAGGATATCGTTAATCCTCTAAAAGTTAATTGCAGGTTTGACTGTATGTAAGGCATACCTTGCCTAATGCTGAGGGTACCTAGTCGGCTTGGGCGGCAACATCTCTCGACCCGGGGGTAAGCCGGTCAATTGAAGGACAATTGCCAAGGGTTTGAGGATAGGGCTGAACTAACAACGGCAAGAAAGACGTGCCTGCTGCATGAAATCGCTGGTCGGTGGGATTGCAGGATTTTCTTGCGTCGATCGAATGCCTGGCGCGTGGCAGCCGTCACGGCCAGTTGGCGAAAATCTGGACGGACACAGGATTGGCAGCCCTAATGCGGCATGTCGTAGGGCTGAAAAGGAGGGGATGGGGTTTGGAGGGGACCGTGCTTTCTGGAACCCCGGACCCGTCACTCAGGAACGTCAGATCCAATCTTCGTTGCTTCAACCATAGTCGGACGAGCTATCTTCTGTACTCAGCCTGGGTGCTTAAGGAATTGTCTATGACGCAGAGAGAGAGACAGTCAGTTGTGGGTGGGTGGGTGGGTGGAAGCAGGGGTTTTAGGATTCACAACCGTCGAATAATTCAACAATGGTCCCGTTCTATCTTACCAGAGGGACGATTGTAACTGCCGTGACTGCGGAAATCGCGCATCGTCGCACAAAGATTTGTCCAAGCCATCGCCGTTTGTCAACAGTGATGACTGCCGCCATTGTACAATACAGCAACTATTGTAGAGAGGCAACGGGCAGGCGCAGCTGCAAGTGGCGGTCACACATGTAGCTACCTTAGGTTGGGGTAATAGCTTCACTCATGAAGGGTAGCTCAGGGTAGGGAAGATACACTGTTGGTTGAGCGTACCTAGGTTCCTAGCGAATGGATGTTCTACCTCTGTCTTCGAATTGAAAGGCAGTGTTCCCCTGGCGGGATATAAGTGCCAAATGGATTTTCCAGGTTTGCTCTGTCTATTATTGTACGGCCTCTTTCTGAGACGGGCGAGTATGCGACCCTAGGTACCCTCAGTGGCAGTTGGGTGGGGAGCAATCGCAACCCATCAAAGGACGTCAACCGGGTACCGACGTATGTAAGGTAAGGTATGTATGTCTACTGTATTGTGCTCTAGTGTACAGTACATACAATACGACTGGAACTCCGGTATGGGCTCTGGCGCCCTAGCTCTAGGAGGCTCTACCGCCTTGATACAACTTCTCCCAGTACCTTCAGCGCGGCATTTCTCGCGAACCATGCCGGTATATGTGAGGTTGTAAGCCTATATCTGCCTCGCTTTCACTGTCACTGTCGCCGTCGCCGTTACAGAAAGATAGAATGAAGGCAGTGTGCGTGTTATGCTCGGCGGTATCGTGGAATTACGGTATGGTGAGAAGAACGCTACAGTACGAAAAGATGTCCTCATAACGTTACATGAGGATCTCGGCAACAATCAATTACAAACACAAGCACCCAATCCCGGACATAATTATAGCCAGCCACCAAGTGAGACAAGGGAGGCAACCTTGGTCCGATGTGTGACAGTATTAAGGTTGGGTCAACGGAAGCCGGGTCGAAGATTCGTGCTTCCATCCCAATGATAGGCAAAGAGCAGTTCAGTTATACAATACACTAAATGAACGAGTCTGTAGTGTCATTCGAGCACAAATGTTGGGGACATGGAAGTCGTATATATTCGTTTTCAACTCTCACAGCGGGATGGACCATGATAGGTAGGTAGGTAGTCTTCCGTCCTGCGAGGACCAGATCCAGAAATATCTGAGATGGTGAGGTCGGCAGAAACTGACCCATAACTTTACCCCTGACACCAACATTCTGCACCAATTCAAAGGTGTAGCCCCGCTCCGAGGCGAGCGAGGACAGCCGGTGGGAATGCGCCAGCCCGGTCGAGCTTCGGCTGCGACTTGAGCGACAGAGAACTCCACATGGTGGGCGGGCACTGCACACTTGGTGTAATGTGTAGATTATAGGCCCAACTTGTACCGTAATCATGTGTACTGTATGTACAGTACATACATTACCTGCATACATATCCGTACACCCAGAAACATTACAGTGCAGGACCCCTTTGCTAATTGCAGGCACCTACGGCTCTGCTGTGGGGCTGCCAATACCATAACGTTACTACGGGCACGAAGATATACAACCTTGACGTTACATAACCTCTGCTAATAAAATCACTTTCTTGCCCTCATTGCCCCCTTGTCATGTTCTGGGGCCCCTCTCCTCCATAATCATTCCTCAACTCGACGACGACCTCAAGAGCGCTCACATCCTCCCTATTCCAAGGCCTACGAAACGCCGCTTTCTCTCCACGCGACTGAGGGTATCTTCTAGCAACTTACCTGATATTTTATTCGGCTCACCTTCCCATAGCGCCATCCGAACCGCAACCCGTGCTATCTAACTGGGCGAATTTGGTGTGTGTCCCGTTAGCAAGTGTCGCCAGGGGGTTGCCTGGAATTTTGCCGCGACAGACAGTCTCCCTTGTATCTTCTCCTAACGCTCCACCAAATCGAGCCGCGGGACGGGCCGGGCATCTCAATTGGTTGCGGATGAGTTGCCGGCGTGCTATGAATCAAGAGTTGACGGCACGGGACACCGAGTTGAAGATATCGCAGCGCTCTTTCGATCATGGCGTCGTTGGCGCATGAAGCCGGCTGCGCGCACGCCTCGGTTTCGGTTAGCGACTCTGCAGATACGGCTCAGAAACCGAAGCGCGTCCGGACGAGCAAGCCGAAGGTCAAGACGGGATGTAATAACTGCAAGTAAGGGAACCTACTGTCGTTGCATCTTGTCATGCGAGTTGGCGGCGGCGCTGACAACCTTCTGTCTCGCAGGCAAAGGAGAATCAAATGCGACGAGAAGAGGCCCGCGTGCGCAAACTGTATCCGATCCAAGAAGATATGCTCCGGCTACCCGCCGCCGCCTCGGATCCCCGGGGGACCCTTTAGCGGAGTTAAGATCGCACCGAAACCGCTCGCTGCAGCGAGTGCGCCACCTCCGGGTCGCGAGGCCATCCAGCTACCCCCTAGACGGGCGGCGAAATACCAGCGACGTGCGACGCCCCCTTTGACGCCAGTTACACCGTCAGAGGTGATGACGATGGTGCACCATCCCTCAGTCAGCCTTCCCTTTCGTGGCCAGGAAGCCCAGTACTTCCATCTGTTCCGTGAGCAAACGGCGAACGAGCTCTCTGGTTTCTTCGACTCGGCTTTCTGGACACGCAGCGTGCTGCAGGAATGCCATTCCGCGGCACCCATCCGCCATGCTGTTGTTGCTCTGGGCGCACTGTACAAGACACTAGAGAAGTCAAACGAGTCGCCGCCGTCGTCGCCTTTTGGGGAGCGCGATCCCGCCGATAGCGCCCCACGACATTGGGAAATGGCCGTCCGGCAATATTCCCATGCCTGTAACGCGCTGGTCAAGGAAGCCTCAGCTGAGACGACCTCTCACAGGACAAGGTTGATGGCAAGCGTCCTGCTGGCGTGTTTTGACTCTTTCGTTGGCGATCACAAGCAAGCCATCGTTCAGATCCAGACCGGGCTGGGCTTGCTCGAGAAGTTACGTAACGAGAGGAGGCGTGCCTTCCACCCCACCCCCGAGGAACCGGTAGAGGAAGAGCTCACGCAGATGTTTACCCGCCTCGCGATACAGGCGAAATCCTATGACATGGCTTTCCACTTTCCCCATCCGTGGGTCGTCCGTCTGACGTCGTCATCTCAATCCCAAGACCCCAGCTCTCCCGCCTCCGATGCTTCTTCTCCCATCCCCATCAAGCAGGAACCTATCCCGGACCGTTTCACATCCGTCATGGAAGCCCGGGTGGCGTGGGACAAGCTCTGCGAGCGCATCTTCCGCTTCACAGAAACCATGTTTGCCCACGCCAAAAACGGCGTCATGGGCGTGCTACCCAGCTCGTTGCAGCACTACGGGATTTCATTCAAGACGGACATCGAAGCCTGGTCGCTAGCCTTTGACCCCATTCTCGCATCCCGCACAGCGCCGGGGGTAAGCAGCCAGGAGAAGGCCGGCATCGCCGTCCTCAAAATGTTCCAGATCATGAGCAAGATTCTCTTCATGATGACCTTTAGCGACAGCGAGATGCACTTTGATAAGTTCACGCCCCTGTTTCAGGCCATCGTGGACCTGGCCGTCGAAGTAGTCGGCGACGAGGAACGGCGGGCCGCTGCACGCCGCTGCCCCGATCCCCGCCTCTGCCGGCATCAGCATCGGCACTGGCCGCCAGACATCTTTGGCGGCCATGAGTACGCCGCACGCCACATTAAGCCCAGCTTCAGCGCCGATTTGGGCATCGTCCCGCCGCTGTACGTCGTCGCGACCAAGTGCCGAGACCCCCGCATTCGGAGGCAGGCTATCCAGCTGCTGCGCAGCAGCGCGAGAAGAGAGGGCATGTGGGACAGCGAGTTGACGGCAAGGATTGGGATGTGGATCGCCGAGATTGAGGAGGAGGATCTGGAGGTCGATGAGGGCGGCGGCGGTTCCTTCACCAGCGCGATCCCGACGCCCGGGGCGAGCCCCGTACAGTCCATGTCTCGGCCAACGACATCGGCGTCGGGCGGTAGCCCGCATGCCTCAAACTCGTCCGAGTTTGGAGATAGCCCGCTCGGGCCAGGGGGTAATGCCCGCTCCCGCTGGGATCCGATTAGGGGGGCAGCGAGCGCTGCTGCTGTCGGTGCTGTCGCTCATGGCGGTACGCCTGTCCGGTTGCAGCAGCAGCAGCAGCAGCAGCAGCAGCGGAAAGTGATACCCGAGGACAGAAGGGTTATGGTCAGGGCGGTCGAGTTTGACTTGCGCGAGCGGTGGGCTGCGATCCAGCTTGGATCGAGGAACTTGAAGACAGGCACTCCGGACCTGAAGACGAGAGTCACGAGAATCACGTGGTGATTGAACGTGTCCCCGATTCGCCCACCACCACCACCTCCTCCTCCGCCTCTTCTTCTTCTCTTTTCCTCCTCCTCCTCCTTGGCGTCTTTATTCTTTCGCTTCTGATATACCCGAATGGTTTTGAGCGTTACGGTTCGAATGAATGGGAAAAGGTTTCATTTCCTCCTTTGGGTATGGATTTCGGGCTCTGCATGGTACGGAGCAAGAGCGACAAAAACAGAAGGGGCACGCTTGAATTTCCCGCAACCAAGATTCGGAACGGAACAAGCTTGGATCTCGGCCCCTAGATTTGTCTACTTCATGACATTTAAATTCATTCTGACCTCTGGGAGGGGAGCGGGTGCTGAATTGGAGACAGCGCCGATGGTTTGGAACCGGTCACTCGAGGATCTGGTATCTGACAGGATGGGATACGAACCTGCGGTTCGGGAATGCGGCAAAGCAGGAACTGTGGCTTTTGTCGGCTTCCACCAACTGCTCCAGTTCCCCCCTTCCCCTTTCTGGAACTTATCGCCTGGTGCTTTTACTTGTTGCCCTTGGGTCGTAGCACAGGCAATGAGAAGACGCTTGTTTACGGCGGGATTTTGCAGAGGGCCTGGTCCCTTGTTCGAATGTTAGTGTATAATAAAGCAAAAGGAATGTTGCCTTACTGATGATGTTCTGCATACAACCATACAAGACTTTTCCAGGTTCCTTCTCAGGGGCCACAACACCAAAGTGACCAAACTAGAAGACGAGTCTTCCTAAGCGCATGGCATAGCCAAGCAAGCCGACTAGTCGTATTAACTTCTATAGCAAGCTGCTACCATACCCATAATCCTCGTCCCCGTTTATCATTGATCGTCAATCTCATGGCAAAAACACGCTGTTTCCTCCCCATTTACCAACCATCATCACCCCCAACGCAATGCGTCAAGGACAAGCCCCACCCCACCTTCGTTTCCGTGAACTCACTTCCTTGCGGCCGCGAATACCACCAGTCAACGAGGAATGAGAAGAGATTTAAAAGTAATGAGAACTCCAGAACGCCGATGTCATGGTTTCGTGTGAAATCTGTGAGACCATTATATGTGCAGAAGTGCAACACCCCCTGTGATGGGCCACTTCCAGGGCAAGGGAAATTTACAAGATTTCCCTTAGCTTCTGCTTCTGCGTAGGCGTCAGCGTCATGGGGAAACGGACGTTGTATTTAACGATGAAATTGCCGCGTTGGCCGGGCTTCTTGGAGATGGGCATGCCGAGGCCCGGGTATGTGTCTGAGCTGCCGGGCTGTGTCGGGCCGGACTTTTCGATGGGGAGACTCTTTCCGTCGATGGTTGTAACCGTCCGTCTCCAGCCTGTGAGTGCCTCTTTGAGGTCTAGCTCGACCGTGTGAACGATATCGTCACCGTCGCGGACGAAGAGGGGGTGCGGTTTCTGTGAGAAAATCGGATTGGTTAGATTGGGTCTGGAATGGACGTCGGGAATGAGGTCCGCAAGCTTACCTCCTCAATGATGAATACCATGTCTTGCTGCCCACCCTCTTCTTGGTCGCCGACGCCCTTGAAGCGGATCTTGCTGCCCTTCTTGAGGCCGGGTTTGATGGGCACCTCAAGCAGTGCATCGGTCGTGGTCCGCTTGCCAGTCTCATCAAACATCTTGCGCTTAATCTTCATCTTCTTTGTCACGCCATTGTACAGGTCCTCGAGGGATACTGCCAGCGGCTTCTCGACCGTCGTCACCTCGGGCGTCGGTTGCCGCGCGCTTCGCATGTTATCGCCAAAGGAACCCCGCATGCCTCTCCGTGAGCTCGTCGAGCCTGTCGAAGACCTCGGCCCACTAAAGAAGATGTCTTCAAAATCGCTGCCCAGGCCACTGTCGCGGAACGTGTTCCGGAAAAGGTCGTTGGGATCGGTGAAGTGGTACGAGAAGCGCGCGCTGCCGCCGCCAGGCATGCCGCCGCTGAAGAAGGATGCGAAGCCCTCGGGAATGCCGCCGCCGGCGAAGGGGTTCGCGCCCGCACCGGCACCACCATCGGCCTGCGGGACGGGCCCGCCCCGCAAGATGAACTCGAGGCCGAACTGGTCATACAGCTTTCTCTTCTCCGGGTCGGACAGGATCTCGTATGCTTGCGAGCACTCCTTGAACTTTTCAGCGGCTTCCGGATTGTCCTTGTTCTTGTCGGGGTGCCATCTTAGAGCGGCTTTCCTAAGTGAGGGGTTAGCTGGCTGGGGTCAATAAGCGGTGGGCTGAGCAAGAGCGGTCTCGGCGAGGCTGTCGAGAACCGCCATCAAGCAAACAAAGAGATGAAAAACAAACAAGAACCCGACTCTCCCCTGCCGGTCTTCGGAGGCGGAAATGAGGGGTTGGGGGTTCTGAACCTACCGATAGGCCTTCTTGATATCGTCCTGGGTCGCGGTGGGGCTGACGTTCAAGGCGTCGTAGAGCTTTGTCTCTTTGACCATGATTGCGGCTGGCTACTGTCGATGTCTAGTTGTCGGGATGGATGGATGTGGATGCTGTTGCTGAGAGCCAAAATGTGCGCAGCCTGAGTTGTCGGCGTTTCGACTCTCGTGATGTGTCGGGTTGCAGGCAGGTTAAGTCTGCGTCGAATTGGATCAGTGGAAAGTGGGTGGATGTTGTGCTTGCTGCAGGCCGCCACTTGCAGCTGTCGTGGATAAGAACCTATTTGGCAGATGGTTCTGGAGTGGCGAGAAAGCTCCCGCTGAGCTCTAGAGACTGCTCAAAACCGCAGATCGCAGTTGGCTATAGAGAATTGATCACAAAGGAGATCAAGTTGAATGAGGCTATCGCAAAGTTCACAAAGTGAGTTGAAGAAGAGGAGAGAGGGAAGGCGTGCAAGGCATAACATAGCTTGGCAAAGAGGTCGTGTGTTTCTCGAGGAGCTTGTAACTAGAAGATTCGCGGTGAACCTATCGGCTTCCAGGGATCAGCAACAGTGACGCAGCCACTCCGTGGGAAAGTGAGGCGGTGGGGACCAACGGTTAGGAAGCCCAGGAAATGCGGTACAGTATGTTATAGTTATACCTCACCGTTCCCTACATTGTATATGTGTCCTAAGCGTAGCGATCTAATAGACCATTTTTGTCTGACGCCATCTTAAACTGGGCTGGTTATGAAAGACTTAACATCTTCCTCTTTTTAAAAGTTAACAACCCAACAACCTAAAGTTGCAACCGCGCTCGGCTCATAGTATATGTGTAGAGCTGTTTTCGTTCTATCGTATGTTAACAGTTGCTTACCTACATCTCGAGTGCTCTTCAACTATACCAGGTTAAATCCTACGCGCCTGCCCTTAACCATCACACGCCGTGAGACACCGCGACGAGCGCTCAACCTCCCCTACGTCAGCGAGTCTTGGGAATCAATTGTTCGGCCTCGTGCAGAGCGAGACGGTTACTTCCAGGGAAAGGTATTCCCGGTCGTGGTCCACCAGCGGGCTCTTCAAAATCGCTATCCCGACCGTTCAAGGTTCAGTGCGATGGTTTTGTCGCCGCGTCCTTGACAATGACTTTGCCGCTGCCAGAGGCTTATAAAGTCATTGTACCGATCGCTGAGGGAAAGAATCGATATTGCACTGGGTAACGGTGTAGACACCGCCCATGCAGTCGTTGTACAGTAGCAGCTTACCCTGCAGAGGACTTTAACGTTACGTGTCACACCATGTCCGTCTGAGGGTCCAGCGGATCTGTAGGTGAGGATTCGGCCGTGGCTGCGACATGTCGCATGCACCCGGAGCCTGATGTACAACGAGACGGTCGCCGCCGCGGGCTTGCCCCCGCAGCGGTCTGCATTGCTGGGACAGCTCTTGCGGCTGTCTGCACGGTCGTCGTCGAGAACCCTCAGTGCTCGCTTCCTGTTTGCATCATGACCATGACCGTGCACAACCGACCCTGGACCCTGACGTCGTCGCCGGTGTCGCCATCGCCAGAATTATCACTTCCTTAAGTTGCCCGCTATGGCCATCTGGGAGCGGACAATCGACTTTCTTTCAATGCCGGGCATCCGACGACAGCGGTCGGCGTCAGGATAAAGCGACCGTATCCCACAGGCGGAATGATAGAACTCGAGGCTGGAGGGTCGGCACTTTGTCTTGGGGCTTGAGTAACAGGGGCTGCATGCCCGGTTTCGCAACGATTCTCGTCCCTCCAGGCCGTCTACCAAGTGGCGCCTCTTGAGATGACTGCATGTCTAGGAGACGTCCGAGTAATGTTTGGCGTGCTGTCATGCCCGGTCGCCGTCGATACAAAGGTCGACATTGATGGGACTGTCTTGGCCGGTATACTCATGAAGTCGCTGGAGCCCAGTCAGTCATGATCGAGGTAAAGAGAAAGAGATCAAGGAACCAACGACCATCCCTGAGGTGATGACAGGCAAGCTCAGGCCCACCCGATCCAGCAGGTCAAGTCAGTTTGCATGTGGTTCCTGCTGTTCCAGTATGTCACCGCGGGGGTGTCCCCGTGTAGGGAGCGAAACTTCCGGAGTCTACGCATTCTGACGGAGGCCATTCTTATAGATATGCTCCGAAATATCCGTGCCGAGAGCCATGTTACCTACGTCCGCAGCTTTTGTAGGGCTCGCAAGGTTAGGTACTATATCTGGATGCGCGGGCCCGAGGAAGAGTGAAACCGTTAAATGTGATATGCGGCGCTACTAGTAGCTACACTGCGACGGGGTTTTGCCCAGAAGCTGCCGAGGCATCTGTGGTGGATTAAGCGTCGTTAGGATTGTGTTGGATTTTGCATCTCCAAACGCGGACCCGGCCATGTCAGATCCAGCCATATGGAATTATGGATGTACAGTACATACATGTAAAACCAAGTACCGCACTCGTGAGTCTTGACTAGGTAGGTAGTGAAAATCTAAGTCGTCGGTGCATTTGCTCGTGAAGGACTTGGAGAGAACCAAAACATCTAAGGTTATCTCCAAGATTCTCGGCCGCTGTGGATGGAGATGTAGGTAAGGTACCTAAGGTAGGGTATGTACGTACCTACCTAAGGTAGGTATTGTACAAGTTCGTTCAGTTTCGTCTCGCCTCGCAAGACTCAACAACCAATACGGTAACTATCTGAGAAGAGGTCCGCTCGGCGGATAACTAAGGTAATAAACTTGACCTGGAGTGCCCGTGAGATTCAGAGAGGCTCCGGCTGCCCCGGCGACGCTATGTATCATGGTGGTGGGGTTCGGTATCCGTACCTTAGTTGAACCAGCCGCGCTCTCCGGGCCTCACCCAAAATATGCAAGGGCCGACTTAGCTGCGACTATCGGGGCATCTCACGGATACCGGGTTCCACTCACGGACCTCATGTAAGTCGGACGGACGCGGCTGGCAGCCCGGAGCGGCAGCCGCTAGCACCCTGAAGACAAGTATCTAGGTACCTAGGCTCACTAGGTATCTTAGGTACGTCCTAGGTCTTGGCCCGGTTCAAGACCTTACACGGCCGGGTCGTCAGTCCGACTCAGTCGTCATGCTGGTCGACTTGAAGTACAAGCTTCCCGCATGTGAACGCCGCATGTAATGATTGAGAATTTGAGATGGTAGTTCGCACTTGCACGAGATGAACACGTACTTCTAACAGTACTACCATCTCATAGTGTACCTAAAGCTACACACCCGTGGACCCGGTGTAAGGCGCCGGACAGAGCCTTCCGGTGTTGCAGCCTCCATTACGTCATTGCGAGAGCTCGAAGCCATCGCAGCCACTGAGCCACAGCGGTCGAGATCACAAGATGCGTGAGTCCAGCAATTGAGGGGTTCTGGCGTATTACATTACATCAAGGACCTGACACACCTGAGACCTCAGATACCTTAACGGTTTGCTTCATTCAAGACGGCCTTGCCGGTTCAAGTCAGCCGAACAACCAGCCTGGCGATGGCGTAATGAAGCCTTGACGTCATGGTGGGTGTTTGCATGCCGACCGCCAAGGCTGTCCAATCATCCCCGCGTTCCACGAGCCTCACGCACGGGCCCCAAAGTCCCTGGACGATCTGGCCCCACAATCAAACGGCTTCAGGCAATTGAAGAGTGGGACCAGCCTGGAATGCGCCTGCACATCGCTCGTCTCATCTGGCACCGCGAACTCACTGTGACATCATCTCCGTTTGGAATGTTGGTGTTCGCGAAAAGATGGCAGTGGATCAGTAGGTATCAGCAGCCTGCTAAGCCAATTCTGTCCAATCCAAGTGGCCAATTACTTGCCGCGTAAGGCAGGGAGGCAAAGGGGCAGCTCTTACCCCAGCGCCCCAGCTAGATTGCCTGCGCCCAAAGCCGTTGTGGGTTCAGCAACGACTATCGTCTATGACGTAGGCGCTGTGTGCGACTCGTTTGCTGTTGCTTTGTGCAGTTGCTGACCAGATCCGGTGACTGCGAACCCAAGATGGATCGGTCTATATAATGCGCTTCCTCCCACTCCTCAGACCCTTCTACTCTACCATCAGCATCATCGACACAATCACATAACAGAGCAACCAATCAACCAAACACTCAAAACTTCTTTACACAACTACCACACCAACAATCATCATGGACACCATCAAGAACGCCGGCAACTACGTCTCCGACAAGCTCCAGAGCACCACCCACAGTGCTTCCAAGGAGGCCAACAAGGATGTCGCCAAGGACAACAACGCTGGCATCGGCACTCGGTAAGCAGATACTGCTCCCTCCGGCATGTTTGGACTCTTGCTGATTCCCATCCTAGCCTCCAAGCCACCGGCGACGCCATCTCAGACAAGACCAAGGAGTCGAAGCATGATGCTTCGGCCGAGGCCAACAAGCAGAAGGCTACCCACTAAGCCAACCGCCACTACGACAACCTTCTTTCCGCTTGCCCCTGTCGCGATCATTCATGACGGGATCTGATGGTTATGGTACATGACTTTTCGGGGAGGCGTTGCGGAGAAGGAAAGGGATGGATGGATGGATTTTCTCTTACCGTTCCCTCGCTTTTGAGATTTGACCCTTGAATTTCTGGGAGAGGGAAGGATTTCGCATACAATACCCCTGTTCACCGCCTTTACATAGCTAGACAAATCCATCTGTGTTCTCGCCATATCGGCGCGTGCCATCGATACGTCAATGTCAAATGTGCCCCAGGTGATGAAATTACTTCAATCGAAAATTACAATCTGCCTGAATTATCATGGATGCAATTATAGATTACAATGTCAGTCGCCTGATATACATAGACGTAAGTACCGTCCGACACGCACGTGACTTGTTGGGCCCCGTCATTTCAAACACCGTTGTTACCATTGTAAGCGGGCAAGCGAACCACCGTTGGAAGCGAACCACAGCCCATTTCTGCCACAATGCAGCCACTGCCAAGACTTGGCAATTGTATTAGATTGGACAGTTTGAACTTGTTTGTGGGGCTTGTGGCCGTGCGGCTCGGTTCTGACGATGGTTCGTTTCCCCACTTACAATGGTATCGAATTCTAGCCCCTGTCAATCTTCTCTCTTTCTTACCTTCCTGTGAATATTCATTTGTCAGGCCATATTTGGCATTGCCGCCAACCTTCCTCTCGCTAATTCTGCCGCACTTGAATACATGCTCATCCCATACATTGATCCTACAGCTTTCGTGACGACATTTCACTTGAAGAACTGAAGCGGGATCATACAATGTATTGTAATCAAACCCACAGCCTGGCTCTGTTTCAAATCCATTCGTTCGTCATAGTTGCACATCCTCCATTGAGCTTCTACACGTCAGGATCAAACGCAGATGGACAAAACAAACTCGCAATCTTCCTCAACCGCTTGCAAGCAAGCTAATTTCGCCGGAAAGCGTTCGGCGTCCGAGGAACTGAATCCTGACACTGACATCAAAAGGATAAAGCCCGCCCATGATGGGGTGATAAAACCAGAAGCTCAACCTCCGGTTATGATCTCGAGGATTCCTTTCCCAGAGAAGGTGCCTACATTGGACTATCCCCGATACCATGAAATGTCGTCTGAACTCATGAAAGCCTGCAGTTATAGAAGAAAGAAATGGCGAGATTGAATTTCGAGTTGTCAACAATGACGGCGCCAGAGACAGCTGGATCATTCTTACGGGCCTCAAATGCCTGTTCCAAAAGCAACTCCCGAAAATGCCCAAAGATTACATTGCACGTCTTGTCTACGACCGCACTCATTTGTCCCTCGCTCTCCTCAGGATGCCCCTAGAGGTTGTCGGCGGGATAACATTTCGCGAGTTTCGTGCCCGAAAGTTTGCTGAAATCGTCTTCTGCGCTGTCTCGTCTGATCAACAGGTGAAAGGGTACGGAGCCCATCTCATGGCCCATCTGAAGGATTACGTCCGAGCTTCTGGACCCGTGATGCATTTTCTGACTTATGCCGACAACTATGCCACGGGGTACTTTCAGAAACAAGGGTTCACCAAAGAGATCTCCCTCGACAAGTCTATCTGGATGGGATATATCAAGGACTACGAAGGAGGGACACTGATGCAGTGCTCTCTGCTTCCTCGGATACGCTATCTCGAAGTTGGTCGCATGCTACTGAAGCAGAAGGAAACCGTGCTGGCCAAAATTCGTCCCTTAAGCAAAAGCCACCTTATACATCCACCGCCTCAGGAATGGGTCAAGGATGTTGTCGCCCCAATCGATCCGCTTTGTATCCCTGCCATCCGAGCAACCGGCTGGTCCCCGGACATGGACCAACTATCACGGGTGCCACGCCGTGGACCGCATTTTAACGAACTTCGACGGTTTCTCTATCAGATCCAGAACCATAAGCAAGCATGGCCCTTCCTCAATCCGGTCAACAAAGACGAAGTCCCCGACTATTACAATGTCATCGCTAACCCAATGGATCTGTCGACTGTCGAGGAAAAGCTGGAGCTTGATCAGTATGCTACCCCGAGGGACCTCGTGGCCGATCTCAAGTCGATATTCAGCAACTGTCGGCAGTATAATGACGCCACAACCGTGTACACCAAGTGTGCGGTCAAGCTGGAGAAGTACATGTGGAGTCTTATCAAGGAGATTCCAGAGTGGTATGATCTACTTGAGGAATGACTGGTGTTGCCATATCTCTTTTTTTGTGTTCGGTACCGCGGCTTGCAGCCAGAAGTAGGGTCGATATCAGGCGCTTGGTTCGAACCCTGGTTTATGGGGTGCCGAGGGCGTCACACGGTCACGGTGGTAAGGTGTCCTGTGTATAGGATTTTACAGCCTCAAGCGTCGGCACACCTGTCATCTTTGGATTGATATCAACATCCTTGAGTATGCCTTGCGACTGGCTTTGGCGGGGTCTCTAAATCATGCTAGCCGTGGGTTTTGTTTTGATTTCTCTGGGCCCTGTTTTGGTTATTGGGAGTAAGGGGTTGACGGTTCCTACGGTATGGCAGCGTACGGTATTTTGATTTCATTCTTTAACCTATGATACACCAAATCGACTCAGATCTCGAGGCCTTGTGTGAGAATTCCCGACTTTTCCGTTTCTCATGTTTTATTGCTAGCATGTGTAACTCTGCGCTCCTGGCTAGGGTCCTCTCGAGCAGAGGGGTCTTGCCCACAGACCCTCAAAATCAACCTGTCTTGGCACGAAGCCAGCTGATCAAGCCACCTCGAATTTGAAAGAATCCCTCATCCAAATTTCCCGGATTTTATCGCATCAGAGCATATAATCATCCTAAACTCAGCCCCAAACACAGCACCAACCAAAGATACATCATCATGTCAGCCCCGCCGACCTCCTTCACTGCCCTGCTGCAGGACCCAACAACCGTCACCTCGCTAGCGTCGACCGTCGCCATCCTGCTCGCCGCGCTGGCCCTCTCCCGGCGCGTGCTCGACCCGGTCTCAACTCCGCCGCGGCTGCGTGCGCTCTTTGTCTGGCACGCCTTTGACGCGCTGATCCATTTCATCCTCGAGGGCGGGTTTGTGTACCACTGCCTGTTTTCGTCGGCCCCGGTCGCCGCCCTGAAGCAGCGGCAGGCCGGCGAAGCCTACTACTGGCCCGATCCCGAAAACTTTCTGGGCTCCGGACTGGGCCCGGGAGTGGTGGCCCATGGCTCGCAGGCTGCCGTGGACGAGAGCCCGCTGGCGAAGCTGTGGATGGTGTACGCTAAGGCGGATAGGCGGTGGGGTGGGGTTGATCTGGTGCGTATTTCTGCTCTGGCCTCTTGGACCTGGAGTATCTGTCCGTCTGTGATGGTGAGAGGACTTGGCTAATTCTGGAGACGGTGGCGACTCATGCAGACCGTTCTCAGCCTTGAGATGCTTACGGTGGTGTTTGCCGGGTCTATGGCGTGCCTTGCTTGTTATGACATTGCGAGGAAAAGCCCGAGGGCGAATTTGGTCATGATCATTCTGGCAACGGCGGAGATCTATGGCGGTAGGGACCCCTTTTGCAGCCACCCTACTACCTGGTAGCATGTATCTGACTTGAGAATTCCACTGACTCACCGCAGGCTACATGACTTTCATGCCGGAATGGCTTACTGGGAATGTCAACCTCGACACGAGCAACTTCATGTATAAGTGGGTCTTCTTGATTTTCTTTAATGGGCTATGGGTTGTCGTCCCGTTATATGCAATCTATGTCGCTGTCGATGATATCTACGACGCATTCAAGGCGCGAGCCACTGCTTTGGGGGAGAAGAAGGCCAAATGAAGAAGAGGCTGTGAGACTAGCTTACTTCTACCTAGTGTACCTTACTGCCAATATAATGAGTTTCGTGAGGCTGCTTGGCTTTGATGAAGATGCAAAAGAAGTGAATCGCCCCGTTGTGTACTAGTAGCGTTTTCACCTATAGGTACTCCGTACTTCAAAGTCGGGACTCCTTATTGGCCCCAAAGAGGAGACCAATCCAGGCTTGTGTGCCATGTGTGGTCTTCAGAATTCACCAGCTTCCAGCCACAGGCAGACACCGAACTGGGAGATATAGAATGAGAGCTAAGCCTTGGTATCCGGGGATCGAGTGGCTTGACCTGGCAGGTTCAAGTGGCAATAATTACCCTATGTGTAGCGCATGATAGTTCGGGCCAGAACCTGAATCCCGGGATAACCTTCCTCAAATCCTTCAAGGTTCTTCGGAATTGTTACTTCCGGGGGAAGCTTAGCAAAAGAACAGGGGTAATTTCATGCGAATGGCTATCTATCTAGAAGCTTTGATCTAAGGTGGACCGCCGTCTACCTTAGTCGGCTGCTGCCGACCCTGTCTGGTTAAGTGCATGTGTACATAAGTAGGTAGCCCAAGTATGTCATGATACCTACCACTGGTCGTTGATTCCTGGTCTCGGAACATTGGCAAATTCTTGTGCTAGTCGTGACGGCTGACGACCTTCTACTTCTAGTGGCCTGAAGTAGTAGCCTGTAGCCGATGCCGGGTCGATGCCATGTCGGTGCCTCTCAATTTGAACGCTTCGTCAATTTCTAGCCTCCTAGACAGCTGACTCCGTACAGTACATGGTGTTAGGTTAAGCCGCCCATGGCCACACATCCTAACCCTCGGAAGTGGCTTTCCACTACCTATCCTCATGCTGTTCCGCAAGGACTGGGAAGAGAAGGGCACTTCAGACTATCTAAGTGTAGGTAGATAGGTAACTATGTAAGCATGTTGAGATTTGACTGGATCCTGCTCAATGGATCGGCTAGCCCGCAACCCCCCTTGTTACTTGGGCTTCCGGGAGCCAGCTTTCCGAAGAGCTTGATACACAGGGGAAAGGGGGCTTGGAAGACCGGATGAACCTTGCTAGGCACTCGGAATCCACTAGGATCCATTGTCCAATGGCCACGCGAGGCATTCTGGCGGGTGGTGCAAGGCCTCACCTAGACATTATGATGGGGCCAATGGTTGCCGTGTAATTGGCGGGTCCTTGGTAAGAAACAACCGGCCAGTCTTGTCTCGTCTCGGCACCAGAAGGCTAGGAAGGGAAAGAACGCATTAAAGAGGAATTTGTACCTGCTTGCAAATGGCTTATCGAACTTAACTCCTCTCACGAAAAGCTATGGGCGGTGGATAGGGACGATCTATCCTTCGTCTCTCAACTACCTGAAGCCTCTCTCATATGCTGTCCCTGGAGCAACCACTCATCCAGAATCACCCCACGACTGCTTTGGAAGGAAAGCTTGCAAACAAAAATAGACTGACCTGGTTGTAGCGTTGATCAAGCAAGAGAAGCGATCACAGCTGAACTACATAGGCCTGGCTTATTGGGCGAGAACAGTTCTTGTATTTGCTGCAGCGAATGTCTTGCTTTGGCGATGTTTGTTGAACTGAAGTGCAAGCAAGGTGCAACCGTTTGATACGCGACCAGGAACATCCATGCTCTTTCTGTCCGCAATGAGACCCTTGTGCCTGCCAGACAAGGTGCCCCACAAGAAGCTCTGGCCAAAGGGTGGCTCCTGCCCGCCAACCAGGGGAGCTTGGCTGGACTTTGGCAAGGCAGTCGAAACCTGGGGTTGTCACAAAACTGCTTCAACCCCACGGTGCAACAATGCCCTCTGCGCCTAGCGCCTTCCTCAACCTTGAATCTGGCGCCGGGCCGACGCCTTTCCATTGCATCCTGTACCACAGAAGCTTCATATGGTCCAAGGCCTCGAGGAATCGACTTCAACACTTCCCGTACGCTAACGACAGCACTGGCACGCAGCTTGGCTGCTCGCCAAACCACCGTCTTCTCCCGCGTCTCTGTCCCGCCTTGGCACTCGTGATGGAAGGGTCGAAGGGTCGCTGTCTCGAATCTCATGGCCACCTTTACCCGTCTTACCCGTCTTACCCATCCGCTGCGCTGGGTAACGCCAGCGTTCTCAGCTCGAGATACACCTCCAATTTCCAAACCTCATGAAGTAACTACCAGTCCTGGCCCATGTTTGTAGATACCCGAGCTACTCTTGGCTTGCTGGAGTCTGGGGCCTGTTCTTTTAGTCTGCTATGAGATGCGGGACTGCTTGTGTTTCTCATAGCTTAATAAGACTCCCTTGTCACTGTTTTCATGCCTTGTGCAAGTTGACAGCGCCAGCACCACCTCGTTCTGGAACACCCCCACAGTCTGGGGTGCTGCGTGCGTGCCCGTCCCGCACCCCCAGCCTCAGATTTCATTCGTCCCGTCATCCGTCCCTGGACCCTGTGCCTATTCCCAGCCGAAGACGGGTAGGAAGTGCTGGGTTGCTCAGGCACTGTTTCGTCTGGTCCGTGGTGGTGCTCGAGCTGTGGCCATCCTTGCTCAGCATGCTTTGAGCCGAAGGGTAGGGGTGGATGTGGCTGGAGGGGGGTGGATGATCCATTACACTCTTTGTCTCTTCCTTCTTCACGTCACACTCTCAATACTCTTCCTCCTTCACACATCAGCTGAAGACGTAGCTGCGGAATCGACGACAAGGTGGCATAGATGACTTGACAACGGACGAATCCGACGGCGCTGCTCCGGCATCATCGCCTTCGCCAGCCACGCGGCTGTAAACACCGAGCTCGCCCCAATGTCGCCGTTTGTGGGAGTCAATGGGGGCGTCGGGTGGTTGGAGTCGCGGGACGACGACACGAGTTGGATGCCGCGAAGCAACTTCAACAGGTCAAGAAATGGCTTCTATCAGTCGGCAACCAACCGGACAACCACCCAGCAGATGTTTATCAACGAGCTGAGATTTTCGGCCGCTAAATCTATCAGAACCTCGACACTCATCCTAGCCTGCTTCAACATTGTCGCTGCCTTTGCCACGGCTCTAGGCATACTGTGCGATTCATACTTCAGGGAGAAGCGGAACAACAGGAGTTACAGGTTCAGGTACCGTGCTAGCGTTTGCTGCGGTTGACCGTCTGGCGAGAGGCGACTGCTAACGCTTTTCAGGGGTAGCGGCTTTAGATTCGTGCCTGAGGGCGAAGTCTACCCGCTCGTACTATCAATCGCCATATTGATCCAGAGCATCACATTTGCCGGGGCTCAGGGTACGGGGCTAGACAGTCTCTTCGGCGGAGGCTGTACCACGGTATCCCAGCTGATGCTGCCCGGTGGGTACCTCGGTACTCGATATTGGATAGTCTGGAAGGCTCGCTGACGCGCAAGGCAGCTCTGTTTATTGCCCCCTACACCCAGCTTGTATTCGGAATCGAGATCGCCATCCGGGCGCTTCGGAAGCAGCCGTTCGCTCCCAGAGGCAAATATAACGTGACAATCTGCCTGGCCATCATTGGCATGCTGACCCTGGTCAATTTCCTGGTCGCGGCCTTCGATCAGGCCCGGAACTTTTGCTTGACGTCCCTCTTTTGGTTCGTCTCGCACTGGTCGCTTCTATGTTTTGCACTCCTCGTTGTTATTTCGGTCGTCGTCCTGGCTTGCACCATCATCATCTTCGTCAGATTGTACCGAAGCATCAAAATCGAGGTGACTGCCCGGGTTGCCGCATCCAGAATGGTTTACTACCTGGCTCTTGCCGTCATAACCACAGTAAGTCATCCCCAACTTTTGCCAGGCCGCTTTCTCCATTTGCTCACCTTTGGCAGGGGTTCATGGTGCCGTTCTTCTTCGTAATATCATTTTTGGACGAACGAGGTCAAAGTTCCAACGAACTCACCCTCGGCATGGTCGCTTCGGTAGTTGCCAACGTATCCGGGCTAATGACCGGAGGACTTTATTTGTTTCTGAAGTCGAGCACCCTGTCGACCATTGGCCCCAAAGATAAGGCCGGAGAATACGAGAACCGGAGGGCAAGATACAAGATTAGACGGTACAGTCCGAATGACGCTGATGACGGCGATGGCTTCGATAGCCACTCTATGCACCTAGTAGCAGACTCGAGAAGCCTGCATCGAGTTGCTAGCAACACGAGCTCGACAGATATCGATATTGAGAAGGAGGAAGAAGCGCTGGACGGCAAGAGCATACGCTCGGCATCGACCACGGTTGGCAGGCGAACTCCGGGCTCACTCCGCTCGAACGCACGCATGCCCGTAGTGCCAGCAACCCCTTTGCCCAAGGCCCCGGAGCCCGCACGAGTCCCGCCGGTGTCGCTCGTGCGCAAACGTACTTATTCCCTGTTTCCGACTAGCGGCACTGCTTCGAAATCACCATTAACTCTCTTGCCTGCTACTACATATTCACCAGCGGACGCCCTCAAACCGCCTCCGTCCATGGGTAATCTCGCAAACATGCGGCATCGGAGAGACTCGTCACTGGTTTCCTCGGCGACTGTTCAGATCGGACTGCGCCTTTCTTCAGTGGAGGATATGCCTCCAGTAGCCAAGAACAAGGTCGTGGCCGGCGACTGCGAAGTGTACAACCTGGACTGCCCCAACGTCCTGAAAGAGTTAGAGATGGCAGGCCTTAAACGCCCGATAGCCATGGATGGCGGTGCCACCACTCCTCCACTGGCCTCGCCAGCGGACGACAGGAATCCTAAGCGAGACCCGGTGAAAGACGCAAGGATGAAGACGCTGCCACCTGTTCCAGGGTTGCCCGTCCAGGTCGCCCAAGACCAGCCAGCGGAGGAGGAGCCTACCTTAAGCCCGACCGTCTATGATCCAAATAGTCCCATCAAGACCAGCCTACCGACTTCAACAGGCTTACAAGAGGTTACTTTGAGCCCTGCCGTCTACAACCCTCAAAGTCCAACCAAGGTGAAACTGCCGAGTCCCAAGGGTGTTGGCTTCACGACGCCCATGGCGAAATCGGCAAATGCTCCCGGCCCTCGGAGTCCGCCGGTTGCACCACCCCAGCGCCGTGCTACAGGGGAAACTACGCCCTTGCCAACGGACGCCAAGGGCGCCTGGATATAGCCTATCGGTCTGACGAACGAAATCGTGCGCTCTCATACAACAGCATTTTCCGGTGTTGGGTTGGACGGGAGGGGTGATGTTCGATTCGATAGAGAAGCCGCACGGCCGGCTCATTTTTACAATCAATACCCTGCTGGCTGCGCCAAGAATATTACTTTCTAGTTTGTCGAGACTGTTTGCCACTTTTGAGCCTGCATTCTCGAGGAGTTGGGATATCATTCGGTCAGCAAACCGAAGCCAGTCATTCCATTTCTTACCTTCCGTTCTTCTTTTTATTGTTTCTTCCTCATTCCCATTTACTTTTGGAGAGGGCTCTTTCCATTTCACTTTGCATCATGACGGCGTCTAGAGGGTGGAAAACTCACTCCATCGCGCAGTCGGTGTCATAGACCCTTGAGGCTTGCGCCGCTGCGGTATACCGAGGAGCTTTGTCATGCTGATAGCACCACCGCTTACTTTGATGACGCCTAGAACAGCTGTTGCTGCTCTTGGGTATGGACTTTCATGGTACCTTATGTTTACTTTTAGGATGTTTGGGAACAGGAGGAAGGAGCTAACTCATCAAAGATTAAGGGATTCTGGTGAGAGAGCAGGATTTCATGCGCTCTTAGCACATCGCTGGCAGACAAGCAGCCAGGAAACTCTTTGAAGGGAGACTCAGAAGTAAAGGACGGACATGAATGTATGATGAAATGTGGCAAGTAACACAAAATGGACATCCTAGGTATATTCTCTTCTTGACTAGCAATACTGTTCCATGTGCACTCCGCAGCCCTGAATGGAATGTGTCCCGCCCCAGATGCTCACTATTCATGTACTTCGTACTCTTCAAGCGCCTTGGGAAGAGCGAAACCAGGAATGCTAAACAGTGACATTGTACAGGGTAACAGGACATGCCTATAGTTGGCTCAGAGGCTCCCAGGTTTGTATACCTTTTTGATCACAACAACAATCGTGAATACATGCCCAGCAACCGGTTTAATTCTTTTAACCCCAAACCCCGGTTTCATGCTCCCATTCCCCTGGCCTACCCGCTCCTCCTCCACCACCGCCCCCACCGCCACCATTACCCATGCCTCCGACATCGTCCCCTCCCTCGCCCATCATCTCCATGCCCCAGCCCAGGAACTCGGTCTTTTCCAACTCGCGCACAAAAAAATCGCGCTCCTCCCTCAGGGCGTCGCGCAGCTCCGGGGCCATCTTGTCCGGATAGCGGCGCAGGTTGAACCAATGGGTCAGGCTGCGGAGGGCCTGCTCGAGGGGGAGAGCCTCCTCGACCTCGGCGTCGACGTCGGAGCCGGCGAGCCACTCGTCGCGCAGCTCTGGGCGACAGTGCAGGTAGACGGCCGTGATGACGCGCATGTTTGTCTGGCGCCACTTGCGGCCGCAGTAAGGGACCTGGTTCTTGAATAGCTTGAGCGTGTATAGACGCAGCTCCTGCTGGGGCACGCGCAGGGCCTTGCGGAGTATGTTGGACGACTTGTACTGCACAAGCAGGAGGTTCCGGTGCGCTTTGTGCTTGCATATCTTTTGCATCACGCGCAGGTAGTTGATGAGGGAAAAGAAGTTGCGGCGCGAAAAGTCCGTGATGGGTTCCGCCGGCAAGGGGTTCACTGGGTAGCCTAGCTCGTCGACCTCGGGCCGTGTCGACGAGGACGGTGACGAGGAGGATTGTGCTTGTTGAGCGTCGAGGGCGGCTGTGGAGGAGGTCTCCGCGGATGTATTGTTAGTAGTGCTGTTTGCAGCGGCTGTGGTGCTGTCCGCTTCGGGGCCAGCAGTCAGGTGTGAGCGGCGGCGTCTTATGGGTGGCGGCACGGCGTCGTCCTCGCTGCCGTCTTCTTCAAATTCTGTAGCGGTTGGGTTCGGGACGTTGGGGTGGGGTATGACGCCTGCTCGTGAGCCGCAGAAGTAGAAAAAGCTGTGCTCGAGTCTGTCCGTCTTGCTCTCAACGACTTGCTGCACGTCGTGCATGGCAAACAGCTTCAGCGCCAGCGGAAGATAGTTAGAATCCAGGAGGAGCTGGGTCATGTACTCAAACTTCAGGACATCTGATCGGTCTGTCAGCGCCTCTGCGCGGATGCGGGAGGATGCGGGGGGATGCGGGCAGCTTACGAGAGAGCTTTAGCCACTTCAACAGGAGGATCATGATGCCAGTAACAGCCTTAGCAGCGATTTCCCTACTCCGCAATTCATCCACATCGGCGTCCAACGGCGAAGAAGGGTCTCCCTTGGGGACTCCATTAACGCCGTTCGGCGCGTTCTGGCCCTGGCCGCCGTTCGGGCGTGCGCTGGCTGGGCCGTTGCCCTGCGGGCCGTTAGCAGTCGAGGGCGAAACCATGTTAGTAGCTATAGCCAAGATCTGCTTTAGCAGCACGATAACCAGTGACTGAAGGTGCGGTAAGGCCTCTTTCTAGGGTCAATGTTAGCGGGACATATGATGTGGAGGAGCAGTCAAGCTCACATAGAATTCCTCGACGGCATCTAGCCGCTCCTTCGTCCGCTGATCAACTCCGCGAGGGCCATAGTCCACCTCGGGCGCAGTAGGTCTCCTTGATTCGCTAGCGGGATTGGCAAGGCCTAACTCCTCCTTCTCCTCAAGCGTTAGCGATGACAGGTCGAGCTCCTCAATAATGTCCTCATCGACCCCGTTCCAGCCCCTGTCAAACTTGAGGAATTCCTCTCGCTCGCGCCACAGCTGCCGGGTAGCGCGCGTCATGCGCACTCGTTTGGAGAAGAGCTCTCCAGCCTCTAGAATGGATGCTGGGACGTCGCTGCCCTCCCATTTCCTGCCCACCAACTGATCCTGGAGCGCAGCGGCGCCCTTACCTCCGGCGCAGTTGCTAGTGGCGTCAAGAGGCGGGTACATGAAGGGGAAGTTTTGGTTTGTTTGATAATTCTGTTTCTTTCCGCCTTTACCACCGACCCCAGGGCTAGGGGGCGGTGACGGCGCAGGGGTTGCGATGTGGACGGGCTGGTGGAGAATCGAGGCTCCTCCGCTTTGGCCGGGGGGCCCGGGAAGGATGCCGTTGGCGCCGTTGTTTCTTGTCGGATGGTTTGGGAGTTGGGGAAGCAGGGATGTTTGCTCTGCTTCAAGCGGCAACACTGGCTGGGGCGGGATGTAGGCCGGGTATTTTGACGTGATCTCTTGCCGAAACACGTGGTAGTCTAAAGGAGATGCCGTGATGGTCTCCTTGGCGTCGTCGCCCTCAGTCTCACTCGTGGCTTGCTTGGTCTCGGCTAGCTCCCTGGAACCGCCAAAGACAAGCAAGATTGACTTCCAGAAGAGGAGAAAGATCTGGACCGTCAGTATCCTACAATTGGAGGAGGGTGGACAGCCCTACCTGGTGCTGGGGAAGGATCCCTGTCTCGTCCCATCGCAACTTGGCTGTGACATGAAGCATGAAGCAGACCAAGCTCGGGTTGAGCGCGACTGCGAACCAGCATCAGCCGTCTTGCCGTTCACAAGGATAGGCGCCGTGCTTACGGAGCTTAGCCCGAACTTCGGCCAGACCTTCCGGGTCATCGAGCACCTCCTGGATAGCAATGTACATGATGGTCATCAGATGAATCAGCTCTTCCCCGACCATTTGCGCGTTCTGCGGCAGCTCATCAGCCCTACCGCCAAGTCAGCTCTCACCCGACGGAGACCCACGACAGAGAGGAAACGGGGCACGCACCAAAACAGCTTAAAGAGACCCTGCAAGACCTCCCAAACAACCTGGATGCCCCCGCAGCTCGCCAGCAACCTCACCCCGTCCTTCATAGCCTCCAGCTGCGCGCTCGTCGCCGCGGTTCTGACCTTGCCCTGGACAACCACAGGCGCGGCCCCTTTGACCGTCTCGGTCCACCTGCCGAGCACGAGGTAGACCAAGGCGCCGATAGCCTCACCTCTGGCAACCTTTTCCCCGTTCCTGACGCTCTCGAGCAGCAAGCCCTCCACAAAGGTCCTGCGGAGCGCTTCGTCCACCTCGTCCCAGGCGGGATGCCCACCACCGCCCTCAGCATTGCCATCCCCGCCGCCACCGCCAGTAGCAGCATCATAACTATTACGATGATTATCATAGCTACCGGGCCCCTCGCCATGATGCGTGGACGCAGACGGGGACGGGGAGAACAGCCTGGCCCAGGCCGAGTAGAAGGCGCGGTTGGCGGCGTTGAGGCGGACCCACTGCCAAAAGTTGTACATGAACCACTCGTCGATCTCTTCGGGGAGCGAGTCCATGTCCGAGTAGACATAGTCGTAGGCGATGGGCTCGGTGCGGGGGATTTCGGCTACGATGCGGCGGAGCTGGGCGAGGGAGAAGGACGGGTCTTGAGACTGGGATTGGGGTTGGGGCTGGGATGAGGGCTTGGCGGCGCCCGGTTGGCCGCCGGCATTGCTGCTGTCATTGTTGTCGCTAACGTTACTGCTGCCGTCGCCCGTGGCCATGAGCGGAGAGGGTGCTATCGCGGGTGCCGCCGGGGTGGTGACCGGGCCGGTGGTAATGGTAGAAAGTGGTGGCGGCGGGGCGGGCGACTGCTGATTCCGATGGAGTTGCGGGCGTTTGGGCGGGAGGGTTTTCTGGGTTTGCTGGGTGGTCGTGGTGAGAGATGCTGCTTCCTTTTTCTGCTGATCTGGCATGTCCGTTGGCTGCTTCCTGCCCGTTGCGACGTCGTCGTTTTAGAGAATCGCGATGGCCAGAGCGCGTTCATGATTGCTTGGCGCGCTTAACGTTAATAAAGCTTAGCTCAAAGCTCTTGGCAGTGGGCATTGACACGGTTGGATGGAAATCAATGCGGCGGGTCGAGATAAGGCTGACTGATAACATTCGACCCCTGAAATTCTGAACCATCACGGACAACGAGTCGAATGGCGTGTGCTTGCGACTATATAAGGTGACTTGAGAACGGAATAGATCAAATAGAGCAGTCATACATAAGCTTCGGTAGCCCCTAAACAGTGTTGCCACTGGTGTTACAGTGCGGTCCATAAACACACTGGAGGCAAACTGAACTGGTCTATCAATCACAATGTGCGGAGCCCGAGGTTTAAGTCCCTTGAAGATTGAAACCACATCATAGAGTACCTAAGTGCATGGCCAATACACCGGCAGTTGAGGTATTGTACTCGAGATACACGAGCGGTATACCTACTTACCTCTAGCCTAACACCTAATGAGATGCCGGGATGAATCCTCAACCCGAATTACCCGTCCGCAACACTCCCGCCCTCCGATCGTTCCCCTTGCTCCACTTTAGCAGCCATCTTCTTCTCCTTCTCCTTCCGTCTCCTCTTCAGCTTCTTCTCGCGGTTCAATCGCTTCCTCTTCTCCTTCAGATGCTCCTCCTTGGTAACCAAACTCCTCTCCTTGGCCGCCTCGGCCTCCCTTTTCGCCTTTTCCCTCTTCCTCAGCACGATCCGCCTCTTCTTGCCCGGCCGTCTCTTTGTCATCTTGCTCATCGTGCTCCCCGGTTCCTCACTCCCCTCCTCTCCCTCGGCTCCGACCTTAGCACTAGCCGCCCAAGCATCGGCACCAGTGTCGGCCGTGATCCTAACAGTCACCACCCGCCAGGGGACCTCAAGCCCCCATGCGCGTTCCTCCCTCGCGCGGCGGACCACCTCCCGCCCGGCCACCGCCGCAAGGCGGAACTGCTCCTGCTGGAGAGGCGTGAGCGGCCCGCGGATGTAGTGCGACAGGGGCCGCGAGGCGATGGGCCGGGCGGACGGTACATATAGCTCATCGTCTTGCGAGGGGAGGACGACTTTTTGGGAAGGAGCCGAGGTGGAAAACAGGCGGAAGGCGAAGGCTTCTTGTTGTTGTTGTTGTTGTTCCTCACCTTCCTTCCATGCTGCTTCTGCTGCCTCGTCTTTGGGTTCCGAGGCTTCGCCTGGATTTGGTTCCGATGAGCGGGGAATATCGGCTACGGGAATGGTGGTGGTGGTGGTGAGGGCCGGGATGGCGAGGATTGATGACAGGTGCGCATTCAATCTGGCGCGCAGTTGTTCCGCGTCTTCCTGCTGCTGTTCATGCTCATGGTCTCGGCTAGGGCTGGAATGCCGGTCCGGAGAGAAATCACGGAGGTCTTCTCTTCGTACTCTGCGCACTTGAGTGGTCAGTGTGACGGACAAATAAATGCCCGTGGCAAAAGGAAATGAAAGGGCACAGACATACCGCTTTGCGTCTGGGATCTCAAACATATCTAGTTAGAATATCATATATAGCATTGATGAGTAGGTATCAATGTCTGCGCGGCCGGCGGATGTGTGATGTGTGTGTTGAGTTGTCGATTCATCAATGAACGTTCATATCAATAACTATGCTGAGGTGAGACTTGAGTTTTGAAAGACCCTGTTGAATTTCCGCCAGCTGGCAGACAGACGTTGGAGAAAGCGCGATCTTCCACATCTACCTAGTTGACTAAATACCCTAACCCTCGAATGAGACGCCTCGCGGTGCCAAAACCCCGAAGAACCGAGGACACACAAGTTCCCGTCCTCGGCCAGCTGCATGCCGCCCGGGACGGAGATGCGCCCCGTCTTTAGGAATCTGCTCCGCCACCTCGGGAATGTTTCTCATGCAAGAGCGCACAACGCCGGAAACACGATTGGTCTCGGCCGCGAGCCCAGACGGCAAAAACGCCCAGACAACTTCACAACAATACCTTATTAAGAAAAGGCAAAGCGATCATTTCACTCTCTGTATTTCAACTTGTATTCTGATTAACGTTGGCGAACCTTGACCATACAACAATTGAAGTCGGCCCTTGTCCAATAAATACAAACGGGACCCTGTCGTTGCCGACTTAGGTCGGGGGGTATCAGAGGCGAACTTTTCCTCCGCCGTGCATTTGACCATTTCCCGACCAAATGACCATGCCTCCCAGTGTGTATATCAAAATTGCGCAGAACGACGCCGCAGCCGCCTTTTCCTCTTTTTTTCGTGGATGCCGCTGGATTTGAGATTTGATTTCAAGTCGTAGGCATTGTACAATGATACTGATACCCCTGGGTGGATGAGGTCGCCGCCACCATTTCACCTCCAAAAATATAGGTAGGTATCCTTGCGCGTTTCGAAACCAGCTGGAGAATACATCAGATGATACTGGCCGGGCAGTCAAGAGAAATCCAACGTAAAATATAGCTTCGTCAGTCAATCAATCAGGTCCTGAGTGGTAACCGTGTGAGAGGGGAAGTCGACGTGTACCATGTGTGCTGGGTGTGATGCGCGTCCGATAAGTGTAAGTGTATGAGACAGAACATAAGACTGATGGTATCGATCCAAAATCCGCTTTGCCGCCAGCTTCCGCCAAGCGTTCGGGTGTTAACAGTGAAGGCCAGATGTGACAATGATGCTCCGAGGCAGAATTGAATATGAACAAGAATAATAGAGAGGGAAATAGTCGAAAGATGCAGAGTTCCGCCCAGACATGTGGCATTCGCAGACAACAGCGAAGCTGAAAATCACGTCCAAGCCCCAACACCAAACCAAGCGTGCCGCCTAACCAACCGGCAAAATACACACTCTCATTTTGCTCCATCCGCCCAAGGCCAAACTGGTGTGGCTGTCCCGTGTTCTGGAGCTGGGTGGCGTCGCCCCCGTTGTTCTTCACTGTGAGCTTTCGGCTCAACCATACCACGCCGCTGCCTCGGACGAATATCGACGCTCGGCTGGAGAACGAGATGAAGGCGCTCTTGGAGGGCCTTGATCCATCAGTCAAGTGAAACGGAGCCGATCAAGTTGCGACGTGATGTCGTGTAGCATATCTAGGTGTACAAGTGGGAGTATTCATGAGGGCTGGAAGTGTTAGATCGAGTCAAAGCCAGCCATCTGTGTTCGCTCCGGTTATAAAGGCACCGTCGCAGATTCCTTCTCCACGGTGACGGGTGATCCGAGATCGTGTTAGGGGCTACGACCCCCCCACCACTCGACGCCTTTTCTCCCCTCAAGCCGCATTCCAGGCATAATGACCCACGCTTCCATACAACCCACCCGCCGAGGGCGCACCGTGTGACTGTTGCGTTTGTTGCTGCGGCGGCCCTGGCGGTGGTGGATGCGGCTCGGATTTGACGCTGGGGAAGGCATACGGTCTATCCGCGCCGCCTGGGGCACTACCATTCGTATACGATACGCTCGGAGCAGAGGGTTCCCCGGCTGTCGTGGTCCACGACTGCGAAGGAGGGAAATAATCTCGAGGCGGTGGGGCATTCGGCGCTGTAGCTGACGGGGGCGCTGATGCAGTGTCTTGGCTAGGCGTACCATACGCCGCTGATGCTCCTTGCGCGGGCGGGTGCTGCGATTGCGGGCTCATCTCGCTAGTGCCGTACACTGGCGGGGGCCCATACCTGTACTCGCCCGAGGCTGTGTCGTTGGAAATGGAGCTGGCGACCGACTGGTGACTGGCATGGCGCGGGCTCTTGGACGGCCGCGGATTATTGTCCACGTAACGGGGCACATTGAGCGAATTGTCGGCCGTGGCCGACAGCGACAGGTGTTGGGGTGCTGAGGTGCTCTGTACGTACGTCGCGTACTGCGTGCGTATCGGCGGTTGTTGCTGCTCCTGCGCTACTAGAGATAGTTGTACCGACGGCATGGACGTCGGTTGGATGGGCATCTCCTGAGGCTCGGCGGTGAAGCTTGGCGCTCCTGATAGGGGCATCTTCTGATAAGGTTCCGAAGGCATCGTTGTCGTCGGGTACGTGGCTGATCCGGGGTTGTGCGGCATAGACACTTGGCTCGGAGGATTCCATGTCGTCGGATACGAGCTACCCGTCACTGTTAGTATTTCGTTCCCTTCTCCCCTTGCCCCTGCTATCGGTCCAACCGACTCCAATCCAGCCATGAAAAGCGGGGCAAGACTTACTTGGATCTCATCTGCATCGGGCTTTGCGGCATTTGCTTAGGGGCGGTGAAGGTGAAGGCCGACCGGGGCACGTCCAGACTCGACACGCGGGGTCTGGAATCGTACGGGGGTTTGTTCAGGATGACTGCTTGGGCAACGATTCCGTGGCCCGTCTCGACCAACGTCTGCCCTCGGGAGCCAGCACTTGACCCTAGCAGTGGAATCTCCTTCCTAGCCTGGAAGTTCCGTGGACTCCTTCCCCGCACCACAATCGGCGCCGTCGTCAGCTCCGATAGCACCAGTTTCTGGCCGTTAGCCAGCGTCCCATGCAGTTTGAGATGTAGCACGAAATGCTGCTGAAGCTCTTTTCGCCTCCCATTGTTTGCCGTCGCTCTATAAACCAAGGTTAGTCATCGTCTCACGGCTAGGAGACAATCAAGGCGGGAACCCACATCCTGAACTGCAGTCGCCGCCATCCAATGGGGTAGATGGCGTAGTGGTCGCCCCCGGTCTCCTCTTCCTCCTCGGACCACGGGATCAAGGGCAAAGTCGGCGGCTCCTGGTCAGGTGTCTGGTTGACCTCGGGCGCGTTCGGGGGCGGTGTCTTCCAGGGGATCACAATCAAGCGGACGGGATGGCCATCGACAGATTCGATCGCGGATATGCTAACCTCCATGTTCTTGATCTGGCTCGTCTCTCCTGATTCCAGGAGGACCGACAGCGGGATCTGGGGGAAGCAGAGGCTGCCGCTGATTTGGAAGAGGTTGCGTCGGTAACACGTCAACTCGGCATTCAGCACGTTGCCGTCTCCAGTCGTTGAGGGAAACTCGGATAGGAAAAACATGCCGTGGAGCTGTGCCTCAATCTCCATCTCGTGGATCCGGCCCTTGGCGTCGATGATGGTGTGTTTGTCCCCCACTTTCTTGAAGGATAACAGCTTCTGGTCGTGGTTGGCCGGCTTATAGTCTTCTCGCAGGTCCTGTACCATCTCCGTGTACGGAGCCTGGTCTACTTGCGAGTAGGGGCGCTTCAAGCTGTTGATGCCGGGAATGCTCATCAACGAAGGGTGCGGGTACCTGTCGTACGTGTCGCCCTCCTCCTGGCCAGGCCGGCCCTGCTGATACTGGGGATGATAGTCCATGTTGTGTTGGCGACTTCTGGGGCGGACGAGATGTGATGATGTTGATGGAGGCACTGTTGCCGAGGGATCTTGAGGGTTAAACCTGCCCGTCATTTGCACCGGGTTCCCATAGTTATTAGACCAGAGGCTGCCGTGTTGCGTCTCAGCCCTCGGCTCGGTCATCGTGTACGTTGCCGTTGCTGACATGGGAAACAACAACAACCCTTCCCAACAAGGGCGTTGGAGGGAGTTCGCTACAGGAGCCCCGCCCTGATATTTGATTGAAAATCCCAAGACCTCCTCAAGTACTGCCGAACCTTCCTTATCTCAAGACGCCAACACTCGACGACTAAGAGAGGTTGAATGTTTTGTTTGGGACCCGAAGCTGTGGCGAAGGCGTACAGGTCGGATCACAACCCGCGCGAACTAGGCCATGGGGGAAGTGTGTATATACTTGTATGTTTCTAAGCCAATACGATCAGGTGCTGGACTAGGTCGTTTTATGAGAAGGCTTCGGCAGTCTCCCGGGGGTAGCGGCAAGGGGAAGAGGCGAGGCTACCCTAGCGGCTTTGCAACTGGCAAGGAAAATGTTTAACACCGCTTGCAGGGCCGGTGCAGAACCGTTCCAACCATACAGGGAAGGAGGTTGAGAAACGGGGCGATCTGGCAGGCAGACCCGAGGCCCCCTTGCTAGTCCAGATGGGGCAAGAAACCTCCCAGGGTTCGCACCCGGGCAAGCACAAGGATGTGATTGCACACGCTTCACATCAGCCCAGTTCCCCTTGGCCCACGCTGCTATGGCCGGCTCATCTCCCACTGAGAAGCATGAACCTGAAGAAGACAAGCCGGAGACGGTATCCCCTCTGGCCTTGGTCCAGCGGCCCTAAACCGGCCAGACTGCTCGCGCAAGGTCCACCCACAAGGGCAAGAAAAGCCAAACCAAGAGGCATACACCTATCCGGATGGGGTAGTGTACTGCGAAAGGACATTGGGACGGGGGTGTGCAAGTATAGGAATCATGTAGTGATGGACACTCGTACAACAGTCGTGGTGTGCCCTGCGTGCGCGAAGCTTGATTGATGAGTATGTACATACACGACGACACCAGATTTCAATACAGCTCCCCTCCTTCTCGTACCCTGTTTCCCCTCTGCCGAGCGGTCTTCGGAATAACAGTGTGCTGGCTCGATGAGGAATGGCCCAAGGGCAGCGAAGAACCTGGCATGGGGGGTTCTGAATGGACGTAAAGAGGTGGGAACATCTGGCCAAGCCGAGCGATCAGAGGAGCGGACAGGACGGCAAGCCCGCCCTCCGCCCCTCCTCCGTTCCTCCTCCGTCCAATCCTGGGTCAGGCATCAGGACCCCGGTCGATGGACCTTCCTCGGCCGAGCGAACAGGGATATCTGATTAGCAGAAAAGAATCCTCCGAGGGACGCTCGCGACCCGCAATGATTTGGACGACCGTTGGGCAAGACAGCGACGAAGGGCCCCCGCGTGTGCTCCAGAAGGGAATGGCGTCTGTGAGAGAAAAGTCGGTTCACGAGATTGCCCTGGACCGGGGTAAGCAGAGACGAACCACCGAACCCCAGCAAAGACTCGGCTGGCGAAGCTAAAAATCCACACACCCCTGTCATATTTCTTTCCCCTCCCCACTCCAACCCAAAGGAGGTCACGGAGAGCAGCAATAACAAAGCCCGTTATAGGTGGCTTGAACTTGTCGACGGATAGACGCTCTGTGAACCTGGCAATTGACAGAAGTCCGATAGAGGAAATCAGCGGTTACGCAACGCAGCCGCATTATCGCCCACTAACGTACACTATAGAGGCGTCACCATGTTGAAATTATGGAGGAGACGTCTCCACATGTAGTTAGATTGGCCTGAAATATTACGGATCCCATAAACTCGCCATAACTTCTCTACGCCGGCGAGGCGCCTTGGGAACGAACGAGTGGACCAAGGCGAGTCTGCAATTCTGCGAGTCTGTGCAGTGCGTGTGCTATGTCTCTCGTCCCGTCCCAAGCAGGAAGGACACACAAGCGACAGCGGGAGAGAAGAGATATTCATCTGACCTGCTTGTCCGTGTAAGGGTGCCGGCGTGTCTGAGGATACTTGACAAATCCCTTCGTACGGTGGGATAAGTGTAAGAAAGCGAAAAGATGGGGGTGACGTTTGTGGCTGGAACGGTCCATCTGTGGGAGTAACGCCACCTCCATGGCTTTTGGTAGGAAACGTTAGTTACAGTAGGACGCAGAATTCCAAGGAGTTGGGATGGTGGAAGTGCGAGGCGCTCTCTCCCACGAATCGAGTCGACTGATGAGTCCCTTCGATATTGAGGAACCCTGAAAGAAATGGGTTTCGCGGTTCACCAGCAGTTCTGCCACCAGAGCGGTGGGGGGAAAGCAGGGAGAGGAGCTAGGACACCCCGGTCCTGCAATGCCCGATCCGGTCGTGGTGCAGAGCAGGGGGAAGACCGCGCTTCACCATCCGAAAGGCTCCGTGGCGGCCAGGAGGAAATGCGGAGGTAGTGTAGGGAAACGGCGCGTCACGACATTCCCGAAAGGGAACTGGGTGCCTGGGCCGCTAGCGCCATGGCCTGCACCCCGGCTGACGTGAAGGCGCCCTGAGCCCGCCGCGGCGACACAAATCTCGGAGCATCAGAATCGTTGTCCACAACTTTGTGCGGGAGAGACAACCGTTTGCGGATGCCGCGTCTGGTGGCACGGCAGCGAGCTCCCTTATCAAGGCTCGGCGGCACAGACGCCAGCCGTACCTTCCAGTTCCTACCAATGTCTAACCTGCCTTGGGGAAAAGAGAACCTGTCTTTGAACAATGTTGCCGATTGCTTCTTTTCGCGTGGTAAAATCCGGCGAGCTTGGAGATTTTTCGTCACGCCACAGCAGATGCAAATGCGTGGCTTTGATCTGGCCGCCTGCTGCTCTCGTCCGTTATGATTGGACCAGGAGTGCGGAACCGAAGGCCCTCGTCAAAACCTGTCGGTCGCTGTTCATCGACATGCCTCTTGCTGTATCGTGCATGCAGGTGGATATGAGGCAGGTGCATACAAGCAGCTAGCTGTCGTAGCAGGGAGCGCGGCAGAGGCAAGACGGCTGCTGCTCGGCGCCATCGCCAGAGAACGACAACGTTTCCAGCGGTGCGGACAACGACAAAGGTCTGCAGTGTCACCCATTCCAGAGGCGTTAATACGAAGCATTGTCGTATAGGCTGTCTTTCCCCAAGAGAACTGATAGTGACAGAATCTGATCTCATGTAGATGGTTGCCAGCTGGTAAGTATCCCGGACCCAGCATGTGTGCAGACGTTGCAACCGCTAGTTGGGATGTGAAGTGCAATGTAGGATAAATTGCATCGCAGCCCTGGGGCCTGGGGAAATGAAGGGTGTGCAGCCCAAGCTGTCTCTTGTTTCTAAAAACGGCCCTTCGGCAACGGCGATGGGCATCACACTGCACTGCACTAGACTAGTGTAATGTGCGTGTATGGAATACACTGCATACATTCATCTGTGGTATGTACTAGTAGGTACGGAGGTAGTTCCTTCAAGGTTTGCGAGAGACCGACGACATAGCGCCGTGACTGCCGCGGCCGCGCTTCAACACAATGCCGCGCTTTCCCTCCCTAAGGTAGTCTCGGTGGGCTCGGTGGCAGCCATGACCAGTAGTACCCTACATGTGTACTAGCAGTTGCAGTTTCTATTGTCTGTTTCCCGATCAAGCGGTCGCAATATCAGGCAATTGCTTTTCTCCCTCCAAAACTACCTGACATTCTTTTCTGATAACTCACTGCTCACACACCTGTAATACTCGAGACCTGCCCCTGTGTACTGTACAAGTACATACGTACTTCGTACGGAGTGTGCGATCCTAGGTTTAACGTTATGTCGTGGGACGGCCAACGTTAGCCACACCTCGCTTGGCTTCTGGCCGGATGTGGCGTCGTTAGTAATGTCTTAGTTTTTGAAATCCAGCATGCATACGGTAGGCGAGTCGGCCCTGATAAGCCCACGATCCGTATTCTTAAATTCTTAATAACTGATAGCTTTAGCCCTTTCTATCTCTTTAGGTTATTTCTGTTCCTTCCTTCTTTCCCTCTTTACCCCATTTTTCTCTCTTTAGCTTTTTCTGCTCTTGCCCTCATTGATGAGGAGGGCCAATAATGTCAGACAGGTAAGTAGAAGGCCCAACCATGCCTAGTGTGGTAGTAGTGTAGTGTAGTTACACCCATACTAATCCGGCTGTTGCCGGTGGCTTTCGGGTGCAACGTTCAAACGTTACAATTCACGATTCCCATCGGGCCCAGGTCAGGGGACTTACGGGCAAAATTTGCGAGATCTGCTTAGTGTCAATGCCGATGTGACGTCTCTTCGCATCGCATCTGAACGCTCACGCACCTGTCAGGCGCAGCCAGATGCTCTGCTAAACCGTCACGACCGTCTCGACAATCATTCAGGCTTCAAGGTGCGCTATGTCAATTTGTCAATTGTTGAGCCAGGTGAGCGCTGCAGGGGCGATGCCACACTCCGTTGACCGTCGAAGGCTCAAATTAATAAAGTGCGACTACCTGCACGTGCTGTCGTACGCGATAGTATGTGTAGCTCTCACAGCTTAGGCCAACGGTCATCTGCCTGGGTGTTCTCAGATTCTGATACCTGACCAACGTGAATTGACGGTTCGCTGCGAAACCAAAACGCGAACAGCAACCGCCACGGGGAAATGAGACAGAGTGCTGGGACAGTTACACTCATTGAGCAGCCGCCGTGATGACTCTGATAAGATGAAGGCACCCAAGTACCGGGCCGAAAAAAAACATTCATGTTCCCAGCAATTATCTCGCTTGCTCTTACACTATTGACCGGGACTTCAGCATGTCCTCAATCCTCATGCTCATTACTCGCAGACCGAGGTTCTTTCTCTGATGAAGCCCGTCTTATCGCCTCCGGCTTAAGGCTATATTTGCTGGCTAATATAGTGGTACCGCATTCTTCCCCTTGTCACCCAGTGCCTGACATGCAGGCCTGCAAAGGATGACAAAGCTTTGTCCTTCAATGTTCTGCCCACAGCAACTTCATCGCAGCTATGGTGGGCGGTTGATGAAGAGCTGGAAAGACTGGCCTATCGACGGTCAAGGAATCGCAGTCGCTCTGTGGACCTCACTGGTACGCGACATAGGTACTGGATAAGGAGCTAGGGAGGAGAGCTTGCACTACATTTCGGGACTTGAGCAGACCGCGGCACCTGGTGCCGGCACTGCCCTGCAGTCATCGACTGATGTTGCAGCAAGCCCGGCTGTCAGCTCTCGGCCGGCGACCTCCCATCACACCCCCCATACGCCACCACAACCATCAGAGTTGCAAGATCGGCCAACCTTGCCCTCGCCAAATGTGGGGATGTCATCATGGGGGCAAACAAGGTTTCCAGATGATCGAAAAAGATGCGCGCCAAAGGCTGGCACACTGAAATATGGTGTGGCTCTGGCACCAACGCTGCCAGCCGAGCCAGCTAGCTGAGCTAGCTTCTCGAGAAAACATGACGAATCGGCACGGCAGCCGCTTCACGGCCATGGTTATAGAAAGCCGCCGCTACACTGGTGCTCGTCATTCATCACTTTCCTGCCGGAAAGCCCATCAGGCGCTCCACTACAGAAAAGCGGGCGGTTGGCGGAATGGCTTTGCCAGCGAGATTGCAGCACCAAATCTCTCTCGGCAAGGGTGAAGAAGCGCCTAGACTGTTTTCAGCAGCCTTCTCCGGCCTGACTACCCCATCCACGGAAATCCTACTCCCCACTAGGGAGAGCAAGAATCCCATGCGGAGCACGCGGGCCCCTCCCGTGTCTTTGCCGTGGTGGAGGGGGGAGAAGATCCGCTGGCTGCCGGGCTCGTTGTCATGGTTGGATCATCATGCACTGCGATAATCGGTTTGATGAGGCGGCCAGCTCAGTGTACGGTACTATCTGCGTGTGGCTCGAGAACGCGGTAGCCGATAGGAAAAGCTAAAAGCTTAGCTGAGCCCAAGCTTGCTAGCGCCCATTTGCGCCTGGCAGTCAATGGAAGAGATGCCATGGGCATGTCTGCCCAACGTCGACAGTAAAGCGAGCGAGTACCTTTGACAAGTTCAGCAAAGGACTCGTCAATGAGCCATTTGGTATCCCCATGCTGGACTTGTTGGCAGGGCGTGTGCTGTATGTACATTGTCTAGCTTCTCAAAAATCCACCGGCTACACCTCATGCTTTCTCTATACATTGGGAACATCATCTAATGAACCAGCAGGACACATCGAAGACACTTCTTGCCTGACTACGTACACATTACAGAGGTTTCGCTCTTATTAACCAGAAACAGCGGCACAGTCTGTCGCCAACGATTCGCAGCGTCTAGTCTCCTTTCCGCAAGCCCGGCGCATTTTCGTGCCTAGTTTATGTCTTCTTCGCCGTACACTCGCACGTACTCGGCGCCGTAGCTTGTGTCCTTCCCAAAGGGGAGGCGGGGCAGGAAGGGGAAGGGAGGTGGAGTTGACCAGGTCACCCCACTTCCGTACTTTCAGTTGCCTGCTCTCAACCTGGATCATCAAAATTGCCTACACCAAGACGATATTGGACCTCTTCCAAGTAAAGAAACACTCGATATTGGCCCGCACCAGTCGTTGTCTCGTGGCAGCGGAAGGGAAGGGCACGGCTGCAGCCCTACCTATCGAGGGCCTCGTCGATAATTGACGGCTGATACCCTGGAAATTCGACAGCCGCCTAGGTGGTTTGGAGATGGGCTCAATCTACTTGCTACAAGATCTATGTCGTTGATCCTGGATTCAAGCCGTTCCCCAGAGTCCCAGACAGACGCGGAGAAACAACAGAAACATTCTAGAAACAAAGAGACGGGCGCCTGCCATCTAACAATGATTACTGCAATTTTCAGGCATTGGTTCATCGGGCTGTCACCGAACTCTCCATAGCGGAACCCAAGGTTGAGGTTGAGGACTTGAGGTTGGTTACCAGGTAGTCTCTGCAAACAGTGCAAAGGACAAGCTTATCACGTTCCGACAGTAAACGTATTTTACATACATACCCACAGCCGACTGAGACACGGCGCCGCCTTTCACCGTCTGAACAACTTCCGCCAAGAAGACTAGTTGGCGCTGCAGGCACCAGCGGAAGAAGTGGCCCGCAGCCGGTGACACTAACACAGCCTTCATGCTCGTCATAGCTTTTCGACAGCACTCCTGTCTCGATTCCATTTCCAGCAGCAACATGTCTGTGTCCGCGCCAATGCCAATGTCCGCGCAGTGCGCCTAACTACCTACTTAGTGCAGCGTGCTGCTTTGCGCTGCTGTCCCGGTGCTGACGATATGTACATGTACATATCTCTCTCCAGTTTTCCTTTTTTGGTTCCTTAATTGAATAGATGCCGGTGGACGCGGGAAGTCACCAGCGCCATGCAAAACTCCCTCACGGGATGGCACCCTGCCAATCGAATCCTGGGGTGGGGTTAGGTTCTTCTGGGGCAGCGCCAGGAGAGGGGCGCCGTTATTGCAGCAAGTGGTGACTTTAGCCTGGAAGGGCCGATTCGGCGGCGCTGGCAATTTCCCAGCCAATGGCAGCGACGAAAAGTCGAGCTGGGAAAACAAGGTGCGGCTGCGTTGATCGTGGCGCATGGCCGCCTCCATCCCGCTTCTCGCCCCTTTTTCACTCGTCGCTTGTCTCGAGCTTGTCACCGACTGCTGGCTGGTCGGCTGGTCTAGTGTGTCCTGTGCATGCTGCATGCTGCACCGGGTCTGATTGGGCGCTTCCACGTCGCTTGAAAGTCGTGAACCGTTAACGTCAACAACTATCCTCAAAAATCGATTTTTCTCGGACACACAAGCCCCCTACATTGTGCGGTACGCTACCGTAGCTGACCGGGACACAAGTGAACAGGCGGCCCATCATCATGACAGTGGACCTATTCGGAGTTTATTAGATGCTACCGAGCTTGTCGATTTAGCTTTGGTGGGGATCCGCTGGCCCCGGTTTGCCGTGATTCCGAACGAAACCCAGCAAAAAGAGCTCCATATCAAATCCTTGTTCGCTCCTTGCACTCACCAACTCCAGAAAGTCCAAACCGTTTTGGGGGACCGACCAAAAGTTCCCCTGGAAGCCCTGGATAAGCCAAGGGGAGCGTTCCCGCCAAACGAAGTGATGTCGATGCCAAGTGGAGAAAAGTCCCGACCTGCCCAGACCGGAGGTCCTACTTCTTGTGGTAAGTGGCTTATTAACTTATCGAGAGGCTCAATCATAATAGACTCCTCCGTGCAACGAGGCTGAAAGCCTGAAATCATCAGTGTCGAGAATCAAGATGGGGTCTCCCACGAACAATCAGGTTCGACCGCAATCTCATGCTGAATCGGCTGATGCTTACCCTAGCCTCAAGTATTGTGTCTCGGTGTCTGGTAATTATCCAGTTACCTCTTTTTACACTAATGCCTTCGTATCTTTGGTGTCCATTTTGTTGCCTGCCTTGACAACCGACGGTTCATCATGGATTATTATCGGTTTGAGGACTAACGCTGTCCAGATACCCGCCGCGTACTTTGTCTACTGTGTACCTATGCTCCAACTCGGTGCTCTATCCCAACGGATCATCGGCCGTTCGGGCGCGGCTGCCGCTGAGACTGGACGGAGCAACGACATTCATTACATATGGAAACCTCACGATGCAATCGATCAATACCTCGATGGCCCGTTTTCGGTGTTTCGTTTGAAACATTCGAAACACCTGCGACGATGGTGAGGAGGTCTGGCTCTGCTTGTTTCCCGAACTTGCAGCAGCCCTCTTGACCCCGGTTTCCGCCTTTCCCTTTCGTGGGCAATAGTGTACGAGTACAATGTGTAAGTCTGGGTACCTAATACGCTAGCGCAAAGCAGGCCAGCCAAGAGTACAGTAACACGTTCCCTGGCGGCGTTGCAACGCAACAAGTCACGGCAAAAGCGTCAAATTGGACTCCACAAGCAGCCTACGCTATCCTGCAGCCTAGGAAGGGCATGGCGTTGACAGCAAGGCGTAAGTCAACTACGGTTGAAACTTGAAAGGTCCAAGTGATGGACCACAATCTCAGGCTCCATCTCTGCCTCGGATTCGATGGCTTCATCACCGGTGTCATCTCGTTCTCGCCGAGCATATCCACTTCATTAGTTATAACCACAATGCGAACCACCAGGGCAATGCGAAGAAAGGGAAACGCATGATGGAGATCGGCTGCTCCCTGGTTCAACGACCCCTGGACCAGAGCCAGGCACCATGCCTTCGCTTGCGGAAAGAAGTACCGAAAGGGCATTACCCTTGCTCCTCCAACGTCAACTCCTCTAGTCTAGCTAGGTTGTCCTTTTGGCCCCGTCTAGCAGCAAATGCTCAACACGAGCGGCCATAACAAGCACATGAACAAGAGCGAATGCAGTTTCTATGAGGACGTTGAGCGGGCGAGACGGTGCTCCTACACTGCTGTGGTCCCCCAGTGACCGCGCCTCGCGCTCACCTCGCCTGGCCACCTGATCTGGCATGGTCGGTCCTACTCCTGTGCATATTATCTGCCCCGGTCGGCAACGAACGAAGAGCAAGAGATGGCCTTGTAACTTATGTATGTAGAGTTACATACATACAGCATGTCAGTCTCTCACCCGAACTGCGGAGAGCGTAGCAAGCAGAGGCGGGCATGCAATGGCACGCTTCTCACCCCTTGCTCTCGCACAGGTTGCGGATCATCTTGAGAGCCAGACTCAGGAACATGAAAGGCGAAATCATCCGCACGCAAGATGTGATACAAGTACAGGAAAAGGCGGTGAATAGGTAGCGGACAATGCAAAGAATAATACCGTAGTCAATGATCTGCTCGGGTCGCCGACGAGCTGGTGATGTTCCCTTCTGTCCCTCGTCTATCCGTCCGCCCGGCCATCCGCCAACCTGTCTGCCACGGCGCCCAATAGCATGGCCTATCGAGTCCAGGGGGAGAGAGGATATGCCTTGGCCGCACGCGACCTTCTCGAAGATGCAAGTGGGAAATAAAACCAATCAAATAAAAGAAGAAAGAGACATAGAGAAGGGCTGTTGGATTGTCACTTGGGATACGGATATATGCAGTGCTCGACATGAATCTAATCATCGGATCTGTTACGTAGACCAGAGCATGAAAGGGAGGGGGGTGAAAAAAGGTGAAAGGAGAGTCCTTCCCCCTATTGAAGCAATTTTCGCTGATGGCCGAGACTGGATACGCATACACAGCCGTTTCTGTCAGTGCAGCGGTCCCAAAACGGAAGAGCCAACCTTGGAAGTGTAGGGTAGCTCGGTAGGTCGGTTAGGAGATGACCGAGTATGGAAGCGAAGTATGACCGTACCACTGTTTAACACTGCACATCCCCCATCGGTGGTGTATCTCCGCAGGGGATGGAAGAAGGAACGGGAAATATTGGACTAGCACATACATACATAGATTACACTGCCTAAGTAGTAAGGCTACACTAGATCGGTTTATGTGTTCCCGTGAGAACTACATGTATGTACATACAATAATACACTGCGACCTCCTCACGTTGGTACCATTCAGATCGGCCTCGTTACCGAATTGCACACCTTGCTTCCTCCCTGCCGGTGACACGCTCGCCGCGCACCAGCCAGCCATCGTGATTGCCGGTGAGGTCAGAGGGGCGCATGCATTGTATTGTACAAGGGGCAGGATCAGGGAGCCCTAGCGGCGCAGCCGCTGGCCTACCCGGACCGTATCTAGCCAATGTTTGGATGCCGTACGGAGGTACACACGGTTCGGCCGTTGTCGGCCTACCTACTATTGACACCCATTTCAAATGGCAAATGAACGTCAAAGCGAAGAGGAAAGGGAGAGGGAGAAAAACACCGCCAACGGTCTACACGCGCACTCTCCCAAGCCGAGTAGCGGATGGTGGTACTACGTCCGATAAATCCAGTTCTGCTCGGTTACACAGCGACCGACAAACCCAAAAGGCAAGTTAAGTGTGCTTGCAAAAAGCAGACGAAGAGCCGCAGGCGAGCAGAAACGAAGTAGTAGCGCAGCAGGCAATCCCCAAATTAACACCCCCCCCCCCCCCATTGTGGAAAAGCTGGGGGGAAGGGAGGGGACGGAAAGGGGGCGAAGGGGGGGCGAGGGGGGAAGAGAACAGAGAGGGCCGGACAAGAATGTCACGTAGCCATTGCAGATGGAATATATCTCCGGGGCGCTCTTTCGGGACACAGGCTTGCAGGAGAGCCAGTGCACAAAAGAAGGAGAAAAGTAGTGTAAACGTAAAACAAAAAAGGGACGCAACCAAGTGGCTGAAAGAGAATTCGGCACGATATCACAGCCTTGACACAGGTATTGTATGTACAATATGATAGGACTCGTAAGCCCCTGAGAACACCAGGAAACACCAACGGCATGCTGGATGCGCATACTCACCGTGTCTACACTTAGCTAGCCGTACCAGTATCTGCTGCGAAAAGGGATTCTGCATAGGCATAAAGTAAAGAACATGGTGTGTAACAACTTGCCTAGGCCGTAGTCCAGGGGGCGTTTGCAGATATTGACTGTCCTATGAATACAAGTCTTACACTCAACAACAGGAACGACGTTGCAAAGGCGGCGCCGCCGCCGGTTGATCACTTAACTACTGCAAGTGTCCCTGACGCCAAAAGCACATTGCCACATGGTGAGAACCTGCAGCAGCAACAGGGTCCTTGGCTCCATGACTACGACGGGATAACGAGGAGACCATGACCCCATCTCCATCCCGCCGTATCCCTCCCCTTGCTTTCTTGCCATCGCCTACCGACATCCATCCTCCTCTAGGTCACAAAAGTAAGGCCCGAAATGGCCAGGCAACGGAAAGCCAAGCCGTAGTCGTGAAATGTGACTGCAGTAGCGCACCGCAGATCGCTACGGTGCTAACTCCAGACGCAGACAGACAGACCACGTTGTGATCGGCAAGGTTTATGGGGCAGGGGTTATGAAGGGTGAAAGATGGAACGGTAGCAGCGCTGGCGTTTTGACACGGCGGAAGCAGTTGGAAAGGTTTCATTCAACTTGATCGGATTCATAGATCGACAGCTGCTAGCCGAGCAGCAGGACCTGAACTTGAATCCGGTGGCGGTGGGCATCTTGAGGAGTGTCGTGTCGAGGTATAAGTGCCCGCAGCAACACAGAGGCAAAAACCGTGTCTATGCTGCATCTTCTCAGTCGTCTTCCTCCTCGAGAAGGATATCCTCCTGATCGTTCAGGGCAAGCCTCACAAAATGCCTCACCCACGCCTGATGCGCAGGGTCTAGCTCATCACCGTGTCCAAATTCTCCTAGATCAGCATTTGCCCTGCCGCCTTCCCCTCCGCCGCGGCCATTCTGGTCTCGATTTTGGTTCTGATTCTGGTTGTTGTTATTGAGGTTAACATTGCGCTGCTGTGCGCGTGGTGCCTGATTTGCTGGATTATTGTTATTTTGCCGGTGCAAAGGACCTCCCGCTCGGGCACGGCCCCTGTGCCCGCCGGCAGCGGCAGCACCAACCCCTGCTACTGGACCTTGACGTCCGTTCCCTCTCTGTACTCCTCCACCTCTTGCCATGGGCTGATTTCGTCCTGGTCTCGCTCCTCCTCGATTAGGAGGAGCTGCTGGCGCCACAGCAGGTTGATGCGCGGCTTCTCTAGCCCCATGTCCTCCACGGCCTGGCCCGGCCGGTTGATTCGCAGCTATCCGAAGCACAAGAGGGCCTTCCCGGGCGATGTCGACTCGTCCACCTTCTACCACCGGGTCCTGCTGCTGTGGTGCAGCAGGCTGAACTTCTTCCTCTCCAAAATCCTCCAACTCATGGATAATGTCCTCAATGGGCACGTCGACGACCGCTGCCGCAGGGACAACTTCCCTTGCTGGCGCACCCGGGCCGCCAGCGAAATCATAACCGACGTCGTCGCCATCCCCCATCTCTAACTCCCACAATCGCATGTAACATCCAGTGACGCGCCCGTTAGGCATCTCGTTGAAATGCTGATATGGATTACCAGGGTCCAGCCAAGCAGAGCAAAGATAGCAAAAATGAGTCTGGCACCGGTAGCAAATCATATGGTTACAACCATGCGACTTCTGAGCAGGCGCCTCGCAGGTAGGGCACGGTGTAGTGTGTAGCTTCATGTACTCGAGCGATGCCTGCTCCTCAGCGGTGAGCTCCTCCTTGTCGCGGCGCGGCGTGCAGCGGACGAATTCGCCATGCCATGACTGGTAGCAGCGGCTGCAGAAAGCAAAGCTGCACTCCTCGCAGATGGCCAAACGCTCAGCGGCCGGCTTGTACGTTTCGGACTTGCCCTCGCTCGCGGCGTGATCCTCATCGTCTTCCTCCTCTAAGCCCGACTCATCAGAGGCTTCGGCTAAGTCGAGCCCCTGAGGTTTCTTGTGCTTCTTAGACCTTGCGGCACCATGGCACCAGGGTCGTGGGCAGTACACGGTGTTTTTGTCCGACTCGAGCTCGGTCTTGTATTTTAGCGTCACGTAACGTTTAACCGTCTCCTGATCTAAGGGGATCTGTAACAGCTCGCTGGGGCTGATGAAGGTCCTGGGCTTCTTGCGTTTCTTCCCTGATGCGGACATCGCTTTTGAGCGCTCTTTTGCGCAATTCGGCGCAAGACATCTGACGGCCGCAAGGTCTCCTTCCTTGATGGCGTTGTTGTAAAAATCTTGCAGACACTCGACACAAAAAACGTGCCCGCAGTCGAGCATCCGGTGGCAGAGCGAGCCCTTCTTGGGATCTAAGCTCGGGTTAGTGACGTTTTACATCGATCCACAAAAGACAAGCTATTAGGAGAATAAGGCGGCCTTTCAACTCCCCCTAGCCGTGGATGGCGTTACCGAGCCACTTGGTCGGCAACACCATGTCAGGCATGGCCGAGAGGTGAACAAAGGCGACTACGTACCGAGGCAGACCCCGCAGTTGAAAGTCTCCTTCTCGAATGCTGCCTTTCTCGCCTTGATATCATAATCCAAAATGGCGATCTTGTGCCGCGGGTCGACCTCCAAGGTGCCCTTCTCATCAACGAGACCAAACACGTTCTCGGCGGCCTGCTGCACGTGGTCGATGTATGTAAAGCCAACCATATCTCGGCCCATTTCCTCCCATAATCGGGGCCCGTCATTTTCCAGCTGCTCGACCGTCTCGGCGGGGAGCCACGGCGGGTTGGTTGAGATAGCGATTTGCGGCGGTTGCTCTGCCGGGTATCGGTGTCCAAAGGTTATCTCGAGGCGTATCGAGGGCAGATGCGCTACCTCGTGAGAATCCACGTGGTTCGGCTCAGTTGCGCCCGCCGCGGCGACACCAGCTGGGCCGCCGTTGGCGCCCAGGGGCAACGCATCGTCGGGGGCGGCGGCGGGGAAGAAGACAGTCACGGGCTTGGATGGGGTAACGGGAATGTCGAGGGTGACGGTGTAAGCATCGTCCGGGCGCAGCTGCTGTATCTCAGGATATATAGCGTAGAGGGAGCTGAGCTCGATATCGCGCGGGTTGTCAAAATCGTCAGCCATTTGACCCCTTCTTAACCAGTTGCCTTTCTCCGCCTGCCCTGGCTGTCGCCCAGTTCCGTAAACGCTCTCAACTTGTCAACCCACAGAAAAGCCAGGAGGTGGAAATATAACGCCGTAGTCCTTGCTACCTACCCCAGCACCGAGGGCGAATTAGTAAAGCAGCCGCGTGGAGAACGATGGCCATGCGAGCGTGGCAAACAAGCGTTGCGGCTGTCTTGTTTTCACTCTGCAGTTGGCTGATTCTTCGGATCTAGGATTTAAGGTATTTTATCAAGCCAGCCCAAACGCTGTGGTTAGGGTCAAGTTAAATGTGACGGCGGCATCGTCTCGGCTTTGTACCGCTCTAGGACGAGAACTTGTCAGGGAGGCAAACTCGAGCAAATTCGTCAAGTTTCCGGGCTTCGGTTTCTCTTCCTACACTAGAAACGTCGACCCATCGCGGCGCAAGGGCGATGACTCGTCTCGGCCACTGCAGGGCATCCCAATCTTAGCATTCTGGCTCCACTAGGCTGCTCAGAGGCAGGGAATTAATGGGGAGTTTGACTGAGCGGACTGCGCTGGTTGGTCGAAAAATCTCCCCGCTGCCAAGCGTTTTCTGCCACCACCTAAACCGACTGGACGGCTGGCTTTCGCCTTGGTGCACTGCACTGTGAGACTGACAGCTGAGATGCTGAACGACATCCAACTCGACGTTCCTGGTATTGGCTATCCAACAGCACCGAAATTTCTATCACAAGTTTCAATCGGAATTGAGTCCCCCTCGTATTTGAAGCCATGCGGTAGCCAGCAGCAACCTAATAATAACCTGGCCTGACAAACCTCACCGAAACCTCAACACCTCAGTCCTTTGACTCCTTTCCCCCTCTCCTTCAACACACCCTCTCGCCTTCATCAATCCGCTACAACCCACCAAGCTAACAATGGCGGACAACTACAACGTAACTCCATTAGCCTCTCTCTCCCTAACCCATGTATACTACGTAAGCGACCCCCCTTCCCCCTTTCACCCACAAACCACTCGGGACCTTACCTAACCGACCCAATCTCCCCCTTTAACCCCAAGTACAGAACCCATCAGACCCGGTCTCGTACCTCTGCGCCTTTCTCTCCCTCTTGCCGCAGGCCCTGTGCGTCGTGTACGCCACGCTGCTCTGGTCGACGCGCGAGGCCGAGGTGCTGCTGATGTTTGCGGGCCAGCTGGCGTGCGAAGGGGTCAACTTTGCGCTCAAGCGGCTGATCAAGGAGGAGAGGCCCCGGGTGCTGCTGCACCATGGCGGCGGCGGCGCGGCCGTGGGGCGTGGGTACGGCATGCCCAGCTCGCACGCCCAGTTTGCCGTCTTTTGGGCCGTAGCGCTCAGCTTGTTCCTTGTCGTGAGACACCGGCCTGTTGCTGCTCCTGCTCCTGTTGCTGCCGGCAGCGGTGGTGGTGGTGGTGGTGGTGCTTCTGGAGTGCAGCAGCAGCAGAGGGAAAAGAAGGGCGGTGGAACCAATGAGAAGGCGGAGAACGGGAAGGGAAAGGATGTGCCTGCGTTGGCGGGTGCGCCCAGGGCTTATAAACCCGGCGGCATCTCCGCGCTGACCGCTTCCATTGAGGCTTACTCGCATGCTCCCTGGACGACGGCACAGCGGGTGGTTGTAAGCGCCGGCGCGCTGGTGATCTCGGCGCTCGTGGCTTGGAGCAGGGTGTATCTGGGGTATCACACGGTGCGACAAGTGCTGGCGGGATGCGCGGCGGGTGCTGTCAGCGCGGTGGGATGGTTCGCCGTGACGTACCTGCTGAGGCAGACGGGCCTGCTGGCTTGGGCGCTCGAGACGCCCGTGGCAAGATGGTTTCGGCTGAGAGATCTGGTAGTGGTGGAGGACTTGTGCCAGGCCGGGTGGGAAAAGTGGGAGAGGATGCGGAGAGAAGGGTTGGAAAGAGAAAAAAAACTGGCATGACCGGATCTGAAGCGCGCAGGCTAGACAAAAAAATAGAGTCTAGAGGTACGTCCGCTCCAACCATCTGCCGGCATGAACTGTGTTTGAGAATCAAGCGCCTGTGTTGATGCCATGTCCGCTTTGCAATTTCACTTAAATTGTCAACACCTAGTATATGTCTATGAAGTATGAACCCTATTGCTACACTCTGCTTTGCAGATCTCATTCCCACTTGTTAGACTCTACACGCCGGCTTTAGCCAGTCCAACTAACCGCTCTTGTCCAGTCTCAGCGAAACACCCCACCATTGGTGTCATAGGGATACCCGCCGTTTGCATTCGGGAATCCCGTCATGGGTACGTTGTCGTACTTGCCCGCCCCATCACCAAAACCGCCGTAGCCGCTACTGCCCACGCGTGTCTGCTCGGTCGCGAAGCTATCGCGCACGTCGTCCGGGGCGGTATGTGCCGGCAAGATATTGGGATTTTGGGCCGAGTTGCCCGTACCCTTGCGGCCGAACATGCCGACCCGCTCGCGTTGCCCGCCGGAGCCCGAGCTATAGTCGGTTGGTGGAAGCGGGCCACGCTTCTCCTTGCTGCGCTGGTGGATCAAGCAAGCGCCAACGAAGGTTGAGAAGAGGTAGAGGATGCTGTAGACCACAGTGTCAGAAAGGCCGAGACAAAAGCAGAGGGAAAGTCATACGTGGCGATGATCGACACAGCCAAACACGCCTTCTGCAACCTGCAAGCCAACCCCAGAGACAGTGGCAACGTCGAGGTTTTGTCGTCCTCGTCCTGGTCAAGCACGTTGGAGTCGGCTTTACCCCGACCGAATGCCGTCTTGACTTCCCCGACACAAGAGCCTCCTCCTCCACGGTTGACAATTGCCACATAGAGGAATCCGGCGAGGAAGCCAAGATCGAGCAATATCATGAGAATGGACGGGAAGGGATGCCCTGGAGCGCAGCAAAGGAATAGCAAGGCCACGAAGGTGTAGAATATGCCGGCGGCAGAGACACCCGTCACAGCTTTGACCCAGAACCCGATGCGATAGTTATATCCGGCAAGGGTTGCGAGGAAGTAGCAGAATATGGCGAGGACGACGACGGCGCAGGCCATCTGGATCAGGCGCATAAAGAGTTGAGCGCCACAGAGGGCTCTCCGGGAGCCCGTCGCCATGGTGCTAGCTTAGGAGTTATGCGGATGAGTTGGTGTTGCTCGCGCTGTGGCGTTGACTAATTGAGGCTTGAGTCTTTTGCGAAGGCGCTTATCCTAGAGTCCTGCAGTCCTGCTGGAGAATCGGATACTAAGCCCTTGCGGGTACAAGTGTCGCATTTCAGTGGAAGGAATTGTGCGAAGGCAGAGGGACGATGAAGAAACTAGCAACTTCACGACATGGAAGGTTTGGGGCAGAGGTCTTTAAATGGGAAAGTACGACCGCTCGACACACACAGCAACATGGCGTAACAGTGGGACTTGGGCGAATGATAGATATGGCGACCTTCCACGGCCGAGGGACACCGTGGTAGGTGTGGCGGGTTGCATCACTGTCAAAGAACAACCGTCGACCGTCAGAGGGCCGGGCCGGGTTTGGGCCTAAGACGCGGCCGCCTTCGTCGAGCAAAGTGAAATAAGGCAACATGTCCACTTGTGGTCCGGTTTTGTGTACAACGGCCAATGGCTACGGCCGGATTGAGAAAATCTCGACGGGAAGACCGCTGATCGGGATCCATGGAGCGGGCCGCTACTTTCGTGGGCTGCACAACTTCAGGACGAGCGTGCATCGATCTTCAAAACGTAAGGCTGTTTATCGTGGACCCCCGACGTCATTTGGGCCCTTTGTTTCACTGCCGATCCAGGGAGCTGATTGGTGGAAGTGCCTCAGCCACGAAGATACGTATACCTTTCCGGTAACCACAGCCACCGTGGCGTTGTTTATGCAACCGAACTTTGGAATACCTGTCTGTATTTGGGGACTGAAAAAGCTGAACTACCTACCTCATTGGACTTGAAATTCTAAGCGCTATACACCGTGCAATGCACTCATACTTTTGCTGGTCGTGGATGACTACCAGTAACCGTTTCCCCGACCGTATCGCTTGTTTCAAAGTTTCATCGTGACCCAGTCCCGGCCTGGCCCGGCTGGCCATATTCTCTTGGATTCAAGGTATCAGGTCGGGTGAGATGAAAACAGATTCTGCAATACTTCGCTATCGTCCCAAATACGGTACTCTCAGTGGACAGTGCCAGTGGTATTTCAGGCGATATCTTTATGATCCGGAACCGCATATATACGACACTATACGCGAAGAACTAAGGTAGCAGGTAAGGCAGGCGCTTTCATGCCTTACTGACCCAGTTCCAGGTTGGCGGAGTTGAAGTACTCAGCTAAGGTGCTTAACGGTTCACCTACTAGTCCTAGTCACACTGGGCCCACTGTGCTGCCATGCGGTTGGGCCGATATTAGTCTGGACGGTAAATGTACAGTACAAAATAGAGTAGTGGTGAGGCTTCATTGTTCACTGTCATCTTTTGAAGGGAAAGCCGGCAAGGAAATCAAAATGGCTAAGAGCTACAAACTAGTAGTACCTATAGTATTGTATACATTAGACCGTACTCAGCTTGGCGGCAAAAGCCCTCATCTCTTTGCCCCAAACCTACCCAGGAAGAGTTGTTACTTCGTCGAACGACCACCTCCTTGATGATCAGAATCAACTCTAATAGTATTCAGGTCAGAGACCCGAGTTCAAGCTAGGTGAACAAGCATCACCATGAACCCCCGTCCAAGCCAACGTCGCTACGGCGGGGGCCCCAATCCTTGTTCGTGACTTCATGTTAAGAACGTACGTATAAGGTACATAGGTATATGTCAAAAACAAGATACCGTCTGGTTGGTACTGTAGTAGACTCAGGACGAAGCATATGTGCCATTGAGAAAGGAACGTGCCGCGCCTTAGGGGTGCACTCTAGTAGTTCAATCATTCAATGATTAACCTTGACCAATATGTCGATAGTTGTTCGATGTTTCGAACACGTGGTCCTCCAAGTTCCAATCCGAGTGTCTTTGGTGAGCCACTGGCATTCACTGCCAACACATTTAGTTTGAGGTAAACCCATAACTATTAGCGCATCATGATTCATTTCTACCTAGACGGACGGAACTGTCAGATCCATGATGACTCCCTAGGTACTCACCTCTGGCTCCAGAGCACTACTCCCGGTATTCAATGGCCCGTCTGCCTTATGAAGGAGGACTCCTTGAGTACAACGCAATTTAGCTTACCTCTTCATGGCAGGACGATTACGGAGGACCTATAAGGTACCCATGGATGATCATTTGTTCATCCCTTCTGCGAAAAATGGAGCTTTTTGTCTGTTTTTCTGAATTCACTATACACACCAGCCACTAACTGTGACGTACCTTAATAGGCCACAAACGATTATATGATACCCTGGGCCTCCATGAGTCCATGGCACGGGATATTTCGGTTCAATGGGTTACATGGGCACAATGGTAGACTGAATAAGCGCCTCAGCACCTAGTAGGTAGGTACCAAACTATGAGGAGACACTATGTGTTCCATGATGTCGATACGACTATTGCGACGATTGAACCTTACCTTCCCACCCCGCCGTCATTGAAGCTGGGTAGCGTTTGCCCAGCCCCTGGCTCCCGAAGGATATTCGAGTCACGAAAGACAGACGCATGGTGAAAGTTGCATTCCGCGGATACATGTAAGGATCCGAAGCCACGGCATCAATAGGTGGCGTACAACATGAACTGCCAGTGAGGTACGAGGTAGCGCACCTCATGATCGCGGACTTCGGTTGGTTAAGGTACTACTACCTACAGGTAAGGTACCTTACTGTAGTAAATTCGGTGCCTAAGCGATCATGACTCGAATGTTGTACGGAGTAGAACTGCCAGAACAACATAAATCAAATCCAAGGTAGGGAAATATACCTAGTAGTCGGGTACGTGCACTGATCAGTTACCTCAGCTACGAGTGCTTATATAAGGTACCTACCCAAGGCTTGCATTGGTCTCTTCAACTTTGACTTGAAGGATTGAGACAATCTCTCACCTTTTTCTAAGAGGACAGCGAAACGACTTTGGGCTCGCCGGCGCTTGCGATGGTACGGCTGCATACTACCTACCTACCTCCCTACCAAGGCATGCAAGCCGAGTCGCACCTTGATAAGGCGTAGTATAAGTAAGGTACCTTACAGTATGTACGATATACCACGTCGGATATGTTTCCCACATCTTCCGCTGCTAGAAGCCTCAATCCAGGCGCCTTCATCAGCGACGGGTAGGTGCTCCTAGCCAGCCTAACCAAACCTGAATGAACTCGATCTTCTGAGCTCATGCGAGCTCGATGGACTCCCCCGCACCGAGAAGCTTACGCGGCCAGTCTGTAGCACAGAGTTACCTTACATAGCTATGTAGCCTGTAGCCTGTAGCCGTAGGCGAGATAGGTAGGAAGTAACTGAATATTGGAGGCTGAGTCCTGAATCAACAAAACACCACCTAAACTCAGACAGAAACTGAATGGAGCAGTGGCGGAGTCCTCGGAGGTGTGAAGGAGAGATGGAAACAAAAGCCTGGGCGATAGAGGTAATCGGAAAAACTCCAATTCGCTGCGTGAAGAAATGGCGGGCCTTGGAAGATATATCCCGGACCGAAGGCCGCATTCCCTGGTACGAAGGACGGCACACGGCACGCCAAGACGTAGCACCGTGAACCACGATCGGAACCCGGCAGCCTCCATTCAGATCGCGGATCTCGGCCGCTCTCGGAACCACCGTTCGAAGAAAATGCAAATCACAAGGTGTGCCTCGCGCGCACCTGCTCCTGCCGCTGCGTTTGACTGCACCTCTCAACAACTGACAGCCACTTGGTCATAGCACTCAGCTATGGAATTCTCAATAGCGCTTCGCAATGTCCACTAGATTCCCGGCTTCGCGGATAGCAATTCGGTGATGGCCCGACCAGACGGACCAGAATGGATGGCACCACAATAATTAATGCAACCCCGTAGACGTGGCTGGCCTTGACTTGATGCGGACTCGGCCCGCAGCCCAGAACGCTCGGCGTTCAATAGTGAGGACGCAGGCATCCGTAAGCCTGGGTTATCCATCACTGAGCGATCCACGCCAATGGCTCGAAGGGCGGTTGCGTTCCACTGGCAACCAAAAATGGTGACGAGTTCTGCAAATTCTTGGCGGGTCCCGCTGCGGCTGGGATTGGAATTCGATGAACTGTCATTCCAGGCCAATCAGATGGGAGTGATTGCGATGGAAAAGAACAACCAAAAGGGAAAGGTCTGCAAAAAAATACGAGTGTGACCCAGGGGCCCAGCTTACCGACACCCTTGTCAACGGAGCAAGCCATCCAGGGGTCCATGGTGCCATGCATTCTCACTGCAGCCCAGTCCAGCCCTCGTGGTTCAGGCGAACTCGGTCTCCCTCAGGCGCCAGAGGGAAATTCTTATGAAAACCATGACTCCGCCCAATATGCGCGGGTCCGAGATGGTCTTGCGATAGTGCGCTCTTGTTGCGGCTTTTCTCACTCTCGCTTTTTTTTCTGGCTTCAGAGATTCGGCTTTCCCGTCTCTCCCGCGCTTCGCTCAGAAAAAGTCTGGGAGCCGTCCCTTCGTTCTTTTCGCTCGGTCGCCCGCTGTCTCGTCTCTCTATCGCTCTCTCTTTCTTAGGGACCTTTGCCGAAATTCACTATAATCTAATGTTTTAAGGATTGCCGTCAAGATGAGAACGAGAGTACCCGTCTTCGCCGGCCTGCTGTCGCTCGCGGCCAAGGGCGGCAGGGCTGATCCCACATGGCCCGCCGCTACCGATCATATGGAGGAGATCATCTACCAGCTGCAGGGTTTCCAGGGCAGTCTGTTCAACGACATCATCACGCCTTGCAACAATGAAGCATTTGGCCCTGGCCGGGTAACGGCGAGCGAGTGGCTGCGCGTGGGTTTCCAGTAAGTGCTTTTGTCGAGATCAAAACGGGCGGTGGTACAATACATACTACTACTGCCCTGGTCTCTTGATGTAGTACTGACTTGGGGGCAAAACAGCGACATGTCGACGGCCAACCGTTTCCGGGGCACTGGTGGCGTCGACGCCTCACTGCAGTTCGAGCTCACCAACGGAGAGAACTCGGGCCCGGGACATAACACCACCCTGCAGTTCTATGCCAACTACCTGACTAGCAGGTCCAGCATGGCCGATCTGATCGCTGCCGGTGTCTATGCCTCGGTCCGGTCTTGTGGCGGCCCTATTATCCCTCTGAGACTGGGGCGCCAGGATGCGACGGGCGCCGGGGCCCTCGGTGTCCCGCAACCTCAGAATTCAGCTTCTACCTTTCGGACGCAGTTTGACCGCATGGGCTTCAGCCAGACCGAGATGATCCAGCTGGTGGCATGCGGCCATAGTCTCGGCTCTGTTCACAGTGCGGAGTTTCCTCAGCTCGTCCCTGCCTCGGTTGGACAGATCCCCCTGGATTCGTCCAACGCACATTTCGACAACAAGGTCGTCACCGAGTATGTCGCTGGCAACACAACCAACCCCCTGGTTGTGTCGTCTCCTTCGCTGGGACGGAACTCCGATCTCAAAGTGTTTAACTCGGACGGCAATGCCACCATCAACACCATGACGTCGGCGACTGCCTACAACGACATCTGCCGCACCGTCCTCCAGAAGATGATCGATGTCGTGCCCGCTGGTGTTACCCTTACCGACCCCATTGCGCCGTATGCTGTCAAGCCCGTAGACATGCAACTCACCCTGAACACAGGAGGCACCACTTTCCTCTTGACCGGCTACATCAGAGTCCGAACCACAGAACTGGCCGCTAGCTCCATCACAAACGTCGTTCTGACCTGGAAGGATCGGAATGGTGGAAACAGCTGTGGCTCGTCCGGTAGTTGCTCCACGACTGCGACATTGCAGGGGGTTTCCACCGGGTTTGACGACTCCTTTGCCGTATGTATCGCGTTTTCGGAAACGCCCAGCTTCGTCGTTGATACTAACAGCCTTAGTTCTTCCCCATTTCGGCAACGATTCCAGCGTCGTCTGGTATCTCGTCATTCACCCTCGTCCTCAACCTCAATGACGGGTCAAGCCAGACATACGATAACAATGGGAATTCGTACCCAATGTCCGACGCCATTGTCCTGCAGAAGCCGCAAAGCTGCCTGCTCCAGGGCTCCGGCGCCCTGACCGCTACCGCACTGGTAAGTCTCGCCATTGACGGCGCGCGGACTATCGAATTGACCAATCTAACAGGTTCGTAACGATATCGTCGGCGTCCCTGTTAATCTGGGAGTCTCGTACCTCACGCCACGCAATACTGCCGACGGCAACCCTGTCCCAGCCCTCAACGAGGCCACCATTCCCATGACACAAGGTGACTGTGTGGGCGAGTACACCTTCTACAGCGCAAGCTACACCATTCCTGGCGGCCTCAGCCACAATGCTAGAATCAGCGTGACTGCTGGGGAGGGTGCTAGCGCCTATACGGACGATTTCAACAAGGCCAGCGCTTTGTCAGGTACTTGTGCGGCGTTTTCTGGCGGGGCGACTTGCTCCAATGTGACTACTCCGTCTAGTACGTCGTCAATTGTCTCGTCGACAACTTCCGTGTCGGTTTCCAGCTCTACGAGTGTTTCTGCCACCATCACAAGCACAACGGGAGTTCCCACCCCCGCGGTCAAGCCTACCGTTGGTGGATATACATTTGTCAGCTGCTGGACGGAAGCCACAGGCGCCCGCGCGCTCAGTGGTGCTGCGTTCGCCTATGATGAGATGACCCTCGAGTCGTGCATGGCTAATTGCACGGGTTTCGACTACTGGGGCACTGAGTACGGACGTGAATGCTACTGCGGCAACAGCCTCCACTCTAGCAGCGTGGAGGCCCCCTTGGAGGAATGCAACATGGTCTGCGGCGGTGATCCCACCGAGTTCTGCGGCGCCGGCAACCGCATCGAGCTGTACTCCACGACTGCAACCCGGACGACGTCCACCACGGCGACACCGACCGCCACGCTTGCCGTTAAGCCCACCGTTGGTGATTACATCTTTGTCGGTTGCCAGACAGAGGGGACGGCGGGCCGGGCTCTATCTGGGAATTCCTACGCCGATGACTCGATGACCCTGGAATCTTGCGCCACATTCTGCAGCGGATTCACTTACTTCGGCACTGAATACGGTCGCGAATGTGAGTATCACTCGAATTCTGAACCTGAAATGTGAGAGAGAGTCATGCTGACAGACCTGGCAGGCTACTGCGGAAACAGCCTCAACACCGGAAGCGTTTCGGCCCCGGAGAGTGACTGCAATATGGTGTGCGCCGGTGATCCCTTTGAGTACTGCGGCGCCGGCAACCGCTTGGAGCTCTACCGCTTGGCCATTGTATCCTTGTCCACCACGAGCGAACCAACGTCGGGAGGTGAGACGATGTAGCACACCAGATCAACAGTAACAGTAATTCTGACATTTTTTTCAAGCTACAACCACTTCCGCCACTCCTAGCGCGACAAGCGTCCCGACCAGGCAGCTCAGCGTGTCTCCGTACACATTCGCCGGTTGCTGGACTGAAGGCACGGGCGTGCGTGCCCTGGGCGCGGACAGCTATGCCTCGGCCGACAACATGACTCTCGAGAACTGTGCGGCCTTCTGTGACGGTTACAAGTACTTTGGCGCCGAATACGCGGGCGAGTGCTTCTGCGGCAATACTCTGGACTCGACGTCGACTGAAGCCCCACTGGAGGACTGCTCCATGACGTGCACGGGCAACCCCTTGCAGTACTGCGGCGGGCCAAACCGCCTTGAGCTGTACGAGGCCAACACCACGGCTCCCGACCCAACGTCGCAACCCGCCACCGTCGGCACATGGACCTTCTACAGCTGCATGACGGAGGCCAGCGCCGGTCGGGCGCTCGCATCCCAGACCTTCGCGGCAGACACGCTTAGCCTGGAGGACTGCGCCGAGTTCTGCGCCGGGTACCAGTACTTTGGCGCCGAATTCGGGCGGGAGTGCTACTGCGGCAACTCGTTCGCCGACGGGTCTGTCGAGGCGCCCTCGACCGACTGCTCCATGCCCTGCGCCGGGGATGGCAGCCAATTCTGTGGCGCCGGAAACAGATTGAGCGTCTATGCCGCGGCCTCGGCATGAGGCGACGGCGTACTTTTCTGTTAGTTATTTCTTCTTTGTATATACGTAACTTAAATACCTAGCATACTTGTGGCTTTCTTTCCTCTCTTGGAGAGACACGGCCTCATGAAGATAATGGATAGTATCTTTAAAGCCCAAAAGCAGTAATGAGATACCGTTATGACTACCTATACTGCCTAATCTTAAGGGTCATGGATCAAGTAGTCCACGACCGTCATGCGGATTTTGCAGAGACCACCTTGTGTTTGGTGGAGGTAGAGGCTGGATGCTCGCAAGATGCACACTCAGTCTCAACGATCCACGTTCCAAACGGCAGTGGGGGGGTTGTGAGGATCGTGTTACATGTCCAACTCGGACATTGTGTGGGTTTGGTTCCTGTTCCATTGTTGATAGCGTTACCGTAATCCACACGGCATCTTCCTTCATCCCTTTGAGTTACACTAGTAATGGAATTTAAGAAGAGGTCCCCTGCTCCGTCGCGTGTCATCTCATCTCGAGCCATTGATGAGTCTAGCACCACTAGTCTCGGGGGTCTCCAACTGGTTCTTGGCATCTCATGGATGCGAAATCCAAGTGGGGCAAGGAATGGAAATCGGCAGGTCCATCCACCACCTGAACATCCATCCACCCAAGGTACTCCGTACCCAGGTTCTGGTCGTGAGCCAGACACGAGAGAGATTCCCGTCCCGTCGTGCCCTGAAATCTCGACCTGTTGTTACATTCACTAGAGCAGGTGGACTTACTACCTCAGCGGCAGCCTCAAATTGCAAACGGCAAATCTCCGTTCTCTCAAGCCATTGGTTAGGCCACTTAGGTGCTATCAGTCGGCATATGCCGTAGGGTAGGTACCTATATTCCGCGAAATGCTCTCCAACGACCTCGGCATGCTACCAACCTACCTTAGGTACCTAACCTAATTCGATTTGCTCGGCTTCCGATATTGTTCCCTGCAGCAAGAATGCCAACCTCATTTGAGCAGTTTGACGACGCCGCATGGGACTATGGTGAGGAGCTGCTTAGAAAATGGGTGACAGGGTTCTGCAACAGGGACCTTTATCTCAAGATCAGTAAGGTCATGAAGCACTACATGGGTGGAGATGCAGTGGAGTTAGTTCGCCGCAAAGAAGCGTTTTCAATGTCTCCTTTCGGGTATGAGTTGTTGATGGTCTCGGGGCCATGATCCGGTTTCCCATGCCGGCCTACTTCCAGTACGCTGAAGAGAAGCTTCGAGCCGAGGTGGCTACGATGCGCTACATCAACGACACACCACTATCCCTATACCTTTTGTGCTGCACTATGGCATGAGAGAGGAGAGTCCCTGTGAAGTAGGGCCGTTCATCATCATGGAATGGATTGAGAATTCAGGTGATGTCAATGACGCAGCCAACACACCTGGCCTGACCCTCGAGGATCCTCCGATACTCGATGCCAATATAGACTAGGGAAAGCTCGAGCGTGTATACTTGCAGGTTCCCGACAAGAACGAGAGCGGGGACTTCATGGAGCGGTGAAAACAGCTGCCGCCAGAGCAAGTCGATGCCATTCAGGCCTTTGTGGATGTGGAAATACTATGAGCCTGACGCCTAGTCCAAACTGCCACCGAATATTCTGTCTGTTGGTCGGTCATGCTTTGAGACATTAACAGCCGACGTTGCGGCAGTGAGAGACAGCTTGCAGGGAATGCTCTTGAACAGGCAGGTTGGATATAGGCATCGAACGTATATAGTGTGACATGCAGTGACTTTGTAGTTCACGGAGGAGCGTAGAGCGCGCTCTTGACATGTCCGTCTTTTGCCCCAGACTTCACCTCTTTTTCGGAAAGCCAACCAGGCCCCTTTGAGAAGGCTCATCCTCGGAGGCCTTCTGGCCTTCGACCACCATGTCGCCAGATCCCGTCTTTTATTCGTACCATGCAGGCTAACAACATCCCTAGGTTCAACATCCACCGAGGATTACGCATCAGCCCATGGCGTTCAACTTGAAGTTATTAGTGTGCTTGGCCTACAACTCAGTCAAGTCTGAGAAGAGGGCGTCAGCAGAAACTAGCAACATGCGAAAGCACAAATCCCCATCCACCAATCGCAACAGGCCCCTTTCCGTTGTTTAGCTCCCCCTCGCCCAATCACCGCCCTCGCCGCCCCATCCCACTCCAACTCCCGACCCCGATGACCGGGAGAGGACGGAGACTAGCCCCGCCTCCTCATCCTAACATGATCCTGCCCCAGCTGCCCTAGATGACATAGGGCAGTGGGGTAAGGTAGGCAATGCGGAGAAATCTGGAGCGAGGGAAGAAGTGATTATACGGTACCTACAGTACCTTAGTCCAAGAGGTATTTCCTTCAGAGCGAGGAGGAGAAAAATCAATGACTTTCACATCTTTAGCTTTTGGCCTTGTATTCTCCAGACGCTCCAGATTGTCGGGTTCAATGATTGAGTACGGAGTACGGATGCCACAGACGCTGACCACTGAGTGCGGTACGTCCCCTGAGGCAATACTAAGCCTTCAGGTGTGAATGAGAGCCGAGGCTACTGCATCCAACAGAGAGTACAAAGTACTGTTGAGGCGTGGAGATAAGGGCACTGCACATCGGAAACGTCCACAGTACTTGTACATACATGCATAGGGCTGGTAAGGCCGCAGTACTTATACAAGTAGGATCCAGCAACGAGTGAGATCTCTAACAGAATCTAGCGCTATTAGTATGTCCATGATACAAAAATATAACTTCATAATGAGCGGGTCTCAAGTTTGAGACGCGCTGGAGGCAAGGTGCGAAGATACCCAGAAGCCAGACGCATCCACCCTGCAGCCTTTGATCCGTGACTGAGTCAAGAAGTATAGCTTATAGGCAATGCAGTAATCCACACACTAAAAACCCAGGGGCTTGCGATGGGAAGGCAATTACTAACGTTATCGAAAACTTGGAATGGCTATTGATGAGGGTCATGGTCGGTTCCTCTTTAAATAAGGGGCACCTTGAGAACTGGGGATGGATCGAGGTTCGAGAAGGCGCCATGATCAATTGCAGCCTCATCCTTGCATCCCATGCTGGCAGCTGCACAACAATAATAAGACCGTTTTTCTCGATCGGTTTGGGTTTGCCCTCCGAATCTTGCCGAGCTTCTGCCTGTTTGCATTGTTAGATGAGAGCGGTATTTCGATGCTGTCGTTCGGTTTTCAGCCACTGCAGTCGCAATTCGCACATGCAGTTGAGCGGCCCCCTGCCCAAGATTTAACTGGCACCGCAAAAACAGAACAGCACCACATTTAACATCAAGGCTACACTTAAAGAGTTGTAAAATAAAATAGAATTAATTGCTTTAGATAGCTATCCAACTGCTAGTAATTCCTCGGTCTAATTCCGAGCATTCATTGAAGATTTGGGGGATTGAATTTATACATTTGCTGATGCTTCCCTTGCTTAAAGAGGCTAAAAACTTTTTTTGCGGTGCCAATTAAATCTTGGGCAGGGGGAGCGGCTGCAGATCTAGTACATACACTATACTGTACCTGCCCAACCCCGGTCGACGGGAGGCTGCAGTGGGCTGCCTCGCTGGTTCGGACAAATGGGCTGTCGTCACTTTTCGCACTTCGCTCTTTCGCTCCTTTTTGGGCCATTTCGCAAGGACGAGAGGAAGTTTGGTCGAAGAAAGGCACAAAAACAAACAACACCGAGAGCCCTCCGAACCTGCGAATACATCTGCCGGGCATAGAGCAGAATACATTGATCAATTTCCTTAGTGTTGCATGTCTTTATCCTGAATCCTGACATGTGCCGTGTTCGGTGTCCGATTGCACTGCCCCTCCACCAAACAAGGGGCTTCCAAGGCGAGGGTGAGAACGCCAACACCTGACTGACCGGAGCCGACCCCGGCCGAAAAAGCTCTTTGCCTCCCCCTTCCTCCACTCAGCTCCGCTCGCCCCCTGGCATGACCGGGAATTTGCACGTGCCGTCTCGGGCTCGGCGCTCCACGGAGATTCGCCTCATTGGCTGCTCCACAAGCCGCAGAGAAGCGCATGGATGAGGGCCGGGGGTGAATTTTGTGGAGGAAGCGTGTGTTATACGGGGGCGACCGGCTGACGTGCACCTTGGAGGAATGACAGCATTCGAGAGAGCAGCAACTTGAGGTCTCTGGTGGTGGGACCCATATCCCGGGGCCGGGGCCGGGGTCGGGTGAAAGGCTCGATTGGGCTGTAGGTACGGAGCCTGAGGTAGTGCAGGTGCAGGTGACAGGAGCATCTTTTATGTATTTCTTGCGGAGGAATAACACGAAAGGGCGGGAATGTCCATCAAGCTAGCTTACTATCGGTGTTATGTGAACAGGTCTACTATTGCCCGTAAGTCGTAATGCATGTGAGGACTCGCTTGGCAGGGCTCCTGATTCCTGAACGCTGCCCGCAATCTTGGACTTTCTGAACTGCCAACCTGGGTAATTTTGTTTGCTTGGGCAGTACCTCCTCCGTATTCAAGGTTCTCTCCCGCTTTGAGGCTAGGTGGATGATTTTCAGCAGCCATGGAAAGGTACGGTTACTCAGTTCGTCCTATTCCAGTGTCATGCACAGTTATTGTCCTACTAGGCAATCCTAGCCTTGCAGAAGCCACAATTTGAAGACGTTTCATTCCCAGCGTTCCCAGCTGTGTGACTGGTGTTTTGGCGGTGGGCATCTTGCTCCAGTCCCAGTCCCCACGCTTCCCCGAACAGGATATGACCTTGCCCTTGGGATTGCTTGCCCCAGATTACTCCATCCAAAGCCAGGGGTACGTATCGAGGGCTATTGCTTGTGACTCGTCTTTTGGTGGCCGTGATGGATAGATATAACGGGTGCCTCCCCCGCTCCCCACAAGTGTCGCCTTTGCGGATTTGCTTCTACTTTGTCTCTTTCGCTGTCTCTGATGGTTCCCGTCGTTGCTAGCAGCATGCTCCCGGCTCTCACCGATACATCATAGACACGGGAGACACGGTACTGGCAACATCTGTAACCGATGAGAGTCACGTTGGACACCAGACTGACACCATTCTTCTACCGCGACACAACTCGACGCCTTTGACTCCAGCCCGGGCAGTGTCCTCGGTTTCAACATCTATTACCGCAGACAGAATCGCATGTTGGCTACGGCATTGCTTCCAAAATGTCGGATAACGGAGACAGTCCTTCACCGCGGTCCACGCGACCTGCTACCTCGCCGTCACCGCCGCCAAGCCTGACCCGGTCGGCTGAGACGAAGCCATCGTCTTCTTCGCCTTCATCGTCGTCATCACCCAAGAAACGGTCTGGGTCTGGCCCGGAGAACAGCAAGGTCACCAAGAGGCGAGCGGCTCGAGCCTGCACACAATGCCGAGCCCGCAAGGTCCGCTGCGATGTTGTTGAGAATTCGCCGTGCGGCAACTGTCGGTGGGACGGTTCAATCTGTGAGGTCCCGGACAGCCGGAGGCGCAAGTAAGCCGCTCCCGAACTGCTGTGTTTCTGTCTACAATTGCGTCATTTTTTTTTTTTTTTTTTTTGTTTTCCCAACTCGTCCTGCAGAAGGAAATTGGGGTTGAGAGTACGGGCGGGAAGCTGACGTTGTGTTGATTACCACCCGACCCCAGGAAAAACATTTCTTACGCAGGCGGGCCGGCAGCAGTTGGGGTCCGTGCCGCCAGTGCCGAGGTATTGCACACAAACTCAAAGGCGCTCAACGCCGCCGTGCCAATCACCATCGCCGCTGCGGCTGCCAATCCAGGTCTGCTCTATCCGGGGGGGAATGGTGCTGAAATCATGTGTAAGTTGGAACCTGGAAATCGCTTACCTACACCCTGCGACATACATTTGTACAACAATACCTGCTTTTACCCCCTTGCTCGCGCCAAGCTTGGCCCGCTGCAGCATCACATGTCAGAGCAATCACAGTGTCCCCTTTTTTCCCCTTGAGACCTCGTGATCTGATATTGGATGCGCCATGCCCTGAACAGACCCAACCCCCGATGTCTATGGCACAGTCAGAAACGAACCGTTGGGGTTACCATCCGGATTCGGCCCTCTGCCTTCCGGTCTCCCGACAGCTGCCGCCTCCCTGGGGCTCGGCCCATTCCCCCCGGCCCTCACAGCGCCATTGGAACAGCCATTGGAGCGGCCCGACGAGCTGCCTCCGTTCATCAAGCCGATACCCAGCAAAATCGGTCCCGACGAGAGATGGTATCTCAGTCACAAGAAGGCGCTCACGCTCCCGCCATTACCCCTGCAGAATGTGCTCCTCAAGGCCTATGTCGAGTATGTGCATCCGTACATGCCGCTCTTGGAGCTGCACGACTTTCTCAACGTAATCAACCACCGCGATGGGTCTGCTGGCCAGATCAGCTTGTTTCTGTACCAGTCCGTCATGTTTGTGGCGACCGCCTTCATAGACGAGCAGTACCTGAAAGACGCTGGCTATGAGAACCGCAGGGCGGCCCGGAAAGCCCTTTTCGCGAGGGCTAGGGTGAGTGTGCTCTCTAAACTGAAAGACGATTTGGAATATGCCACGGCGTCGTTGCTGACTGCGTAACCCTCAGCTTCTCTACGACTTTGATTACGAGACGGATCGCCTCGTTCTTGTCCAAGCCTTGCTGCTCATGGCGTACTGGTACGAGACACCCGACGACCAAAAGGATACGTGGCACTGGATTGGCGTCGCCATTTCCTTGGCCCACACCATTGGCCTCCACCGCGACCCGGCAAACACCATCATGGCGCCCCGTCGACAGGGTTTGTGGAAAAGGGTGTGGTGGTGCTGCTACATGCGAGACCGCCTGGTTGCTCTGGGAATGCGACGGCCGACCCGTATCAAGCAGGAAGACTTCGACGTGCCCATGCTGGCCGAGGCCGACTTCGAAATTGCCGCGCTGCCTGAAGAGAACCAGCTGCTGGATTGCGCCTTGCTGCGCGACCTCGACATGCAGAAAAGGCTTGCTCTTATGTGCATTGAGAAGGCCAAGCTCTGTGTCCTCATCGGTAACATGCTGACGGTGCAGTATTCGGTCCTCAGCCGCGACGGCATCCGGCCAGAGAACACTACAAGCAGTACAATGATGCTGCTTCCGAACAAAAAGACGAGCAATCCCGAAGACATTAAAAGGGTAGACGACGACTTGACAAGTTGGTTCAACAGCCTCCCGGAAGCTTGCCAGTACCAACCCCTAGATTCAATCGCCATTACCGAGCAGAACGCGCCCTTCGCCGTCCACAACCTTGTCCTCCATATGGTGTACCACACCACGGTTTCGGCACTTCACAGGCCGCTGTTCTTCGGGGGTACGTCAGTGGAGGCCACGGGTTGCTCAAGGCAGATGCAAGAAACGGCCCGCATCCGGGTGCGCGACACGGCATACCGCGTTACTGTCATGGCCGCCGAGCTTCGGCAGCATGGGTTGGTACGATATCTGCCCACAACGGGCGTCACGGTGATTTTGCCTGCCATGATTGTCAACCTCATAGATGTGAAGAGTGAGTGCCCGGAAACGCGGGCGCGGGCAACCCACGGATTCAAGGAGTGCTTTCAGGTGATGAACGACTTGCGGAACACGTATGCCGCGGCCGATTTCGCCACCAACTTTCTAGACGCCGCGCTTCGGAAAGGCGTCCTGGTAAATACCTCACCGCCCCAACCGCAACCGCAAACGCAAGCCCAGATGCAGCCTCAGCTGCGGGCCTCCAAGGCTCTGCACCGGACGCTGGCGCCCGGGCCCCTGGGCATGGTGCCGCGAATACCGTCCAGGCCGTCGACGCCGCCACCGGAGGATAGCACGGCCTTCCTGGACCCGAGCCAAGTCCAGATCTACCAGCAGCAGAACCAAGGGTATATGCTCCCAACCGGAGATGGCGACGTCAGCACATTCGGGATTCTGCGAGGGCACACACCGCCACAAACAGACCACGAGTCCGAGGCGACCCCCTCTGCAGAAGTGGTCCCTGACGGAACACCAACAACGACAACAGGAGAGCCAATGGACTACGCCATGACTGGAGCTGGACATGGAAACGGGGGGAACCGAGACGGTAGTAACAACTTTGACATTGACCAGTGGCTCCAATTCCCCGCCGAGGGCGTCGACGAGACTTTTATGGGCGATATGTTTGACAGCGTCAACCAGAAGGCCGAGGCGGCCAACCCCGACCTCGACATCTGGATGGACTCGATGCACACGCACCCGCAGGTCACCCTATGATTAGTGGTATCTTGCTGTTTCGATTTGTGTATTTGCTCCAAGGCGCCGGATATCGGCGATGATGTGATGAGATCGGCAGGTTTGATTTTCGGAACGAGGGTTTCCGGCGAAATGGGATTCGGTGGTCTTGGACTGGGAAAAGAGGCAAAAGCGGCAGGGCATCCATCATATGGGCCATAATTACCTACATACTTCGTACATATACGCCAAAAGGCTCGGGGCGCAGGCTGCGGGATGCAGAGGCAGTGTCGTTGATAAAGAGGTACCGCTAATACTCACTCGATAGGAGGAAACACTAGAATCGGCGCTACTGCAGCCGTACCTCCAACCATTGAACGACAGCCAACCAAAGTACGCCTTTACCCACTTTCTATCGTCGTTGTCGAATTGAAACTGAGAAAGGATCTGAGAGCCGGAGAGAGCTTGGCAGAGCACTCACCCAGAATCCAGATGTCGCTAGCTGTAACAGGTTAGCGTTTCCTCCTATCGAGTGAGTATATGCGGTATCATGAAAGCCCCTGGTTATGGGAAACAATTAGATCAACCAAATTGAATGATTAAGACATGTTTCCGTGCGAGGTTTTCGAGGCCGTACGGAAACTGTGATGAACCCCCTCCGAGTGCCAGTTGCCCGGTCAGCTCAACTCGTAAACCCACACTCCGGGGATCCAAACAACGAAACAAGAAAGGCCGATCGATCGATGGTGGATTTGTAATGTACATTCTCAACGTTGCAAAGATCGCTCCAATCGACAGGGCTTCAAACCAGCTATCGCCAGGCCTTTTCCAGGGCTTCAAATCAATGCATTGGCCTGACACCCTGCACATATCCACTCCATGCACCACGCTAGCGAACAAACCAGGGGTGTCCTGTAATCGGTTGCAGAGCAAATCCGTAATTATCGTTGAACTTCCCCGTTGATTGCTTTTGGGGTGGAGCATCCGCAATTCCCATGGTCCATGAGGTCTGTGTCATCCCCGGTCGATCTCCCATGACGCGCTTTAGCGCGTCCTCTTACGCACTATCACCCGGCCACGGTATTACGGTGTAGGCGCGTTAATGACATGGTCTGTGCTACCCGATCAGGAGGATCAGGAGGGTGAACAGTTAGCCAAGACGCCCGTTTGGTGCTAGCGGCCTCTACCCGAAATCACATCTCCAAAAGCGAGCGATCCAAATCCCCATCGGGCCACTACGTCCCAATTTAACGAGACCAGGGCTTCGTTCTGGGAAGTGGCTTTCGTGAGCGCGATCATCTTTCTTTTTCCCTTTTCTTTTCTCTCTACCTTTTCCCCTTCTCTTTTTATCGTTTTCTCTCTACCTCCGTATATTGCCCTATTCTACGGCGTGCCTCTCCTTTCGTACACTCTCTCGCAACACCATCATCATCCGACGCATAACTCTCCGCTGTTTCAGCTTTCTTGTCGCTCGTTTGGATGCATTAACACACGTTAAGTTACTGCACTTACACACGTCAGTCAGCCATCCCTCGGGCCCAGACTGTTCAGTTCCAACAGCACTCCCGTCACTCACAGCACCTCGCTTTGGGAGAGTTTCTCAGTGGCGCGGCACACACATCAGCTTCCTTCGCCCTGCACTACGCGCACCGGTATTCGTACTTCCAACAAACTCTCTGCAGCTTCCCGCAAAGATCTGCACTTGCACGGTCTTGGTCCCGTGCTAGCTTTAGCTAAGACCATATTCTGTCTTTGCCCGTTTGCGCTCGGCGAATCGGGCGTTTGCACGACTCTTTGCAAGAGGTTGGTTTGCAGCGAATCGCAGCTGCAGCTCCCAGCCTCAGCCAACAGCACCCTGTCGTCGTTCCTTCATCTACTATGGGATCCTCAGAGCCGATTCTCTCCGACGTTTCGCCAGGTTCATAGAAAGGGCATTATGCTGCGCCGCCCTGGTTCTATCTAGAAACCGCCATCGACCACCTCATTGACTCGACATACACGTCCGACCATGAACGAACCGCTGCCACCACTGACTCCGGCCCACTATGCGCCACGGGGCCGCCACCACCTCCGGTCCGTGTCCGCTTCTTCGCCGGCACACCAACGGAACACGGACGATCTCCTTTCCAACCTCACGCCGCGGACCATAGTCGACGCCTTCCAGAGCCCTTCGGGCAGTCTGAAAGCCTGTATAGACGCCGCCACCCCTGCCGAGCAGGCATTCGCCTTGAGGGTAGCGATCGCGTCTAATACCATTTACGAATGGCTTGAGGAGCTGTCTGCGTGGCCATGGCCTACCCAAGGGGGCTCCGTCGGCTTCGAGGCCCCTGCCCAAGAGCGGAGGGGCTTCTCTCGTTCCAGCGACGGCTTCTCGGAGAAGGAGCCCCTCGAAGAGGAAGAGTTCTACATGGGGAGTCTCCTGGCGCGTGACGTTGCAAGATACGATCGCCGGATAGATGAGATTACCCAGAGACTAGAAGATCTCGAAATCGAAGAAATCAAGACCCAAGTCTTGCACAACCACATCATGCCCCTGTCGAGGCCTGGGACACCCATTCTGAGCTCGAGCTGTTCCACCGTGTCGTCCATGTCTGCTATGGCGCGGATGGACGACTTGACAGCACTGATCACCGCGGCCACCGTGCAAGCGTTACCGAACCTCTCTAAACTTACTCGGTTAATGAGTTGTTGGAGCTTTCGGCTCCTGGTGCTCCGCCGAATCCCTGTTTTCCTGGCCTCCATCGCAGATGCCGAAGCGGCGCTTCAATCGGGTCAGACTGCCATCGAGCTCGGTGTCACGGCTAGCCCCGAGCCAAACAACCAGAATGGCTCACATAGTGTAGCGTCCCAGACTCTGTCGAGGGCAGACTTTGAGGTCATGAAATCGATTCTGGAGCGCAAGGTGGCAAAGGCAGGCCGCGATCTGGACGCCATGCTAGACATGCTCGAGGGACAACCGGATACGCTCCCGGAAGAGTGGATTGACCGCATGGACGCCTTGGAGCAGGCATACGGCGAGTGGTCCGTGGTCTGTGAGCGCAAGATCAGGGAAACAGATTGGGCTAGAACGACACGGGAGGCTGCAATTCAGGCCGATACCACACAGGCAGCAATCAATAAAACCGGTAGCACCACAAACGCTGTCAACGGGTTGGCGCACAGCGGACTACCGGCGTTTGATGGCGGAGAAACTAGGCCTGGCTCATCACCTCCCGATGGCAGCGCCTCGCAAAACCGTGATGCTGTGACAGAACTCAGCAAGCCGATCATCAAGCTGCATCTCCCGGCAGAAGCCGGGAATCACGCTAATCAAGGCACCGTGGTGGATCTTACTTCGCCAATCGCCCAGAGCCAGGCGCGTCAGCGGGCAGGCGATATACCCAGGAGCAGTGAGTATGAGCTTCCTAGTGTTGCGGTTGATGGGCCGCATCACGAACAAGCCGTGCCCCTGAAGAGACACGCAGTAGCTGTGCACGATAACCAGGACTCGGGGCTTGTTGCCACCCCGTTGTGCCCTTCAGATCCTGAATCTGACCTATCCGACGCCTCTGACGGCTACGCATATCAACCAGAATCGCCGTGTTTGTCTCGCGCCAGGCGGGGCAGCAACGTTTCGGAATCATCAACAATCATCCACGAAGCGCAGGTTTCGTTCACGGATTCATTCTCCAGTGACCAATTCGATCAAGGAACGCCAGAGCGTCCGCGCCGTGGCGAGATGGATGTTGGGGCAAGCGTCAAGGACGAGCTAATCATTCCAGACTCACCGACTCCATTCCGGTCGAGCACTAGGTCAATGTCCGTCAGCTTCAATGACAAACCCACCATCACGGAACTGCCCAGCTTCGACAGCGCACCCAGCACACCTACCAAGTCGCCACGTCTCCTGGAAGACGACGGCCCAGAAGAGGACCAAAGCAGTTTCTTTCAAATGAGTGCACTTGATACAGATGATCAGCTCCAGCAGCAGATCAGCGAGATCCTAGAGTCAGTGCCGGCTAAGATCCGGCTGACTTCGGAGCCTCCTGCCATCAACCTTAATCCCCCGGACTTCAAAATGCCCACTGCACACAAGGTACCCAGATCCTCGGACGGCAATGTTGTACGCCGCAGTCAATCCAACATATCGATGCGGTCTTCAAACTCGCGATCGTGTACACCCTCGTTCACCCTCGCCCCGGCCTATGCCCGCAGCTCCCGCCCCCGCCACCATCGGGGTAATCAAGACATCAAGTTGTACCACCTCTCCCGCTCCAACGGGGAGGCGCCGATCAAGCTGTTCATCCGGTGCGTGGGTGGGCATGGGGAACGCGTCATGGTGCGCGTTGGAGGCGGCTGGGCCGATCTGGGCGAGTATCTGAAAGAATATGCAGCCCACCACGGCCGGCGATCTACTGTCGGCGGCGACGGCGGGAAAGTGGAGGTCAAAGACGTTCCCCGGACGGGCATGGGAGTTGGACTCGGAACTCCACCGAGCCGGCCTACGTCGGTGATGGATTCGAATTCGCCTGATGGCGGAAGCGGCGACAGCGTTAGCCCGCTGAGGATGAGGAAAGTCAGGCGGCCGATGCCTCCTCCTTGCCCTTCAGTCGAGGATGACTCGGGAGCGGCTGGTACTTCGATGCGGCCAAAAACCCCGCTGTCCTCAGCCGCCACTGCCAACATTTCCCAGAACAATGCGATACGCCCCGGTCGGGATTCGAATACCAAGACAACAACGACACCTTCTCCGTCTAACGGTTCGTCCTCGGTCCGGTCCAGGTCCAGCTCCCGGATTAGCTGGGAGGAGGAGGATAGCTATGAGCTGGGCATGGCCGGGCCGAGGGCAAAACACATCGAGATGAGCGAGGAGAGCAGGGCGTGGGTGGAGAGCGTCAAGGAAAAGGTCCGCCTCGCCAGCGGCGAGCACAACAAGGACAGCAGCATCAGGCCTTGGCCGAGGCCGCATTCGGCTTTTGCTGGTGCCAGTGCTGGTGCTGTGCCGCAGAGAGCCATTTCCCAGGAGGAATTGACGCTGGACGGTGCCAGGTTTGGAGAGATTGGCCGGGTCGGGGCTACCAAGAGGGTTTTTAGACGGGGCGGTTAGCCAAGAGACCCTGTTTGACTATTCAAAGTCTGGTATTTCTCTTGGGCTGGAGGGGTGGTACTGGCCTAAGGTTGCATGGAGGTCGGTTACTGAGGGATAACAAGGTCTGGCATTTGTTTTATATGTATTTGGTTTGCAGAGAGGCTGGGGCGCCCTGGGAGGGATGAGAGGCGTCTATTCAGCTCAGGTCGGGGCTGGAGCGGGGTAAGGTCGGGCGTACGGGACCGGCGTGGCATGGCATGGCATGGCATGGGCATAGCATGTTGTGTGAGGACCCAGGGTATCTGGGCGCTCGCACCGGGGGGGGAGGAGGCAGGTCAATTTGCCTTGAGATACCCCGATACCCCTTTTTGCACTGGGGATAGGACCGGGTTGGCTGGGCTGGCTGGGCTGTCTTGGAGGACACAGAGGGGTGGTGGCTTGGTATTTATTATGTGGATTTTATGTTTTCCGCTTCCTGCGTTGGGAGTTTGCTTGACACATATGCTTCGCATTCTGCATGGTCCGGACGGCTTGCACATTTAGACGCGGTTATGTTATTTAACTATCAATACCCCCTTTTCTAATTCTCAAGCCAATTCTTATTTATCAATGGCAGGGGCGGTGGTGGTGGTGCTCTTTGAGGTAAAAGTTCAAACAGGGCAGGATATGACAAAGTTTGGGGGCCACTAGGTTACATACTCAGCATTGCCTCTCATAGACTCATACAAGCAATGAGATGCCGAACCTGCTACGATGGCAGTTCCTGGGACCTGTACTGCAAGTGAACACATGCATAACCATATCTGAGCCTCTTGGTCGATATTATTCACGATACAGACACTCCCTGATTGGAATTGTATGAAGGCATACTTGATCAATGTGATCTAAAGCATTGAAAACGCGCTACCGTACATTCACAACGCTATCTATACCAATGGTATTATAGTACCAACTCAGACGACTCACTCATCCTCCAATGTCTCGGCAAACTGTCTATCCATATCTACCCACTCATTCAACCGCGCCTCGAGCTCCGCGTCGCTAATCTCGGTTCCGGTCTCGGTCTCGTCGGCGCCCATGCTCGCCGTCGCTTCTCTTTTCCACGGCAGGGTAGTTCCGTTATTCAAGCAGCTACCCATCGAGCCAAAGTACCACAGGTGGTCGTCCGCGTCCAGGCCGTGGGTGCCGCCGTTGCAGCTCGTGTTTGCGTAGCCCGGGCAGATGCGCACCTCGTCCGGGGTGACGACAGCGGTATCATTGCCCTGAGCAAGCACCCAGTACTCGGGGCTCAGGTGACGGTAGTTGAAGGCGATGGGCGGCAGGCGGGGGACGGGATCCGAGGCGTGCGTGATGCGGTACGCGGCGCCGCGGTCGGCGGTCATGACCGTGACCAGCTTGGCAAGCTCCAGGTTGCCCACGCGCGGCGAGCCGTACGTGTACAAGTCGACGGCGGCGAGGGCGGCGGCGCGGCGGAGACGGAGGCGGGCAGTCGCAAGCGTGGCCACGGCGCCCCCGAGCGAGTAGCCCGTCATGACGACCCCGTAGTCCGGGTGGGCGGCCTTCGCTGCGTCCACGGCGGGCAGGACCACGTCCGACACCTCGCCCCACGACGCGGAAAACCCGGCGTGCACCAGGCAGCCCGGCGCCAGGTCGTCACAGGGTACCTGGATGAAGAGGAGGCTTTTGTCGCCAAGGGCTCGGTGTTAGTCAAGGTGTCCATGTACTGTGAATATATATACCTTTTAGGATGCCATCATATCCATTATGGAAGTCGGCTTTTGTTTTCCACATAGCAGAACTCACTTTGCGATCCAGTTTCTAACTGACTCGGAGCCCCTGAAGGCAGCAACGATCAGGCGGTCGACCGGGTCGACGGCGACGAATCCTCTCGCGTCAAACGAGGGCCCGCTATTCTCGTCAGATGTTTATCAACGAGGTGAGGTTTTTTATGAGGAGGCCAACCCACTTGAAAGCTGCAACAATGGTGGCATTGTGAGACTGAGGGATCGGGCACAAGTCCCGAGCGCAAGTGACGCGCTCGCCTGGTAACCTCTCGCTGTTGCAGCTTGCTCCTGCCGCCCACTGGGCAAACAAGCGGAACTTGTCTAGTTGGGCTGGTGTGACCTGGGCTTTTTGATCTTGTTAGAGGAAGCGTCGTCCGGGAGAATATAAGGTAAGGTAGTAAAGGCATAGATAGTTCCAGAGACTTACTCTGTCGTTTCGCGACCGGCGATGCGACAGCTAGAGCCACCAGGAAAAGATAGCCAAGTAAGAGATGCTGCATTGTTGGGGCCCTATTGCAAGGAAAGGATGGCGAGTAGACTGCATCCAAGTCAGGCCTGACGTGAGAGTCGGTCCCTCCTCGACGGTCTTGGCCGGCCACCAAGCAAGATAGCTACAGGGAAACAAAGGCAGGTGCTGACGGGAGAGTTGCGGTGTCTGCAGCCTTTATACATTTATATATACAATGCCCTACACACGGGCGTGAGCACGGCTGTCTTAGACCCACACGATGACAATACCGAACTCATATCGGCTTCAGCTGCTGAATCAAAGGGCTGTTGAGCGCGGGAAGAACTGGTTCGGGTGTCGAGGCAAGATGCACGGGACGTTCCTACTTCTAGCTGATGGTGTGGGATCCAGTCGGGGGCTGGGCTGTCCGCTGAACAAGCCACGAACAGTCCGGTGGCTTAATTACCATCTGGTGAACAGTAGCTGTATCCGATCCTGATTTGTCGCCTGCAGTTCGCCATGGCACAGAAAATGGATAGTTGGTTAGGTAGGTTGCTAAGGAGGTTAAAGCTTCTCTCTTCCGCCGTCGTTTCGCCTGAACTCGAAGCAAGAAATGCCAAGAAAATTGAAAGGTAGAATCTGGGTTGATCGCAGCGACTCTACACTAGCATCGGGAATGCCATGCATCAAATGCTGCATGAGATGGAATGGCCATGTGCGTCGATGTCGGGCATGATCATCAGGTCACAGCCTGGGAAAGGAGAGGCGTTTTACAGCGGGCGCCACGTTTATGCGGTACTGCACTGTACGGAGTCCCGCTCATGCTTATGTACTGTATTGTATGTACATTCTTGGTAAGTTATCCTATCCAGACATCTAGAGAGAAAAGCAATGATTCAACGCCAACAAGCCTTCTTCCAAGCAACCTGGAAGTGCTTTGCGACCTGGAGTCTTCTACTTGCCAATATCCTGTTTGGAGACCACACTGCTACCACCCCACACGGAGCAGCATCTTGGTGTGTCGCGTGCTTGTCGGGCCGGCGTGACGAGGGCGTTGCATGTGGCACATGAACACGGATCACAGCAGCAGAAAGGCTCGCGTGGGCCGACGTCACTCCTGTCTAAAGACGCGGCCTCGGGCTGTGTGCCTGACTGCGTTCACTTTGGGCTGATGGGATGAACGAGGTTCCCCACGTTTGCATCTTTAGTGTAGCTCTCCACCGGCTCCAGTGCCAAGGCTTTGGGACTGCCGTGTATGTACAGTACATTACCAAGCGAGGCTGTCTAATGATTACAGACTACAGTAAGTTACAGTGTGCAATGTTAGCTTTACACGTATCGTAGAAACCTGGGAAGTCGAGGTGGTGGTCCTGCACCTAAAGTATCCGTAATTTCAAAGGACCTATTCAAACACACTGCAGTCACGAACCTGCAGAACATCAGGATCCTGATTGCCAGATGCTGAGCTTCGCTTGCCAGGAAATGCGTGGACAACCGACAAATATGTACACTAGTGGCTGATTCCAAGGCGATGCAGATCGGAATAGGCCAATTTCGGCAATGGTGCCCAGATGCAGAGCGGGCCGTTATGCGGCAAGTCAGAGAATCGTCGTTTGGTTCGGTCGGCTGGAAATGAAAACCATGAATTCCGGGACTCGCGGGACGCGTGCTGCTTGGTGGCTTTGCCCATTCAAGATGCTGGGTTGCAACCCAAGCAAAATTCCCCGCCGCCAGTCTTCCTTCCTCCCTCGTCATGTCTGAATCCAACCTCACCATTCGCCAATACGAAATGTCAGCCTGGGCCGTGGATGATGGATGTGGCCGGAACAGTCCCGGAGGAACCGCCATATGCCTTGCGAGTTGCGACCGGCCCCTTCGCCGTCGAAAGATGGACGAGATACGGTTAATGTAGCATCGTGACATCGTGGACCACCCCACATTGATCGCCCGATCCCCTGTATATACTAATACAGGCCTTCAATAATATACGGGGGCCGGGACATGGGATGTTTGGGCTTGTTGCTTCTGTGTGTCGAGGCCGCTCCCAACTGTCCGTCTCGACGCGTTAATCCGTCCTGAATTTTCACAACGGAAGCCTGCCGCTACGTGACAAGTCGACCCCCTCTGTCTGTTTGGTTCAAGGGCTGCACGCCGCGGTCGATATGGTCTTCCGCACGCACGCCCTTTGGCTCACGCTTGTCTCAAGCATCCTTGCGCCTGTCTCCCTCGCCCGTAGCCTGGGCCCGAGAGACCCGGTTCCAGCGGGATACTATGCTGCCCCTTACTATCCGGCGCCCCATGGCGGCTGGCTGGACTCGTGGAAGGAAGCCTACGCAAAGGCCGAGGCCCTGGTGTCCCAGATGACGCTGGCCGAAAAGACAAACATCACGTCCGGAACGGGCATGTTCATGGGTAAATATCCGTCTCACAATGCCGTCCATTTCTCACTTACCATATGCTAATAATCTGACCAGGGTTAGTCCTCAAAACTCCGTCAAATTCCATCTATCTTGATCGTCAAGGGAAGTCTGGCTGACTCTCACAGGCCCTGTGTGGGAAACTCCGGAAGTGCCGACCGCCTTGGTTTCCCTCAGCTCTGTCTCCAGGACTCGGCTCTCGGGGTCGCGTCGGCCGACAATGTCACGGCGTTCCCGGCCGGCATCACGACGGGAGCGACCTGGGACAAGGCATTGATGTATGCCCGTGGAGTTGCCCTGGGCGAAGAGTTCCGCGGCAAGGGCGCGAACGTCTATCTTGGCCCTACCGTGGGACCCCTGGGGAAGAAGCCTCTCGGTGGGCGCAACTGGGAGGGTTTCGGCGCAGACCCGGTGCTCCAAGCCAAGGCAGCCGCCTTGACGATTCAGGGCGTCCAAGAACAGGGCGTCATTGCAACCGTCAAGCACCTGATTGGCAACGAGCAAGAAATGTTCCGCATGTACAACCCGTTTCAGCCAGGCTACAGCGCCAACATTGGTAAGAGACTCGAAGCGCAAGCAGAAGCGTGCATGCTGACCTGGGCCCAGATGATCGAACCATGCACGAGCTCTACTTGTGGCCCTTTGCTGAGGCCGTCCACGTCGGTGTTGGCGCCGTCATGACCGCCTACAACGCTGTCAATGGTTCTGCGTGCTCCCAGCACAGCTACCTGGTCAACGGCCTTCTCAAGGACGAACTCGGATTCCAAGGCCTGGTCATGTCGGATTGGCTGAGCCACATCTCGGGTGTCGACTCGGCCTTGGCCGGTCTCGACATGAACATGCCTGGCGACACCAATATCCCGCTGTTCGGCTTCAGCTTGTGGCAGTATGAATTGACTCGGTCCGTTCTGAATGGTTCGGTGCCCTTGGACAGGCTCAACGACATGGCCACTCGAGTCGTGGCGACCTGGTATAAGATGGGTCAGGACCAGGACTATCCGCGCGTCAACTTCCACTCATACACGCGCGACAGAGATGGATTGGTGTATCCTGGAGCTCTGTTCTCTCCGATTCGACAGGTCAATTGGTTCATCAATGTCCAGGCCGATCACAACCTAGTCGCCCGCCAGGTGGCTCAGGACGCCATTACGCTCTTGAAGAACGACGGTGGACTTCTCCCGCTCTCAAATGCCAGCACAATCAGCGTTTTTGGCACAGATGCCCAGGTCAACCCTGACGGGCCCAACGCCTGCGCAAACCGAGCGTGCAACAAGGGCACCCTGGGCATGGGCTGGGGCTCTGGCGTTGCCGAATATCCCTACTTTGACGACCCGATATCTGCCATTAGGCGACGGGTCCCGGATGTCCAATTCTACAACACAGACACTTTCCCTAGTGTTCCTTCCCCGAGTCCTGAAGAGCTTGCCATGGTTTTCATAAGTTCCGACTCGGGAGAGAACAGCTTTACTGTGGAGGGCAACCACGGGGACCGCGATGCCTCCAGGCAAGCGGCCTGGCACGGCGGCGACAAACTGGTCCAGGACGCGGCCGCGAAATACAGCAACGTCGTCGTCGTCGTTCACACCGTTGGCCCTATCATTATGGAGTCGTGGATCGACCACCCGTCCGTCAAGGCCGTCCTGATCGCCCACCTGCCGGGCCAAGAGGCAGGCGAATCCCTGGCCAACGTCCTCTTCGGCGACGTCTCCCCCAGCGGTCACCTGCCCTACTCCATCACCAAAGCCGAATCCGACCTTCCCAAAAGCCTTTCCGAGCTCAAGACCTTCACCTTTGGCCAAGTGCAAGACACGTACAGTGAAGGCCTCTACATTGACTACCGCTGGCTCAACAAGGCAGGCATCAAGCCCCGTTTCGCCTTTGGCCACGGCCTCAGCTACACAACCTTCACCTTTTCGAACGCCACCATTCGGCCCGCCACCACCCCACTCTCCCTCGTGCCCCCTGCACGCGCGCCCAAGGGCCCGACGCCCACCTACCCAACCACCATCCCCCCGGCCGCAGAGGCCTACTGGCCCGCCAACTTTGACCGCATCTGGCGGTACCTGTACTCGTGGCTCGACCGCCCGGATGCCGACGCCGCCTACCAAATCGGCGTCTCGGGCGAGCGGCTGTACGACTATCCGGACGGGTACAGCACGACGCAGCGGCCCGGGCCGGCCGCGGGGGGCGCCGAGGGCGGCAACCCGGCCCTTTGGGACGTGGCGTGGGAAATCACTCTGACGGTGCGCAACTCCGGGGACGCGTTCCCCGGCCGCGCATCGGTGCAGGCGTACGTGCAGTTCCCCGCGGGGACGCCCTATGAGACGCCCGTGGTGCAGCTCCGCGACTTTGAGAAGACGCGGGTGCTCAACCCGGGCGAGGAGCAGACCGTCACCCTGAGACTGACCCGGAAGGACGTCAGCGTGTGGGATGTGGCACTGCAGAACTGGGTCGTCCCCGGCGCTTTAGGAAATGGAGGGTACACCGTCTGGATCGGCCAGGCAAGTGACCAGCTGCGCTTGGCCTGCTACACGGATAGCGGCGTGTGTGAGGACGGGGTGGAGCCGCCTGTTTGATGTCTGAGGGGATGGATGGTCTCGTGCTTCGTAGTTGTGATATGGGATACATATGGGATATACGTGCAACGAGAGTGGAAAGTTTTAGCAGATCCATGTCTGTGGGACGGGAGGTAGCATAGGTTGTTTAGTATGACCCGTATGGGCTGGCATCTCGTAATTGGTAGTATTTAGTCCTTATCTTATTCTGAATTCATTCTCATGCGTCGATCTGCTCTGTCACGGACATTGTGTTAGCATGATGATAATGCGGGCATTGTGACCGTCAAGCAGATGAGATGCGAAAGGAGGCATGACAATGATGCAACTTAGCTAGGTCATCATACCTTATGTATGTGGGAGACAAGTCTTGCAGACAGATGGCAAGGGAAGGAATGCCTAGCCACGCTGCGTGATCCCCAACGTCCACATCAGGCTATTTGAACCCCTACCCCTAGCGACTCAACTCGCGGCAACCGCGGATTCCAATGATTGTCAGCCCTGGAAAGCGCCACCCAGTCTATTCCACCCACCCACATCTGGTGTGATATAGTAGTACATTTAGACCCAACCTGACAGCACCTTCTTGAGAAGGGGAATGACATCGGTATTATACAGCCCACCGTTCCTTCCTGCTCATATTTGAGCCCCATCTTCTTTCCTCCGCCGCCCATCCTTCCTTCCTCTCTCCGAAGAAAGGGCCACCTATAAGCCCCCCCCCCCTCGCTTTCCCTCTGCCGACCATTTTCCCTCCACCCAGACAGCACAAATATACACACACAGAGCGAGCAGGACAAAATCATGCACTCAGCCTCTTCCTCCCCTTGGCCCTCCTCCGCGCAAGCGTGTTGCGCCCGTGGTGCTTGCGAATCCGGCTGAGGAACCCGTGCCGCCGTTTCTGGATCAGCCGCGAGTGGCCCGACATGGTCGGCCGCGGGCCGCACCGGATCTGGTGCACGCCGCCCAGTGCCGGGTGCCCCGTAATGGATTGCCTCGCAATCACGTCGATTGTTTCCCCTTCCGCCCCCGCCGCCGTCCCGGCTGCTACTACTGGTTGTGGGCCGGTCCGGGAGAGCGCTGTGAGGTTCGGGGCGCGGAAGACAGAGTTTTGATTCGTGGTATTGAGAAGGGTGGGGCGGAGGGTTGGTAGGTTCGTGAATGTCCTGCTTCTTTTGATTTCCATGTGTTTAGTTGAAAATGTTCGGCGATGGAGGAGGGCGAGGATGTGCATACCGTGTCGTTGTTGGTGCGCAACTGGGGACCATTTGCCGGGCTGTGGTAGTTGTGGGCCGCCGAAATGCTGTCCGCAGCAACAGCGGGGACTGTAAGCTGATTCGTGCCATCTTCCTGTAGCTGGACTCGAGTTTTCGGCAGCTCGCCGTTGACTCGGTTCTTCTGTGACTGTTGGCTTGGTTGGAGGTTTGCGTCGGTTCAAAGTCCGTCTGAAGTTTCGCTAAGGTTCGGAACTTGGCAGTTGCGAGTGACGGGTGCCTAGCAACTGTTAGCAGCTGTGGCAGCTTTCAGCGATTCTAGTCCGTCGTGCTCAAGAGTTAATCTGGTCCCATAAGTAAGAAACACATCCAGAGTTATCGTTTTATACATTTACACTGCTGCTAGTACCCGAAGGACTTATGGGTTTGTCAATGAAATCAAGGACAGGTACTGGCTACACCGGAAACTTGCGTGATGTACAGCAAGTCATAGAAGGGTTAGGGTTGAGTAATATGTTAACTCCCTGGATCAAAAGCCGAAAGAAAATGAGATTCGATTTGCAGATACCTAATATAACCAGCCTTTCTAACCCACATCACCAAGGAAACTCTCAAGTACACATGTCCCACCATCTATAGCTCATCCCGGCCAGTCGCAGTCGCGACGTTCGAGGCCACGGCCTCTTCCTTCCCGCTCCCCTTAGTCTCCACCTTCTCCGTGGGCTGCCAGTTGAGCGCCTTCAGCCGTTCCGACAAAATCGGGTGGGAGAAGTGATAGGTGGCAAACATCCAGTCCGCATCCATCGTGCTCAAGTTCTGAATTTGCAGCTTGATCAAGGACCTGCAAAGCCCGGCGCTATAACCGAGCTTGCTGGCAAAAGCGTCGGCCTGGAACTCAAATCGGCGGCTCAAAATGTGCATCAGCAGCTTGACAACATTGTCCACGATTCCGATAACGTCCATGAAAAGAAGGAATCCCACAAGGATGGGATGCTGCTTGGTGAAGCCAAAGTCGGCGTACAAAGACTTGTTGTCGACAAAGGCTGAGAAAAGAGCAAAGACATAGAACAGGTGAAACTATTCCAAGTATTAGCATGTCCTGTTACAACAGCAGAAGCTCCTGTGTGAACTGACCTGGCTAATACCGAAGAGTTTGGTGGTATGACCCAAACTCCAGTGGCCGAGTTCATGGGCTAGCACAGACACCACCTCCTCGGGCTCGCTCTTCTCAATCAGCGTGTCGTAGATGACGATGTGCTTCTTCCAGGGCAGACCGTAGAAATACGCATTGCTGTGGGAGCTGCGCTTGCTGCCGTCAATAACGAACAGCTCGTGAAGAGGGAACTTGAGCTTCTTGGCGAGTTCTTCAACATCCGTCTTCAGCTTACCCTCCTCGAGAGGGGAGAGCTTGTTGAACAGGGGAAGAATGAGGATAGGATAGATGGTGATGGTGAACACCTGAAGAGCGCCAGCGAACATCCAGAGATAGTAGACGAAATTGCCGCCTGTCTTCTTGATGATGGATAGGAAACCAGCAAGAATAGGCGGGACCATGACGAGGGCCAGAAGGTTAGACTTGATCATATCTGTGACAAACAGCTGCGGAGTCTCCTTGTTAAATCCGAATTTCTCTTCCAGAACGAAAGTTTGGTAGATGCTGGACGGTAGCGAGAATATCTGCTGGATGAACATGAAAGTCAAGATGAAAACAATGGAATGAGATATCTCGCCGGTAAAGCGGGCCGGTGCGAAGCGGATGAGGAGATCGCCTGTCCAGGACCAGAGTTTGGGGAGCAGGTCGAAGTGGTAGATGGCAATGTTTTGGATCTGTCCGTAAAGACCGTTGAGCGCGGAAAACTTGGCCTTGGCCCGTCCATAAGCCTGGCTCTTGTCGAAGACCTCTTGTGACACTTCATGTTCGAGCACCTTGGGCGGCTTTGTTCTTTGGAGAACGCGGTATTGGCGAAAGCCCAGGAAACTCTCAAAGAGGTATTGCGCAACCGACACGCCAATGATCAGCTTCTTCCACGGAAAGAGCGGGCGGTCGAGGAACCGCGCGAGGCGCTTCAAGTTCGCAATGGCTGCGTCAGCAAGGTCCCAAAGAGGGTGAGATTGAGAGATCTAAATACCTGAAGAATATCCATCGCGGCGCGAGATGGCCACGCGTGCTTCACCTGTTACTTGGACTTGATTCTGATGGTTGGAAGATGAAGGGTTCAGAATTGGTCAAGGTAAGTTCACTCCGAGAACAAACTGTCCTTGAAGTGAGTGTAACGTACCAAAGATAGGATCGGTTGCTAACCCGAAAACGCTCGCTGCAGGCGACTGTCAGACTGCGGGCTTGGCAGCTACGGTATGCATGATTCGATTGGTCAGTACGTACCGGTATTGGGGATTGCGGGGAATGGCAGCTCACTTCTCCAGCCTTCAACGCAAGAAGACCCTCAAGGGTTGAAGATGAAACGAACTCTCATTCCCAGTATGTAGTTGCGAAGAACGACTGCATTCGGCGGAGACACAAACAAACCTTGCCGGCCATGTATCAAGATTATCTGGTTTCATAACGTTCCTATGCCCGGCATTGCCCGCACTAATCGTCCCAAACTCCCAACACAGCCTCATCCATCGCTGCCAGACAATGACTGATCAACAATTGAAGCGACAACCGCAACTCTGCTCGAAGTGGCCCAGCAACATCTCTCGTCTTCTACTGCCTGGAAATTCTCATGTTCGCCCGTATCCGCTCAAGCAATTGCTCTCTGCTGTCCGACTCTTGGGGAAACAGGTTTCTCTTGAATCTCATGTTAGCTTGCGTATTCAAGGCTTCGCCGGGACCAAGACCTACCGCAGCTAGCCACCTGCGCATCTCCTCTCTGCTCCAGGTCTCGGGATCACCTTTGGGATCGGGCTCTGAGGGGAACATGTCACCTCCCCAGATCGCCCATACAGCAACTCCTGTTACCAGGCCCGTGAAGGCTTGGACAGGTCAGTACAGCTTCAACGAACACGAACCGAAAAGCTCACCGAGAAAGGCGTTCTGCACGTCTCGTTAGTCATCAACAGCATCATACCTTCCATGGGCAAAGGTCAACTTACTCTCGAACGCATCGCCCTGTCCAGTACCGTAGGCATCTTGAGCGGGGCTGAATAGCTTTGCAGCGAAGAGTGTGGTTTTCTATATCCGGAACCGGGAGAGTACCTTAGTCTCAAGATTCAGTCCTCTTATCTGAGATTTTCAGGATACCCCTATGATATGTGCGATGTTGACAGCATGTTCTTCAGAACATCAGGCTACTGACGCCACACAACGCGTCACCTAGCCACACTAAGGAGCTTTGGCCAACTGCGATGTTCAGCAATCAGGATCCTGTTTTGTGTACCTATCCGTAGCGATATCTGGCTAAGCAGCACATTGCAGATGTCGGGGTCGCACCCCACTAGGAAACCCACAGAAAATAATTTCGAGAAATCCAAACCGAGAAGAGACCGTCCACTCCAGTCCCCTTTAGACCCTACAGGAACTTCAACACAGTTGCCAAAATGCCTCAGGAAATCGGAGATATCAAGAAGGTGTGAATTGGCGTGTCCAATATCTTTTTCTGAGCTTGGACGAGGAACTGACAAATGTTGGCCTAGTTCATCGAGATCTGCCGGCGGAAGGACGCCTCCTGTACGTTGCAAAATAGCTGAAACGCTTCGACTGTACGAATTCAAGCGATGAGGCTAACGGTGATACTTTGTTACAGCCGCCCGGATCAAGAAGAACAAGAAGACGCAGCAGATCAAGTTCAAGGTCCGCTGCCAACGATTCCTGTACACCCTGGTGCTCAAGGACTCCGACAAGGCCGAGAAGCTCAAGCAGAGCTTGCCGCCCAGTAGGTTTCCCGACAGATCGAGCAGTCTCGAACGCATTTGGCTGAATGGTTCCATTTTACAGACCTCCAGATTAAGGACGTCCCCAAGAAGAACAAGCAGGGCAAGGCCTCGTCATGAGTTAATGGGTTTTGAAAGGGGATAAAGGTCGAAACATCCAGGCGCAGGTGTTTGGTCCGATGGAGTCATATGCATTCTGCCGGTTCGGGTTGGGCCGAGCTTACAATGACGGCGTCTCGGAATGGGATATCCAGCAACGGTGCTTTGCTTGCTATGATCAGCCCACGGGCGATATAGTTGGCGAAAAACCCCCATAAAATGAAATTGCATTTCATCGGCTAAGGCCTAGGCTCGGATTCGATTCTCCTCGCAACCAGCTGCAGCTGTGACGGTGGGGGCCTATCGCGCCACACTACAAGGAAAACCTCCTGTAGTGCTTCCTATCCACTTGTGCGATGAACTGTTCGATCTCCTGGAACTGGGAAAACCCGGCTGCATTGGTAAACTCAGAGTGACTCTCGACCGTTTCCCATCCGCAGACGACGACAAACTCCTCCTCCTTCGCCCCCTCCTCGAGGTCTTCCCGCCAGCCGAATCTCAGTGAGCCGGGGCTCACGTACTTATCCAAGACCCCCTTGACCTCGCCAAACTTGGCCTCGAAGGAACCCCTTTCTTCGCGAGGAATAAAAAATCGACTGACACTAATGACAGGGGCTTGGAGTAGGGGAACGGAGGTCCCCGCCGAGTCGCCAAAAATAATGCCATTTACATGGAATAAGACCGTGTCTTTGGGTATGATGTGGGCAGCCAACCCCGTCATGATCTTGGTGTTCTGTTCGCTGCGGATCCATTGCAGATGCGCCTCGACCGAGTCCCACTTGGTCGTTATCAAGATCTGCGTTGGGTCATCGATCTGTTCAAAGAGAGCCACAGCCCGGTCCGAGATGGAGGAGGGCAGGTCTGGGAAGTTGGCGGCGTGCCATGAATCTTGAGCCCTTATGGCACTTGATAGGGCTCCGCGGACCTCGTTGAGGGAGGGGGCCGAGGTGAAGTGAAGGGTGGCGAATTCTGTGACAGTCATTTTGAGAGCGATGATCAATGGTCTTGGTGTTTACATTCTACAGCTCGGCTTGGTATACGGCTCCAAGCAAAGAGATGGGGGTTGTTCGAGACATGGACACGCAACCTCGGGCATAGAACTGGGAGTTTTGGAGTCGTCGCGATATGATCCCGCCTCCAGGTAATGAATTTGATGACGCATACCAGCGGCTACAGTACAGTACGGACCGTCCGGCAAACATGTCGGACTGCCACAAGGGGTAGCTCCCGGTACCTCTCATTCACACTGCCACATCGTTACGCACCTCTCAGCTGGCTCGGCGTTCCCGTTCCCGAGTGCCCCACTCCCGGCGAAGCTCTGTATGAGGAATACCAGTGCTGCTGCGGGGGATTCGGAATAAGAGGTCTGATACATGGTGAAAGAGAATGCACTTTCACGGCAGCCCAGACCTGCGAAGATGTCACGGGGCCAAAATCAAACATCAGGTGCTCCCGAGGGAGATTGAGGCGATCGCTTGACGCTTACAATTTATTTTCGCATCATTGGCTGCTGTGAGCGTGGACACTTTGCTGAGCTGCCCAGGCCCCCCTGACATTGTATTGTACATCCAGTAATTACACTCCAATACATACATAGCCTTACCTTACACGAGATGAGGTGAGTTGGGATCGGTGGGTTAACCTACCGTTTTTACTGCACACACAACGTACAATACATACTAGTACCTTACCTACAGCAACCAACAGAATGCAGCCGTAATAGCATACTGTACGGAGTAATACAGGACCAGATTGAGCATAGCTCCGAGCCGGGCGGCCGCCGGCAGGTTACCCAGCTTCCTGGAAGACGCTTCACACCAATCAACAACGCAAATTTCGAGTGCTTGCAGGGTCAGGTCCGGTACGGGGGTACCGCATCCACCACGCGAGACCCCTGGTCATCGTTCTGGAAAGATGGCGGTTGCGGCCCCCTAGCCGGACATTATTTTTCTTGAACTGCCATCCCAAGTCCATCCAACTGATGAATCGACACCTCTCTCTCGGTCCTCGCCTGATAGTTGCAGGTCCCTAGTTATCTGTTGCCCAATACAAAAGCCAGAACATAGGACTTTGACAATAGGAATGGATTGAGTCCTAGTCGCGCTCATGGATTGATCATTTGACTTATCTTACCTTGGTGGTCTAACTTAAACCACCGATTCTCTTCCTACTAATTGACTAATTACGCCCCCATCCTATTTTGGAAGAACCCTTTATTCGCCGACTTTATTACGCTATTTCCTTCTTCTCTGAACTTGTTGACTTTCTCCAAGTGACAGCAGTCGAACAAACTGCTGCAATATCAAGCCAGAGCTCCAGTCACAACTTCGTCTTCCTAATATTACTAGTGAGATCGATCGGCAACTACAGTGTCGTTTTCCGACTTGCCCGACGCGCTTTCAACGCCTTTGCCCTGCTTGCTATACACGGACCCATTGAGGACTGCTCAGTGGAGTAGATACCATACTTGAACCGGCTCGGGGTCTCGACTGCTTTGTGCTTCTGCTCAGACGCCGATTCTGCCGCAATTGGCGGGATTGCAGCCATGACGACTCAGCGGGTAACGAACGGTCACAGTGGTTTCCACGGCGATACAGAACCCGACAGTCCCAGCACGGATGGCAGCGACATCAGCGACACCGGAATCAAAGGCATAAGCAACGGAAGCAGCATCACTGGCGCAAACCAGCGGCGAAAGATGAACCGCAAAAAATCGAGCCCGATGATGCCCGCTTTTATGGTGTCGGCTCCGGGGAAAGTCATTGTATTCGGCGAGCACGCAGCCGTGCACGGGAAGGTGAGTGGCCATCGTTGGTAGAGAGACGAGAGGCCTTATTCTCACCTTAACAGGCTGCAATGGCTGCTGCCATCTCTTTGCGATCGTACCTCCTAGTCACGACTCTTTCCAAGTCCAAACGAACGGTGACGCTTCGATTTCCCGATATCGACTTCAACCACTCGTGGAACATTGACAACCTCCCATGGACAACTTTCCAACAGCCGGCCAAAAAGAAGTACTACTACGACCTTGTCACGGACCTTGACCCCGAGCTCGTCGCCGCAATACAACCCTATGTCGCCAATGTTTCCGCGGACAAGCCGAGTGATATCCGCAAGGTACACCAGAACTCGGCCGGCGCGTTTCTCTATATGTTCTTGTCACTCGGTTCGCAGTCGTTCCCGGGCTGCCAATATACGCTACGATCTACCATTCCAATTGGCGCTGGCCTGGGTAGCAGTGCTACGATCGCAGTGTGTATGTCTGCTGCCCTCCTTCTACAGCTTCGGACCTTGTCGGGTCCGCACCCGGATCAGCCTGCCGAGGAGGCGCGCGTCCAAATCGAGCGGATAAACCGTTGGGCATTCGTCTATGAGATGTTTATCCACGGAAATCCGTCTGGCGTGGACAACACCGTGTCGGCACAGGGCAGAGCGGTCGTATTCCAGCGGCCAGATTACAGCAAGCCCCCGTCTGTGCGGCCGTTGCACAACTTCCCCAAACTACCTCTCCTGCTCGTCGACACAAAGACGCCAAAGTCTACAGCACATGAGGTTGCCAAGGTGGGACGTTTGAAGGACGCGCACCCCAAGCTAGTCGGCACGATTCTGGACGCTATTGACAAGGTCACAAACACATCGGCTGACCTCATAAACGAGGACAACTTTGACACGGAGAACGAGGAGAGTCTACGCCGCCTGGGCGAGCTAATGACAATCAATCACGGCTTACTGGTCTCGCTTGGGGTCTCCCATCCACGGCTGGAACGAGTGCGCGAGCTGGTGGATCACCAGGGGATAGGCTGGACCAAGCTCACGGGCGCCGGCGGTGGTGGATGCTCCATCACATTGCTCAAGCCGGGGGTCTCTAGGGACAAGTTGGATAAGCTGGAGGAGCAGCTTGACCAAGAGGGTTACCAGAAGTTTGAGACGACGCTTGGCGCAGACGGTGTGGGCGTCCTGTGGCCAGCTGTGCTCAAGAACGGAATGGATGAGGACGATGAGGGCGGAATGGAGATTGACTTGGACAAGTTCCTGAGTGCCGAGGGGAATGAGGGGGTGGAACGGCTGGTCGGTGTCCACGGAGGGAAAGGTGAAAGAGAAGGGTGGAAGTTTTGGAGGGTCGAGACCTAGCCGAGGGCCAACAATGACTTGGCTTTGGTTGTGCCAACACCGCTTAGCTATGCCTTGTCCGATTCAAAACCGGCAGGTAGGCGAGCAGCTTTCGTGTATTGGTTTACTTCAGTTCGGAAACTTTGTTGGACATTGCGGCGGAAGACGGAGGGGAAACCTACTAATTGCGGTTCTGCCGCTGTATTCAGAGTTCACCGTACGGTATCAATCGGCATCCCTTACTCAAGCCGGACTCCCCTAATTTACCTAACCACCAAAAGAAACTCTCCTATGTGCTGGCTGCAAACAGCAAGCACAAAGTAGTAGACAATAGAATATATCGCAAGAGGAAGTTGGGCGCATTTGATATTGTCTCTTTGAACATGCTTACTATTGTTTCCCCCTGTTCGTCTACCGCCAAGCTGTTAGAAGGAGCTCCTTCTTGCCGAAGTTGTCAATGCTCGGGTCTCACAATAAGCAATTTTTGGCGTGAGGGAGCTTTTACAGTTCACCCCACCAATCCAATCCTCACGCTGCACCTGGCAGCGAAGCAAACTCACCTCGACAATGCCGCCCAAGGGCAAAAAACCCAAGGCAACTGAGGGTAAGTAGATTTAACCCTCCCGTCGTCTTCATTCTTTCTCCGTTTTCATCCAGAGTTCCTCTGAGCAGCCCCGGAGCATTTTATCAAATAAAAGCTTACCTCGAGGGGTTCTCACTCTTTTATGGTGCCCAAATAGCTCCAAGACCTTCCCCACCTACGACTGCTCCTAGCACCTCTATATCTACTCCTTCTATCAATACAGCCCACTCCAGAGGCACCAACAGCCAAGCGCCTTCTTGTTCCTCCTCCTCGTCAACAAAGGCAACAATCACAACCACCACAACCCGGGAACTGGCAGAATCATCATCATCTGCCCGCCAACTCTCTCAGTCCAGTCCCTACGACGACGCCCTCTTCCGCGCTGGGGGCACACCACCGCTCTCATCCCTGTCCAAAACCGAGCAGGTTGCCTGGTTATCGGCCCGTGTGGCGCGCCGCTTAGCTGTCCATCCAGCTGGCGGGGGAGTGGGTAGTGTTGGTGTCGGCGGCTTTGGAAGCGGTGGGGGCATAGTAGCAGCCCCTGGGTGGGGTCTAAGCGGGTTTGCGCCGGGAAGTAAGAGCTTCAAGGAGGTCTGGAAGGTGGTTAACGAGCTTGGGCTGCCGCTGCGGGTCGCTCGGTCTCGTTCTACTCTAGGCGAGCAGGATCGAGGTAGAGATCACGATCAAAGGGCTCGTGGGGTTGGAATCCGGACCGGTGTTGAGGGTGAGTTTGAGCGGAGAACCCAGGGCAAGGTGAGGCTGCTTTGTCTTGGTGTCGAGAGTCGGCGGTTCAGATTACTACGTGCCCAGGGTAAGGTTGCTGAGAGTGAAGTCTGGGAGGAGAAGAGCAGGCGGAAAGAAATGGCTGCGCTAAGGAAAGAGTTGTATGGTGGTGGGGTCGGCAAAGAAGGGCGGTTGTTCCTGGACCCAGAGTGGGATGATGTGGTCCCTATTGTGTTGCAGGAGCCGGAGAAGGCGCTCGCGGCGATTGCGTACCCCCATGATTATGCCGAGGGTGAGTTCGTGTCAGAGAAGGGGTTGTGTCTGGCAGGGAGTAGCTGACGCGGAGTAGCTATGGCGTATCTGAGGGCCGTCATGCAAGCGAAGGAGTACTCCCCCCGCTGCCTGCGCCTGACGGAGCACATCATCGGCATGAACCCGGCGCACTACACCGTCTGGCTCTACCGCGCGGCCAACGTGTTCGCCCTCAAGCTCCCGCTTCTCGACGAGATCAAGTGGCTCAACGGTGTGGCGTTTGAGAACCTGAAGAACTACCAGATCTGGCACCACCGCCACCTGCTCGTTGAGAACTACTACCCTTCCATTGCTGACGACGCGGACGCCATCGCCCAGTTTGCGGCCTCTGAGCGCGAGTTTCTGCAGCAAATCCTCGCCGAGGACACAAAGAACTACCACGTCTGGTCGTACCGTTCGTACCTGGTCGGCAAGCTGGGCGTGTGGGGTAGCGAGGAGGAGCGCCGCGCCATCGAGGCCATGATCGACGACGATGTGCGCAACAACTCGGCGTGGTCACACCGCTTCTTCCTCGTCTTCTCGGACCCAGCACATGCCACCCCCGGAGCAGGAGCTACCGAGCCGGACCCGAAGGTACCCCAGGCCATCATCGACCGGGAAGTGGAGTATGCAAAGGCAAAGATACCGCTTGCGCCGCAGAACCAGAGCGGGTGGAATTACTTGCGGGGAGTGCTGGTCAAGGGTGCACGTAGGCTGGCAAGCGTGGAGGACTTTGTGAGCGATTTCGTAAAGGGGTTGGGCGAGGGCGAGGATACCGAAGATGTCCAGAGCACGCATGCCCTGGATTTGCTGGCCGAGATCTATGCTGAGAATGGGGACAAGGATAAGGCGGATCTGGCGCTAAGACGGCTAGGCCAGAAGTGGGATCGGATCCGGATCGGGTACTGGGAGTGGCGGCGGAAGTGTCTTGAAGTCAATGCGTAGAGAGGACGGTGTCTTCCCGGGGGCTTTATGTATTTTTGTTCGATGTTCTGGGTATAGTAGGAAGGGAATGGAGGCTCTGGTGATGAAAAAGGGCAATGGGAATGTCGGTGGCTTTGATTAGGGTTGGTTCTTCCGTTATGTATTGAAGAGGAACATTGTGAGAGCCACTCATTCAGTGCCATTCACCAATCATTGAACCTGTTCGTCTTATATCTTATTGCGTTGACCCTTCGCTGCCCAGATGATCAACATTGTAGCCTCCAGTATAGCGCCCCTGATATATGATCGTGAAACTCCGATTGACTGCATACATGACCCCGAATAAAACCTAATGATCCAGAACCAACACATGCGCCAGATTGACAAAGTGGCCTAATCTTGCCGATTTGCACCTTCAAAAGGCACGGTAGTTGTGGGAAGCTATGAGATATTTCCTGCCATACCTGGCGCCGGGCTTCTCGAGAATTTCCCAGTTCGGTACCAGGATGAAGACGTCGTGGAAGTGCTGCTTGAGGGTATAATCTTCGTTGTCCTTCTTGTTGGCGCCAAAGTAGACGGAGCCGGTAACGGTCAGCATCATCATCATGCGCACGCCGTCGGAGGGACCATGGATATCGAGCATCTTCTGCGGGGCGGCGAAGCGGTAGTCGCTGTTGATGACGTGCACGTCGTAGCCCTCGACGACGTAGTGCACAGCGTTCTTATCCAGCGATAATGATTGCGGCCTGTGCCGCTGCTGCTCCAGCAGTTTTTCCCATTCTTGGGGCGTGGCGACAACCAGCCCGTTGATGCAAATGTCGGCAGGCGGGTGGCCCGCTCTTTCAAACGTCGAGTTGCCGTTTACATAGCCGTAGGCTATCGGCTTGGAATGGTTGATCTGGTTGTAGTACCATTCCACAAAGGCGTCGGCAGCTGGAATGGGAATGAGCAAAAAGGTTCCAGAGGGGGAACGATCCGGTGCCGCATGATGAGGGAGGGATTTCCGTCATGGACTCGGACCGTTGGGTCTTGTTGCTGTCGTACCTTCGATCGAGCACCGGACGTTTGTTTCGCGTTCGGAAGCCATCGATGACGGGGTCTTAAAGAGCTGACGGCCGAGCCGCCGTCTGGTTGCCCTTTGGTTTGCGGTCGATATGCGAAGCTCGGATGGTAGGCTGGTATGCGGGATGCTCGATTTCGACTTCTCAGACCCCAGTGATGCGCGCAAAGTAGTGGTGAGCTTGGAACGGGGAGTTGCAGGACTGATTGTCTGGGTTTCGAGCGTATGGTTCGAGTGTCGGCGTGCAATCGAGGGTTAAGGTGAGTTGAAGACTTCGCTACGGTTTGTAGAGGTTTCGGAAATAGGTGACTTGATGAAGCGAGCAATCTTTAAGCGTCGTGGTTTACTTCGTAGTATGGATCCAAATACAATCTTTTGGTGTAAAAAAGGAATGAGAGAACGTTGAGCGGAGTAAATTGGCGGCCTGCAGCCCTGTAGTTCAGTACAATGTTGAAGTGGGGCCGGACACCCACCAGGCGCTAGCCCGGCACCATGACAATGATGACACACTGGCTCGAGACTGGCTAGCTGCATAACTGCATACATAGATTAGTTTAGTATGCACGTCACGTACACTACGAATTCATGAAAGCTCAAGTCAGCTTCAAGGCCGCCATTCATTTCCCATTGTCCAAGGCGTCCCGTACCCATTTTGAGGTCAGTTAGTAGGATACTGTATATTAGCCAGCTTCCCCGCGGTTTAGCGATACAGTCCGTTGCTTCGTTATTATTTATTGTATCTCGATTACTTAGTGTTTTGTCTCCTGTTTGTGTTTATTCCTTAACCAGATACTCCTCGATATCCTTGTCCTCCTCCTCTTCTTTAGTCTCCCGTAGTCGCTGTTCTTCAACCTCCAGCATCTTCTTGATCATCTCACGCTGTCTTCTTCTCGCCTTTTTACCCCAATCGGGCCCGGATGCCTTTGCATCGTCTTCATCGTCAGTGTCCTCAGGGACCTCGACCCTTCCACGCAACTCGTTGGGTGATATTTTGGCCTTGGCTGCCGCTTCCGACTCGGCAGCTTCTTGTTCGTGCGACTTCATTTGAGCGCGTGCGCCAAGCTTGATCAGGTACGGCCTCAGAAGCAGGTCTATGCCGGCCGTGTCAGAATCTCTTTCTATGAGGGAATAATGCGGGATCTACTTACAGAAGCCAGCAATAATCACCAAGCGAATCCATTTCTCCGGTGTCAAATCGGCAAAGGTGGCCTTCAGGTTCGTTGAGAAGCGGTTGCCCACTGTCGAGGCGATGTTGACGATGCCATCCATCCCGAGAGACTGAGGTATATTGAAGAGAGGCCTCACACTTCTGGGACCCGAACAATAGCGGTTGGCAGAAGACTGAGGTATTTTGCAAAGGCAAGAAGAGACAAAGCAAAAACATGGACCGAATGAAGTGGACAAGATCCAATTCCGTCTGCGCGAAAAATCCCGTTACGTCGCTGATACGCCAAGCCAAAACCCCACCATGGGGCTCTGCTCTGCCGGCAGCCTCGGCAGGGGTAGATGCTTAAAATTGGAACCTTCTTTTTTCTTTTGTCTGGGAATTGTACGGAGTACAGTACTGTATTGTACATACAGGACATATCAATCAGGCGTTGATAGTACAGATTGCAAGCTCAACAAATACTATAACCGGTTCAATCAACTTAGGTACCTAGCTAGATTGCTGGGCACGGGAATAGTCGGTTGAGCATCAATCACGATGGTCATTTTGAGATTTTAGACTTTAGGATCAATCAAAGTTGGAACTTTGAGTGGGAGAATTGAGAAACCCCTAAACCGAGATTGGAACTAGGTAATTTAGCTTTGTCGCCTTCTAATTAGTTGCGCACTCTAAATCAGGACGCGCTTGAACGCGTTCCTGACGCGTGACATCAAACCACCATCAGTTCGACCACACATCATGGCTGATGCTGAAGACGAGGGGGTACGAGAGGTGAGCAACTTTTTCTCAATCCGTTGTATGTTGTTCATCACAAGATGCAACACAATTTCGCAACATGTGACTAACAAACCCCAAAACCAGCGCCTCAAAGAGGCCCTCTGGTTCACCATTGGCAAGATGGTAGATGAAGAGTCGATCCGGCGCAATCGCAACGTTACCCCGCAGTTCATTGGCGCCCTGACTGCAATGGTTTGGCAACAGATAGGTACGTGACCAAAAGCCGCACCACTTACACAACGATTGTTTGCAACAATCTCCAAGATATTTCATCCTGTTTTGTTTCGCCTACTAATGCAATCTCCCAGAAAATGTCGCCATGGATTTGGAGAGCTTCAGCCGCCACGCCGGCCGCAGCACCATCACAACCGACGACGTACTACTCCTAGCGCGGCGCAACCAGGACTTGCACTCCATGATCAAGGATGTCGTGGACCGCGGCAAGGCTGCCAAGGCGAGGGCAAAGGTCAAGGGCAAGGGAAGGTAGCAGATTGACTGCGTTGAAAAGGAACCCTGAAGGTGGGAAGCGAGCGCTGTCCGCAGCCGGGGAGTTAGGCGTTCTGGTCAAAGGGCGTAAATCTGCCTATTCCTCCTTGTTTGCAGTAATTGACAATGCGTAATGAATCATGACACTACAAGTTACGAACACAGTTAACGACGCAAATTCATCGGTGGTATCCCGTTCCTGTCCCCTGAAGAGAACATCTAACTCCACTCCCCACCTCTCTTGACTGCCTCTTTGACAGTCCATTCCTCCTCGGTATACTTGAACCTCTCGGCAAGCAGCATCATCAAACTCCACGCCTCCCCCTGGACCACTGTGAGGAGTAGTTCCAGGCCCAGCATGTTCACCAGCCCCCTCCCCGGAATCGCTCCTCCTCCTATCATCCACTCGACGGGCCGCTCATGCACCCCCTCCAGCGACAGACCCAACCGCGCCATGTACGACCTTGCCAGGGGCAGCCACGCCATGCCCGCAAAGGACGTCGTGAGCAGGTGTGCCGGCGCGATAGCCAGCACGCTCGTGGCGAGTACGGCCGGCAGCCGCGTGAGCATGTTCTCGCGGTACGCGGGGCATTCCAGCTGATCTGCTGAGCTAACCCCTGGTCGGCCCCCGCTGTCCGCTATGTTCGGGCGGAGCTCGGCGGACCAAAAGTCAGGAGTGTTGGCATTGATGGCGGTGTTGCCGGAACTATTTGTATTAGGGGCGTTGGTGTTGTCCGCGGCGGTAGAAGCGTGTTGCGGGTCCGGCATGGGCTCAGAGGCTTCAAAGTCAAAGCTGATGAGCCTGGTACCAATAATTTCGGCTTCTTCGTCGTCGCTGGCAAACTCGTCTGGGCCGGTGGCCGCGTAGCTTGGGACGGGACCGGCTGTAGCGTTGGCGCGGGTGTTTGGGCTGCGGAGAGAGACAGTGCTTTGTCGGCGATGGGAAGGCGGGGGGCCGCTGGAGGAAGGGGAAGATAGTGGGTCAAAGATTTCGAGCGGCTCATCAGTCCTGTATTCAATGGCCATATCTGCGCCGGACTGCTCAGTCACCCTATCACCGGGCTGTTTACTCTTACTTGTGTTCTGGGGATGGGGTAGTAAGCTGTATATCTTGAAGCGAAGGGTTCGGGTAATGAGGCTGTATGCCTTGGTGTACAGGTAGAAGCCCGCAAAAGGTGCTAGGCCCACGGCAAAGGTGCTGGCCCACTGGAGAAGGCACCCCGGACCAAACGAATCGGGAGCCGGGGGAAGCGGGATGAGGGATATGCTTGTTCCAGGGACGAAGAATCGCCAATTAGGGAGCAGGTCGTTGAGCGGAATGATGCCCATCCGCTGAAAGACTGTGTAGGCGGCAAGGTGAAGGCGGATGTATGAGGACATGTATCGAACCCTACCCCTAAGTCAACAAGCGAAGAAAAATAAAAAGGAGGATATCCTTACACTGGGTATTCTCTAGAAGCCGGGAACGAGAGCTGTTCCAAAGCTATCCTCGCTACAAATGACGGCAAGCCGCCGAGGAAATAAGAGGTGAGAGACTGCCGTTTCCAGACAAGCTGGAACATGCCGTAGAAGGTGGCATGGGAGAATTCTTTGTATAACTGAAAAGTCAGTATTGGGAGCTCGGTATGATAAAGGGAGATGGGCGCTCACTAGAATGCGTTTTCTCATGCCGTTAACACCCCAGAGGGATGCCGTCTCGAGCACCCCTCCAACCAGCAGCAGCCTTTGGCCAATGCGGTCCTCGTACTGATGGTGCCTAAGAGCTGCCTCGGCCTGTGCATCGGGTACGCCATTCTCGGGCTCGGCGACGCCAATGACCTCCATCACCTCATTATGAGACCGTATGACATCCCTGATAATGCGTTTGGTCTCGGGGTTGATGGGGCGACCTCGCTCATCGTACATTTGCTGGTAGCCGAACAGGTTTGCTGGGCCCTCGCCCGGAACCACATCATCGTATGGTGAGCGACCCTGCGGAGCCCGTTAGATGGCTGCAATGGTATTCAGCGATACAGCATTTCAAGCCTACAAGCGCTTGTGAAGTCAAAGGGTCCAATCTGCCCATTTTGGAAGATTATTTCACCCGTAAAGCGGAGGAATTTCTGTAATACAAGGTAGTATTTCGATATCAGTGCGCATCACGTCACCATGCTGAGTATAAGGCGGACTAGGATAAGTCGTTGTCGTGCTCTTAGGTAGTCTTTACTTTTTGCCCTGGTTGAGACTTGAGAATGCAGGGAGGCGACAAGTGCAGTTCAAGTTGGAGGTAAATACAGTATAAAGCAGAGTACACCCGGTAGCACGCACTGTAGACCATGCGTCGCCAAGCTACGCTAAGATAACCTTATAATTTCCTCTTATCGTCCGATGCAAATTGACGGCCCAGGAAAAAAAAAGAGGGATCGGGTCAGGAAAACGAAAAGCGATTCGAGATCTCGGTATATCGCCCACCATAGGCCATGGCGACGAGACAAACAACGAAGACAACGTTCGAGGTTGAAAATGTTATCCAGCCCATCTTCACGGGAGGAGCTGTGGGACTTGACAATGGCGCAAGGATACTTGCATCGACGCTGGGCGAGGCCGCCGTTCTCACCGAGCTGACTACGGGGAAGCGGCTGGTCGAGATTGAGGGAGACGGCGAGCCAATTTCGACGCTGACGAGTATGTGGCTCGCATTTCAGGTCTTTGTGCGGAACCGGGGTTGTGCTAACATGCCCTTCAGTCACACCTTCGGCATCCCATCTAATAGTCTGCTCCCGCTCCCTAACAATGCGCATCTACTCCCTCAAGGTGTCGCCCACATTCGATTCCGTCGAGGCGACCCTCGTGCGGACATCCAAGCCTCATGCTACGCCGGTTGTTGTACTTGCTGTGGACAAAACCAGCACCCTCATGGCAACGGGCGCAGCCGACGGCGCAATCAAAATCTGGGATATTGTTGGCGGCTACGTTACCCACACAGTCAGCGGACCGAGCGTTCTCGTATCGGCGCTGCACTTCTTCGAACTAGCTCAGACAGCCGACGACTCGGTGTCTGGGCGGAAATCAAAGAAGGGCTCACGGAAGAGCCAGGGCGACGAGAACCAGGTTCAGGGCGAGTCCAAATTCCGGCTTGCATGGGGTACACAAGATGGCAAGATTCGCATCTTTGATCTCCACAAGCGCACTACCACCCCTGTCTACGCCGATGCAAAAAAGAGGAAAGAGGCACACGAGTCCAATGTCCAGAGCATAGAGTACTCGCCAGAGCAGCATGCTCTACTGAGTGGCAGCAGGGACAAGACCATGACCTTATGGCTATGGCGAGATAACGCATGGCAAGGTACGGCTATGCTGCGGCACGAGCTGGTCGAGTCGATCGGCTTCCTTAACGACGGCAGGTGGATGTACTCGGCTGGGACAAGTGGTCTTGTGAGAATATGGGACACAACTACCCGCCACGAAATTACAACGAAACGAGACGCCAAGTCAGAGGCCGAGTCAATATTGTCCGCAATCTGTCTACCTCAAAGGAACCTCATCGTATGCGCCCAATCTGATTTTACCCTGGCGCTGTACCGCGTGCCCTCACCAGCAGACTTGACTTCCCAGTCAGGGGTTTCAATGGAGCCTTTTTGGAGGATATCCGGCACACACGATGAGATCCTCGATCTGGCATATGTGCTACCGGATCAGTCCATGATGGCGCTTGCCACAAATTCGGAGGATATCAGGCTTGTTTCTGTCTCGGATGCAAAATCTCAGCCTAATTCAGAGGAAGGCGGCGTCTACTTCGGGCATGACGTTGCTTTGTTGAAGGGTCATGAAGATATAGTAATGTCTCTGGACGTTGACTGGTCGGGGCATTGGGTTGCCAGCGGAGCAAAAGACAATACGGCCCGGTTGTGGCGCGTTGACCCTGCAACTGGGTCCTACGAGTGCTATGCAGTTTTCACTGGCCACTTAGAGTCAGTGGGTGCTGTTGCTCTTCCAAAGGTGGTCCCTCCAGAGAACTCTGAAGCTTTCAAGGACCCCCTAAATCACCCGCCGGCTTTCTTGATCTCCGGATCCCAGGACCGATTCGTTCAGAAGAGGGAGATCCCGCGGCAGTCGCAAAAGTCCAAAGTGTCTTCGAGTCTCAAGCGAATGGCTCATGACAAAGACATCAACGCGCTGGACGTTAGTCCTTCGGGTCGATTATTCGCTTCGGCGTCGCAGGACAAGACAGTAAAGATATGGGATGTCGAAAGTCTCGAAGTGCAAGGCATCCTCAAGGGACACAAGAGGGGTGTCTGGACAGTCCGATTCGCGCCCCTCCACACTCCGGCTATCCAGGGCGAGCAGGGCTCGGTTTCAGGAAGGGGTGTCATCCTCACGGGAAGCGGCGACAAGACGATCAAGCTTTGGAATCTTTCAGATTACACATGCCTAAGGACCTTTGAAGGTCACTCTCACAACGTCCTCAAAGTAGCGTGGTTGCACATCCCAACCGAAGAGACGGCCAAAAAGCGGATACAATTCGCCAGCGCAGGCGCCGACAGCCTGGTCAAGGTGTGGGACGCCAATCTTGGCGAGGCCGAATGCACGCTGGACAACCATGACGACAGGCTCTGGACCTTGGCCGTCCATCCAAAGACCAACACCATCGTATCAGGGGGTAGCGACTCGAAGGTCACTTTCTGGAAGGACACAACCGCGGAAACGCAGGCGGCCGCGACATCAGCGGCGCTCAAGCTCGTCGAGCAGGAACAGGAACTAGAGAACTATATCCATGCGGGCGCATATCGCGATGCCATCGTCCTGGCGCTGCAGCTCAACCACCCAGGTCGGCTGCTCAACCTGTTCACGAACGTGGTTACGACAAGCACGCCAGAGGAAGGCAGCTTATCCGGGCTCAAAGCGGTTGATCAGGTGCTTGCCAACCTGTCCGACGAGCAGATCTTTCTGCTGTTGCTCAGACTCCGGGACTGGAACACAAACGCCCGCACGGCTCCCGTGGCGCAGCGGATTCTCTGGACGCTCGTCAGGAGCTACCCGGCCGGCAAATTCTCCAACCTGTCAGTCAAGGGGGCCCGGGGCCAAAAGAGCCTAAACGAGGTCCTAAATGCGCTCAGGGTGTACACGGAAAGGCATTATAAACGAATTGAGGAGCTCGTGGATGAGAGTTACCTGGTCGAGTATACGTTGCAGGAGATGGACAGCCTGGCGCCATCATTGGATGCGTTAAACGATGGAGATGCTGTGATGACTGAATCGTGATCAGCGATATCAGGGGCTGCGGTATTTTCACCTGCATGGAATGACAGAGTCAAGTCATGCGTAGATTCAAGACGTCATATAGTGAAAGAGAATAAAGAGAATCTAGGCTTCCTGGACGAAACAAGTATCAAATGTTGCTGGTAGTGCCCAGGGGTTAGCCACATTGATATTACACGGTAACGACGGTAAGATGTTACATTTGGATACAGATATGTATGTATTGTACATACAGTACGTAGAATCGTGGATCGCCCAAGCTTATGTGGGGCTGTCAATTGGATAAGTGCAGTTGAGGCTTGGCCAGCATCGTCCTCGAGAAATTTCCCCATCAACAACAACACGACGATCGTCTGCCACAAGATCAGCCAGGTACTGTGACCGCTGCCATCAATACCCAGGAATGTCTAAACGGCAAGCATCAGAGGCTTTCGAAGATCTCTCGGGCGTTGACTCGCCGGCATCCAAGAAGTCGAGATTTGACGACTACAATAAGAGCCTGACCCCGGTCAGCGCAAACGGAAACGGCGACGAACAGAGCGAATCCGCGCATCCAAATGGGCTGGGAAATGTGGAAGATGGAGAGACGGACCGTTACTCTGATGATGACGAGACGGACGAGAGGGCACCCATCAGGCAGTCAGCGCCGACGGCAGGCTACGACGACCTTTACCTAGACACGATCGACCGCAATGTCCTCGATTTTGATTTCGAGAAGCTCTGCTCCATCACCCTATCCAACATCAACGTCTACGCATGTCTAGTATGCGGGAAGTACTACCAGGGCCGAGGCCCCAAATCGCACGCCTACTTCCACGCGCTCGACGAGGACCACCACGTCTTCATCAACATGAGCACCCAGAAGGTCTATGTGCTGCCCGAAGGGTACGAGGTCATGAGCAAATCCCTCGACGACATCAAGTACGTGTCAGATCCGCGGTACACACGGCAAGAAGTGGCCGAGTTTGATCGCGTACACCGCACATCCTGGACGCTCCAAGGGAAGGAGTATACCCCTGGCTTTGTGGGAATGAACAATATTAAGGAGAACGACTACCTCAATGTCATTGTGCAAGCCCTCTCCCACGTCTCGCCCTTGCGAAACTATTTCCTTCTTGAAGACTTTAGTTCCTCACCGGAGCTTGTCAAGCGGGCGTCGATCCTCTTTCGCAAGATCTGGAACCCGCGCGCCTTCAAGTCACATGTCTCTCCCCACGAACTCCTCCAAGAAATCTCCCTGCGATCCAACAAGCGATTCACTTTGACCGCCCAATCTGACCCTGTCGAGTTCCTCTCCTGGTTTCTCAACAACCTGCACCTCGGCCTCGGTGGGTCCAAAACCAAACCCGGCTCGAGCGTAATCCAGCGCATCTTCCAGGGCAAACTTAAGGTCGAGTCGCAAGCCATCACGGCGCGGGCGGACGCGTTGGACCGCCTGCGTTTCGAGGAAGCGGCCGAGGTGAAGGTGGAAACGGCCCGCTTCCTCCTCCTGACGCTCGACCTGCCGCCCGCGCCGCTCTTCCAGGACGAGCAGGAGCGCAACATCATCCCGCAAGTGCCCTTAACCACCATCCTGTCCAAGTACAACGGCGTGACGGCGCAAGAGCTCAACGCGCAGCGCCGGCGGTACCGCCTGCTGCACCCGCTCCCGCCCTTTCTGGTCCTGCACGTCAAGCGCTTCAGCAAGAACAAGTTCGTCGCCGAGCGCAACCCCACCATCGTCACTTTTGACCCGAAAAACCTCGACCTGTCGCCCTACGTCGAGCCCGACCCGGCCCACCACCCCCCGGGGGAGCCCATCTGGTACGACCTCGTCGCCAATGTGGTGCACGAGGCGGTGCGCGCAAAGGAGGACGTGGCCGACAGCGCCGTCGGCGAGGAGCGCAAGACGTGGAAGGTCCAGCTGCGCGACAAGGCCACCGACGAGTGGGTCGTCGCGCAGGACCTGTTTGTGGACAAGATCCGGAGCGAGCTGTTGTACCTCGGCGAGACGTACCTGCAAATCTGGGAGAGGAGGAGGGGGCCGCCGCCGTCGGCTGGAAAGGGAAAAGGGAAGGGGTAAAAGAGAGAGGGAAGGAGACGAGACGGGTGACCAGCGTGATGAGACTGATGTAGCTAGGAGAAGGACGGGAGAGGGGAGATACCAAGATTTTGTGTCAAAGATACCAATGGAATGTGAATTTGCAGTGAGCTGGTTGGCAAATCACCAACGTACAAAAGTGCCACATTCGATTATCCGCGATTCCCGGACATGATCTGTTTAGACAGCGATCATTCAACTGCGCGGCTGCTGGAAAGCTTCCCACCTACTACGGGGTAGTAGTGGTTGTTATACATCTGGTGACACTAGATTTACACACGCTTACACGTCCGATCATCCCACCCTCGGAAAGTCCCATCCAGTCATCCGCCATCCGCTCATTCCACCAGTCCATCCAAGACGATGGAGCTGCCCATTAGGACGCCGAATCATGAGCCATCAAAGCAAACAGCATGCCTTTCCGCTTTCCCTTCGCCTTTCATCCGTTCTTGTTGGTTTGATTGGGGGAAAAGGATTAGAAACACCACTGGCTCAGTCAGATTACCCCGATTTAGGTCATGCTGAGAATTCTCATTGTGCAATGCTTGCTGATGTGGTACTATACATACGCGGCAGAAAACTACTGCAGTGTTTCCTTACGTCGTTATGAGGCGGTTCCATTATTTCCGTTTCCATAACAAGGGGACCGGGGAATAAGACCGCTCGCCGCTTGCTGAGTTGCCGGAAGGTTATGTGTTTAGGAGGCTTTTTGGGTGTCCCCCTGCGGCTGCGACTGTGCCGCCTGCTGCTGCTGCTGATGGTGATGATGCTGCTTGTTTGGACGCTTATCGCCGTGGTGATGGTTATTCGCCTTCTCCCGCCGCGACTCCTCAATCGCTGTGCGCTGCTGGATGCTCTCATCGTGGCTCTTCCACTCAAGCTTTGTGTCAGGGGGAAAAGACAGTATCCGTCGCATGGTTTCACTGTCGGTCAAGTAAGCAGGTGAACGGGGGCTGCTTCAGACATGAGGAATGAAACATACCGGATCTTGAGGACCCGCTGCCCGTTCGCTCGCGCCCAGATGCTGAGAATGTCCTCGCCGTTCCGGACACTCAGAACGGCTCCGCACACTTCCTCACTGGCCTCGCCGAACTGGTCGCCAATGATGGCAAACAGCAGGTCCTCCCAGTACCGATCCGCCACTCCCTTTCGCAGACGTACTACCCACTTCCCTCCATTCTTGTTCTCTTCATCCTCCCATATAGGACGAATCCCTTTCTTAAAAAGGTGATAGTCCGATACCAGCGGTAGTGTCGACGGTCGCTTCAGGTGCTGGTAAACCTTGAAGAAGTGCTCAACCGTCTCGACGGTGGCGATGGGGTGGAGCGTCTTTTCGTACTCGATGATTCCGTTCGCCTTTGAGATGGGTGGCCGGAACCAAAAGACCCAGCTGTTTCGCAGCTGGTGAGTTGCAGGGGCCGACCCTCCCGTCGGCTGGGTAGCTGCCTTAGCTGCATCGGCCAGCGAGGCGTTAGACGCCGGCTTACCGATAGCCTTGCCAGACAGGCCGCCCTCCTTTGCCGATTTCTCAGCAGTTGGCGTCTTCGCGGCAGCACCCAGAGCCGATTCGAACGGATTCCCGGGCGACTTTGGCGTCTTGGCCGAGCCGAACGAGGCGAAGGCACCAGAGCCCAGGCCGAAGGCGCTGGATGCACTAGTAGTGGGCGACACCAGACTGCCGCCTGGCGTTGTTAAGGAGCCGAAGGGGTTCTTTCCCAGCGATGAGCTGTCACCGCCAAATCGCTTGAAGGAAGGATTTCGTCCCGACGGACTGTCGCCTTGTCCGGAACCTGACGTCGAAAGGGAGAGCTTGCTCGAGCTACAGCAGAACAACAGATTAGAATCCGAGAGCTATACCGTCATTTACTATGGTAAGACGGTCAACACTCACTTGGCACGGCGACTCCATAGATTATCCATGAAGAAGTCGGAAACCGAAACTCGATTGGGATATGGAAATGAAATAAAGCCGAGGCCGTCAGGTAAGGGAAGCACCAGGAGCACCAAGAGGCGGACGGCAACGACGAAATCAGGATGTCTTGGTCGGCAGAGGAGCGGAGAGATCAGCGCCTTCCGGGACTAACAGAGCGCTCGTGTAGTGACAGCAGACGCGGGCGCAACGAGCCGTAGACTATTCAAGCTTTCAGGTGAAGTGGTTTACGGCGGGCGTTCTTCGGTATTGAGAGGGGATCGTGGGAATCGTGGGTCAGGGTTAGGTTCGATTTGGTTGTGCCAATGGTTTCTGAGATGTAGCTGGTATCAATTATAGGTGGCTGGAATTGCGCTCTAAAACGGCTGTCCGGAAGATCAGGTGTAGTAGGCACACTAAAGTCGAATGGAGAGATGGGATCTTTTGTATGTCGGTTCAAGAGTGAAAAGACAAAACTTGAGGGCAAAGCCAGGTTAGTGGCGGGTCTCTCAACTCCACTGAGGTACGACCAAAAGACCCATGACTGGCTTCGGCAGGCCACTGAGCTGGCCCGTGCGAGCAAAGACAGGCCACTAAGATGCCGACGTTACGGGCGGTGAGAGCTGTCCAAACTCCAAAGTGCACGGCCCGGGTACAAGAGGATTGTCAGTCGACAAGCTCCAGATTTTTGCTCTCTTTTCCTCTTCACAAATACCAAACAGACCACAACTCAAATCATCGCCAGCCTGCCATCAAACTGCCCTACGCTGCTGGCGATTCCGAACGTGTGTCGAGATCAACTCTCTCAATGCCCTTGTTTAAAACCATCATCACGAGAGCCCCATTTGCGCGGCCGTCCATGATGCGATGATGACCTGAAGCAAGTCTGGACATTTCAAAACTTATAACTCCTTTCTGGTGCCACGCAGATGAGGAATAGCGACGAAAGCATCCCGGGACTTAGGGTAGGTAGATTGTGCGGCGTGCTTCTGCCCTTGTGTACTGTACGTCTGCTCTTTTTTTGTGCGTTCTATTGTCCCCATTGCATTGATGACCTCCAACACTCCGGTAATCCGACTCAGCAACGACAGACCTCTGCCCTCTCTTGTGCCGGTTGAGGTTTGCAACTCGTGGGTTGAGCTTGTGGATACCACGGCTATAACTCTGAGCCTCCCCTCTACTCGTCGTTGGTTCATAGCCCTTGGTCAGGCCATGTTGAGGGCTAACGGTCATGGGCGCAGGGTTGTCCTCGTCGTCCTGACACGCCGTTTGTCTCGAGTGAAGACGCTGTCTCAAGCACGGAAGTCAGTGGCTTTGTCGAACAGAGCCAAGCCGGACGGCGGCATGGACACACGTAGCCCGCGTCTAGCATTGCACGTCGATATCCATATCCTGATAGAGGCAAGCAAGATAGTTGTCCATTTGTAAATACAGAAGCACGTTTTCTACCTACCAGGCGATCAAGTGGGGTTTCGGCCGGTCACCTTGTCTAGAAAAGCAAAGCTTCCTGCGGTATCCGTCTTCACCGGTGCGAATTGACAGACGAAACAGACCGCCACACATAGTTCCGGGTACGCTACCACATGACTGAGGCTCACCAATCACGCCGGACCGTCCCTAGGTGTGGCGGCGCCTCAAGCCTGCCGCTGACTGGCTCGCTAGGCTCAGCACGGAATCGATTCCTTCGGCTAAATACTCTGGGCTCCTGGTGTATTCACATCTCAGAGTTCACTGTATGACTGTCAAGCTGGTTTTGACTTTTGAGGTCAACGTAGGCGCTTGTACCTGGTCAGCGCATAAGCCAATATATGCGATGTATTCTCAGGCCCAAGTCTGGGTTGTAGGTCATTAACAGTTGAGAGAGCCTATTACGTGTTGGGCTGTTGCTGATCTAGAAGAAGTCTCCAGATAGAACCAAGCCGGCTCCTGATGAATAGGTCTCTTCTCTGCTGGTTTGACATCAGATAGTCCGTTGTCGAGTTTTTCCACAAAAGTTAGGGTTGGGGTCCTGTGTGTCCTACTCTCCTCCCGTCCTCGCCGTAAGCCAAACATGCAGCTGCCGGGCCCACATTTTCGGTCCCGCGTGTAAGTGGATTCGACTTACCCCACGAAACACGAGCTCACCTGCTGCGTGCGGTACGCCTACCGTAGAAGGTGGGGTTGCTGCTACCGCACAGCGCAGTTGTAGATAAAGAGAATTCAGATCCAACTCTCAGTTCAGGTCAAGTGCCCGGTGCTGGCATTGGAACGCTGGCCGCGTTTCCCCCTCCAAAGTGTCATACTGTATATCCATCTGCTGCGGCGTGGTTGACAAAAGGTCTTTTCGTTTACTTTTCCCTGTCTTATTGGCTTGTTCTGAAGGGACGGCTCCAGTGCCGGATTCTGTCCTATCTCAGGTTGTTATAGTCCCAAATGGGCGAATCCCTCCCAAGCTTCTTGCAATTGCCTCCCGAGGCCCTCAAAGACCACGCAATGGATAAAATTACCGACAAGATCGCGGCTCTGCCCGCAGACTCCAACTACTTTTCTCTCGAATTCTTTCCTCCAAAGACGGCAATGGGCTTCTCTAACCTCCGAGACCGGCTCGACCGCATGGCAAGAGCACTACGGCCCCTCTTTGTTAACGTCACCTGGGGAGCAGGCGGTTCGACGGCCACCAAGTCCCTTGAGCTTGCCGAGATTTGCCAGCGGGAGCTGGGGCTCACGACATGTCTGCACCTCACCTGCACCAACATGAGCCGCCGCTTGATTGACAAGGCGCTCGATGACGCAAAGGCTCTGGGGATTCGCAACATCCTTGCCCTGCGAGGTGACCCGCCCAGGAGATCCGAGTATCGCGACAGCAACGAGCCCGAAGAAGACGAAGCGGAGGAGGAGTTTGCTTGGGCCGTTGACCTGGTCCGCTACATCCGCAAGACCCACGGCGACTACTTCTGCATCGGCGTCGCCGCGTATCCCGAGGGCCACGCCGACGAAAGCCACCCTCTAGGCCAGAGCCTGGAGCACGATCTGCCCTATCTGGTTGAGAAGACGCAGGCAGGGGCCGACTTTATCATGACGCAACTGTTCTTCGATATTGAGGCCTACAAGCGGTTTGAGCAGACTTTGCGAGAGCACCCAAGCGGGGCATTCAAGGATATTGTCATTGTCCCTGGCCTCATGCCGATTCAGAGCTACCAGATGATCAAGAGGACTACAAAGTTGAGCCACGCCAAGATACCGGATGCCCTGATGGCGCGGTTGGATGCGGTCAAGGGAGATGACGAAAAGGTGAAAGAGGTGGGGGTGGACATCATTAGTGAGATCATCGAGCAGATCAGGGAGATAAAGAGCAGGACCGAAGGGTCCCGGGGTTTCCATTTTTACACCCTCAACCTGGAAAAGGCAGTGTCGTTCATCGTAGAGCGGACAGGCTTGATATCTCCAACCACACCCACGGAGGGCCAGACAGTCATTACTCAAGATCCCCTTCCTGACCTGAGGCTTCTGCATGTAAACGGATCGACCCCTGAGCAGTCGTCGCACCCGTCCAGACGGAAGGCTTCGATCGGATCTGACCCCCGTGATCGAGTCATTGTGCAAAACAGGTCCGCTTCACACCCCGACTGGGAGGCCACGCCGCTCGAGGCTAGTGTTCCTGCTGGACCCATCAACTCAAGAGCAAACACGCTCGCCATATCCGAAGGGGAGGGGGTGCTGGGCCGAGAAGCCACATGGGACGATTTCCCGAATGGAAGATGGGGCGACGCTCGATCGCCAGCCTATGGACAGATCGACGGCTACGGCGTCAGTCTACACGTCACGGTCGCTCAAGCACGGCAACTATGGGGAAGCCCGAAAACGACTGAGGATATTAATAACATCTTCATCCGGCACCTTAAAGGCGAGCTGTCGTCTATCCCATGGAGCGAAGAGGGATTCAGCCCCGAGACCGAGAAGATCAGGGACCAGCTGATGGCCATCAACTCGAAAGGCTGGTGGACACTAGCCTCGCAGCCTGCCGTCAACGGCCTTCGGTCGAGCGACCCCACCTTTGGCTGGGGTCCGCAGAACGGCTTCGTCTTCCAGAAAGCCTTTGTCGAGTTCTTCCTGCCGTCAGCCGACTGGAAGATGCTGGTGGAGAGGCTGAAGCGGCCTGAGATGAAGGACGTTATCTGCTTCTATGCAGCCAACATGGCGGGCGACTTTCTCAGCTCAGATACAGAGCGGTCGGCGACGGATGCGGATGGGGTGCAGTACCAGGAGGCGAGCACAAATGCCGTCACTTGGGGCGTGTTCCCCGGTAAGGAAATTGTCACGCCGACCATCATCGAGGAGGTCAGCTTCCGCGCATGGAGCGAGGAGGCCTTTGGGATCTGGGGCGAATGGGCCAAGATCTATCCCAAGGGTTCGGAGAGCGAGAGGTTTTTGGAGAAAGTGCGGGCTGATTCATGGCTGGTGAATATCATTCATCACGATTTTGTCAATAGCGATGCGCTGTGGGAGTTGCTGCTCACTTAAGATCTGCCATGGTTTGGTACAGCCGGTGGATAGGTTGAGTGAGCGGGCTATGGCGGTAATAGAGTTTGGAAATTCACGGTTGTATTCCAGAGTTAGTGAATGTCATACATAGAGAGGGCAAGCAGGCAGCCGTAGTGATGGGCAGATATTTATGAATATCAGCAGCGACTCGAGATGAGATCAACTGATCAGAATCCAATGCCTACATCACCAGCATTCTCGTCCCGGATACTTGAGCATCCGCATTCCATATACTACTAGCACATCCCTTTCCACTCCAATACAGAGAGGGGTAAGGAGGGTGATCGCACATACATACTCAGAAGTCTAAGAACCAAGGAGGATACTTGGAGTACTCCTACACATCTTAACTTGCTTCGTAAGCTTACACAGCGGAAGGAGTCTGGACATTACTGTTCATTTGCCGTTTATTCGTGGAGGGGTGACTAGAACTAGTAGTAGAATACCTCAGACCCCAGTAGTAAAATAAACGGCCTCAGGTCTTTGTTTGGGTATCCGATCGCGGCATTGCCAGAGAAAAGACACTTGGATCCCTATAGCAGGAAAGTCCCGTAGACCGAACGGAAAAGAGAATTGACCAGGGAACTTGTCGCATAGTCCGCCGTTGTCGAGAGGTGATGATTCCTCTGAATAAGCTGGGTCGATTGGGTGAGAATGGCGAGAATGGTGCGGCAAGGCGCTCAAGGAGTACAGCTGCCTCCTCAAATTTGGCCCCACAAGAATGATTCCCGAAGATTTTCACCCGAGTGCTATTGCCCATATCGGAAGCACTGATGGATGCCGAGTTGTGAGAACGTCAGGTCGAAAGCGAGTCTGAGGATCAGAGGACGAAACGGAAGCCGTAACTCAGTGGCGAATTCAATCCGGTAACTGTTCCTCTCAGACTCAACTCGAGGCTTTCGTGTTAAAGCCGGACCCATCTCGACATATTATGCCCCCGAACCGAAAGACAAAGGAAAAGGGGAAACTGCGGGCAGAAACTAGCCCGCAAGAAGACGCCTGCCGAGAGCTTTACCAACCCCGATGCCGTAAGCTAGCTTTTGTAAGCCGCCTCGTACGATAGCCTCCCTCCGAGCCAGAAACCTATTATGCCCGAAGAAGACTAGAAAAAGCCAATAACCGACAGATCTAAAAGCAGCCCAAACAAAATGGAATGCGGAGAGCGGTGGAAGTAGAGTCATTCCAAACCTGGGTTAACCAGCAGCGGGGTTAAACTGCGAATGAACAGTTAGCAGAACGATCCTTGTTGAGGCAAGCAGCCGACTAAGGGGGCTGGACTTGAACTAACCGGCTGATGACAACCTCGCCGAGGCGCGCCCAAATTTCCCCGCCAAGGAAATCCGCAATCACCGCCAGTATCGTCGATGATGCCGACACAAAATGCACTAACTAACCCAGCGTAGGAGCAGCTGTACGCTCCAAGAAGAGGGTAAAAAAGAAAATCCACCAACCCAGCAGGCATGATACGGGAAGAGATAGTAGGGAGCTGAATGGGCTCAGCAATCGCCCGCATCATCCCAAGCATCCAACTCAGCATTGAAATCGATGTCCCCGCCACCATTGCCGTCGGCGAATCCGTACATCGCTGCCGCGAAGTTGCCAGTGTCGGCGGGATACTCCATCTTTAGGGTGGGATCAAACAAGGTGGTCGCCGCCGACGACACACCAACAGCACCAGTGATGGTAGTGGTAGAAGTGGGGGTGGGGGCGTCAGAGGCCGAGGCCGGGGTGGTGGCGTCATGGTAGTAGTTGGTATTGTTGCCGTGGTTGGCTGCGGTAGCAGTGGTGCTGGTAGCAGTGGTCGGGGGGCTGCCGGAGAGGTCGACAAAGGTGGCAGTGGACAAGTCCGGGACCGTGCCGCGCGAAGCCGAACCTGCATACGAGCCTGTATTCAGCATGGTGCCGCCTGCTGCTGGGGCGTTGGTGGTCAGGGCCGCGGTGAAGCTGGCCGCCGTGTAAGAGGGAGTGCGCATACCGTTGGCCGCGCCAGAGACGGCGACAGACTTGGACGACGAGGCCATCGCAAGAGAAGAGCGGGCAGGAGTGCCGGTGCCGGGAGCGGGCTTAGCCCAGGCGGATCGAGGGAGAAGCTCTCCAGGGTTTCTACGCGGCGTCTCTTTGACCTTGACCAAATTCTTAGTTGGGGACTGGTCCAGCTCGTCGTAATCGACATCCGGGCTGTCGCTGTCTGTAATCTGAGGGTCTGGCTTGATAGGAGTTGCCTTTCGGCGTTTGCTAGCCGGAGTTCCGGCACGACCGGAAGCCGGCGTCTTAGCCGGCCTAGCCCGCTTCGGGGTGGGGGTTGCCGGGACGCTGCTAGAGCCATTGCCGAGATGGCCGGCAAAGGCCGCGACAGGGTCATTTCCGTTCTCAACGGCATTTTTCAGAACATTAGCCCCCTGCTTGATGGAACGGAATTGGAAATTGATTCCATCAGCGGTGCTTGCTCCGAAGTACTGCTGGATCTCTGTGACATGGAGCAGAATTAGCAAAGATGCTCAAATTGGAGCCGGAATCGCATGGAAATTGTGATGGGCCCATGATGCGCAAAAGACACTCTGTATATCCTACCGTCCTTGGTCTTGAGGTCGATCACGGCATAGTCGCCGGGATCCTTGCCTTCATTGAGGATAGTGTGGATGAACTCTGCCTGAGCCTTGACAGGCCGGAAACGGTGCTCGATGGCCGATGGGGTCGCACCACCGCCATAGGCCTTTGCAATTTCTGGGGGGTTCAAACAAGGCCATCAGTCTCCAACTCTTTCATGGCAGCCCAGCAAGCAGATGAGAGATGGAGCCAGAACCCCCCCTGCAGAGCATCATTTCACTCGCCACTCTAACAGCCCGTGTTTCCATTGAGGCATATATCGAGCAGGGAAGACCGGGGTATCCGAAAGCAGCTTTGGGTCTAGGGGAGGGTTTGGAATGCGCAATGGTCAAGAATTCATGGACTTACTCTTGTAGTCGAGGCGCTTGTCGTCAAGCGACGCGACAAGAGCGGCAAGCAGACGGGCCTGAGCCTCGTACGACTTGAAATTTGTTGAGGGCGGCATTTTGTCAAGCTGCTGGCTGACAATAAAAGGGTTCGTTTATGATCGCGGTGCTAGCCGCAGGGGCTGAGTGAGAGGGAAAGGTTGAGAGCTGTCGTCAATGTTTGTTAGCGACACAAGTCTGGAAACGCAAGAAGGAACAGTTTGATAGAGGAAACACCTGCGAGAAACGAAACTCGCGGTTTGAATCCTGGCGAGGAAAGAGCAAAGGATTCTGATCTAAATCCAATATCTGCAGAATAAATTGGGACGACTCATCCAGAAACTGACTCGAATCGATCGAGACAACGAGGCAACCGAGGTCTGCCAGATCAAGGACAACCACAACATGACTCATTTCTGCGACAGATCCTCACCAAAGGGAGATTTAGACCGGCGTGTCGCCTCTGAGGGCCGCAAACCCAAATGATCGGGTGTTTTGAGGACGAGGAATGAGACTGTTCGTACATACCTTTGGGTCCGACTGCGAAGTTGCAGGCTTGAGTTGCGAACCAGGCGCCAGAGAAAGAGCGGACCGAGTCGATTCGAAGGTGAAGACGAGAAGAGAAAAACGAGGGGCCCTGCAGAATGACTCGAATAAATAGCTGTGGGAACGACTGCTGCGAGGAGCGCAGGCTGGTCAGTGTGTCGATGGCTCGCCGATACTTTCAACTCGGACGAGGTGAGGACGACTGCGGGCTCAGATACAACTCGGCAGGGAGCCGCATCTACTTGTGCCAAAGAGAGCAAGCCAGCTGTGTAAAAGGAACGAACGGTTGACTGGCTGAATCGTCAGTGTATGGACCTTGCGTAGATAAGGCCGAGAGGAAGGTTCTTGGAGTAGGTAGCTTCTGCGGCAGCTAGTACTACTAGCCTGCAAAGAAATACTTATCCAGGAAGGAACCGTGAGCAGTGGTTAAGAGTCGACTTGGTGGTCAGCTCAGAGCAACGCACTTGCTTTAAGCTTGGGTTGAAGGGCTGTTCAGATTCAAGGGGCACAATGCATTGCCCATAACGGTTGTAACAGCTCGAACTTCCCAAGCGTGAGGGCACAGTGAACCGGGCAAGGTGTATGGAATATGGATTGGGCACCGAACTGAAGTTGTAGCAGTCTTGAAAGACGACATTGGAGGACCGATCTGAGAGACGGAGAAGTGTTGGAGAGATGACAAGGGGACTCGGGCTAGTTCAACTTGGGGCAGATAATGTTCAGGATGTACAAGTACCAGAAGAGATATTATGTAGAGAATAAATCTTCGAAATAGGGTCACGATACTCATCCAAGGCGTTTGAAGTTGAGTGCGCTGAGTGAAACCATAAGAGGCAGAATGCTGATAGAGACCAAGAGAAAGAACAGGAGACTTATGATTAGGAGAGTGCTTTTCAGGACAAATGCATCCTCTATATTCGGTCTTGACACAAGACATTGATAGAGTGTTAACTTACCTTTTTGTTTGTGAGAGTTTCGAGACTCTTTGAAGCCGCTTGTCCAGCTCAACCCAAGCGACGCCCAGGTCGGTGCAGGCCGAGGACACCGAGGTCCTGGAGCAGGATCCAATGATACAGCATATACTATCAAATGCTATGTTGAATGTAGTTATCAGAAGTAGTTGAGATTCAGACAATCAATAGTCTAATGAGTAGTATTGCGACTCTCAGGCTTACAACTGATGTTGAAGGAGAAAACGCAATGCGAGACTAGGAGTCGAGAGAACCGGGCCATCTCCATTGCCAGGCCACCAAAAGTGTGTTTCAGTTAAAGGGCAACTTGCCGACACGCATACACCTAGCGCGAATTCACGCGCAAGCTGGCTGTTATTTGAAGCATTAACGCGTCATAAAATACAAAGGACGTCACCAAGTATGACAACGCTACGTGCCATCTGAGCTCCCTATTGTGATCTTGTGCCTGCATGATTGTCATGGTGGCTGGGCGTTTCTCACTAACAAGATTTCACCCCTTTCGGCAAGACTTGGGAGTGCCCATGGCCATCTCCAATAAATTTGCGTTACCCCTGCAACAGACGTCCACACACACGGACCATCTAAATAACCAACTCCAAGGACCATTGACTCAGCAATCGCATATCTCTGGGCGCTGTCCACATGCTGGAACGTCCATACACGACTGTATTGTACTTCGCAGTCATACGCTCTATATTTACAGTCTAATGCCCTAAGGTTACAATATTGCTTTTTCGCTTGACGATGTCCTCCGGCCTGGCGGAGTGTCGCGTCCACTTGAAGTGCTGAACCCGTTTGTTTTGAGCTCGTGAGACCAAGTGGAAGCAAGCTGAGGGCTCTTGGACACGGCCTCTCCGTCGCCGTACATCATATACTGGAAACCCAAGAAAAGATCACATGCAGCCTGAAACATGCCGCAGACCTTGAACGCCAGCGGGATCGATGTCGTCGAGGTAAAGAACCAAAACATTTTCATGGCGTCACCAACCAGCCAGCTGGCCAGGACCGAGACGCGGAATCCCTTGCATGACTGCGATCGGGCGTTTGCGAGGATTTGCGGCAACGGAAGCGTCGCCTCGACTGAGAGGCCGATGATGCCGATCAGCGAGGAATACGACTGGTATACCACGGGGATTGGGGCCAGCAGGAGCTCGCAAACCACCAGACCAACGAAAAGAGAGAGCAAAAACTGCCAATATCTACTCCAAAAGTCAGCCATCTAGCCATCCGAGCTATCCGCAGTGCACCCGTTGGGCTTACGGTTTTGGAGCCCTCCACTGCCAGAAATTAAACGGCCGTTGTGTCTCGTGTACACGCGCGAACGGGGTGGCGGCTTCCCCGCCCTTCGAGTATGGTGCGGGACGGTGGTCCAGCGCGATCTTAAGTATAATGACCTGCATAAAGACCATAACGAATGATTGTATCAGGAGGGCGTTGTCATATCGCGCGCCGGGGAAATAGAATATCCTGTAAGGAGGAGCGCATGTGAGCACGTGTCCATAGGAACGGGCCGGGAGACGGCTAATACTAACCTGAGCAGCGAGGCGACAAGCATAATAAGGGGGATGTCGAGGGAGAAGCCGGCGCTGGATCTGGTGCGGTACATGGAGTAGGCTTGGTCGCTGTATGAGAGCAGCGGGGACAATATCAGGAATGCTGGGGTTAGATAGCCCAACAAGGTCGTGAACCACCCCATCCTGCCGGCACCGATATGCGAGAGGTTGTCGCGCCGTCAAGTCTCGTTCAGGGGCAGGACCAGCGCTGAGAAGCCGAGGAGCAATGGGAGATTACGACCAAATCGTGACGGAAATGCGCAGTGTTTCGCTCGGGGACATGCCGTTCCAGCAAAAGCCAATTGCACACGTCCGAGTGGGTGGGATAGAGATGATGGACTGCCGGGTCGGGATGCGCTTGCGAAATCGCGGAATCAAAAGTCAAACCCGGCACGGTCCGGTGGCGGGCGCCAACATTGTGCAACCTGATTGTCGGGAGCACCCACAATTTCGGAAGTCACCAATTGCGGCCGGCAGATTCGGAACCTGAAACAGACCTGATCCAGCGACCGCCAACAGCTGGCTAACGGGTGGCCATCGTAAAAATTCGCAATTACACGCCGATCTGGCTCCTAAGAGCTAAAATGTTTTTTTTTTTTTGCTCTCAGTATTATTATCAACTCTCTGATGGCGTTCTCGTTGTACGATTCTGGAACAGAAGCTCAGCAATGATATCCAGCTCAGTCCACGTCGGACCAGTGGCTAGCGTAGCGCGCCTGGCTCAAGAGCGTCAAGACAGAAGGAGCTCGCCTGCAATCCGCTGTATCATGGTACAAGTACCTAAACCCAATGTTGGCCTTCCAGGCAGGAGTCCGGACCGAGCACCTCATCCTATATTCACGGTTTACCGCAGAAGTTGCCGTTGCGGCAGTCCCAGCGTGCAAAACCGAGGACGTCATTCGGCTTCTCCATCAGCGAGCTACAAGCACCGAGGGTCCGTCTCTGCCGTGTCCTCACCCCTGGACTGAGCAGCAAGGAGTAAGCTCGAAGGATAGGCTGGGAAGATCCGCATGCTGCATTCCACCATCGACTTGTTGTCCCGTGGGGATTGAGATCGTGGGTAACTGGGTATGGGTCTGAAACCACATGCGCAGTGGGAAGGAAGGGCTGGTCTTACATGGGATCCGTTGGCTCTACCTTCTCACCGACGCTGGTGACTCTTCAGTTTGCAGAGCAGACAACTGGCGGTTTCCTTCTGTTCTTGGAAGCAACGCGATTGTCTTCCGTCTTCGATAAATCGCCCAAATTCTTCACGATTTCTGCCTTTCAAGACACTGAAGTGTACGTATTATTTACTGCCGTAAGTCTCACAGCGAGGCAGGGAGGCCGATCGTGTGCAATACCATATCGAAACCCATCTAGGGGCTCAATACCCGGCCTCGCTTATCAGGGGCAGCACGCTTCAAGATGCTGGCAGCAATCGTTGCAGGCATGGTACTTCAAGGGGGGCTGTCTTCTGTTAGTGCAGCCAAAATTTTGTATGTAAAAATCATCCTCTCGACTACGGCTCTTAACAGATTCACCGTCCAAGGTTGTACCATTCAAGTCGTTCAACATCTTCTGTGGGAACGAACTGGAAGCACACAATCTTGTCTGATATGTGACCAACTAATGTCGGGAGTGTTCATTGAGCATCTTGGCCTGCACCTCATATTGCAATGTCGCTCTCCACCGTCATTCTGTCGAAGGATAGTCTGTGTTTAGATTTCGGGATACGACTTCAGACGGTGCTGCTTCGCCGCTACGTTACATAAGGGTCGGCGATTACTTCTTGCAAGACTAAGCAGAATGCGAATACGGTTGGTTATCATTAACCTGGTTAACCAACAAAAGGACTTGTCCGGCCAGTTAGGAAGAGTGAAATGGCACCAGCGACTCAAATGCTGATCCAAGGCGCTGCGGTCGGCTCTGAAGCCGTTGGTGTTGACAAGCCGGTGCCAAGGAGTGTCCAGATCCGGAACCTCCAGGAGAGGCAGGCCTATTCTGTACGGCAAACATTCTCAGGGGCTTCTTCTCACTGTCACATGCAGACAAACTCGGACAGCACCAGCCCGGCAAACCGCCGAGAGCTACTAGTGGTGGAAAGACGGCCCTTGAACTCCCGGTTGGGAATGTGACATGGACCAGGTGCTCTAGAAGTCCCGGCAGGAGGGAAAGGACCCCCTTCAAGAGCGGGACTCGCATCAGGACGGCCCTACCACGGCCACGGCATCCACATGACTGCCGATGCACCGAATACTCGGAGCCCTCTCGGCGCTTCTGCCATAGCTCCCAGCCTCCAACCGTTCAAAGATACCAACCATGGACCAGCCTTCTCTACATACACAAACAGCGTACACCCCACGTAAAAACACTCTGAACTGTCCATTATTCCGGGCCCCCAGACTCAAGACCCTGTTAGCAAAAAAAGAAGATCCACCCCAAATACTAGCATCGAGTCCTTGGCCCACATTGAGGTGAGGTGAAATCACAAACCCGCAAATTCGGCACCAACGGATGAAATGGTACGTGCTAGTAGTACCTAGCATTCGCCAGTATGGACTACAGTAGTGTTTGCCGCTACGCGACTTCGAGAAAAATGGACCGAGGAGGATTGATATCCACTCTCGACTGCATCATTAGCTCGATAGTCCAAAATCGGTTGATGCGACGTAACTAACTAGTAACTACCCCCTAACCATCTGTGGCTAGTGATTCTGCTCGGCACATTCCAGAAAAACATCGCCAACAAAGCGACATGGTGGTTCACGAAGGCGTCGGCTGGACGAGGCTTTGCTGGCAACCCGTCGCAAGCCGGACAGCACGTGGGCAACCCAAATACAAGCCAGTTCATGCCTTCATGGACAATTGAGCCAATTCCACAACCACGGGGCTTCCTTGAGCAACCTGTATTGATAACGAGGCTCGTGATATCCGTCGGTCTTCTTTCCTCAAGGCCGGGAAAGGAATTTGAGGTTCTGTCTGTGACCGTCCCGAACACCGGGCCGCGATCTGAGCGGAAGCACGCTGCAATCTATCCGCGAACCGCTTACAGTATTAGAGTTCCGCCATCCATAGGAAAATGGCAGTTATTCCGGTGTGCTTTGATGCCAGAGTCAAGCTACAGAGAAAGGACGTTCAGGCTGCATACTCTCCACTCGGTGTCTATTTTGAGGCCAATATGCATCAGTGCCACCGCGGCTTCCATCGCCGGTTGTATGTGGCAGATCGGTATTACGACGCCTTTCTACATCTATCCCGGTTAAGGGTCCCGATGGGCGAATTTGGACGGCCGCAGTCATACTCTGGGTCCTTATCAACACAATTTGAGACGAAGATACCAATGCAGGTTGCCGAAATACAATACCTTAGCGTTCCGGGACAGGCGAAGTCATCCTGAGTCGTTGATGGCGTCACTTGATTCCCAACTTGAAGTGCTTATAGGTATCTCTTTTCTCGCAACCACTGCCCTTTATAGCAGGGCCTGAAGCCGCGGGCATATGGAATCGTGCAGATATTGAATTATACCGCTTTTCGAATGGGTAAGTACAGTACTCCGTTTCGCTGCAACATTGAGCATCATCTTGAGGCCGATGAAACAACTCGAACCATTATGAGATCGTCACAGCACGTCCCAGCACCCAGCACGAGTTCTGGTGGGCCGCATAAAAGAAACCGACAGTTGCGACTCTGACGTGCCATCGAGCGTATATTGGACGGCGGCAAACCGCCTTTTATTACATGTCAATGTATGTACAGTGTAGATAAGGTTGGCACGGGAAGCGAGGGTAAAAGCCGGGTTGGGCCTTAACGACCTGGTTTTAAGACCACCACGGCCGGCCCATCCCCAGATTCGGAGCACGGCTTTGCTTCTTTTATTAGAAGCCGGACGGGACGCAATATTTTCGGTCTTAGCGATGCGGGGATGGTGCTCGTGGTGCTTTGGACCAGACACATGCAATATCAACTCTGTCGAGCAGCCTCGAGCTACTACCTACAGTACATAGCGAGATGGTGGCTAATTCATCTTGTCTGGGCAGACAAAATGTTGAAGGACAGCCGATCCTGCAGGAACATGAGGTCGTCCAACACGCCGTCTCCGTGACGAATCGCCGACCGAAATGGGCATCCTGCCGAGCGGGCAGGCTTCTTGCTCGTGGCGCCGCAAAGAGAAATTGCATCGGTATTGCTCATGCAGCGGCAGCGTCACCTTGGGAGCAGCCAAAAGGGGTATTTTTCCTACCTAGCGTAGTGTACTGTGCAGCGTCGTGTCCGCGGAAGTTATGCGCGAGCGTTTGTGACCATCTGTCCATGCCTCCATATGAGCGGGGATGCTGGGTACAGGATGCGGAACGGAGGCTGAAATCGGTCCAGTAAGCGAGGCTTCTGCGAGGCCGAGCGTTGAAGGAAGCAATACTTGAACAGCCGAGAAACGCGAACTGATCAAAAGTCTGGAGGACAACGTTTACAGTCAGTAATCGAATAATAAGGGGGGGATGCACACCGTTGAGCTGGGTGGGGCGTGCCCTCACCTTCACGGAGCGGTATGCCGAGCACAATGCATGATGCGGCGCAATCAATCCAATTGCATCCCTGCCGAGTGCGACAGCTGGGGATTTTCAGAGCCGGAGCTGACCGGGTCACGCCTCTGCAGGTCCGCTTTCCATGCGAACAGGCTAATTGCCGCTTCGCTTCGATATTGGCCGGGGGACAAGCATCAGCTCCCCTCCCCGGACGTGAGTTGTTGATTTGTTACCAACACAGCAGGAAGCTGTCAATTTTGGCTGTGCCTCGGCGTGCCGCTCGAGGCCCTGTTGTGTTCCTTGGCGGATTGGGGGCCCGCGGGACCGGGGGCAGATGTGGCGTGAAGACGCAAGAAAACGGGGGAAAACGATTTCCAGCGACTGTTTGTTCCGTTGCCGAACCAGGGTGTCGACGGGGCTGTAGGTAACGCTATCATCAGGGCACGGACGGCCGACAATGCCGGCCATTCTCAGGTCGCCGAGGCGCGGATACTTCAGCTTTTTGGTCGAATGGCCGGCCCGCCGGCCATTGTGCTGGAGTTTTCAGCATGTTGGCATCGGTGACAAGACATGTCGAGAACCATAACTCGGCAGCGCAGTCTCGGCCACCGCTCCCTCCTCAATGGGTGTCTCACAGCACATGGGCCAGGTGAGAAAGCCGTGCCGGAGTCCTAAAAATAGGCTACTGTACAGTAGGTTGTACCTCCGTGCACATACACTCCGCGCTTGTACTAGTATGAACCCATCTGGACAGATCCAGCCTAGCTGCCGTTTTGCCTTCACAATGTCAGGAAACGCCCATCACGACAGTCGCGAGGCGGGGAGCCAACTTTGAATTCCCCTGGGTACCTAGGGATCAACATTAGGATGTATCCCATCTGACGACTGCTTCTAGGACATACATTCCGACAAAGGTAGATGGTATGCGTACACCGCCAGGGCTTTTCTATCCATCAG